CCCTGATGCCGCTGCATTTGCTGATACCCTCCTTGCAATCGGTGATGGGCAGCCACCTTATACTGAAGCTGTTCAGATTCCTGCAGAATGGCGTATGGATGCAAGTGACACTATGTCACTTATTGATGTCGTGTATCCATCCATTCGAGCTTTTGATCCGCAACCAGAGCACTACCATGGCCGCGCTATTTTAGCCGCTAAAAACGTTGACGTTGACGACATTAATGAAACAGCGTACACGCTTTTCCCTGGCGAAGGCAGAGAGTATAACTCTACTGATCGAATTGTCGATGCGGATGACCCTGACTATGCTCGAGCCAACTATCCCGTTGAATTCCTCAACAGTTTGAGTGCCAGTGGACTTCCATCCCACATTCTGCAGCTCAAAGTGGGTATGCCATTGGTGCTTTTGCGCAACATCAATCCTGATGCAGGTCTGTGCAACGGCACAAAAGTTTTTGTCACCCGTCTTCTCGACCATTCGATTGCTGTTAAGCGAATCGATCAAGGCCATGCAGGGCAAGTGCATTATCTCCCTCGCATCCATATGTGTACTGCTGAGGGTGATTATCCTTTCATCCTTTCGCGCCGTCAATTCCCTGTCCGCCCGGCCTTCGCAATGACCATTCACAAAGCGCAAGGCCAAACATTAGAATATGTTGGCATTCGCCTTCAAGAACCTGTGTTTGCGCATGGTCAACTGTATGTTGCACTTTCCCGCGCCACCAACCCAAATAACATCCGCATTGCCATCGACCTTCAAAACATTACCGACCTCAATACAGCTTCCACTATCAACATTGTCTACCATGAGGTGCTTCTAAATCCTCCTCCACAACCGCAAACACAACCATCACAACCATCACAACACACACAACCCACTACCACCGACGAGTAAAGCTTTACGCTGCTCTACCCATCATCACAATATAGATTTCTTTTTTTTCTGTTATTTCCATTATTATTATTATCCATCTATTTCTTTCTATTCCACTGTCAAGCATCATCTGTCGCCCTGTTTTTTGATTCTAAAATACAATATAATTAGGTTGGGGTTCGGGTTTAGAGGGGGTGTTGGGGGGACGCAAATATGATCATCAATGTCATATTAGCAAAAGCATCTCCAGACCGTAACAATGAATTGGGTTTCGGTCTTTGCTTTAGTAAGTAGAGCGAGCTTGATTGAGCGTGTAACCATCGCATCTTTCATAATGTCCAAAGTTTTCCATCTCAACAAAATGTCCAAGACCCATTTCAAGAGCAAGAGAATTCCACCTTTGAAAATTCTAACGTGTAAATTTTGCGAAGAAACTGAACACGATCTGTTCAGTTGCGAGGTGTACATCGAATTGCACGACCACCTCATTATTTGCGAGGATTGCCGATGTGTTGGGCATGAATCATCTGAGAGTACGGAATGCATTAACTCGGGTAATTAGCGTTGACACGGTAAAATCATACAAATATTCTTACTGTGTATGAAGTATTAACTTTGGGCATTTTTTAAAGCAGTGACGGCATCCTTTTTTTAACCAAACAATAAAAACAATTTCCACAACTGTTTTCGACATCACTTTTAAGCAGAATACTTTGTGAACATATTTTCAGCATTGTTTGAAGAACACTTGGGGGGCGGTAGGGGGGCTTTGCCCCCCACCCGGGGTCTGGGGCAGAGCCCCAGTAAACTGGTCCCTGGAGGACAGATGCTGACACGCAGCGAAGCGGAGGGGCTCACATCATCCGGAAGCGAAGCGGAGGGACCAGTTTATCTTCTATTAAATAGGGAAGGGTGCTTACGATTTCAATCCCAGCGTAAAATCCAGATTTGGAAATTTCACTTTGTAACGGCCATGCTTTTTTAACGTTACACGTTCCTGAGAGACTTGGGTAAACTTCAACTTTGTGCCGTCTTCCTAGACTATTACCACATTGCATTTCTCAATATGAGTTCCGAAGAGGTGTGCTACTTGATTTCATCTGCCATCAACGACATTTGAGGTCTTTCTGTAAAAATCGTTGAGCATTTTCCACCATTAGCCGGGATTCTGACAGACTGCTCTAGATAAGCTACAAATTTACTAACTAATGTTTTTCTGCACATTTCTCGACAAAGCAGTCGACCGATCATGCCTGTCACTGTGGCTCGGATCGCAATGAGCCATGTCCAGTGCATTCTCGCAGTGTTTCATTAGAATAGGCAATGCATATTTTAACCATGTGTATTTGAATATTACTGCTGCAGCTGTTTGCTTACAAAGCTACAGATAGTTCGTTTTTCTAAAAACTTTTGCGCCTACGTTTTGTATCTGTAGCTCGAGCACCCATCGTAGGCAGTAGGCGTAATCATAGAGAATGCCCACTTAACCCTATCAACTGCGGTACTGTGTACTTACTAATTTTTTGAAAAGATTACAAACAAACCTCCTCCAATACTCGCTATAGCTACTACCTTGCCACGATCACCTGTGCCTATGATCAACAGTTCGCCTCCACCAACTTCTCCTGCTGTCGCTGCCCCACCTTTTAGGGCTTCGGGTTTAGAGTGGGCAGCGCCCTAACGGGAGGGTCAGCGGGAGGGAACGTCCTACAAATATAATTATCAATGTCATATTAGCAAAAGCATCTCTAGATCGTAACAAATAATAGAACTTCGAGTCTTTGCTTTGGTAAGTAAGTAAGTAGGGCGAGCAAAGCGAACTTTGTTTAGGGTGTACGGTCACATCTTTAGTAGGTAGAGCGAACAAAGCGTGCCTATTTAGGGTGTAACAATCACATTTTTAGTAAGTATGATAGAGCGAACACAACGGCCTAGGTTTAGGGTGCAACAATCACACCTTTCATGATGTCCCAGAATTTCCACCTCAACAATTGTCCAATACCCGTTTCAAAAGCAAGAGAATTCCACCTCTAAGATTCTGACCTGTAAATTTTACGAAGAAACTGAACACGATCTGTTCAGTTGCGAGGATTGCCCGGGTATTGGACATGAATCGTCTGAGAGTTCGGAGTGCATTAACTCGAGTAACTGACACAGTAATCAGCTACATAATCTTAATCTGAAAGAGGTATTGCCTTTAGGCATTTTTAGTGCAGTGACGACAATGACTTATTCTCACTCCTGTTAAGCAGAACAAATTTTCAGCATTGTTTGAAGGTAAAAGGGGGGTGGTAGGGGGCATTGCCCCCACCCGGGGTCTGGGGCAGAGCCCCAGTAAACTGGTCCCTGGAGGACAGATGCTGACACGCAGCGAAGCGGAGGGGCTCACATCGTCCGTATAAGAAGAATCATGCAAGAGTAGTTTGTTTATTTAAGTCATCCTCTGAGAAAGGACTCACTGGTGGATGAAAAGCAGAAAAAGCTGTGAAAAAACATGCAAATTTTTGATGAATAAATATCGCTTAACTAAAAATGGAAATTTATAGAGGCGGAATTTTAAATTTTGGAAATGTCCACTTGTTGTTTCTAGGTGGCAGGCACCATAGAAAATAGGTTTTAATAAGAGCATAGTGCAATCATATTTCAGTACCTGTTCTTTGGGTGCTATAGGTTCGCCAGGAATCGATTGTATTAAAGTTGTCCATTTTGGATAAATTCCGTCAGCGAGATAGTATCCTTTGTTATACACGTGGTCACCGATAGTAAACTCGACGGGTGGTGTACGACCAGCGGCAAGATCAGCAAACAAATGTGAACGATGTAACACATTGATACCATTGAGGGAACCAGGGAGCCCAAAGAATGCGTGCCAGATCCATAAGTCACAGGATGCCACTGCCTCAAGAATAATTGTGGCCTTTTTTTCTTTTCCTTGGTACTGGCCCCTCCAAGCAGTAGGACAACTCTTCCATTCGACATGCATGCAATCAAGAGACCCAAGCATGCCCGGAAAGTTACGCTTTTCAGCAAAAGCCAACAGCCTCTTGGTATCTTCTGCATTGGGCGCACGAAGATATTCGTCACCAAAAGCCTTGATTACTGCCGACAAAAACGCTTTAAACACTCTAAAGCAGTGCTTTCACCCATCCGAAGATATTCGTCGACTACCTTGGCACTGCCTCCGTAAGCAAGTTGTCTCATCGCAGCAGATACTTTTTGCAACGTCGAATGGCCCGGTTTTAACGCAGCATCATACTTTTGTTCAAAGTAATTGTCATGCTATTTTACGCCTTCTACTATACGTAAAAAAAGATCACGTTCCATACGGTAGACGCGCCAAAAGTCTTTATCGTCATATACGGAATCTTCAGCAAAGTAGTCCTTGTATAGACGATCTGCGCCAGCTACACGGTCGCGTTCCTTTGTTTTGCGCCCAGGAACAGACCCGTTTTTACGGGTTGGTGTTTCTCTATGCTTTCTGGCAAGCATTTGAAAAAGGCGTTTTCGTCTGCGGGTTCCAATAATAGCACTCTCTTCTTCCTCTTCGAGGAGAAGATCAAAAAGTTCGGGTGCTGTAGACATAAAAGATAGGAACAGAAGAAAGGCAGTAATACCGAAAATACCGATTTCAAAATACCGAAACCATCAAAGAAGCCACTCTGGCGGTAAATTATTTTTATATTTCGGATCTTGATTTTGCAGCTGGATTACCGAAACCGCTGGGGATGCTCTTAGGCAAAAGTTTGTCAGCTATAAAACTGGCCATGGATCATGCAGCAAAGATTCAATCAGACGACATCGGTTTAGCGCTCGATAATGCCAAAGCCTACGATATGCTGAACATGGATTACCTGGCTCGCTGCTTGTACGCTGGGGCTTTCCGTCATCGATCATCAACAGCATCCTCAATTTGTTCTGCTCCACATCCCTAAAGACCAAACGGCGCACTGTCACCAGCTATTCATCAGTAGCGTGGAGTTCGACAATAAGGATCCGCTATCCCCAGTACTCTTCAACTTGGCTTTAGAACCTCTGCTATGTACAACGTATTCTACATGACTCATCCATCCATGGCTATATTCTTGAATCACCGTTGCCACCTTCGCCGCTAGAAGATTTTCGCCTCAAAATACTTGCCTATGCAGACATTGTTTTTCTCCATAACTCTGACGACCTCCAGCGAGCTACGACGCATTTTGACACATACTCCCCGCAAGGTCAACTTCCAGAAACCCACGCAAGCGCCTTGTCTGGTAATCCGTCTCCAGATTGGCAACAAGAACACGCATCATATGGTATCACCTCCTGGTATGACAGAACAGCAGCTGGGGCACTTTATTTCTGCGCTACCTATTGCACTCAGCGATCGATCAGCGCGACGCTTTTCTCGGTCCGTTAATCACCAAAAATACAATCAGCCTGTAAAAGATATCTCGACAATTTTTATTTATTGACAGGGAAGGAAAGCAACTATAATTTACAAAGGTTTAAAAAAGAAGGAAGGTGAGATGGAGGGAAATATAGTACACAAGAATCGGGTTGAGCACTCCAGCGATTCCCTATGGAAGAAGTAAACATCAGGCAGATGAATGAGTGATGTCCTGTGCGCAAAGGGAATGATGATAGATCATTCTATATTTCAAGCATGCTTATGCGATCGTATACTATGAAGCTGACAGCCAACGTTTGTCGGATGCTATGTTTCTTATGATGTGTCATCAACATTATAATCATCATCACTTACCCATTATCATCCGCTTGTTTTGTTCTTGTACATTTGCCACCGACTCCTGTACTAGCATTATGTTCACGTTCAGGACCATCCTCGCCATCACTATTTTCGTATCTATCCGCCTCTTGGTCGTCTTACTCAATACCATCACAGGTCTCACTATGTTTAGCTTCGTCGCCATAAGCTCATTAACCATTGTTTTCTTCCTCTTTTAATTTACTCTTTGAAAACAAGTTTTTGTCCGGGGTGCCTGAGCTATTTCATTCGCCAACATTTGATCGTAGGATCGCTTTATCCTCACCTCTTTTTCTATAAAAATGGTTTATCAAATTTACAACGTTTGCTAATGCAAATGATTTCTACACGGTCACAAACCTAGTCAACAGTAAATAACTATAACTTGGTACTTCAAAAACCATGCATAAATTTTGTTGCTATGTGCAAAGCTTTGACCAGCTAGCTTTTTCTTTGTTAATTTCTTTTCACTTTCGACCTTGGCGTCCTTGACTGTCTGCGTGTGCCAAAAGTGAATACCTGACTGGCTTTATTAACAGTGCTATGTAGCTGCATAGGAAAAGAAACTCGCGACATCGAAGGAGCCAGCCATATGGTGCGCTAAAATTAGCGTTCGAGCGAACGAAGCCGGTTGGGGATTGTTTGCTTTGACCGCGAGCTGAGGTGGTGTGCTATCAATGCTGAAGTGTCCACATGCATGAGAGAATGCCTTAAAGATTGAATACTTTCTCTTGTAACTCTTTGAGCGTGTCTTAACTGCAGTAACATCTTTAAAAGCACCATTTCAGTAAGTGTGAATATGAGTACTATGGGGTATGGGGATGGGATTAAGCAGTAACTATGTATTTTACATATCAGCGCATTGCTTTGTTTCTGGTAAAATAATGTCAAGAGAAGTTGTGGTCGATGGTGGCGATGATTATTCGTGGATGAGACACTACAGGCTTTGACATTATATACCTTTCCAAGCAGAGTTCAGCTAAGGTAAAAAAAGGAAAGGGCGGATTCTTTTGCGTAGCAGGTTACAGCCATTCTCGATTCAGCGTTAAGTTTTACTATTTCCCACTATAGTTCATACTACTCTTTATGATACTGGTTTCACACTTTGCCGTTATACATAGATAAAATATATTGCTTGCATCGTTCGGCCTGATCGGAAAGCGAGCTCAGTTGTATGGAAGATTGTTACAGTATGCTGACGATTATGAAACTTACCGGGGCGATAGGTATTACTTTCTACTGTAGTTACCAACAGGAACAAAATTCTTTTGTAAAATTATAGTAATAAAGTGGCGTATCGAAAGCTGCACAGGAGCAAAACGAAAATGACTAACTCAGCGGTTGGAGTGTTTAATGCGACCCACAGCATTTCACGGGCAGAAAAGCAAATATGGTGGTAGCTTCTTAAGACTAGTCAGAATGCCACGAGCCAAGTGTGAGAGTTGACAATGCTACTCCTGTGGCTATTCGAGAGCAAGCTCGAAATTTTTATCATTGCTTAAGCCTATGAAGATGATGATGAAACATTAAAGGCATTGGGGGAAGCAAAGAATAAGGTGATGACAATTATCAATAATGTATTGGCCCTGGAACCTTACGATGAGGTGGTGACGATGATAAGCACTGCATCCAAGCTATTTGTCGCGTCAGTAAGTACTAGGTTGCGCGTATATTTGTATTTCACTAGTGTGTAAGGGAGTCCTGCGTGAAAAAGAGTAAGTATACCTCTGCTAAAGAGAACAGCGGACTCGGAAATGGGGCTAGCGCCAGCAGGACACTGACCAGCATTTTGCTACGCACGCATAACCAGAGAGAAACTCAAAAGCGCATTCTACTCTTTTCTCACTCCAAACCTTCTTACTTTTGAGTATTGCCACTTGCCTTCACTCTCACTGTAATATCTTTTCGTTCTTCGCTTCTCCCCCCCCTTTCCCCTACTAACAACAAGTAAAGCCTTTCAAAACGTTCTTCAACAACCTTTTTCCCAAACGCAATCCCTTTCGTTCTGCTGCTTCCTCCGATTCCTTCTCTGTCGTCACTCCTCCAGCAGCCGACTTGTCTGATATGACAATTCATGAAACTCGAGCAACGCCCTCTCCTCCCAGTACGGCGCCTTCTCCCAATGACACGACAGAGTCCAATGCGAGCGACTCATCCGAGATGGAACCTGAGGCTGAAAGCAAAGTGAAAACAGACCTTCAACCCACTTTGGCTGCTCCTAACCCCACTCGCGCATCAGTATCCGACAGCGACAGCGTCAAGACACGAGATGTCAAGTGCAATGTTATGGACCGTAAGTTTTTTTTTCTCTTCTTTAATACAACGTTCCTTTATCTGTAGTCTTTTTGAGCAATATATGTGGAAAAGGCGATCGCGCGTGGTTGTATATTGAATATTGTGTACTTGTTATAGACGAATCGGCCATTAGCCACCTGCTTCCAGAGATTGGCGACCTTGAAACAGAAGATATACAGGCATTTTACTGGCATATCAAGGACTGGAAAGGCTTAGACGCACGCTGCCATGGACCTGTTTTTAAGGCTGGTGGATACCCCTGGTATGTTTACTGTTGTCGTACACACGTATACACACACACATGCCTTTTCTCTCATAGCTACACACAATACAACGCAGAATGGAAGGCAAAGAAGCTGAGCTTGTTTAAAACATTTTGTGTATGTAGGCGAGTTCTTATGTTCCCAAAAGGAAACAACCAAAGCGAAGCAGTATCAATCTACCTTGAAATTGCTGATCCAAGCGGCCACGGTCTTCCAGACGACTGGCACGTCTGTGCACAGTTCACACTTGCTTTGTCTCATCCTGACGATCCGACCAATTATTACTCTAGCAGTAAGTGCATGTTTTGCTGCTTCTTTCATGCAAGATTTGGATAGGTCCTTTTTCCTTTTGGATATTTAGTTAACTCAAACGCGTGGGTTGATTTTGTATAAATAGCTGCCACGCACCGATTTATGGGGGATGAGATTGATTGGGGCTTTACTCGATTTTATGAATTGAAGCTATTGAACGCCCAGTATCCTCGCAATAATACTGGAAAGGGTCCGTTTATTGTCAATAACCAAGCCATCATTTCGGTATTTGTACGTGTTGTCAAGGACGAGACGGGCGTGCTCTGGCATAATTTCACAAAGTAAGCATCATCAAACAACGTGAGCCTACCCTATATGATATGATGGAGGACATGCTATTGATCCCTTTTTCTATTAAAAACCAGTTATGATTCGCGTAAAGAGACGGGATACGTCGGAATCAAAAACCAAGGCGCAACTTGCTACATGAACTCACTCTTGCAGTCCCTGTATTGCACAAACAGTTTCCGACGTGCTGTCTATCAAATCCCAACGGATAGCGACAAACCTACAGATAGCGTATCGTTGGCTTTACAGCGTTGCTTTTACAATCTTCAATACTCGGATCTCCCAATCGGTAAGTTGGCGATTTCCTCCATTGATGAGGACAAAGAGACGAATTATAGCAGTAACACTGGACATCATGACTAACATCTTCTGATGTGTAGGCACAACTGAGCTAACAAAATCGTTTGGATGGGATTCGCTTGAAGCGTTCCGACAACATGATGTCCAAGAATTCAATCGAGTGCTGCAGGATCGACTAGAGGAGAAGATGAAGGTAACTGATTTTATTTTTGAAACTCACTTTTAAAATTTAAACATGCATGATTTGATATTTATAATGAATTGCGCTTTCAATGATGTATAGGGAACACCGGCAGACGGTGCCATTTCCAAGCTTTTCCGGGGAAAGATGAAAAGCTACATCAAGTGCGTCAACGTAGAATATGAATCTTCACGTGTTGAGGATTATTACGGTCAGGAGATTACAATAGCAATGATGTGATGTGGTGATATTGTGGACTTATCGAGTAACTTTTTTCCATCCGTCGATCTATACAGATATTCAACTTAATGTCAAGGGGTGCAAGAATCTGGACGAATCATTCAAGGACTATGTTACCGTAGAAACTTTGGAAGGAGAAAACAAGTACATGGCTGAAGGACATGGTCTTCAAGATGCGCACAAGGGTGTTATTTTCGATAGTTTTCCGCCCGTGCTCCACTTGCAATTGAAGCGTTTCGAATATGATTTCATGCGAGATACCATGGTTAAGGTAAAAAAAAACAGAGGAGAGAGATGAGGGACTGTGCGTGTAGATGCATTGCTAACGTGTACCACTGAACGTATGTCTATAGATCAACGATCGGCACGAGTTCCCCGAAGAAATTAATTTGGATGCTTATTGCTCAAACACAGATCCAAAAGATCCAAACGACTATGAATTACACGGGTATGTTGATTGGAAGGGACGGTGCCCTGAATGGTAGATCTTTTGTTTCTTTACGTGGACTCTGCTCTTACCAATATGGATATTTTGATTTTAGTGTCCTTGTGCATAGTGGTGATATGCACGGCCATTACTTTGCATTGATCAAACCCGAAAAGGACGGGAAATGGTAAGAGAGAAAACAACAAGGAGAACTCTTGACGGTCATATCTCGTACTAAACAAGCTTTTCCTACAGGCTCCGCTTTGATGATGACCGTGTGACACCTGTTACTAGAAAAGAAGTGTTTGAAGAAAACTTCGGTGACGAGAACGTCAATGGCAATGGTACTGCACCTTTTCTTAGTGGGGTCCGCAACAATAGCGCGCGCTTGTTAAAACGTTTCACCAACGCGTACATGTTGGTCTATGTTCGGAAAAGCAAGCTTGACGAAGTACTTGGTGCAGTTATCGATGACAACATACCTCCACATCTGAGTGCGTATAAGAATAAAAGGCTCGGGTAGAGGAGGTCAGGGAAAGGGATACAAGAAGAAAAAGAAATATGCACGAAATGATGGTAATAATTATTAACCAACATTTCCATGTAGAAAGGCGTGTCAGCGAGGAGCGGGCTGCTTTGGAGAAACGCCGAAGAGATCGAGAGGAGATGCATTTGCATGTAAAAGTAGCCGTGGTGACCGACAAGTCATTTCTGGAACGCCAAGAATTCGATCTCGCCATGTTTGACGATAAAAATCTTGAAGTGACACCAGGTGTGCATGTGTTTAAAGTACCAAAGACCGAAAAAATTGTCAATCTCAAGCAAGAGCTTGCTGAACACTTCAAGCTACACAATGAGAAGCACAGACTTTGGTCTATCGTGCAGCGAACCAACAAGACTGTACGGGTAGAACAGCCACTCACACCGAGCGAGGAGAAGCAGAGTAAGTTTGTACAAAGATATCTGTTGTCGGAAAGCATACCAATTTACCACTGCTGTGTCCCTCTATATTAGGTGTTGAAAAGCTCCGGGCACAGTCTTGCGTGACATCCCATCAGAATGGTTTTGCGAAACTTTATCTGGAGATCCCTGACGTACCGCTCACGGGCAAGTTTCCCAGCGTCAAGTCTGACACATCCATGGTGTTTCTGAAATACTTTGACGTCAAGCAACAAAAGATGATGTAGGTTCATAGCGCATATCGCTGTTATGGTAGAGCACGAGCTAACTAGAATCTTGTAGTGGCATGGGTCACTTGTACATCAAGGCTCACGACAAGGTTGGTGAAATCATACCAGCTTTGCTCGATCGTGCTAAGCTCCCGAAGGATACACAGCTGTCATTGTACGAGGTACGTAGAGTTTAATCTTTGTTGCATTTATAGGTAGCTTATGTGCATTCACTTACACTGCCTTGATCCAATGTACTTTAGGAAGTAAAACCGACTATGATTGAGTTTATGAATCCGAAGCATACATTCCACAACGCTGAAATCCAAAATGGCGACATCATATGCTTCCAGATTGCTGTCAAGGAAGAAGAGTATGTCCTCTTTCTGTGGGTATTTTCTGAGCGATGAACCATTCTTCTGACAATGGCGGTGTTTTTCTATATAGAGCGGACAATATATATGCACGTAATGAAGTAGCAACGGTGCGCGAGTACTACAGCACAATCTTTAACCGTGTCCTTGTTGAATTCAAGCCGAGGACAGACAAGCAAGGTCAAGAAGTGAGTCTGAAACTCGACCGTCGCGCTACCTACGGCACTGTAGCCAAAGATCTCGCCAAAGCACTGAATGCCGATTATCAAAAGCTGATGTTTACAACTGCCCACTCTGTCACCAGACAACCGAAAGATGCTTTGGCGTTCTCCAACAAGATGAGTCTAGAAAGTATGGTGTCGTCGATGCCGCCAGCACAAGAATATGCCTACGCAGTCAGCATTGAATCGGTTCCAGCTCCTATACTCTACTATGATATCTTGGACGTCAACCTATCGGATTTCGAAAGCAAAGAGTCAGTCGACGTAACTTTACTCCATCCAACGTTACGTGATGATACAGCGCTTACAGTTCTTGTTCCGCGAAGAGCCGTTGCAAGCGACCTTGCAGAGGCAATTCTGGCCAAGAGTCAACTGGAGGACGTCTCTTCCGACCAGATACGCGTGTTCGGCGTAGCAAGCGGAAAGATTACGCTGATTGCTCACCAGAATCAAACAGTTGCTGAACTGGGTTTTACACCTAAATCGACGATTTATGCTGAAGTGATTCCCGACGATGAAGCGTCCATGGATCCGGAGGCAGATCGTCTAATAGAAGTTGTTAGCTATCACAAAGATCCGTCAAGGCTTCATGGCATCCCGTTCTTATTTGTAGCTAAAAAGGTAACTTTAACTTTTTGCTTCAGTTTTTCTTGTTTCGTGGGGTTTGTACTAATCAAACTCTCTCTCTCCCTATCCCACCACGTCCACCCAACAGGATGAATTATTTGCAGATACCAAAAAGAGACTACAACAACGCTTGGGTATCGGCGACAAGGAATGGCAAAAAGTGAAATGTACTATCATCCGCCAACATCGCTCGTCGAACCCTGAAGTTGAGCAAATTGATAAAGGTGGGAGCATATATCAGATGTGCGCGTGGATCTTTCATGCGTATAGCTTAAACTAATTCAACGATGGTTCTGTATCAGATGACTATTGTTTGGTCAAGAATGGCAACATAGGTCCCAACGATGTACTTGGATTGGACCGTGTGGATAAGACATCGCGATCAAGCCGATTTGGAAGCATTCTTGAACGCGGTATCTTCATTCGCGGCTAGAGTTGCTGTAAAAAAAAGTTTCGTCTATATCTATTTACCCGTCCCTTGTCTTTATTCCCTCCTTTCCCTCCCTCTTGTCTTCTTCTCATTTCTTTTCCATCTCTTTCAAACTAACACAAATGCAACAAAATCACTCAGACTTTCTATCTATCAAAACGTATATATTGCTTATCCCATGGTATTCATTTTTGCTATCTACAAGTTTACATTAACCATCAAGTTGTCTATAAGTCTGGTCTTGCCCACATACACGGCACCACTCATGATGCATCCGTCCGCGATATCGCCCTTCACCTCATTGAGATCCTTTGGCGACGCAATGCTGATATAATCCAGTTTGATTTCACATTCTGCCTGAGCTTCCTGTTGTGTCCTGTTCACCAATTCAGTAGCAGCCGCTATCAAAGTAGGCGCGTGCTTTGTCGATTTTTCGTACATTTCCTCCATTAGCTTTAATGCATTGTACAACACCAGCGCGTACTTGCGTTGGATAGGTGTCAAATAAGTGTTTCTTGAGGACATGGCAAGGCCGTCTGACTCACGGACGGTAGAACAAATGTTCATTTTGACGTTAAAGTGCAAGTCGTGGATCATCCGCTGGATCACAACGCATTGTTGAGCTAAAAAATTACATTCATCACTACAGTCAGTAAAAAAAATTGATACCAAGCATGGATGCTGCCTCTATTGCTCTATTGAAAAAAACGTACCATCCTTTTGACCAAAGAACACTTGCTCAGGTTCGACCTAACAGCAATGACATGCGAGTAAGCTTAGCTAAAGAAAATTACTGTTCATGCGCTTATAAAGTTGCCATGATCACATACGATGTTTAAAAACTTGCTGACGACAGTTGCCACGCCACGGAAAAAGTGAGGCCGAGTAGTTCCCTCCAACTGATGAGAAAAGCCCTTGACCTCAACAAACGCACCGACTTGCTTGGATACTTCGGGTTCAATGCCAGACGGATACATTTCCGCGACCTGTGGTACCAAAACTGCAGCCTTGTCCAAATGTTGTGCCAGGGCATCCAAGTCTGCTTGTAAAGTGCGTGGATATGTACCCAAATCTTCGTTTGGCGAGAACTGTGCTGGATTGACAAAAATTGTCAGTGCCACGTGATCACATGCAGCCTTGGCTTTAGATACCAGCGACAAATGTCCACGATGAAGTGCACCCATGGTTGGTACATAGCCTAGCGTCTGGCGATCAAGGAGGATTTGTCGTCGCCATTGACGGAAGTTTTTAATCGAGTTGAACACTTGAATGCCAGGTGGGATCCGAACTGAAAATCACCAGGTATTAGCTTGTCGCCTATTTTTCAAGATAAAAGCGCCCTTGTTGGCCATCAAGATTCAAATTGTTACTGTTACTTACGGCCATTCATGATCTGTAAGAACGGTTGATTTTACTTTGTGAAACAAGAGACGGACAGGTGCAGTTGTGATCGAGTCAATTCAAGCCAATCGGTTAAACATTGTCGCGGGGCTAATTATGGGCAATCCATGCCAAATTAAAAAAGTTCCTCATATTCACAGTTTCTTTACTCTGTTCATTATACTTATGGCATAAAATTGACTTGCACAAGGCTTATATGGTGCAACAAGTTTATAACCGACATAAACGATGCAGTTTTTTGAGGTTCCATAAATACCTTTGTATGCATGGCCAGCTTAAAAAAACAAACCTGTAATAATGATTTTTAGGTACTTTCTGTACAGTTGTTATACGCTCACGTTGTCACTTGTCTCAGTAAAAAAAAGTTATGGGCGCTCAAAGTCTGCCACTTTTGGCTGGGGCAGGTGAAATTGAATTGGTAGGCAGCATAGTCGGTATAAAGTGTATCCGTGACATACAGCATGAAACGCGCTAAATCCATCTTCACCCCTTTCTTGATTACATATTTGACGGTTTGAAGAAGAACTTACCCATAGCTTTAGGTAACGCATCTCCACCCAGTAATACTCCCACGAAGATTAGAAGATACTTTAGAGGATGTATGCGCTGCATTGAGTCTTATAGTAAGGGTATGAATGTGTGGGCAGCAGACGAAGAGGTGTGCAACTTCACCACAAGAGTTTCTACATCTCATCATCGGTGCCTTAGCGTAGTAGATGAATAAGTCCCAAACTAAATGCTTACTATAAAAGGAATCAGGATTCCAAATTCTCAAATTGAAATGATTCTCGATTTTGTTGGTTATAAACTTTCTGCACCATATCAGTTATGGTAATTCGCCAGCAAACAGCCACATTGGATAGTTTTTGATACCGCATGAAAACCTGACGCCCCACCTGAACCATCTCTGGCGCAACCAAGTGAGCCTTCTTTAAATGATGAGTGATCCAGTCGCAAGCGCCGTGCAGTCAAAGCCTCGTATCATATTGATGTTGCTGCTGTTAGATGGCGCAGAAAATGTTCGCGCGTATGAACATTTAGTAGAAGAACCTATCGGGTGCATCATTATGAAACTGCAGCAAGGTAACGTTATCATTGCTCACACGCAGTCTGCATACTGTATAGCATTATGTATAACCAGTGTGGTTTCTAATATGTAGGATTTTATTTGTCTCCACTTATCTAGTGATGCCTCGTAGCACGGTACAGTAGCAGTCCCTCGCTAAAAGCGCAGCTCATCAACCAGCAGCAAGACATTGACTATGCATGCATACTATCGTCCGTAGAACGCCATGAAAAAAATTATAGATATGAATTATAGCATTATCATGATGCAGCATGTAACAAGGCTTCTCTTATTAGATATACGTAACACAGAAACGATAGCTGTGTGTAGTAAACCACACGACTTTTGATTCGATACGGACAACTTATCCCACTTCACCGTCTTATTAATTACTATAATGCGATTAGAGAGAACAACGTACACTGATGAGCTGATATAGACAATACATAATCACTACCATATCAATATCAGTAATCCGTCAAACATCGATCACAAATGAGAATAAATCAGAACTAACCGTTGTATTCACAATATTCTATTCTCGTAATTAGTCGACACTTCCTTTCGATCCAAATACCTGGGTTGACCAAATTATCACCTGTCGAAAAGCATGAATAACACACGAAGGTGGCACTGCATCAAGGAACACACTGTTTAAGGCGAAAATAACTCCTTTCACTCGGAAGACAATATCCATCATCATGGCATCCAAACTCCACCTTCCTCATCTTCTTCATCTTGGAAATATTCAATATCCGGCATGTCTGCGATCCGTCCATTAGTTTATCCCCACCAAAGTCTATCACAACAGACAGAATAGACGTGTTCAGGTCAGTGAGCGTACGTGTCAATGTAAAATAGCTTACTTTTTGGGATTTTGTTAATGCTACCAGGGGTGCATCAAAATGCTCTCATAAGGAGTAGTGGCTGTGTCGTTATCGTCCAAGTTATGATACCTATACTCTTTGGTGTTCATAGTATCGTATGATGATCATCGTAAGAAAAGAAGAGAAGAAGAACAACGCGCTTTCTGCATCCTGCTTCCTTTTCGTAGCTGCTCTGATCTGCACAAAGCATCTCAACGAAATTTTCCTTTTCCGGTTCACTCCACCCATGATTTCTTTACCACTCACAGTGAACATCCTTCTTTATGAGGCTTGCTTAACAACGCTGCATAAGAAACCTGCTCATTGCCATGGCATTCAGTAGTCATGACAATCCACGTTCCCGAAAGCCGCTTGTTGCCAGGACAAGCATGTCAAAACACATTTTATTTTATTCGCGTCACCCATTTTGACCAATTCCGAGCGAAATGGCGGCTGCTCTTGCGAAGCGATTCGCAGCGCTTTTTTCACACAACCGCAACCAGCGCAATGGGCAGACTCGTAGCAACACGCACATACTCAACCCTTGTTTTTTCGAGGCTCTGAGGCCAAGTTACGATGTTTTTTGCGCAGGGTCTCCATTGTACTTTGCTGTCATGCTCGGCTTCTTCATGCGCACACCTTCCGTGCTGGCCGTGAATAAAGTTGGGGGTGGGGGGTTGGATGGGGGGATGGAACCAAAGTTGGGGGACGTCACTCGTCCGAGCGAAAACACTACGCTGTATACGCTTATGGAGGTGTGGTTTTAGACTGCTTGTCGTCTTTAGTCTCGCATTGAGCTCGCTCGGTGGTCAGCTTAACGAACGATAATCGTAAGCTGGCAAGCGTGGTGGATGCAGAGAAAGGGATTCTTTTTAAGAAAAACAGCGTCGATCGTATATCCTATCTGTCTGCTTTTCCCAGGGTGCGCGTGAAGTATGATACATGCGAAAAAAGCAAACCAGATTGGCTCGGAACGTATCCTCCGAACTAACTTTTTTTCCTTTCCATTATTTTCGCGAACTGAACTACGTGATGTGCATTGGAATAATAAAACTTTTTTCCTTTCCATTATTTTCGCGAACTGAACTACGCGAACACAGAAAGTAAAAAAAAAAAAAGATAAAAAACAGTGCCAAAGTGTGATAATGCGCGTTGTGATCGTGTTACTGTCGTCTGTCATTGTTGTGCGCTTTGTTGAGCACGGAGCTTATCTTTGCCTATTTTAGTTTTTTGTACGCAAAAAAAAAAGATACAGGAAAGGAAAAAAAAGCAAGCATCCCTTCAGAATCTCATTGGGCCCAGACCAGCGTTCTTTTTGGAAATGAACTTTGCCCATAAAAAGACACCCATTTTCCGCAGCGTGTTGCTTCCTCGCTTTTTCTTTCACTTTTCACTTTTCACTTTTTCACGATCACATATGGTAAGTTCCTCTCTTTTTTTCTCTCTTTTTTCTATGGATGTGTGGGGAGGGAGGGGGGCTAACGCGGGTTTTGTAGGTCGTGTGTGGGTGGGTGTGTGTGTGGGTGGTGGTGCTTGTTTTATAGGCACGGGCGACGAAGGCGTAAGGTAAGTGGGTGAAGGTAAGTGGGTGTGTGGGTGGGTGGTGGTGCTTGTTTTGTAGGCACGGGCGACGATGGTGTAAGGTAAGTGGTTGAAGGTAAGTGGGTGTGTGGGTGGGTGGTGGTGCTTGATTTGTAGGCATGGGCGACGGAGGCGTAAGGTAAGTGGTTGAAGGTAAGTGGTTGAAGGTAAGTGTGTGTGTTGGTGGGTGGGTGGGTGGTGCTTGTTTTGTAGGCACAGGCGACGAAGGTGAAAGGTAGGTGGTTGAAGGTAAGTGGGTGTGTGTGTGTGTGTGGGTGTGTGGGTGGGTGGTGCTTGTTTTGTAGGCACAGGCGACGAAGGTGAAAGGTAGGTGGTTGAAGGTAAGTGTGTGTGTGTGTGTGTGTGGGTGGGTGGGTGGGTGGTACTTGTTTTGTAGGCACTCGCGATTGGTGAGACCGGACTGGGCATCTCAATACCAATCGACCTTCCGTGATCCACAAAGCGACCAAGACAAGACCCTAGCTTTGTGGTGAGAGGGTTACGGGAGCAGATGTCGATGCACCTTCCAGTGGTTGCTCCTGTCAGTACCTGCTCAAGAGCAGGGAAGCTAAGACATCGACACCCTATTATTGATTAGTAGTATCATGTATCAAATAAAAAATGCTTCTCGTTCGCTGAACTTATTTGTGCGTGTTTTATACAGTATTGTTGTAAGACTTCTTCATATATGCGAGCGAGACTCGTCATTCTCGCTCCTAATTGCACAATAAAGACATTTGCATTGAGCAACATAGTTGCCATTCGAGATCGTTGCTAAAGTGACATTGATTTTGTCATGAACAATGCTGTGATTCGGGAATAAAGGAGTCGACATTCAGAATGAGGCAGCCAACACCGGCCCAGGTCTGTTTGTTAAAGGCTATTATCAAATAGAAGGGCTGTAAACCAGATCCTCCTTCTCCTACCGTTACCGAGCTTCACCACTTTGTCCTTGTCGTTTTTTTTTCATACACTTTTCTTTGGCGCACATGTACTGCACGGTCATCTATTTTTGCATCCTTACTTCTTGGTGAATATAACTTCTTTTCATGTGAGCTTCTTGTTACAATATCAGTAATTTTTATTTTTTACAACGTCAACCATTCCCGGCACCTGCCATTTACTTTTTCTCTGGGAACTTGTTACTGAAACCCTGTCTGTGCGCCTTGTGGCCTGACGGGTGCAGGTATCTTCCTATTCAAAAACAGGCGGCGACACCGTCGGGGCACGCCCTGCATGATACCGGTGAAACATATTTCGTAGGACACTCAATACACGTGGACCACATACGCCTTCTTCTTGACCGCTTGACCATGTCTCTTCTTCTGCACATGTTTTTTTCTTCCTTACCCTTTGCTTTCTCACATGTTTTTGACTGACGAATCACAGGCCAAGTGACGTGTTTTTAAGCTCGGGGGTTGAATCCACAAAAAAAAAACAAATACGCCCACATTATTCAGGCCATTTCCCTCAACACATTCTTTGCCTGATACAGCAGATACTGGCAATACACAAATTTTATGCAGATCATCGGCTACTTCTGTTCTCCCCAGACAGCCGCAAACAAAACAAGTACGAATCAGCCTCTCCTGTTACCTTGGTGCTACGGGCCATTGACGCACTGGACCTCTCCTGGGATGATATCCACACTCTCACCCCAGCAACAGCACTACAGATACCATTATCAGTGATAATTCGACCGTCACCAACCAACCTACCACCGAAAAGGCCGGGATTCAAGAAGTGTGCTGTAAACGATTTCTTTATATTTGATGATACCCTAGGCCATCTACGTCTTAGGGATCGCCACAAAGGCGAGTTTATTAAACACCCCACACTCTTAAATCAGCTTCGAAACGACATTACTCAATTCAGATTCTTTCTGCGCCCTTTCTTTGCTCGCCTATGTCTTCCCAGGGACCATCCAGCTGGAGGCCACGACATTACCTTCCAGCCACTAGCCCTCGCCATCAAGCACCATCAGGGCATCAAGACTTGGCAAACCAAAAAATACCGAAAATACTTGGCACCCACAACCACAGGCACTACCATCCACGCGAAAAACTGGATACGGTTTTGGGCCACACCAATGGACCGCCGCTGCCCGCAACATTCTTTACCGCATATACCATTCTACGATCCCAACAGCAGAAAGACTCTTCAACATTAACCAATCTTTTATGCCTTCGGCCTTATGCCGGATCTGCCAATCTCACACTGACACTTTACCTCACTTTCTAATACTCTGCCCCAAAAAATATGAAGTCTGGCAACATGTATGGAATCATCTATGCCACCAGGACCCCCGGCCCTCCGCGTTCCTTCATTTTATCACTACTGGCGATCCCCCATACTCTTCCTTCACACACAAACAGCTTCTTTCTATTATTGCTTATACCTTATTAGCCTTATGGAGAGGTCATTGGGACCTCATTTTCAATAACTCCCCTTTTCTTTCGGCTAAAATTGCGTCGATCGCAATCAATGCCATTCAGAAATATGTCTGTTAATCCATACACATGTAATTATTTCTTCTTTTTACAACTCCGAGGCCGCTGTTCTTCCCTCTACTTTTGTACGGCTTACAGCAATAAATTTATCTTCTGAGGTTCAAACCTCCATACAAAAAAAAAAAAAAAAATTCTTTTTCCTTCACTCCCTTGGCTCTTCCCTTGGATCTGGTCTTCCCCTGCCTCGCTCTGGCTCTTCCCTTGGTCCTGGTCTTGCCTCTGTCGGTCCTGGTCTCAGCCTTTTTCCCGTGGTTCCCCTGGCTGCCTACAACTGGTCCCTGCTTGGGGCTCTTTAGTCTGGCGTTCAACGGTGTTGGTCGCAACCGGTCTTCAGGCGAGATCTGAGGACGGAGAAATCCTTCTCTGTTTTTGCCATGGAAACATGGTAGCGTACTTTCGGTTGGATGCCTTGTCTGCTGGTCTGCCATGACGGCTGGTCTGCCATGGCGGGGTTCGCAATGAGGAGCCAGGTGCCTCTGTAGATCGCGTTGGACTCTCGGCAATCAACTCTCTGGCAATCGACTCTCGGCATTTGACTCTCGACAATCGACGCTCGGCATTCGACTCTCGGCATTCGACTCTCGGCGATCAACTCTCTGGCATTCGACTCTCGGCATTCGACTCTCGGCAATCGACACTCGGCAATCAGCTCCCAGCTTCAGTGTTCGGCTCCCAGCATCCGAGTATCCAGTAAGCAGCTCCTCCAGCATTCGACAACAGCAGCAAATGGCTGTTTTTTTGGGTGTTTCGAGAGTCAATTCTTTCCCCTACCCCCACCCCTTCCCTTTCCTCTTCCCCCACCCCTTCCCTTTCCTCTTCCCTTTCCTCTTCCCTTCCGTCCTTCCCTCCCTTCCTTCCCTTCCGTCTACCCTTCCATCTTCCTTCCGTCCTTCCCTTCCCCCTTCCCCACTCACAGGCAATCCACAACCGATTGCTTGCACTTGACTCTCGAAACGTAGCGTACGTCATGGTTCCCACTCGTTTGTACCATGATGGCTGGGTTTGTGGTTGATTGACCCAGCCAAATAATTGGGAGACTGGGACTCCCAGGCCGAGGCATTGGTGGCTTTCTTTTCCTCCCCCTTTTACATACTTCTTCTGTTTCTTCTTGCTTTCTTCATGCTTTTTGTATAGCCTGCAGGTTGTGCGAACTGCTTGTTGAGGTCACTTTGTAAAATCGCGTTCTTATTATTTGTCTTTATTGTCCACTGATTGTGTTCTTTTAATAAAATTTGTACTCTTCGACTATTGATATTCATAACGATAACTTTTGTCTTTTATAAAATGTTTCTTTACTCTAATATTACAATGAATTAAAACCTGCTCTTTTACTTTATGTCCTGCTCAAACTCATTTACAATTTCTTTCCTTGTGAAGATATTTGCGTGTCGCTTCACCTTGCAATATCCATTTTCTTTCTGACTGTGTTCAATCGTCTTCGCCGCTTCATTTGACAGTTAGGAAAGAACTCGTGTTTTGGCGTGCTATGTCCTTGTTCTTATACAATGCTGACAATGTCAAATGGCTCACATTAGACTCGTAATTACTTTTACTTTGCAATGATTTGATCGATTCTAAACATAATAGCTAGGCAACTGGTTGACGCAAACATTATGCACAGACCATGTAATATAGTAGGGGGTTTCAAACTCGTGGCCAGCTGGCCAAATTCCGCTAGATAGAACCGAATTTCGCCAGCTGGGGAAACCCGTTGCGTAGCAATATCAGTACTGGGCACATCAGAAAATTTATGTAGAGAAAGTTTGTCTTGCAACAGCAGGAGCTCTCTTGGACTTGGTGGAGCAAGTTGATCATGTTGTGTTCTTAAACTGTCTTTCTCACGTATAGAATCAGCATAACACGCACTCTACAAGCTAGATCTAGTTGCCTTTTATACCGACTACTATAATACATATAATCATTAATAGAATTGTATTAAAATACGTTTCAGCGGCTTTCCATCAAATGCTAAATTCACGTCGATCCGCCCATTGAATTAGGCGATTGTGTGAGATTGAGCTGCCTTTGAGTAGCGCCAGCAAACGGATCCACTTCCCTAGTAGCGAAAGCGAACGGTGTATTCGACTGGAGAGGATTACCTCTGGGACATGGGACTTCACTGTCTGTTCATAAAGAAATATAAAAGTTGACACATGCAGAAAATAATAAAGAAATGAGTGACACACATATATAGAGAGCGGTAAACAGCGAGAGGAATGGGTGCAGTCAAAGAGAACGAGTGGTAGTTGAAGTAGAAGGCGAAGCAAAGAAAAAGCTGCGGCAAAGAAGGCACGGGAAGGGTGGATGGTGGAAGCATAATGCTTCCAAACAAAAAGAGCTGGCGGTGCGGTTTGAAAAGGAGGACAAGAGGAGCCGAAGCAGAGGAAGATGACAAGGAGACGAATGGGGACGAAGCAGCATTCAGAAAACTTATAAAGCCAGTCGTGAAAAGCATTTAAATTGTGTGTTTTTCCCAGCCGCTATTTTTCTATCAATAAAGAAGACGCTGGATGCTTACTGGGGAACATCTCATCTTTTCTTTCTCACGAGTACCAGCAGGCCTATTAGCTTCTCGCTGATGACAGGTTGGTTACTTGACTTATCGTTCTTTTTGTTGCTACTATTGATGGAATGCGTGGGATCAAAGCACATCATACATCTTTGCTTCCAGTGTTGTGCTTGTATTCTAAGTGAATGGGCCCTAGCTGAACGCTGGATGAAAGCTCGACAATGCCATGTTGTACGCAGCAGCATGTCATAAGAGGACTACAGCAAAAATGAGATAGCACAACACTATCATAACCGTAAACATCAATGTTCCGGAAGTAATGTGGTGGATTAGCAGATGCTTTGATCCGCATACCTTGATTACTATGTATCAAGCAATACTTGTTACATGATGCTTCTATAAATACTATGCTCCAAGAAAAGAAATTATGATGGGTCGATAGCTGCACTCTTAATCCGAACATGCTGTTTATAAGCGTCTAATATAGTTACTGTTGAATCGTATTCATAATATTGTCACAAGGCAGACATCTGTAGGCTTGAGGTGCCATCTAAAAAAAGAGCTTAGGCTTAAAATCATATTGCACTTGGCATAAAGGAACAATAAATACAAGCAGGTTTATAGGGTCTTACTGTCATCCATCTATATCGTGATGCTGACTTGTAATTTTGTTCATTTGCATAAACTGTTACGTCAAGTTTTATCCGGATCACAAAAGAAGCAGCTAATGAGGTACTGCCTCTACACCATTGATACAGCAATAGTTTCTCTGTTTTTACAACTTTATGGTTGCGTGTCTTATGCATGCCATCTGAACCCTGGAATAACCGTTATAAATTACATGTAGCTTAAATTATGGTTAATAATTCCTATATATCATATCCCTCTAAATGGTATTCTTCGTCAAAGCGGGGTGTAAGCGATATGGAAAGTAGTCGAGGATATCGCGCACCCACACAATATATGTAGAGCAACCAATAGTAGTATGTAGTATGTAGTATGTAGTACGTAGTGTAAATGATGAATTTGAGATGCGTATGATTTTATTATTTATAGAAAATGCCATTTGACTTTGAGAATACCAGTGTCAAACTCACCGAGTTTTTTGAATGCAGCAGGTGATAAGTCTAAATGTCCACTGTCACAGGGCGGGCATGCATCTGTGAGAGTAATAGAGTTAATAGGTATTTTTGATAATCAATATAGGCTGATATTCTTCTTCTGCCATGATTATATTAGCAATTGAGGATAGTTATAATTACCTTTAACTGTAACGGTGATGGAATTTCCTCTAGGGCCTGTAATACGCACTTTCTCGTCACAGTACTTGCTCACCTATTTGGTATATTACCATTATTGACAGAATGTATACATTTAGCATATGAAACAGCAAAAAAAAAATACAGATATAGTGTACAACGATGACTTACCGCATTCATGTTACCGTACCAATCGGGGCCTACGTTTGTTACATGTTCATAAATTTAGCACTTTTGTATTTGCAAATCAACAATAAGAAATGCAATAGAAAGACAAAAGCTTTACCGAGCGCAACGATCATGTCGTCATCATCATTCCAATCTCCACAAGCACCTTGGTTGGGCGTGAAGAAGGTCACTTGGCCACTAATCCAATCAGCACTGCCTCTATCGTCGTCGTTGTCGTCATCCGGCTTCTCGGTCGGCGTGGGCTTGTGGGTTGTCGTGGTAGTAGTTGTATGGCGGAGTGTCGTTGTCGTTGTAGTGGTTTTTAGCGCATGTGTCGTAGTGGTAGTCGGAACCGGTGTATCTGTAGGGCTATTCGAGTTGTTACAATTGATCTCGGTCGTATTTGTCAAGGGGATAGTCAAATCCACATCGCGCTGCTTGTAGATAATCTGCGACCAACCGGGAACGTCGAGGTCACACACTTTGCCGCGGTGCAACTTGTTATCATAATCGCGAATTCGTGTTATCTTCTTCGTATAAGCACGGATAAAGCTACCAGGCCGGCTGGTAACATTGGCAGCAAAGCATGCCTCGTTGGAGTCTGCAGAAATGCCTTGCAATGTAATATGGGTTTCATTGGCACGCAGTGTGGCTTGACGAATGGTAGAAGTACAATTTATGGCTACTTCAGTGACATTGAGCGTGGGTGCCAACGTCGTGATATTGTACTCGCTTGATGGAGACCAGAGCTTATAGGGGGCTCGGAGATAATCGATCATGGCAGCCTTTGCCGCTGAAGCGATCAAACTGACTAGAAGGAGTGAGAGGAAAAGAGATCGCATTGTAACCAAACAATGGAACTGTAAGAGGAAAAAATGAATAGGAAAGGGCTTGCGTTAGCAAGAAGGAAAGGTTTGAAGGGAAAAGTTTGAAGGAAGTGAAAAGAAGAGGTGAGTAATTACCCTTGTTAGCCGCACCCCAATGTATTATATGTGTGTGGCGTGTGTGCCCCAAATCATATTTCTTGTGCTAGAGTTCAGTCAGTGTGAGGACACGAAGAAGTTGAGAAACAGAGAGAGTCGGGTTCCCTTTTTGTGCGACATGCCTGGAAAGGTCCTTGACGAGCGGTTCATAGGGACCGCTGAAATTTCCCTGGCATCTGCCTCGGGTAAATATAGTGCCGGAGTAAATTCCCTGGCATCCTTCGGGAAAAATGATTACCCGGGGATACCTATACCACCATGCACCAATTTTTTTTGCCTTTGTTTTTGTTTGTTATAATTATTTTCATCCTTGTTCCTATTACTACTTTCTCGTACACGAAATGAACAGTGACATTACCACTGATATTTTTCCTGGTGGAGCACCGATCAACCCCATTACCGGTGATGCATTTCGTCTTCGTAATCGCGGCAACACTGGTCATCCACAGATTCGTTCAATTGCGGAAGGCACGTTTGACGAGGAAAGCACTTACGAGTGTACTGATTGTTACCAGGCCAAACCAGGACGCCTGTTCAGAGGTGCAATAAAGCCTTTTAGGACTTGCTCCCCTTGCCGCTTTGAGCGAACGCCTCTAGAAATCGTTGCTTTGGACGATATGCTGCAGTTGGATGAGTTGCATGAGGTTTACCCTGCTCATGCAGATACTGACGGAAGCGAGGTATGTGTAGCTTTGTAATAGACCAATTGTATCCTTTAGATAAGTAACCAATATTGTTGCAGATTTATGCATTTCATGGTTATATCTGTATTGAACCGTATATGGAGGCGATGGATCCAGCTGATTTAGTTGAAAGGATATTGGAGGAAGTGCACCGATGCGACCAATACACATATCTTATTAAAAATATTGGAGATCCAGAGCTCTCGACAAACATTTCCTTCGGAGCATATTGTCACAGATCCCAGGAGATACAACAACAGACAGCCGAACATCTCCTTGTACGCATGAATCATAGGCTTCCAGCTTTTGAATGCTATGGTCGCGTAAAAGGCACTATTAAAAAGGAGCTCGGCTATATCGAACTTAACATTCGACATCCGATTACTCACGATCGAGTGGATTCAGATCGAGAAACAAGACGAAATGCTGTACCTATGGTTGTAAGACAATATATAACCGAGCGAGCAACAGAACGGGGTATCGATGCGTCGACTTTGTACGAGGCAGTAAAAACAAGGTATCCTGACATGACGCGGAGCCTCACGACCATGCAGGTATATTACTGGTGGTCGGTAGGATTCCAGTCAATGTACCGCTTGCATGACGACCAAATGATATCAACTCGCCTGCTTCTTCGAAGATACAACAACATTGGTTTTGTGGAGGTATGTGATATGATAATTACTAACCATCAACCTTCTCTTTGCTTTAAAAGCTAGAGACAGATAGAATCAAACGTAGCATATAGAATCTTATACACTTAAATAAATATTAGATGTTTTGGAGACGAGATGATCATGCTGTTGCTGTTGGATTTATCACTCCATTTTTTGAAAAGTTGGCATCATGCCAATACGTTGAAGAGTATTACATCGATTCGACGTTCAAAACCAATCGTGCGGGCTGCGAGTTGTTTGGCATCGTAGCAATGACCAATGGCGTTGGATATCCCATTGGGTATCTGGTCTATACTTCGTTCGAAGGAGCACCAGAACTCACAAGAACCAACACATTGGCAGCATTCTTACGAAGACTAAAAGACTTCGGGCTAAATCCTGGTTTCGTGTTTTCCGACAAAGACAGATCTCAGATCAATGCCGTTCAGCAAGTCTTTGGCGAGAGTTATTTACGACTCTGCATCTGGCATATTGCCAAGAGCATAAGCCAAAAGTTAGGCGAGAATAAATCCACAAGTATTCCAACATACAATCTCCTAGCAGCAAGAACCGAGTTTGGCTTTATTGGTGACGACTTCACCCCATCAATTGGCGGTCGTAGAGGTGTCATATGCAGAAAAGAAGATCGAGATGCTATCATCGATCTCGTAAGAAAGCACTACAACAGACACCCATTGATACCTAATGGTAGTATCCTATACTTACATATTACTAGCGGATTAAACCTGTCGCTGCTTAAGTTCACGCTCTTGCTTAAATGTTATCGCTCTACATTTGTTGTAGGTAATCAATACGAAACTGCCAATGAAATCCACCAGAGTGCTGCCAGAGAGGTTTACGAATACTGCCGCGCCAGGCGATTAATTGACGCTTGGATATATATGTACAAGCATTGGTATACATACAACCAATGGCGTTTGTGGGCGCGTAGCGTTGTTCCAAATCGGATTCCGTATGGCAGAGCCAACAACTTTATCGAAGCACACTGGAAGGTTCTTAAATGTAACTACCTGTACAGACATCCTCGTGCTCGCTTGGATATGCTTGTATACGTTATTTGCGACAAGTACTTTCCAAAAGTAAAAGACAAATTCAATAGCTTGACGGTTGCTGGTAACGAGCCCACCAAATGGGCGTACAACTTTGTTAAACACTGGAATAAGGCGTATCGTACACCAGAGAACATACAGGCAGATCGACTGTACTTACCTTCTATTGAAAATTGGACCTGTGGCTGCCCGGCTTACCTACAAAACCGGTATCTAATCTGCAAGCATCTAGTCCAGCGTTCTAATTACCGACGACTTGCAGCTAGAACATATTTCATCTTGCGACAAACCAGTGTTCCGTTTATTTCGTTTAGACCGGTATATATATATATATATTAAGAAATCGTAGTGTGCTGTAATTTTTTATGTAGAATGATAAATAACTCTTTACTGCTTTTAGTACACCAACAACGTTTTTAGAGACTTGGGATTCGCTAACGACAACGACAATGACAACAGCGATACCACAAATGCCAGCATCATCCACACTACAACTCCTGCTGCTGCTACTATCACTACTATCACCACGACCTCGACCCGCACCTCTGCTACTGCTAATCGCAATATTGCTCCTGTTACTCCTCCTCCTTCCCGACAAAGCATCATCTTTATCAGTGATGATGAATCAACAACAGAAAGCGACCTCCTTTCTCTTCAAACTGCAGTTCTTCCAGATAGGGAGCAAGAATCGCGCAACTTTGAAATAGAGATGCAACGGAGCCGGGAGCGTCGACGACGACTGGTGTTACAACTAGAAGAAGACAGGCGTTTTGATGAAGTTGCTGATTTATACAGAGCTAGCATAAACGAACAGCAACGCAACCGGTTCAATCAGCAACTATCAGGTGGCCACATCGACGAATACCTCAGTGATGTAGCCCAATTACGCCGCAGACGCACGTTGCCCACCACTTACCGCGAAACAAATGCTAACACGCGGCATGCATAACTATGGTTTCCATCTTTTTTTCCGTATACAATCCCACTTTCCATGATCTCTTTCTTAAACCTTTTATTATAGAATATTCTGCTTTTTTCAATTTCTTGTCAAACTTTTCTTAACTTTATTCATCTCTTTTTCTCACCTATATAAAATACCTGTTTTTAAAAAAAACGCGAAAAAAGGTGCATGGTAGTATAGGTATCCCCGGGTAATCATTTTTCCCAAAGGATGCCAGGGAATTTACTCCGGCACTATATTTACCCGAGGCAGATGCCAGGGAAATTTCAGCGGTCCCTATGGCACCTCACTTCACTTTTTGCTAGGGCGGGTGTCGCGTTATTATGGTTTCTTATTATTCAAGTATGCCTCCTCCTGACAAAAGACAAAAACGCGGAAAAGAGCAAGAAAAATCTTCCAAAAGATGGCCGTTTTTAGCAATTAGCTCCACATTGTTTGAAGCACTTCATCCAGACTGTCAAGCGCTATTTCTGTTTGATCAATTGAGCAACCATAATGCTTATGCAGCAAGTGCGAAACTTGTAAGCCGTTTTGGCCGGAAAAATAAAGTCCTCAATGGTATTGAAGAACGCGTCATTTTGCCTGGCTAGTACGTCGGTCCAGAGGAAAATGAACTTACCCAGAGCTTTTACACCCTTGAGATCAAGAAACAGAAGACAAGAAGTGGTGTGAAAGAAGAACGCATTTGGAACCTTGAAGGGCATCAGAACCTATTTGGAAGAGCGTAGCTTGGGACGTTGGAAGGTCTTTGAGGCAATGCTGATCGCACTTGTTGCCCTTACCATATATTAGAGGCATTTGCAGTGTCTCGGTGCACAACACCGCCAAATGGGCTGAAGCCAATTTTGAGAAAGAGGTACTATCGTTTATGAGGCAACTTTTATCTAGGATATAAACATACTCTTGTTGGCTTTTTAGGTTCCTGCGTCGTTCAAGTCTCGCTTAAACGATGTACTGCCAGTTTTGGCAGAACTCTCCTCAGCCTCAAGAAGCAGCTGAGAGAGCAACACGGCATTTGTCCCGGTTGCAGATACGTGGTAATGATACATTTTTTTTGTTGTTTTAAGTTTAAATATAAAACTTTTGAATATGTCTATTCCGGCTCTTCCTTTCTTCCCTACTACATCATATATTTCTTATCATACCTCTTCTTTTTAATTCTGTATCCACACATTTGCGTCCTTCATCAATATTTGGTAGAATCATGCGAAGACCGTAGCATTAGACGGTAACTTCCAGCTCCAATGCTTTGCTCACGTTAAAGATGTAGATGGTATGGAATATAAAGGACAAGATGAGGTCAACAGTATCTGGGTCAACGAAAATGACCTCATTCCTTACAACGAAACGGTAACGTGTTTATTCTTGCTATTATTTTATAGTATAAACTGGCCGCTCCGCTTCGCTGCGTGGCACATCTGTCCTTCAGGAGCCAGTTTTTTTCATAGAAGATAAACTGTTGCAGTAACTTCTATATGTTGTGTCATATACTTTCGCTACCTTGATGAACCTTTACAGTATGGTAGGAAAATTTTTGCATGTATACACAATGAAAGCGCCTGTTATCGAATTGACGGCGGTACAGTTTGAAGTCCTGAACCTTTTACTTGTCATTGATTTGACCGTAGCTTCAGAGCCCTCTTCTTTGTTATCGAATCGACGGCTGGGTATTTTCACGTTGCTTCGTAGTTTTAAAGACTGTGAGTATGAATAATAATTACTTCGAAGTACCGCAGTGCAAATAAGCGCAGAAGATCTTCTTCCTATAAATTGCACCGGAGTAAATACGTGCAGAAAATCTTCTTCCTAACAATAATAACTGCCCCAAGCAAATATATATATATATATATAGCATGAAGAACTGGTTTTGGATCAAAGGTCTTATTACTTCATATATATAGATGTTGAGTGACTATGGTGTGCTATATTCAACGAAAAACATTATCATAAAACATGTGGATGTAGCAATAATAATATAGTACTGTAAAAACATCTTGATATTATATTGTATGATGTTCCTCATTTTATTTTTTGTACTAGTAATAACGAAATATGTGATAACAGCAGTACTAATAATAGTAATACATAAAAGCATTTGATAATATCATATAAAATTGGCTCCAACTCTGTACTGGATGCACTTATTGATATGATACAAAATATTTTCTAGTTATCTCATTGTAGATATTACTACATAGCAGCTGTAAATTGCTTGTCGTGCTCCTACGGTATTGAAGAGCACCTTATCTTCTCTATCACATGCTCCTTTGCTAGATCTTGATCTGTGTTGATGACACATCACTATATCCACACATGTGTTTAATCAAGATGCTCTTTTACTAACTATTTTGCAGCAACAAAAAAAATAATAAAACGATTTAATGCCAAAAAGAAATTATATATAGATTGTGCGAACATGAGTTGGGAAAGGGAGGGAAGAACAAGTCCGAAAAGTGTTTGACGTCAGATGATACAATGGTAATGATGGTATATGAAGCGTATGAAACAAGGTAGGAATATGAATGTGGTAGAGGGTGTAACCTTTGGGGAAGAGCGAGGAGGTGAAGGAAGAGTAGCAGGGTGTATAGTTGTATGGGGAGAAATCACGTTGTTCAGGGCGTCCGTGCCAGCGGCCTAGCCTTTTATGTCATTGCTAGCAGCAGTGCTAGCAGTAGTACTGGTTGTGATGGTAGTATCATCATTAGTAGTGGTAGTGGTATTGCTGTCATTGTCAATACTATTATTTTCTGCCGGTGGTGTTATAGGCTTGCGCCGCCGTCCGATTATTGTCGAATTGTCAATGCTCAACTCAAACAGTTTGTTGGACCTTTTCTGCTGTGTTGCTTTTGCCAGTAATTTGTTGCCTTTTTCTTGTGAAGGCGGTGGTGCCAGTTGTGTGCTGCTGTCTCGGATAGCGAGTGCTTTGTCGAGCTGTGCACGGACCTCTTCCATTTCTTCATCTTGTAACGTACGTTCTCCTCCATTTTGTTGTTGTAAATCTGCCATGTTTTTATTTTGTTGTCGCAGTCGTTGATTCAACATGTCCTCGTCGTTGGTATCCTCCTCATCGTCTGCGTTGAGCGCTTTGGCGAACATGGCACGTGCATTGTCTGTGGACGACAGGTTTTTCTTCCGCCGTGGTTTTTCTTCTGCGATTCGCTGCACTGCATAAGAAACGTCAAACATCTCTTTCATGGATGTAATGCTAGGCGAAAAGATGCGTCGGCCGCTGTTTGGCGGCGGCGGCGCTGGTGCACAGGCGCCAGGAGGTGTTGCAGTGGGTATATTACGTGGGGCTGACGGTGTCATGCTCGCCGCTGCGGGACCTGCGTCGGTTTTCACTTCGTCGTCAGTATCTGTCGTGGTTGTGGTGGTGGACGAATCGGGTGTCTCCTCGTCGTCATCATCATCCCCCGCCTCCTCCTTCACTTCTCTATATGCATGCGTTTGTTTCTCATTTGTGATTGTCTGTTATTGATAGTTGACAAAAAAAGGGAATCAATATGAGCATACATATATCCTTTGCACTTTGTTAATCCATAGTCTAGAGAGAAGAGACTTTACCCTGGGTACATTTTCCTTCATCCATGAATGTTCAAAGAACTGGTCAATGGTATAGCGTTCGTTCGGATCAATGCAAAGCAAGTGCGAAATCAAATCTTTGGCTGCATCTGAAATAGTGTCCCACCAGGGGCTCAGGAACGTGTATTGTCCGCGGGCTACTTTCTCGGTCAGCACCTGGATGCTTTCGTCGTAGAACGGAGGAAAGCCGCAGAGCAGAGTGTACAGGACACAGCCGAGTGCCCACATGTCCACTGACTTTGAGTAACGTTCATCCCGAACAATTTCAGGCGCAGTGTATCCGACCGTTCCGCATGGCGTGCGTGTTGACGAATCCCATACCACCTTGGACAAACCGAAATCGGCAATCTTGACTTGTCCAATGCCGCCGCCTCCATACCCCTCGACGTATTCACCCTCGTCTTCCTTCGGTTCATCGCCATCCACCGGTTGTTGAGGTGGTAAAGGTGACATGCGTTCCATGAATGGAATGGGTTCGAACAACAAATTCTCGGGTTTGATGTCGCTAATGTTGATGAATGGATGATACAAAGTTTACGTCAGTTTCGAGTCAAGGTATGATCGGCCAACACTGACTATCTGGTGCTTAAAGGCTTACCGATGCACTATTCCTTTTTCCTCATGCAGGTATCGAATACCCTCTGCTACTTGCCGTATACAATGACGAGACAAATCCTCGCTGAAATAGGTCAGCCTCACAATGCGATGGAACAGTTCACCGCCTTCGCACATTTCCAAGATGAGAAAGTAGTGCTAGATGGATCGTTGTTGGTTAGCTTGTTACAGTAGGTAGCGTTTTGTGCATGTGTATAATTTGACCGGTGATTCGGTCACGGTACCTCGCTTGTTTCGATAAATCGGTACAGCTTTACAATCGACGGATGATTGATTGTTTGCATTAACTGCACTTCTTTCAAGACACTTGCTTTCTAATACAAAGATACAAACAGAGAATTAAGGAGAAGTTTATTCCCCCGCACTTTCTTTTAGCTATTCTTTTCCCTTTCTTATGCATCGTGCCAATAGTATCGTAGTAATGGCAATATAAGTAATCCAAGGGTATCATTACTTGTGTCTGTGATAATTCTAATTTGCGGACAGCTTTGACGGCCACCACTTTGGCTGTTTCTCTGTCGATAGCTTTGTATACATTGGAGAATGCACCGCTATGGTACACGCATGTGTAGATAGTTTTAGTATACATGTGCATACATACAATAGCCTTGTTTCATCCTCCCTCGCTTTCTTTTAATGCCAGTCTCGTATCTACAAGAGGACAGAAAGAGAGAGCGGGACAGGGTTGCACAAAGGCGAGAAGGTAGAAAAATCAAGACATACTCTCCCAGTTTTTCTAGAAGATTGTAGCCTTCTAAACCGGCATAGTTGAGCCCTTCATTGTTGGCATTGTCAAGGTGTTTGACAGATTCTGCTTTGATTTCGTCGTGCTTGTACTGTTGTTGTTGCTGCTGATTGTTGGCATGGGCTTGTGATGATGACTGTCGCTTCCCAATGCTGGTGAGGTTGTTGCTGCTCCGGCGTAATAGGCTCTTGAGTTGGTCGAACATGGTTGTATATACAGGCCGTATTGTTTCAATAATAACACTGTTCGTTTCTCTGATGGTGCCAACGCGTGCGAGTACGGGAAAGGACAATAGTAGGTATGTACGTTTGCTGTGGTTAGGTTTTTACACGAAAGAAGTACTGTCACAACACACATACAAAAGACGAGTTAGGTTGAGTGACAAGCAAGAAATAAAAGAGTAAAAAACCGAAGCTTCATGTCGACTGTTCCGACTTACACACGTTTCAAAAACAAAGGTTTTAGAAGAAGAGCGGTCGAGACGTGTTGTTACTTATAACGAGATACAAGGAGGAGAAGAGAGGAGGATATGGCGTTTTAAACGGGAAAGAAAGAGAGAAAGAGAAGCCTGTATGAAAGCCGAAGCAAAATAGGATGGCCCTCAAAAAAAAATCAGGGCAACAAATTCCTTCTCCACCAATGAAATCCTCATAAAATAGTGCCCACACACTTCTCCACAAGCTACGACAGTACTACTACCCCACTTCAAATTACCACTCCACCCCCACATTCAGTAACCCCCACCCCCAAACCCCCGCGGAAAAATTGTTGCTTTCAACCAACATGCCTCTCAGGTTTATAGTAGTGATTCATCATTCATTGTTCTTTATCACAAAGCTTCCAAACCTTGCCGCAACCTCTCAAGGACATGCGACGCTTCAGCATACCAAGGACATCCACGCGTGTACTTCCATTTGCGAAGGGTATTCTTGTACGGCAGACCTTGTACATGCATATGTAAGTGGTTGATGGAATTAAATGGAGGCACATGGAAGCCGAAACTACATGTATGGTGCTTTATTTAGAACAAAAAACGAGGTTGCCTGACCGCGGAACCGAGGGGGGGGGGAGGTGGGGTGGGGTGGGGCTCTCGATGGAAAGTGTTTGGTAGAGCCATGCACATCAACACATAGAGAAAGAGAAAGAGAATGCGAACTGCTTACCGGGCCTGGGTATCGTCATCCGGTTTGAACCCTTGATCACTTAGGAGTTTTCTTCCCAAATCCATCATCTTTTCCACTATGGAATATCCAAATTCATCAAAAAACCCGCATAGACACTGGGCGACTACGACTATTTCTTCTTACATAAAGGCACATGGCTATTGTCCAACGCTTTAACCGTAGTAATATGAGCACGGGGTATAATGAGCAGATGAACTTTTGCACCCGGTGAGCGATCGTGAAATGCAATCAAGTGGTCATCCTATTTCCTTCTGCTCGTTATTCGTTTTCCAAAAGCGAAAAACTTTCATACATTGTCCTACCTCATGCACAATTCGGAATCCATTGTCGACCGAGACTTGACAAAATGGACAGGATCTCGGGAAACAACAAAGTACCATCTCTATTTTTTCTGTTGGGTTCCTGAAATTTACAGGCTTTTACAGTCGACGAAAAAAGGTTGAAAATGGGTCAGCCAATGAAAATGGGTCATAATTTGAAAATGGGTCACTAAGACGAAAATGGTTCATTGTTTGAAAATGGGTCACCCAGTACGAAAATGGGTCACCAATACAGAAATGTAATGAGGATTGGCCGAATTCTCTCTTATTTTTCTCTTCTTCAATTCTTTCATATTGCTCAACATGAACGAAGAATACAATCTTGACAGTAAGACAGTACCTGTGATGATACAATCATATATGGACTGGGAAGAAACTGCAGCAGTAAATGCAGCACAAGAAGAAGCTAAGAGGAAGACCAAACCTCACTCCAAGGAGCCCTCCCTTGATGTTGTGAAGAAGGAAAGGGGATCATACATTACCAAGAACGAAGCAAAGGTAGTCAATTTGATCAATTTGTTGCAAGAGTCTGAGAATATGTCTATCAGTGAAGCGGGTAGAAAGGTAGGGCTCTCCAAGTCAACAGCTATTCGTAAAGTCAAGCAGTGGAATCAAATGACAAGCGAAATAGCTGAAAAAGGGTTCCCTGATTCTATCGCAATCAAAGAAGGAAAGGGGCGACCCACAATACTCAAAGACGAACATACTGTATTTATCTTTGAGCTGCTGGCTAATGAGCCAACATTGACAGTTGAAACTGTTACAGACCACCTGTCAAAAGAATTTAGAGATATACAGATCACCCCCAGATCAGCGGAGAATCACATGAAGAAGAAGTGTCGCCTAACCTACAAGCGTATCATTCCTAGATATTATGGCAGGAACAAGGACGGAACTGTTGCCAAAAGACGAGATGCGGTAGCATACTGGGTTAGCCAGAACATAGACTTTATGAATGAATGTGTATTCTTGGATGAAGCTGGCTTTAACAGGAGTATGCATCGCTCATATGGATGGTCTGAGGCTGGAACACATTGCAAAATTAATGTTCAAATGAAGGGAGCAAATGTCAGCATCTTGGGTGCTATTTGTAAAAGTGGTTTAATCACATTATCCAGAAAAGAAGTTGTACTTAGTGCTAGGAGTGGAAAACGAGCTCAAACTGGTGAGAAATCTCAGGCCCCCAAGAGGAAAGGTACTACCAGCAGTGACTTCCTTGAATACATAGAGCAGGTCCTCACGACACTGGATGCGGCTAACATGAGCTACAAATATCTAGTTCTTGACAATGCATCCATTCACAAGGCTGCACTTATTGAAGATTGGGTTGGGTAACGTGGTTATAAACTTCTCTTTTTGCCACCTTATTCTCCTTTTTTAAATCCAATCGAAGAGTTTTGGTCCAAGCTGAAGACTGTTGTAAATAACGATCCTTCTTCTGTCAGGCAGAATGAAAAAATCTCTGACCGTAATCGCAGCGCATCACTTCACATCAGCAGAGAAGATTGCGAAAATTGGATAAAGCATTCTTTGGCCTTCTGGCAGAGATGTTTGAATTGTGAAAAAGGATTATAAGAAACAAAATAAATAGCATACATTACACTTCTTTATTGGTGACCCATTTTTCATTGGCTGACCCATTTTCAAAATCGGTGATCCATTTTCATCCAATTATTTTTTTTAGGTCAACCTTTTTTCGTCGACTGTAATGAGAATAAAGCGCAGTTTAGGTAGTTCGTACCACATTCGGGGACGAGTCGGAACCAACAAGGGTTGGATTAGGTACGACAGCCAATCATTATGTAGCATTTTTGCTGAGCTTGATGAATGAATTGGACAAATTCAAATCAATGAAAGGGGTTTACTTGGTGATGGACAATGCTCCCATCCATGGCAATGAAAAAATTGAAGCGCTCATCAAGGAAAAAGGCTATAACTGCGTCTATCTACCTCCTTACTCCCCTAAACTAAATCCAATTGAACAGTTTTGGGCATTTGTGAAAAACCTGGTCAAAAGAGGCAAGCTCTTGGACAATGAAACTTCAACGCAAAGGATTACCGAAGCATGCCTCCAGGTTACAAAGAAGGACCTTGCTGGTTTCATCAGCCATTATGCAGGTCGCATCGACGATTGCCTCAACGAACTCCTTTTGTAGTTTTATAAATACAAAAAAATGATATTGTGCTAACAGTTCTTGCAACAATTTTGGGATCGGTCACACAACTTGGGACAGGTTAGCGAAAAATGAAATACAGGTTTTTTATAATGTTTGCTTGGTTTATTGTTTTCTGCTTGGATTAGATAATTTGGCCGTTTTCTTCATATTTGATTGGCCAAAAAATTTAAGTGAGTTGACCAACAAGAAGGAATGGAAAGAAGGGAGAGAGAGAGAACGATATTCAACCAAGAGATAACATCATTGGTGAAGAAGTGACATTGTCCAAATCTACACACGTGATTGAGGATGGTCAGTGAAGGAGAATCTTTAGAGAATCTACTGTATTGGAGATGAAAGTTTCCCATCTTGACATGCGCTAACTGTGTCAGGTTCCATCGCCGGAGAAATGGTTCCAAGTACACTTCACTTAGGACGCAGACTGGGTCCACTACCATCTGGGCCGGAGACCAGTGGATTCCTTTGTCATGAGGAAAAGCGTCAGAGTTCAGAAGAAAAAAGAATCATGACCAACTTGTGTTTTTTTTTCAGCATCAGCTGATTTCTGAGTGACTGCTACAAATTCAAGCTCAGTACATTTGTTGTTCATTGGGATCATTGTGCTTCTCACGTTTTTGTTTGCACTTGTCACCAAAATGAATCTCTCATTTCTCATTGATTATGTCAGAAACAAGAAGAATCCAGATTTCAATGAATTTGTGAACAGCAGTCTAGAAAACATTATGGCTGTCTCCTATGGATTCCAAGGCAAGTCCCCGGATCTACTGTTTGCGTAGTGGCGACGAGAATTTGCACTAGAGTTGAACAGGCAAAACAAGGACCCTCACCTCCTCCAAAAGTAAGTACAATGGACGATTGTTATATCACAAAGATACTACTGCTTTTTTATCGTAGGAAGATCGCGTACAATGAACAAAAATGGGTAGAAGTCAAGAATGCTATCACCACCTTGGTATATCTTTTTGTAATAAAGAATGCTTCCTTCAGATTATTAACGTCTTCTGCTACTGTTTATTAGGCACAAACACGCTTATGATACCAAACAGAAGGCTTGAAATCTTTGGCAGATTCTGCCACATCATCACGCCACATCTTGACCTTGACCAATGCACCTGCTGACGAGTCTTCCAACGCATCTATTAACGATGCCACCAGCAGCTCACCTATGGATGATACGACCAATCCACTTGTTGATGATACTGGTCAACATGCTGAAGATACCATCGATGATAACGACGGCTTTCTTTTCCCTGGTGCTGATGACATCTTTAGTGCTGATCATCGAGACTTCCAACTGCACAGACTGACGTACAAAAAGGTAAAAAAAAAGTAAAGAGGTGAGTATTGTTGAACCTCAAAAAAATTCGTAAGTTCTCAACTTATGAAGTGCTTCTTTTTATAGTTCTTTCTCAAAGAAGAAAAAGGTTCTGAATTCTCAACCAAAATTTTAATTTTGGGTATTGCAGAATTCACAGATATTTGTTTTTCCATAATTTTTTTTAATTTTTTGTCTTAGCAAAAACTATTATCAAGAAAAAATAATTATTTTTTCAAAGAAATTAAAAATTAATTAATTAATTTTAATTTCGAAATGATATATCTTTTTAAGAAATTAACTTTAAAGATTTTTATTTATTAACGATGCTCGGTGGTCATGATATGCTCATTCTTATTATTATTATTATTATTATTTCTATGTACCAGATGATTGATGGTCAATCATTGACAGAGAAAGAAATCTTTTTTTTACAAAACTTGAACTATGATGGTAAATCGATCAAAGGGGCTTTACAACAATTTGTTGCCAGCAAGCTTCTATCGGATCATTTGTCATCTAATAAGAAGAAGCCATCAAGTAAGTACTCTATATATGTCATATTTCTTATCTCATGCCTTTTATTTAATAGATTACACCTTTCGGGGATCGTCAACCTCATTCATTCCGATATGTCGAAGGTCATCCTATCGTCCTTGCCCAACCATTTGGAAACCAGACTTGATTACATCCCCAAGACTTCTCAACTGGACCCTGATACTTTGGGGTATATCGAACGAATTCTTGACTTTCACTCAGATGTTGATGGTATTCTCGAATATATTATGGTAACCAGGGCAGTACTGATCAGTGGTCACAAACGAAATACCCAGCAATATACCAACCTGGCCATTATCGAACAAATGGTGAACAACCTATGTCTTTGGTCGGAGAAACGTGATGAAAGTGAAGCAACATTCTACCGGCGGTTAGCTTCGATTCTAGATACCTTGCTGGTGGACTCTGGCGTGATCCTTACTGACGGTGAAACAAGTTTGCAGTCATCGAAGGTGGCTATCGCAATGAACACGGCAATATTCCATACCAGTGATATGTCCCAAGCTTATGGTCGAAAGATTGATATGATCTTGAAATGCTCATCTAATGTCAAGGTGGATATTTCTAGCAACGAATGGAAAAGGGCTATGATTAGCAAATCGATCAAACTTCACCAGCAATCGAAAAATCTATGCTTGAACACATCTAACCTATTCAGCCTCAACACCAAGTTTGGAGTGAAATTCACTGTTGTGATGGACTTTGTGGGAAATTCTGGATACCTGTACCTTCTGTGACTTGTTGATGATGGTCTTGGTCTTGTTGATTATATCGCTGTCGCTCATTTGGTCACTGTTTTAGTCGTGAAGAACAAACAATTACTATAGTTAATAAAGAATACAATAGTTTTATTTTTTTATAGTATAATATTATTGAATAAATATAATTATAAACATTTTATTTTTTATTTTATTATAGAAGAAATATTATTTAAAATATATTATGCTATCATGGTAACTTTTTTTTTCTATTTCTGGGACTTTTAAACAAATATAATACACGGTAATAAATTAGTATTTTTTCCAACATAACAACAAGGAATTTTACTATGTGACTGTCAATTTTAAGTGAAAAAATAAAGATTTCTAAATGTATATAATTTGCTAGCAAATTATAAAATGAATCCTTCTTTATTTTTTTTTATTTGTTGCTAAGTTACATATTTTTAATTCCAAAATTGAATTTTACATATAGTTTAAAATTATTACCCAATATAGGATTTAATTATGGAATCGGACATTGAAACTATGAATGAATATACTAATAAAAATGATGAAAATATAATAAACTTAAAAAATGAATTAAAAGATGAGATTAATAAATTAGTTTTAAATCAATGGTCTTTTTTAAATGAAAACTAGAAAATTATAAATTTTAAATATAAGCATATCACTGGGCTTGCAGGGGAATATCAAGGGGTAGAAAAAAGCTTGATATTATCTTGATATACAGCTTTATTATAAAATATCAAGATGTTTTCAAACACCTTGATATTCAGCTTTTCGAGTAAATATCAAGGTTTTTTTACACCTTGATATTTTTATATGCATATAATCCCCCAAGCTTATGATTTGATTAAATCATACATGTAGATGTCTATAACGGTCTTACCATACATTGCATATGGACCAGGTGCCTTCTGTAGTAGGTTCGTAAAAAGAAGGATTACACATTGCATATTTTCGTTCTTTATATTACACATATAGTAAACGGACAAAGCATGCTATTGGTTTTTATATTAATGCTCTAATATATATATCATTATGGGTGTTCACAACCGTCTTTATTATTATATTTGTATAAAAAATCGAGTACAAGATTATGCTTTATAGAACATTAAAGAACGTCATCAAATGTAAGTCTACATTATGTGATGATTTTAAAAGGAAGGCTGTAGTTGAAAAGAGCTAGTGCAAAGGACAGCGATCCTACTATGGAAAGATGCATGTTGAGTCAATTTATAAGTGAAAACAAAAACAGCGCAGAAGGAGATGTTCATAGACGATTTTGAAGATGACATACCTAAAAGATACATTGAAGATTGTTAGTGAAGAATCCAGAATGCATTATTCACAGGATGAAGGAGTTAAGACCAGCCGCGAAAGGAGAAGTTTGATATATACTAATAGTGTGGAGATAACGAAGCTCGTTATATGTCATAAGAAAAAAGTACTAACAAAGATATACATACCTATGTGGCCTTGATCCTTACTGTCCATATGAGTCAACCATAATAGTAGCACTCCATTTCATCACGTTAGGAAACATTAGCAAAGCATGAATAAGTTCGTAGTGTACATACGGCACGGTGAGAGGAATGGTACATTGTAGTTAGTCAGGGTTATGGATAAATGGTATATATAGTTATAATAAAAAAAGAGAAACTTACACTCTTCTAGCTAGTATATAACATTTGGTAGCGACGGCAGCTTCAAAAGGCATGAAGTACGAACTTTGTTGTAGGAAATGGTATAGTGAAGGCGTGCACTAGTATAGAAATATAGGTCGTAGGAAATGTAAGGAAAGGATAAAAGCCAAGAGGATCACCTTCCAACAGGACCGTAAATAAAAATCGAAGAAGGAGGAGGAAGAGAAAGGGAGTGAATCAAAGAAAAAAACCTTCAAAAAGTACTCATCACATGCATACTCACAAAATCCGATAGAAACATTTGTAACAGATTATGCAAGTAGCACGTCAATTCCACCGACTGACACTTCATCCATCTTTCTGTACACCAACTTTACCTACCACCTTACACCTGAGGTTATGAAGGCATGACGAAGCTGTATCCACTTGGCGTTCCCTTAGTACTGAATATTAAAGCATTGTAGAAAGTAGTGGCCTGTGCAAAAGCCATGACCATAGTGAAAAGTAACAGGCCATGCAGAAAAAAAGGAAGTGTAAGAAATAATGCATGGAAGCAGTCTAAGTATATATGCAGAAAAGAGGATCAACTGAGACAATTGATTACTCCCTCAACGCATTCTATATTGTACAACTTTATTACCATACTTTTACTTTTATGAACCTCATCTTGATTGCAATCGTCAATTACAACAGTATGAAAGATAAACACATTCAATCAGCATCGTAAAACATGTGCTGCCTTGTAATACGCGATGAGAAAGTTTGGTATATATAAAATGCATGCAATAGTTTATCCATGAATTCAATTGGTAATGAATAAGCGCCTTTGACGTTGGATTGGTGCAAGATGGTGCATCAAGTATATACAGAGAAAATGAGAAAGAAGCAGTAATTCTGAATGGGCATATCTCCACTAACGCTATACCTCAAGCACAACCGATAACCTTTTCCTTCCCTTATTCACTTATCCAGCGTTTTTTTAAGCAGCAGTAACGGCGGTCTACTCCTTTATAAATCTTGAGCACATGCTTTTTTAAGAAAACAGTTACCTTCATTTCGTTTTTCAATAAATCCGTAGATTGTGCCGTTTTGTTTTCTTTGTTTTTTGTTCATCGTGAAGAGAGTAAGAGCCATTTACAAGTGTGCGTCGCAGCTGTTAAATTGCCATGGCGACTGGTAATGAGAAAGAAAAAGGATCCCTGCTGCTGCTAACAAACCCCACACTTTCCACCTACCTCAGCCACCAGCCTCCAATTTGTTTCAAACTCAACCCGGGTAAAATGAAATGAGGGGAAACGCTCAGGCCCTGTTCCCACAGCAGCAAAATAGCCTTATGCACAGTGAGTCTCTGATGCACCCTTGCCATTTCCTGTACATTAGCCTACAAGCTTCTTGTCACGAGTTAACCAGCCATACTACTATATCTTGACATTGGCTTTGTACTGCTTAACTTCTATTATGTCTTGACTTGAATTGAAAATCTTAAGTACTCAAATATTCTGCTCTGCTACACTTAATATATTATCTACTTCAACTTTTATCATGTCTTAGTTGACTAAAACAATGTCCAGTTTGACTGTTATTATGTTCAGGTTGTCTATTATTCATGTTTAGATTGATTATTATTATTATCCAGAACTTTTTTTATTCATGTACAGATTGATTTTTATTTTGTCCAGATCGATTTATATTCATGTCCAGGTCAATTTATATTCATGTCCAGATCGTTTTATATTCATGTCCAGGTCGATCTTTATTCATGTCTAGGTCAATTTATATTCATGTCCAGCTCGATTTTCATTCATGTCTAGATCGATTTTCATTCATGTCCAGGTCAATTTATATTCATGTCCAGCTCGATTTTTTTTCATGTCTAGATCGATTTTCATTCATGTCCAACTCGATTTTCATTCATGTCCAGCTTGATTTTCATTCATATCCAGCTCAATTATTATTCATGTCTAGATTAACTTTTATTCATATCCACTCAGATTAACATTCATGTCCACTCTACCCAAAATTAAATCACTTCTGCCTAAATAAAAGTTCAAACGTCCACTAGGAGATGAAAAATCTTGTATTTGATTTTATTAATCTGTTTCATTTCATTATTATAAACAATATCAATTAATCTATTTTCTTATAGAAAATCAAAGTTATCAGTTTTCCATAATTTATGATGTTCTTGTGTAATAATATTAAATGTATTTGAAAAATTTTCTATATTTTTTAATAAAAATACTACTTTGATTTATAAATTTACATATTTAATATCATCTATCTTTAATGTTGAGTTATTATTACTAAATCTTTTAAACTTATTAAATAATTCTTGAAATTGATTTTCTATTTTACTTCTAAAACTTCTAAAGACTTTATTATAATATATTTCTTGTTCATTTAATTTTTCATTTACTTCTTTTCTAATTAGATAGAAAAAGTTATTATCATCTAAATCATATCCTTTATTATTGCATAAATCTTCAAATTGTTTTATAAATAAGGTGTAACCTCCATCAATAGCTACACAATCTTGCTTTAAAGTTTTATTATATAATTTCATATTTAGAAACATCATACCATCATTAACTCTTCCACATAAATCACTATAAGATACATATATTACCATATCATTTATATCTGAAACAACTTGTATTCTAATACCAGAACTTTATAATTTATATAACCACCGTTTTTGTATTGATATATTTGGTTTATCGTAAGAAATAGAGCTATCATGTCTATCTAATAATAGTGTAATATTTTTAAAATTTTTAAGGTTTTTATTTAATGCTGATAAAATTCTTATTTTCATATTTGAGAACATATTTAGTAGATAATAAATAACTTTTTTATTTAACGAATCATAATTTGTAATCCAAAATTTCTTATAAAATGCATAAAAGCTAGTATATGGAATATATTTTTTTATATCTTTACTAGTATATCTAGATGTTAAATGAAATAATAACATTAAACCTTTTTCGATTTCTATATATAGTGATGAGTATTCAATATTTGAATATAAATTATTTAAGAAAAAAAATACACTTGTACTATATAACCTAATTTTTGTAATAAATTTTCTTTTACTTCATCTATAAATTTTATATTTTTTATTTCAGTTCTATCACCGCACGAAAAGTTTAATATCAAGGGCTTTTAAAAGACCTTGATATTTGTATATAAAGAGGCAAGGTGGGCCTCCACAGAAGTTGGGGGTTTTTAGAGATTGGATGCGGTAGTTATGCATGAAGTATTCTGTTTATGTATGTAAATTTACTATATTGGTACAAAAAGTTCCCAGTATATGCAATAGCTGCAAGAACAGAACTTCATATTGGTTACGCAACTACTACATCGGATGAAGCACTCCGAGTGTATGCTTTGGCTACAAAGAGAAGTCTTTTATGAGTTTTCTTTCACATACACCAGTATGCACCATTCGATGTATCTAAAAAATGACAGGTCTCGCACTACCACTGTTCTGCATCATCTTCATAATCCCCCTACAAACCCTTGCATCAAAAGATCATATGTACTTTATATAGTGCTGTCTTACAAACATATACAGAGTAGCCAAAAATACCGCTCTTGTATACATAATTGATATCATGCTGAAACCAATTGGATCTAAAAAAGGATGTTATGATGCATTTTATATATACAAACATTCTCATCGCGTATTACAAGGCAGCACATGTTTTACGATGCTGATTGAATGTGTTTATCTTTCATACTGTTGTAATTGACGATTGCAATCAAGATGAGGTTCATAAAAGTAAAAGTATGGTAATAAAGTTGTACAATATAGAATGCGTTGAGGGAGTAATCAATTGTCTCAGTTGATCCTCTTTTCTGCATATATACTTAGACTGCTTCCATGCATTATTTCTTACACTTCCTTTTTTTCTGCATGGCCTGTTACTTTTCACTATGGTCATGGCTTTTGCACAGGCCACTACTTTCTACAATGCTTTAATATTCAGTACTAAGGGAACGCCAAGTGGATACAGCTTCGTCATGCCTTCATAACCTCAGGTGTAAGGTGGTAGGTAAAGTTGGTGTACAGAAAGATGGATGAAGTGTCAGTCGGTGGAATTGACGTGCTACTTGCATAATCTGTTACAAATGTTTCTATCGGATTTTGTGAGTATGCATGTGATGAGTACTTTTTGAAGGTTTTTTTCTTTGATTCACTCCCTTTCTCTTCCTCCTCCTTCTTCGATTTTTATTTACGGTCCTGTTGGAAGGTGATCCTCTTGGCTTTTATCCTTTCCTTACATTTCCTACGACCTATATTTCTATACTAGTGCACGCCTTCACTATACCATTTCCTACAACAAAGTTCGTACTTCATGCCTTTTGAAGCTGCCGTCGCTACCAAATGTTATATACTAGCTAGAAGAGTGTAAGTTTCTCTTTTTTTATTATAACTATATATACCATTTATCCATAACCCTGACTAACTACAATGTACCATTCCTCTCACCGTGCCGTATGTACACTACGAACTTATTCATGCTTTGCTAATGTTTCCTAACGTGATGAAATGGAGTGCTACTATTATGGTTGACTCATATGGACAGTAAGGATCAAGGCCACATAGGTATGTATATCTTTGTTAGTACTTTTTTCTTATGACATATAACGAGCTTCGTTATCTCCACACTATTAGTATATATCAAACTTCTCCTTTCGCGGCTGGTCTTAACTCCTTCATCCTGTGAATAATGCATTCTGGATTCTTCACTAACAATCTTCAATGTATCTTTTAGGTATGTCATCTTCAAAATCGTCTATGAACATCTCCTTCTGCGCTGTTTTTGTTTTCACTTATAAATTGACTCAACATGCATCTTTCCATAGTAGGATCGCTGTCCTTTGCACTAGCTCTTTTCAACTACAGCCTTCCTTTTAAAATCATCACATAATGTAGACTTACATTTGATGACGTTCTTTAATGTTCTATAAAGCATAATCTTGTACTCGATTTTTTATACAAATACAATAATAAAGACGGTTGTGAACACCCATAATGATATATATATTAGAGCATTAATATAAAAACCAATAGCATGCTTTGTCCGTTTACTATATGTGTAATATAAAGAACGAAAATATGCAATGTGTAATCCTTCTTTTTACGAACCTACTACAGAAGGCACCTGGTCCATATGCAATGTATGGTAAGACCGTTATAGACATCTACATGTATGATTTAATCAAATCATAAGCTTGGGGGATTATATGCATATAAAAATATCAAGGTGTAAAAAAACCTTGATATTTACTCGAAAAGCTGAATATCAAGGTGTTTGAAAACATCTTGATATTTTATAATAAAGCTGTATATCAAGATAATATCAAGCTTTTTTCTACCCCTTGATATTCCCCTGCAAGCCCAGTGATATGCTTATATTTAAAATTTATAATTTTCTAGTTTTCATTTAAAAAAGACCATTGATTTAAAACTAATTTATTAATCTCATCTTTTAATTCATTTTTTAAGTTTATTATATTTTCATCATTTTTATTAGTATATTCATTCATAGTTTCAATGTCCGATTCCATAATTAAATCCTATATTGGGTAATAATTTTAAACTATATGTAAAATTCAATTTTGGAATTAAAAATATGTAACTTAGCAACAAATAAAAAAAAATAAAGAAGGATTCATTTTATAATTTGCTAGCAAATTATATACATTTAGAAATCTTTATTTTTTCACTTAAAATTGACAATTCCTTGTTGTTATGTTGGAAAAAATACTAATTTATTACCGTGTATTATATTTGTTTAAAAGTCCCAGAAATAGAAAAAAAAAGTTACCATGATAGCATAATATATTTTAAATAATATTTCTTCTATAATAAAATAAAAAATAAAATGTTTATAATTATATTTATTCAATAATATTATACTATAAAAAAATAAAACTATTGTATTCTTTATTAACTATAGTAATTGTTTGTTCTTCACGACTAAAACAGTGACCAAATGAGCGACAGCGATATAATCAACAAGACCAAGACCATCATCAACAAGTCACAGAAGGTACAGGTATCCAGAATTTCCCACAAAGTCCATCACAACAGTGAATTTCACTCCAAACTTGGTGTTGAGGCTGAATAGGTTAGATGTGTTCAAGCGTAGATTTTTCGATTGCTGGTGAAGTTTGATCGATTTGCTAATCATAGCCCTTTTCCATTCGTTGCTAGAAATATCCACCTTGACATTAGATGAGCATTTCAAGATCATATCAATCTTTCGACCATAAGCTTGGGACATATCACTGGTATGGAATATTGCCGTGTTCATTGCGATAGCCACCTTCGATGACTGCAAACTTGTTTCACCGTCAGCAAGGATCACGCCAGAGTCCACCAGCAAGGTATCTAGAATCGAAGCTAACCGCCGGTAGAATGTTGCTTCACTTTCATCACGTTTCTCCGACCAAAGACATAGGTTGTTCACCATTTGTTCGATAATGGCCAGGTTGGTATATTGCTGGGTATTTCGTTTGTGACCACTGATCAGTACTGCCCTGGTTACCATAATATATTCGAGAATACCATCAACATCTGAGTGAAAGTCAAGAATTCGTTCGATATACCCCAAAGTATCAGGGTCCAGTTGAGAAGTCTTGGGGATGTAATCAAGTCTGGTTTCCAAATGGTTGGGCAAGGACGATAGGATGACCTTCGACATATCGGAATGAATGAGGTTGACGATCCCCGAAAGGTGTAATCTATTAAATAAAAGGCATGAGATAAGAAATATGACATATATAGAGTACTTACTTGATGGCTTCTTCTTATTAGATGACAAATGATCCGATAGAAGCTTGCTGGCAACAAATTGTTGTAAAGCCCCTTTGATCGATTTACCATCATAGTTCAAGTTTTGTAAAAAAAAGATTTCTTTCTCTGTCAATGATTGACCATCAATCATCTGGTACATAGAAATAATAATAATAATAATAATAAGAATGAGCATATCATAACCACCGAGCATCGTTAATAAATAAAAATCTTTAAAGTTAATTTCTTAAAAAGATATATCATTTCGAAATTAAAATTAATTAATTAATTTTTAATTTCTTTGAAAAAAATAATTATTTTTTCTTGATAATAGTTTTTGCTAAGACAAAAAATTAAAAAAAAAATTATGGAAAAACAAATATCTGTGAATTCTGCAATACCCAAAATTAAAATTTTGGTTGAGAATTCAGAACCTTTTTCTTCTTTGAGAAAGAACTATAAAAAGAAGCACTTCATAAGTTGAGAACTTACGAATTTTTTTGAGGTTCAACAATACTCACCTCTTTACTTTTTTTTTACCTTTTTGTACGTCAGTCTGTGCAGTTGGAAGTCTCGATGATCAGCACTAAAGATGTCATCAGCACCAGGGAAAAGAAAGCCGTCGTTATCATCGATGGTATCTTCAGCATGTTGACCAGTATCATCAACAAGTGGATTGGTCGTATCATCCATAGGTGAGCTGCTGGTGGCATCGTTAATAGATGCGTTGGAAGACTCGTCAGCAGGTGCATTGGTCAAGGTCAAGATGTGGCGTGATGATGTGGCAGAATCTGCTAAAGATTTCAAGCCTTCTGTTTGGTATCATAAGCGTGTTTGTGCCTAATAAACAGTAGCAGAAGACGTTAATAATCTGAAGGAAGCATTCTTTATTACAAAAAGATATACCAAGGTGGTGATAGCATTCTTGACTTCTACCCATTTTTGTTCATTGTACGCGATCTTCCTACGATAAAAAAGCAGTAGTATCTTTGTGATATAACAATCGTCCATTGTACTTACTTTTGGAGGAGGTGAGGGTCCTTGTTTTGCCTGTTCAACTCTAGTGCAAATTCTCGTCGCCACTACGCAAACAGTAGATCCGGGGACTTGCCTTGGAATCCATAGGAGACAGCCATAATGTTTTCTAGACTGCTGTTCACAAATTCATTGAAATCTGGATTCTTCTTGTTTCTGACATAATCAATGAGAAATGAGAGATTCATTTTGGTGACAAGTGCAAACAAAAACGTGAGAAGCACAATGATCCCAATGAACAACAAATGTACTGAGCTTGAATTTGTAGCAGTCACTCAGAAATCAGCTGATGCTGAAAAAAAAACACAAGTTGGTCATGATTCTTTTTTCTTCTGAACTCTGACGCTTTTCCTCATGACAAAGGAATCCACTGGTCTCCGGCCCAGATGGTAGTGGACCCAGTCTGCGTCCTAAGTGAAGTGTACTTGGAACCATTTCTCCGGCGATGGAACCTGACACAGTTAGCGCATGTCAAGATGGGAAACTTTCATCTCCAATACAGTAGATTCTCTAAAGATTCTCCTTCACTGACCATCCTCAATCACGTGTGTAGATTTGGACAATGTCACTTCTTCACCAATGATGTTATCTCTTGGTTGAATATCGTTCTCTCTCTCTCCCTTCTTTCCATTCCTTCTTGTTGGTCAACTCACTTAAATTTTTTGGCCAATCAAATATGAAGAAAACGGCCAAATTATCTAATCCAAGCAGAAAACAATAAACCAAGCAAACATTATAAAAAACCTGTATTTCATTTTTCGCTAACCTGTCCCAAGTTGTGTGACCGATCCCAAAATTGTTGCAAGAACTGTTAGCACAATATCATTTTTTTGTATTTATAAAACTACAAAAGGAGTTCGTTGAGGCAATCGTCGATGCGACCTGCATAATGGCTGATGAAACCAGCAAGGTCCTTCTTTGTAACCTGGAGGCATGCTTCGGTAATCCTTTGCGTTGAAGTTTCATTGTCCAAGAGCTTGCCTCTTTTGACCAGGTTTTTCACAAATGCCCAAAACTGTTCAATTGGATTTAGTTTAGGGGAGTAAGGAGGTAGATAGACGCAGTTATAGCCTTTTTCCTTGATGAGCGCTTCAATTTTTTCATTGCCATGGATGGGAGCATTGTCCATCACCAAGTAAACCCCTTTCATTGATTTGAATTTGTCCAATTCATTCATCAAGCTCAGCAAAAATGCTACATAATGATTGGCTGTCGTACCTAATCCAACCCTTGTTGGTTCCGACTCGTCCCCGAATGTGGTACGAACTACCTAAACTGCGCTTTATTCTCATTACAGTCGACGAAAAAAGGTTGACCTAAAAAAAATAATTGGATGAAAATGGATCACCGATTTTGAAAATGGGTCAGCCAATGAAAAATGGGTCACCAATAAAGAAGTGTAATGTATGCTATTTATTTTGTTTCTTATAATCCTTTTTCACAATTCAAACATCTCTGCCAGAAGGCCAAAGAATGCTTTATCCAATTTTCGCAATCTTCTCTGCTGATGTGAAGTGATGCGCTGCGATTACGGTCAGAGATTTTTTCATTCTGCCTGACAGAAGAAGGATCGTTATTTACAACAGTCTTCAGCTTGGACCAAAACTCTTCGATTGGATTTAAAAAAGGAGAATAAGGTGGCAAAAAGAGAAGTTTATAACCACGTTACCCAACCCAATCTTCAATAAGTGCAGCCTTGTGAATGGATGCATTGTCAAGAACTAGATATTTGTAGCTCATGTTAGCCGCATCCAGTGTCGTGAGGACCTGCTCTATGTATTCAAGGAAGTCACTGCTGGTAGTACCTTTCCTCTTGGGGGCCTGAGATTTCTCACCAGTTTGAGCTCGTTTTCCACTCCTAGCACTAAGTACAACTTCTTTTCTGGATAATGTGATTAAACCACTTTTACAAATAGCACCCAAGATGCTGACATTTGCTCCCTTCATTTGAACATTAATTTTGCAATGTGTTCCAGCCTCAGACCATCCATATGAGCGATGCATACTCCTGTTAAAGCCAGCTTCATCCAAGAATACACATTCATTCATAAAGTCTATGTTCTGGCTAACCCAGTATGCTACCGCATCTCGTCTTTTGGCAACAGTTCCGTCCTTGTTCCTGCCATAATATCTAGGAATGATACGCTTGTAGGTTAGGCGACACTTCTTCTTCATGTAATTCTCCGCTGATCTGGGGGTGATCTGTATATCTCTAAATTCTTTTGACAGGTGGTCTGTAACAGTTTCAACTGTCAATGTTGGCTCATTAGCCAGCAGCTCAAAGATAAATACAGTATGTTCGTCTTTGAGTATTGTGGGTCGCCCCTTTCCTTCTTTGATTGCGATAGAATCAGGGAACCCTTTTTCAGCTATTTCGCTTGTCATTTGATTCCACTGCTTGACTTTACGAATAGCTGTTGACTTGGAGAGCCCTACCTTTCTACCCGCTTCACTGATAGACATATTCTCAGACTCTTGCAACAAATTGATCAAATTGACTACCTTTGCTTCGTTCTTGGTAATGTATGATCCCCTTTCCTTCTTCACAACATCAAGGGAGGGCTCCTTGGAGTGAGGTTTGGTCTTCCTCTTAGCTTCTTCTTGTGCTGCATTTACTGCTGCAGTTTCTTCCCAGTCCATATATGATTGTATCATCACAGGTACTGTCTTACTGTCAAGATTGTATTCTTCGTTCATGTTGAGCAATATGAAAGAATTGAAGAAGAGAAAAATAAGAGAGAATTCGGCCAATCCTCATTACATTTCTGTATTGGTGACCCATTTTCGTACTGGGTGACCCATTTTCAAACAATGAACCATTTTCGTCTCAGTGACCTATTTTCAAATTATGACCCATTTGCATTGGTTGACCCATTTTCATTTCAAACTGGCCAATTATTTTTTTTTAGGCCAACCTTTTTTCGTCGACTGTACTACTATTTTGCTGCTGCTGCTGGTTGTCGCAGTTAGTAAAAGTGGGTAATCTGGGTTGTGTGTCACGACCATGATGCATGGGAGAAAAAAATATGCGACGACGCATAGGTTACCCGTCATTTTTCACGTTACATGATGTTACTGCACCCATAACCTATCACCCATCACCCATCATTCCTTGTCATCACATCACTTACATGTCAAAAAGGTTCAGCCCATATGTATCCGCCTGATCCCGTGTGCTACACAGCAGATCGTGAGTTGCATGAAATACGGATCACATATGAAAAAGTAGCAGCAACAAAACAACTTACAATAACGAATACGGTCGTTCTCGTCGCCATACCTATCCAAATAAGCTATTGTCGCCGGAATGCAGCCTGTTTAATTGCTTAACTCCTGAAATGTACGGAGGTCATTCTACATCTGTACGTTTATTACTAAGCCTGTATGTATGCTATTGTAAATGTAATTGTAATTGACGATCCTACTGGTTAGTACGTATTCCTACAACGGATCCATAAGCAAATTAAGAAGTTGTGCCGTCGTTGTTGTCTCTTTTTCCCTTTTGTTGTGCTGTCCATTCAAAATGTAAATAAACAAATAAACAAACAAATAAACAAACAAAGTTTAAACACGAATCAGATTTGTTGCAAATGGCGTGTACCAGTGTATAGTCGCTTGAAAAGATTTACTATATGTATCGCCTTTTGCTTTCTTCTCAAAGATTTACAACAGACAGTAACAACGGTAACAGCATTCCTAAAAGCATCATTCATCTGTATTGTAAGTGGCACGGACTTTTGAGACATCCCTATTGTTCTGAACTGTCGACTATGTACTACATAATGTACACAGAACTCGTTGGTGTATAAAAGTATTAACCGGAAAAACAACTGGCGACAAACAGTTGCTCTACTTTTTGTTTACACATCTTCGATTTTCATCATCACATGCTTCCGTTGCCTTGTTGTTACTACTTGCTAATTGTTCCTACTTCAGTCTTTCCCCGTGTCACCTTACAATCTGTTGACTCTCAGAGTCTGAATCATCCGTTAGCTCTTCTTGCTTTTTTACCTCATTAATTCCCTTCCTTCTTCTGATGACATCTTCTTATTATAATACATAGCGTGGTTATAGTTCCTGTCCATCCCAGGACCGCAACAGAAACCATAGTCTGGGACTATATTTACCTATATCGATACGGTTATTGCTATATTGTTTTTCTCATTCGGTACTAGAACGATTCGGAACAAGACGTTATTTTACGTATATATTAAGAAGAGCAGACAATGGAGAAAGGAAATTACTGAAATGTACAGCGCTGAGATAGGGAAGGCGTTGTAATTGCCATTGTCATTGTTATAGGAGCACTAATTCCACGGAAGCGGTTGAACAAGGCAATCCACCATTTCTTCTCATGTTAACACAGCATACACTCAAGGGTGTGTATCACATAATTGCACGCATGATGAATGGGCTTAAATATAAGAATCACACCAGTTACATATTTTACATCAAGTTTATGGGGTAAAAAAAAGATGGACCATATCGTTATATTTAATGAGTTCATCAATGCGTTTACAAGTGAAGATCATTTTAAATATCTATGTATGATAATTGCCTCTTCGTGTCAAGTATGATAATAGATATTATATTTAGAGTAAAAGTTTTGTTCAGTGTATTGGTGCACCCTGCTTTGCCTTCGCAGCAGTAATAAATGCGGCATGGGACCAGGTGAGATCTCTGGCGCCTTGCATAATACCAGTATCTCTGTTATATTGCTCAGAGAGGGATCCATTAACGGCAGAATGGTTCTCAATGGTAGCCAAGAATTCGTCAGCAGCGAAGGCTACGTTGGAGACCATGTTGGCAAAATCTTCAGTGCCCGGTGTGTACACAGTGCCGACAGAAGCATCGGAATCAAACTTGCTAAAGAAGCCCAGGTTGACAGAGTTGACACTGATGGATGCTTGTTGTTGCCACTCCAAAATGGCACGGTAGTAGAGCTCAGCATATGTGGCAGTGGCAATGAACCACTAGAGGACATAATTGCATTGTCAGTAATCGAACTACAGCTGAATTGGATTTGCTGCTCTTGTGCACATCATCACTACGAGTAGTAGCGTTACGTAAAGGAACTACTCTTTTTACTTACTGGATTGCCTTGCGAGTTACCATAGCCATCATAAGAATCTTCAGGATATCGGCCAATAGCTGTGCTGAGCCACGATGGTCTGTTTTGATTGAGCGTATACTCACTTATAAAAGAGTTTTCAATAGCGACAGCCGTGGCCAAGATTTCATCAGAGCCAGGAGTATAGAAACCTAAATTACAACCATCAAGGGACAGACATATGTGAGTAAAAATATACACCTTTTTCATGTGAAGTAATCACTTACCATCGTTCATGCTTGCAAGGTTGGCAGCAATCAATGTAGAGACATCCAAGCCGGCCTTTGAAACACCTCCCGAGAACGATTGGGTAACGGTGATGTAGTTGTTGCTAGAGGACCAGAATGATTCGAGTCTGGTCTTGATGGATGAAGCGGTGCTTTCATAACCGCTGACACGCGAGGTGTCGCCATTGCGGGTAGCAAAATTGGCGCCATCGAGAAGAGCCTTGCGCATCACCGACAAGGTGTCTATGTTTCATCATACTAGTGAGCCAAGAGACTTTCCTTTTACATCATATAAAAATGATTATCACAAATAGCTTACACATATGAATGCCATTCACTTCTTCCCAAAGATCGAAGCAAACGTTAGACCAAGTATCAACAACATAATCAAGATCGGTGTAAATGGCTATAAAAAAGATCACAGACCATAATGTGTCAATGATCGTTTGTTATCTATGACAGGAAAACTCCGTGTTGCTGATGGTGAGTAAAGTATAGAAAATTTACATACCTGGCTTCAGCGTGTCAGTAACATAGGAAACATCACCGCCCTGAGCGATATAGCTGTCTGCGATCAAAATCATGGTTGAAGCACGCTCTGCAGGTCCATCATTTTGGGGTCTAATGCATAAATGAATGTGAGTACATTGTTGCAAACAAAAGATTCATCCAACCTTTCAGTGCATATCACATAATACAAAAAATACAGCCTTTTCTGTCCTCTAGTTCCATAATTACTGTACCTTCCCCACGCACCGGTGTAACCGCTTCCATCCTATAATGAATCGTATATTATTAACACTAGTATTGCTACTCTTTTTGTCCTCACTTTTTTATCCTTGCTCTTCAGTATCACTTAGCCCTGTTTTTATAAAATTTCTCTACTTACCACATTGAATTTGGGCTCGCCCAAACAGTCGCAGACGGTATCCACATTCATGGAGCTGATGGAGAACGTAACATAGTCGGTCAAGGCATTTAACAGATTTGTGTCACCAGCTTCGGTTGTGTTGTACATGTATACCATCACGCGTGCAACCATTGCAGCATCTCGCGTCCAAATGTAAAAATAATCTGGGTTACTAGTCGACAAAGAGGCAACGATAGAGCCAGTCACTGCACCTGATGGGTTTACCTGGGAACAAAAAAAGAGAATGTAAGAAAATTCGATTAATTGAATGGCTTGTAATGTATGCTGCACTATACAGAGTATTGTTGACTTACATTCATCATAAGGTTTGGCCAGCTGATATCCAATTGAGCGCTTGCCCATTCGCTGATGGTGGCATTGCCCTCTGGAACACCAGTAGACGTAGGAACAGATGTCGCAGTGGTAGTAGTTGTCGATCCACCATCCGTAGTAGTAGTAGGAGTGCTAGTGGTAGAAGTGGGAGCAGCAGTGGTTGTGGTAGGGGTCGATGTCTCGGTGATATCTGGTACAAACGTAACATATAAAGTTAGCAATAATCCTTCCCGTTGTACGTGCAACCCAATTAGGAGGCAGTATATGTGCAGCTGCTTCATTATGAAGGCTTCAAAGATGTAGCTCATACTCTGCTTACCGTAGTTCTGGCTGTCGTTATTGTCATAATAGATTGATCCAGATACGTCATACTAAAACCCGAAATTGTTCAGACATAGATGTCAAGGTTATCTGAAGTTATATCTTTACTGCAGAGCTCTATTGCTGACGTGCACAATATATATAAAATGGCGATTGGGACTTACTCTCAAATAACTTTGGCTGATACCGGCAGATCCAATCGTGGTTGAAAATTCCCAGTACTCATAGTTGGTGTCTGCGATGGATTCGGAATAACTAGCTGCCACAGAGTTGCCATTGTCGTTCCAGTCATCAGAAGCATCGGACCAGAACACGTTGACTTCTTTGGTGTACGCAATGTTTTGAACCTAGATATCAAAATACAAAGGGAGTTAACGAGTAATCAGAGAGTTTAGTTATTGTGCATCATAGATCCTGCCACTTTATTATTATGGCTTCCATAACTTACGAAAATTCGACCAGCGAATACATTTTCGGAATAAGTATAGGACTCCAACTGAATAGGCACCGAAGGTACATCAACAGCTATTGTACCCGTGACTGCAGTAGCCGCAGCTAAAAGCAGGCTTTTCCAAAGATGAACTGGTCTCATTGTCGAAATCTGTCACTTGCAAAAAAAACTTAGGCGATAAAAGGAATAGGTCTTTTTTTTGGGCATTTATATATGATCTTGACATGACCATTTTCTCGTGGACTTACTAGCAATGAAGTTAACTTTTTTTTTCAGTCCATCTCCCAGATGTACGACTATTTGTTATTCCGTATCCCGCCTATACCGCTTTTCTGTTACAGTGATCATTGTTTTTTACATGTGAAATTAATTAATGCGGGATCTGGTGCATCGTAGCACAGCATAGCATTACCTTTTCTATTTTGTGCTGCTCCACATAATTTCTCCAGTAAGAGGTATCGTAGCCGCCTGTAGTGGCTGGTTGATTGTCGCGCTTCAACTATATACCATGGATAGCTTGAATATGTGTTGTTTTGTAAACTCAGGGATAATGTTAATGTATCCTCAGATGCACCTTTTTTTTCTTGCAATATGTAGCAATGTAGTGCGTGTGTGACACGGCGTACGTGTTAATTATTGTAGCTACATGTATCAATGTGAGAGAATGGTTGAATGAAAACGACGGCCTGGACCGAGGATGTTAATATTTTACATTGCAACAGCAGTCATGATTTCGTCTATACTGCAGCCACAGCAGCAATAAAGTAATTCTTTGTAGGAGAAACTTACTGTGCCAGAGTTATTTTATCCGTGGGAATGAGTTTTAAGAGTTGACGCTGAACCCGTCAATTCCGTTTGTTTGTACCTTCGGCTTACTATAAAGTCGTTGACCAGCAGAAGGGAAGTGTGGTTGATGTGGAATAACGTGTTGTTTTTTTCAGTTGTCCGACTATTGTTTCGCGTTATTAGCACAACATGCCTTTTGATCGTGATCGAATTTTCAATATATTATTTGTCACCCTTCCCTCTTACTACTACGTGAATTATACTTATGCCCCGCGTGGTCTGTATTTCGTTGTACGACACTTCAAGAAGAACTTGAGTGCGCATTTTTCTTGGCGCACAACGAAGGATAAATTTCAATGGGCTTCATGAAGCATAATCAAAAACCCACGATTAATTCTCGTTTCTTCATCAATAAAACATAGATATCGTATAACATTGAGAATCGATCCCTAAAGGTACGGACGTGTTGTATTTGTATATATGGTAAAACTATTCTCGGGTTTGTAGCGAAGTGGATGAATAAAGTGCACCCATCTCTTTGTTTCTTCTGTACATTAGTTATATTGCACTGTACTGTACATTGAGGAGAAAAGACTGAGGATATCGTACATACCAATCATCCGGGTCATGTATATCTGAAAGAAGCGGAATTGATTTGCACGACGCATAATTTTTCTTCGTATATTTTCCAAAAATTATGGATAACCCGCGGCATCTGTGTTTCATCCCATCCATCCGGGGATCGATCGTATGGTACATGCAGCATCGTCAGTAACTGCTTTATCAACAAGGTCTTGACAATACAGTACATAGCTCATTATCCCACATATACATCCTTGTTTTGTGGGTGTTGTCATCATCGTCATCATTCATCTATCCGGCCGGGTTTGTACTACTGTACCTGAATCGCAGTTCAATGCCACTTTCACGCTGTCAGTATATCTATTTTCGCGTCCCTAATTGTGCGAGCGTCTTTCTGAGATGTGAGAAAAATAACATTTTCCTGTCCTTTCTTCCATGGTGTAGCCAGAGGGGGAAAAAGGAAGTTTACAGATACTATATGCCGAGCGAGGTTAATATTTGCTGTCGCATTAATAGTATTACTGTACTAGGTCCGCTTCCTTTCTGTGTTACTAACCTGGAAACGTTTCTTTGTAAAAAGAAAATAGGTCGCGCTATGCTAGATTGGCATATACAACAAAGAAACAGTAGCGCGCTAAAAGAAATTTATACATATACGACATGGTCGTTATGACGATGTCCTTATTGACGGGATTTCTTTTTCTTCATTTAGCCCCTGAAACCAAAGTTCACTTCCGTATCCCGGCGATAATGCGTCTGTTCATGCTAGCAGCCTCCTGTTACCATGGCAGTATAATAATCGCATACACTGCTGTTTATCGCAATCAGTTTTGATGGTTCTATCAACAACTATACATTTCTCCGATGGTACCTCTACTAGGCAGTGAGGAAGGCGTCATTTTTTTTTGAAAAAGGAAAAGCCTTCTGACAGTAGGTACCACTACCCCATATTCTTTCACTGCTTCCACAATTATATGGGTGAAAGTTTAACTTACCAATTGCCATAAAGGAACCAATTTTATTAGCTTCCTTGTTTTGTTACTACTGTAGGCAGCAGTATATACTAATACATCATAATTATTATACATCTCAGTGTTTGTTGTCTGGATCAAGTGTCATCTATTATTAGGTTATACAAAATATTCATTGTGTCTTATGCTGAAAGAATGATGATTTTAACGCACGTCAGCTATACATACATCGCTTCGGTTTGCGTGATCAATAAAGAGTTCGTATATTAACAGTTGCTGATAATAAAGAAAACTTGATACTTTTAAACGGTTTAGCCATTGTGTACAATGCAGGCAACGTTGCCTTCCGACAGCACAGGGGAAAAGGGGCTAAACCTTAGTGCACGCACATTTTCATGGTTTCTTCTTAGATGATGCCGTGGTAGCAAATGTAGAATATCACTAAAAATCGATATGTAGCAATCGCGTTGTACTTTAAGTCCGGCTAATGTATCATAAAGAGCTATTAGCACTATTGCCACCAGTACAGTAGTGTCCCCTGACGAGGATGCTTTCTATATGATCATTTTGATTGTTCGAAAATTGTCATTCAGAAAATCTAATTTCCTCTGTTAGTCGCCGACCCTCCTTACACTCTGTATATGCACTGACAACAGCAGTATATTTATTTATCGCTTCAACATTTCATGAGTAGGTTTTTAAAATAGAAAATTTGAAAAAGTATAAATAAGAGCATCCAAACCACTACTATCCTTTGTTTAACTCATCGAAAATACTCATCTGCAACAACCGCAACTTACAATACTACCTACAATGCTACAAAACAAATTATTAATCATCCGTCACTACTTTGTGCTTTGCGCTTTGTTGGCGTTTTTGGGTGCTTTCTCCATTGCTCAGCAGCAACAACAGCCACCCGCAGCACCAGCAACGACGACGAATAGTACTAGTACTACGACAACGACGACCAAGCAACCTCAAGTTTATTCGGGCTGGGCTACATACCATAACGCGGCTGGCGAAGAAGTTGGCTCTTGTGGCCAACCTGCCAACGACAACGACTATATAGTATCTTTGAGTGCCAAGATGATGTCCCAAGAATACCAGTGTGGCCGAAACGTTACGCTGACGACCGGTCGTAAATCCGTCAACGTGATGGTCACAAGCACCTGCGAAGGTTGTTCTCAATATGACGTTGTTCTTACCCCCGCTGCTTTCAAACGATTGGGTAGCATCGCTCAGGGCCGCATCCCTGTCAAATGGTCTTTTTCTGATTAAAAAACCAGCTACTCATCAGTAAAAACAACCCATCTTATATTGCTTTAGTAGTATCATTATGTTAGAGAGTAGCAGTATCTTGATTCCCTTTTTGCATGTAGCATCCATACGCTTTAGATTGGATTATATATGCTGTTGTTTTACTAAAATAAAACACGTCGTACATACACTTTTTTTTACTTTAATCGTATACTCACATAGCATTCTCTACAATCACAAGTACTGCAGCGCATACAGCCCAAACGATGAGAACAAGATGCTTGTATACTATAGATAACAACAGTAGCTAATATGGATTTGCTAGAGTAGCTATAAATAAACAACAGCCCTGCAGGTGCATTTCGTGGTTAGCCCTCTTGCATATTGCAGTCTTTTTGATTTTCCCTTTTTAAACAAAGTCTAAGGACCCATCCACAGCTAAGCAGTACGGTGCTATTACTATACACGTATTACTTTGCAGCTTATATCATCATACTTCCCTTGGAAGACCTTTGTTCAATCATATCATATTGGAAGAAAAGTAGTGTATATTGTATCTTGCTTTCCTGACGTCTTTAGTATGCCCGATCGAATCTTAGTGATATGTTGTGATGCCAATGATGGTAATGCTGGTGTATCTCATCACCGTTTAGCAAAGTAGTATACCATCTAAATACTAATCCATGTTGTAAGCCAAGGCTGGAAACGCTTGGCGCCCAGGAAACGTTTTGTTTGTGAACGATGATGTAAGTTCGTGTAATGTATAATTTACTGTTGGATGACCGATCATTCACCTCATATGCCCTCTGCAGGGACACGCGCAAATGCGATCTAATCGTATTAGCATCTCCACTTATCCGAAGGTGAATCAGGGCACTGCACACAGTCTGCATGCAAAGCACGCAGAAAGCAAAGTGTTTTTGGCAAGGAATAGTTCCTCTTTGTCCACACGTCCTTCCATTCCCTTCCCTCTCCCCCTTTCTCTCCAATCACCACAATTACCTCTTCTCCTTCGTTTTTTCCTATACATATTTTAAGAATCATATCGACATGCCCTTATATATACCACTTGGAGCTGCCAAGCCATGGGTCGACATATTGCTCCCTCAGCCGATCGTGTTGACGTTCGACCAAATAATACCCTTTTACCTTGTACTCCTCTCCATAGATTATACAATGTTGCGCAAAGAAAGCCTAATACCGTTGACGCCCGTGCAATTTCGTGTCATTTTGGGATTGGTCCATGCCGCAATCCCCTTGTACATTGTGTCAACGAGCGTGGTGGCCAATCTGTTTTTTGCAGCGATTCCCTGGTTTTTTGTGTCGTATGGTGCGTCGCTTCCGTTGGAACGTATCACACTGTGTGAAGCATATCGTGTTTTCATGGCTGTCGTGACCGACCATAAACGTACTATTCCTGTTGCTGCTGTCGGTGGTAATGAAGTGGCTCACCAACAACAGCAGAAGCAACAGCGTGCAGCACAAAATCGGTGGCATGGTGTTATCAAGGTGGCACGTGGTACAAGCAAGTTGATTTTCCTCCATCAATGCATCGAGCCCTGGCTTCCCGCAAACAATGCATACATTCTTTCTTTGCCCTGGTTCGACTGGAGAAGCCTGACACTGACCATGCTGTACGGTACCAAGGGGTATTGCTTTCTTGGCATAGTGGATATTGGAATGGGCTTGGAAGAGCTCGTGCTTGCCGAACCTATGATCGACCTTTTCAATTCGCCTATTATATCATCAAGTCCAAGGGATTTCTGGAGGTGAGAAAACGGATAATAATACATGGGGAAAAATGAGAAGAGTCCGGGTCTCAACTATTTTATATTATTGCAAACGATTTTTATAGTCGAAGATGGAACAGGGCAGTTAGAAACCTTCTTCATCGTATCGTTTTCATGCGAGGCAAGAATGATGGTTGCACCAGCGTGATGGATGGCAAGAAAAAGAAAAAACAACATGATATGAAGAAGAAGGACAGCAATAATACATTATTAGCAGTGGGTTCAAGAAACATAATGGGTTTCATGGCTTTTGTCGTAAGCGGTGTCTTCCACGAGCTTATAATTGCTTCCATGTTCAGAAGATTCACGCTCGAAAATCTCGTCTTTTTCACGTTGCATGGCGTTGCGGTCTGGATACAACTAACCGTGCGCGACTGGGCGAAATGGTCAAAGGATGAACCACACGGCGCATCAAGGCTCATCTGCGTTGCCCTTCATTTGATGTTTCTTGCGGTAACAGGACGTTTCTTCCTTGCACCCTACTTGCGATATTACTGCTCGGGTTGCTCGCCTATTGATCTTTATAAAAACAGTACAACATATTAACTATATCAGCATGCAGACATAGCTCTTCAGTAGCGCTATTGTATGATACTAGATCGCATATGCATAATAAGCACACATGGCTCATAATAGAAAAATAGTCTTTTTTAATTACTGTAATAATCTAATACAAACGAGTACGTGAGGGTCGATGATGTGTAACGAACAATTAGCCTACTACGTTTTAGCGTCGTTGGATCCGGTGTCGAGCAACTATTTGAATGATCTGGGCATGACGATCGCTGCTATTGATGCTGCTGCTGTAAGGGATCTGGTGAATGCACATTCGCCATTGTACAGAGCCATTGTATCATTCTAGCACCCTTCATCTCAATTCTCCACCAAGTGCAGCCCGTTAACAACGAAGAGAAAGATAGAATGCGACATGCAGACGCATAGAGAGCAATTCTAAAGGGGCTCACTTCTAGTAATGATATGTTGCGGTATACTGCACACTCATTTCTCTTCCTTTGTTGGACTTAACATAAATGTAACGCTCCGGCTTTGGACTTACTATCACAGTGAGCATACTCGCCACGCATAGTCTTTTTTGCTCTCTCAAAGTGTACAATTTCAATATGAATATTTTTTGGTTTTCAGAAAACATAGCCACTGATGATGCCGCGAGAATAAGCATTCTTACCGAGCAACTGTTAGTTTGATACATAAACCATCACAATTGATTAGAATTTCATGTAATGCGTCTTTCCCGATAATATATACAGTATGTACCTGCTATATTGTGTATGTAATTGAACCTCTTGGAGAAACATACACCGACGTAGCGAAGGTTTAACAGGTAAATCATATCTGGGAACTGTGCCCGTTTTGTGTTCAGCTAACTTCTATTTATTGAACCGGTGGTTGTTGTTCGTATATAAACTAGGATAGACAAGAATCTTTTTTATTATCATAACTCCCAATTTCAGAGTATATCTAACGTCATATAGTAACATTTATGGACAGCTGTATTTATACTTTTTTGGTATGTTATAATGAATGTTTTTATTTCAACATCAAAGAAAGGTCAGCTGTCATACTAAAACAAAAATTGGGCGTACAAATAACGTATGTTACATATTGTCGAAAACAAACACGGTGGATCTTGAAGATAGATCCAGTTATCGACTCAGTTTGACTGGAGGAGACTATCGCCCCGTTTGGCTTATCCGTGTTTTTGATTGGCAAAAAGTGCCAGTTCCATGTTGCAGTGAAATCACACACACACACACACAAAGAAGCATTTCTTTATAAACAGATGAGTAAAAACGCATGTATATAGACTGATATGTAATTGAGTAATTGTAGATGCAAGATACTCAAAAGGTGTTCGCTTCTGCTTCATTTCCCAGCCGCAAACATTTATGCATATGGCTTTGCATCATAAGGTAATTCGTCGAAACCTTCAGCAATTTTGTCCATTAACCTGTCACATCATCATCACCATCCATGTCAGCTTTGCTAACCATATCATACTACATATCCGTATTTCCAATAGCACCGGCAACCCGACATCCTTCAAATGTCGATTAATGCTGGTAATGATGAGTACCAGTGGTCTCCTGGCACTAGCTCTAAACCACTTAAATGCTGTCGAAACTGTCTTCGAGCTCTTACATGAATATAACGCAGGTTTTGGCGATGAATCTGTCATCCGGCATCGACAGAGCACGTTATGGCACTGCAATGGGACGCGACAAACTAGCCTCTCACTAGTTTACTCGTCGCAAGGGTATTCTAGTAGATGAAGTGATACAAAGAAGATTGCTCTACAGTAATGCTTTACGTGTTTGTTACTGCTGTTACTACTACTAGTATCAATCCATCATTCTGTCAATATTATTCTCATACATACAATTCTTTCTTACTACAACCATTCTTCATACTTTATTGATGATGGTCTGACTAAACTATTGAAGAAGAACGAGTTTTCTTGAGTATATGATAAAGCTGGTTGAATGATTACAAAGTGAACCTTTTGTTACCAAGTGGCTATATGTACTATACAACTATGTTACATTTTGTGTGCATGCACTTTGTAAACTTTAGTATATATTCAAGCTTATTCACATTTACTTATACTGTAGAATTTTAATTGACTAATATTAACAGTAAATTATAATATATAAAAAACAAAAACTTTGGTTTTTTTGATTTTTATAATTTTATAATTTTAAACTGTTTCAAAAATATTGTTTTAACTTTGGATCCAAAATATTTAAATCCTTTAAATATTATTTATTAAAATGATTAAACCCGGTGGAACGGTAGTGAGCAAACCCTCCTTCTCATGAGGAGCTTGCCGACGAAATATAGCTTGATTATGATATATAGAGGTGGAAGGTTACTGGGGGTGTGCAAGCCTTTCACGTACAGGAATATTAAAGCTAACAACTTTAGTTGTTATAGTTTAATATCCTATGCTGCTGTATAAACTCGTTTTTAGTGCGCTAAGCTATGCTACCAGCATTTCTTAATGAGGGCGACTATAAAGTATCTGCTTCATGCAGTTCACATGGATATTTTAGCTTTTGGTGATAGGCTGATAACAGTAAATAAAGCTGACACATTAGGTCAGGCTAATACGATGGGAGATATAGTAGGAAGGGGGGGATGGGTGTTGTATGGGTGTTGTGATTTTTTTACTCAAGCTCAGGTTGAAGGAAATTAAATAACGCTATGATGGGTTTGGGGAGAGTTTTATTTTGTTTAAGCATCAATAAATGCAAAATACATGAACGTGCTGACATCCTAGTTTGTACATAGACACTTGACAGTCTAGACATTACACTTTCCACCTAGAATTCCATAAGTACAAAGCATTTTACAAGATTAGAAAGATACATAGTGTTTATCATTATACTGACATGTAACTTAAAGTGAGAAGTCGGTGCCTATGTTTAGTACTGCAAACAAGGCCGAACTCTATCCAAATGATAACAACATAATCGACTTCAAGATTGATGCACGTGTGGTTGTGGATGTTGATGACGACGAGCATGATATTGTATCGATGGAAGTAGCAAAGAACGATTAAGATGGAAATGTGATAAAAGACAGCAGAAAATTATTATGTGAAGTCAAGGATGATCTTGTCAATTTACTGAAGCTTTTAACAAAGTAGTACTATCTCAAGGATGTTTTCTTATTGTCGTTTTTTAAAACCTCTGGTAAGGATACTTCACTATCAAACTGGTTCAGAAGATGTTTGCTTGCTAACACATACACACACAAATACACACACACACATATATATATATTTGATTTGGTTGGCTGGTGGATGAACAGGAGCAAACTGCCTCTGAGGAGCAATCCTTATTATAGATGAAATTTATATATGTTTAACTTTGTAAGATTTATAGTTTAAAATTTATATGGAAATTTGCTTAGCTTTTTATCGATATGTTTTTAATGAATAATCTTTTAAGGAAAATCAGAAAAAAGTTTTATCTTTTTAATATTTTGTACTTGAAGAAAAAATTACAAAATTATCTATTTAGTAGAGTAATCTATCATTAACTTCTCAAAGAATTAAGAAAAAATACAGTATATCAATGTTGTATATTTGGAATGAAAAATCTTTTAATGATTGAAACCTTCAAAGACCAATAAATATAACATTCAATTAAAGCGGAATGGTAATAAGGATCTTAAGTTACGGTAGTAGTAACATGCCCTATCCTCTATCTTTGTAAGTAAGTTATACCCCCAATAACTTATGAAGTGCTTTTTTTAATGAATTTTTCTAAAGAAAAAAAAATCGGAATTCTTAATAAAAATGAAGTTTTTATCTTTACAGAATTCACACTGATATAACTTTATAGACAAATCTTTTATCTTCGATTCTCTATATAATCTATCATTAATGATTATTATTCTTCATATATCCACGAATCATCTTCCTAGTGACAGCCTTTACGTAGACAATCCCTAACACAGTTTCATATGCCGATGTCTGCATCAACTGAATCATTACTGAATCATTACTCGAATTCTGCAGAACGTTTGAATTTTTACTTTCAGTTAAGGTTAGTATGTGATGACTGGCAAAAAGTCAATAATAAGTCGACATAAGCTTTTGTTTGTTCTAACACTTCCCTTTATTTTTCAATTCTTTATATCAGAATCATATTACGCAATTAGCAGCACATATTCTCAAATATTATACGAAGCGAAACGACATCAGCTGAAACGTTAGAGAATTTAGAAAGGAGAAAACGAGCAATGATGATACTGATTTATGGACTTGCGACATTTGGTACACCCCGCATCGTGATCATGGAAGATTTTCTGCATTACTGGCTCAATTATTTAGATTGCATCGCCCGAAGCCACTTTTGGAAAAATTGCTCTTACTCGTCGATGATCAAGAAGATGATGATGATAAAGAACCTGTACGAAGCCCAACTGAAGAAGTAGATGAATTTGGATAGCAAAAAGTAGATGCTGGATGGTTCAACTTGCATACAGGAGAAACAACCGAAACACATCCCTTACATTATATTGAATAAAGATACATGGCTGCTGGCAAGTCATGATTATTGATTATCACCCGTCTTTTTTCGTATATAATGAAGTTCACCAGGTTTAATGGAAATCAATATCCATTAAGTGCGCCACCACATTATTATTTTACTTATATATCTCTACTTAGTATTTTTCGTTTTTGGCTGTAACTAATTGTCTGCAAAAGTAACGTGGTTTTTCATTTCTTCGATTATGGAAACAGCACGAAGTGTTTGAAGCTTGGTTTTAACGGTCCATGCTTAACGAGGTAATCTTTGTACTGGACAGTAGCTTTAATGCACAAACTTGCAATTGTATTTTCTCTTTGCGGTTTTAACTATAATTTAGTAAGTGAAAGCAAACAATGCTTATCTCCATGAACGGTTTTTTCTCTAAGAAAATGAGGACCAAAGGTTATAAGAAGCATATTGCAAACATCACCGTGAACTTTTCGCAGCACCAGAACAATTCCTGCTACTCTGGGACATCCAACAAATGTCTAGCAATGTATGTAAAGTTGTTCGTGACATTGAAGTTCATCTTTGTCACCATGTAACTTTATTAACGCTTTTTTTTGCTCTCGCTGTCGTAGAAATTGTTCAGTATACCAATCTCGGTTTCGTCACGATGTGAATCTTATCCGTTTATGACCTCCGTGGACATGGCCAGTGCCCAGCGCGTAAAACCGAGAAAAACCTGGATAGACGATTTGGAGCTACTAGGAGTGGGAAGTAAATAGTTTATGGTTCTCATGAATTGTAGGCTTATTTGCGTTGGTCATGTGATTTGAATCTATTGCTATTGTTATCACAGTAAGTTTATCAACTAATGATTCTTCATGTTCGTTTTAGACGTACTAATACTTTTATGCAATAGTGTCTTTGCGTGCTTGTGTATATGGGCAGCTACCAATGTGTGGAACTGGTCAATCCCATGGTGTTGGATGAGGATGAAACTATGAAAAATTTATGTTTTGTAAGGTTGTTTGGTACACAATAGCAGCAAAGTATAGACAAGTATTCGACTATCTAACCGCCACGTGCATTTTGTAACTCTGCCAATTTTTAAAAATACACTGCTATCGTTGTATTCACTTTCTGCCAATCACGGAAAACACATCATCATTATAAAAAATTCCCCAACGCCAAAAAATACAGTATGTTGAGCGCGGGCACCTTGTCCGTTAATACCCAGCACGACAAGTCTAAGAATAACTCTGAAGTCACAATAGACAATATCCAGCGTAGCAAATGCTGATGTCAGTGACTGACTACTGGAGAACAAGACTTTCAAAAGCCATCTCATCGATCTCGCCTTTTAGGTAATCGTATATCTACTGTATTTGGTAAAGTTACGAAGTCACCGACAAGTGCCTTGATTCGCATACTGTGACCAGGAACACAGAAAACCCATCACCAACTTAACAAATACGTCAAAAGCAAGCCAAGAAAAGATCAGGCGGGTGAGGTTCGCATTATGAACACACAAGGAAGAGAATAAGAAAAAGAGCATCATGGAATACGTGTATGTATGGATTACCACATTCGGATGATAAGTTTTTGGCGCATGTGAAAGGAGAGAAGGAAGGAAGGAGATTGTTCGTTCGGGCAGCCCGCGCGCATTGCGTGTGACCGGGTTGCAGCTGCTGGCATATCTACACCTCATTTCCTTTCCCCACCCCCTCCTTTTTTTCCTTCCTTTTTACCTTTATACTTAACCACTCCCCACTCTCTATTTACTACATTATGTCTGTTTACAGCTTGGAAGACGTCAGCAAGCACCAGTCTAAGGACGATCTGTGGATGGTCATCCACAACAAAGTTTACAACGTCACTGCCTTTGTTCAAGAGGTAAGTTAGGAACTAGTTGTACCTGGACTGTCTTAAATCTGATCAAACGCGGTTTTTACTATATAGCATCCCGGTGGTAACTTTCTCTTTTTCTTTTAAAAAAAAAAGATCTAACTATAAGCACGAAAATATATATAACGATCTATTCTTCTAAAATTTACTAGGCGAGGATGTTTTGCTCGATGAGTCAGGTAAATCAGAATGGGACTTTGGATGGAGGAATGGTTTAAATGAGGAGAGAGAGAGAGAGAGAGGAAGCGACGTTATCTCTTGCCGCCATCATAAGAGGGGTAAAAAAACTCACAAGTGGAAATGTCTCAATAGGCAAGGACGCTACCGAGGCCTTTGAAGATATCGGTCATTCCGATGAAGCCCGTGAAATCTTGGAAAAGTACCTCGTTGGCGAGTTGGACGAAAAGGTAGAATGTTTTCTATTGATGTATATTTTTGTGTGGGGTAATCGCTCACAAAAATGACATTAAAAATGACTAAAAAAATCTTTGTATTACCGCTGCTTCTTCTATCCTTAGTCGCGTACCCCAGAAAAGACCTACAGCTCTATTCGTGCCGGTGAGCTTCCGGAAGAAAAGAAGAGTGGCTCGTAAGTGTTTTTCTCCCGGCAAATGAACAAAAGAGAGGAATCAATATCGGTGAGGAAGAAGGAATCGTCCAGTGATTGATATCTTGATTTAGGTTCATGCGTGTTCTTGTTCCTGCCATTGCCGTAGCCGGTATTCTAATTTACAAGTTTGTGCTTGCTCCCCAAAAGCACTAAAATCCGCTCTCTCTCTCTCTTTCACCATACCATCCCTATACACATTGAAATATATTCATATATTTAGATTGACATTTGTGATAAGAAGCATTATTGTACATGGACTATCTATGTGCTTCCATTGTGGGTTATCTGGAAGGCGGTGAAGGATGGTCTCTCAAGTGAGAGGTACTATGAAGCTGGATGATCTCATCGTAATCGTCATCGTCGTCATCATCGGCTCCACTTTCCCGTTGTGGCGAGTGTATCCGTGGTGATAGCAGGAATTGTGCATCGTCGTCACCGTTGCTGCCATAAAACGTCTGTCTTTTTTTGCTACGATTGCGTAAGAAACCAACGATGCCAAAACACAACAACGACCCGGCTGCAAAGCCGATGCTTGCAAAGAACCCGGTCGCTACATACATACAACAATGTTCTTCAATACCCAGCATTCCGTGTGAGCAACTAACTATCCATGCTGTGTGCATATATTCTTACAGTAGTGCGGTGCATCTGCATGTTATGATATTGTGCGAGTAACGTTAGTGAAACAAATTTAGAAACAATTTCTAGAAAAGATAGCAAAGTGGTTTACCTGTCACTGGCCACAAAACAAGCGGTGCCCAAGTGTACATGGACGAGGAAGAAGTATTCATGATCGCAATTGCCATGGCTCTAAGCTCTATCGTTTCTTGCATGATCTCACTTGCCCAAGTCATTGCAACCTACGTTTACACAGAAGGATGACGATGTTTGTAAGTATCAGACAAGTTTGATGTGGTGCGGTTATCCTTTCTTTCCATTTTCTTTTCGTACAGGAGCAGCTGCAGCGAGACCCGCATGCATAACAATAAATGCAACGTAAAACAGGCCAAATGGCTGAACAAAAGCCGCCAGCAAACTATTGAAATATACTGTTAATATGGAATAGCGTGAGTTGCTCGATATTTAAACCGATAGATACCTGAAACCTATCACAGAAAGACCAAGTGCTGGAAGAATACACCATAGGCGTGTCCGTAAATAGTCGCTGAGGTAGCCATTCCCAAGTCCAACAAGCATACTGACTAACATATCAGGCTGTATATAAAGTTTTCATCGAAGATAATTCTCCTGAGCGTTGGTATATTTGATACAGAAACTTTCGTTTATATACTTGACTCTTTCCCCGTACTCCTCTTTTATCACATAAAAATCCCATCCATTTAAAGTGTTCCTTACGGATGTAAAAAGATTCGCAGTTATTGCGTCGTAACCGACTCGTTTTGCGACAATACCAAGTACGTGGGCACCGCCCATCCCGAGATATAACGTGGTCCAGCCAACTACCAGAAAATAAATATACTTGTTGCGAAGCAAGCTACGTAAAACTTGTCGTGGTTTTGCAGTGCTTTGTTTTGTCTCCCTGCCTTCACGATCTAACCGTAATGCTGCAAGCTCTCTTTCCTTGGAATCGTCAGCATATACATCATCACAAATATCTGCATGATAATAATAGCAATAATGCTGATGGTCTACCTTTGGACTTAGCCAAGCTGTTGTGGATGGATAATCCGGCAAGCACTTGTATCCAAAATATGCCAGAGCGAATGTGATTGTTCCGTCAAATAGGAACAACCATCGCCAACTACAAAAGTAATATCAGCATGGATGATACAGCAGCGATTAACATTTAATAAATTGTCTCTTTTGTCCACTGCTTATAGCAGATACTATTACTAGGGGTACCTACGCGCTTATCCCAAGGACACCATCGGCAACTTTCAACAGAAACGCTTGAATCAGTCCTGAAAGCGCGCTCCCGAGCGAGCCAAAAATTGTGATCCAAGCATTCCGCTTCCCCAGCTCTTTGCGAGGATACCATGTGCCAACTAGAAAATAGATGCCTGGCAAAAATCCAGCTTCGAACGCGCCCAAAAGTAGCCGTAAAATGTATATGGCAGTGACAGATTGGACACATGCCATGCTCAGTGTCAGTATACACCATATAATTTCCAGAAACGGAAGATACCTCGATGGACGGAAGCGGGTTAGCATCATATTGGATGGGATCTGCATCCTACATTGAGCAAATCGTTGTTATTGTATATCCTTCCTCGTCCCCGCTACTAGGTCTTTTTTCCCCCTCGCCATCATCGTATAAGAGAGAAATATGCAAAAACGTACAGTAGATAGCCGATCATATATAGTACGGTCATCCAATTGTATTGCTTGCCTTCAATCGAGAGGTCTTCTTCCATACCACTGATATACGCGTTAGCTAAATAGATATTAGAATTGCAATAGTCAGTATGGCAATTTGCTTTGTCAATTAACTTTTATACCCTTGGTTGTTGATATGACACGTTACAAATATTTGTATTATCCATAGTTTTAATCAAATTTCCTAGCATAGCAAACGCAAGCAGTCGTCGGTCAAGGCGACGTACGAGCGCTTTTTCCTCCTCTTCTGTACTGTATGTATAGTAAAGTCGACTTGTTTCAAGTTCATGTTGTAACTCATTGCCAATGGCGTCGTCGTCGACATGGAAGGACGAGGAGTCTGAGAGACGCGATGTCCATACATTGTCGTCACGTTCCTGGTCATTTTTATATGGCAAGAGTGGTGTTTGCGCAACATTGTCTTTTGCCATTCCAGGAACAACAAGTTAATAATCAAGAGGAAGGTACAATAGAAAAATGACCCGTGGACTTTTATGCATACCCTTGTCCTCCCGCCCTTTTTTGCGTCGGGGAGAAAGATGGCCGTTGGTGGCACAAAACGATGAATGGAATTTCGGCATAATGTAGCGTGTGGTAGCCTATTGCATTCCATCATAACGAGCATCATTGGGTACTCATAGCAACAGATAGTAGATCAAACAGGCTGACTTTTTGTTAGATAGTGATAATAATAGGGATCGCATTGTTAAGAATATGTATGTGTATAAATGTGTGCGCGTCGTGGTTGTTCGTGTTTGTTGAGCGGACAAAACACAGGAGAAAATGTCTTGATTGAAAATAGTAAGGATTGAAGAGGTTGGGGGGAAAGGTGCGGCATGCGCGTGTAATGCGATAGTGGGAAGGGAACAAGGAGGATGGAAGAAAGAAGTCCTTCTTGAGAAAGAGCGATAAAAAGGGAGGTAGAAGAAGAAGAAGAAGAGGAAAGAAAGATGGTAAGTGTTGTATTGATTGGAGACGCTGTTGTGTGCTTGTTGTGAACGACTGAATAAGTAGGGGAGAGAGAGAGAGGGATAAGGAAGGTAAAAGAGTGGTATAAAATATACATATAGATTATATATATATATCATGCGGGTAAAGAAAAGAAAAAAAAAGAAGAGGAAGAACGAAGTATTAGGGATGCTGAAAGAAAAGAAAAGAAAAGAAAGGGAGATAGAATATGATGGGGTTGCTTATTGCTGCTGCTACTGCTACTGCTACTGATACTGATACTGATACTACTAGCTATTGCTGGGGCAAGGAAGAAGGAAAGCCGGAGGAGGAGAATGGGAGATCCGAAAGCGTGTTGTCCAAGACCATGGTAACGTCGTCTACAAGCGTCAAGTCTTCCAAGAAGGCCACCAAGTCTGTAAGTTCCGTATCATGCGGGTCATTGAACCACGTGGATACTGGTACTGCGTTCGCATTGTGGAAAATGTAGCTTGCTGGCGAATTGTCAAGAATCATTGTGTCTGTGAGATCACGTCCCAGATGCGACAGATCCTATTTACTTGCATATTAGATGGACCAGATCTTCCAACTATTCAGCTAGTACTAGGTTTTTCTTTTACCTTGACGTAGTTGCCTTTATGATTACAGCAGGCTTCTCTAAACAGCCTGTGCTTGACCACCTTGTGGATGTCAAGCTTATCTAAAACAGGATCCGCGTACTAGTGATTATACGATACTCGTGAGTTACAAGCTTCTTTCCTCTTCTTCCCCTTCCTCTCTATCTTCCTAGCTGTAATGTTGTGATTCCGCGAAATCATACCTTGGAAAGACTTGCTGTAAACACAACAATTTCATACTTTTCACCCATTTTCCGCATAAACTCATCCACGCCCGGCCGCTTGAGCACATATACATTATGGTATTGATTGTCGATTTCCACGGGCACGATGAAATCAGGATGGGGTATTATCTAGAGCAACGTCATGTTTTCAACTTAGCAAACCTTTTTTTCTTTTCTTTTCTTTTCAGTGTGCCTAACAGCCAACAACCTAGACGAGCCACACGCTTAAATTATGAAAGGGTACTTACTTTGAAAGAACTATGCACCAATGTTTCATCCAAATCAAGTACCAAACATTTCCGTCCAACATGCTCTGCTGCTACAGGTGGTAATAAACGAATCATCTGACCCTAGTTAAAACAGATCCAAGTGGGGGGAAAAAAAGCATGAATATACACAGTCTTAGGCCCTTGCCTTTTGTTCTTTTTTAAATGGAAAGAGAGAGATAGAGATAAAGAGAAAGAGCAAAGTTTAGAACTGACTTACATCTGGCGAAGGTTGAGGAACAGAATTGGGTGTCGTGGACATATCAAGTGGATCATCAACTTGTTGTTGCTGTTGCTGCTTCAACTTGACTGGATCAGTTGTGATACTCAACCCTTCAGGTTCGTTTTCGTCTGCTGTGATAGCGATACTGTTTTCTTCCTTGATTGCTTGTTGTTGTAGCTGTTGTCGTGCTTGCTGTTGTTCTTTTTTTCGACGCCGTATAATCGAAGAAGACTTGTCTGTGTTGTCGAGAAGCGATCCGGCACCTGCTGCACAGCAGAAGAGCAATGACAAGAATCCACTGCTTTTCGATCCGATTGATGCTCTCAACGAACCTGCCCTAGAATGTGGGCGACTGGCGGTACCTGATGCTGGTGGAGGTGATTTGACATATTCGGGATTAATCGGTTTTTTGGCTATTTGTTAATAAAAAAGTTACTTGACACAGGTACATGATGTGTGTGGGGGAGGGGTTGCTTTCCCAATCATCCCAACAAGCTCGTGATTTTTTACAAGCACTTTCCATTGACTTTTGTTTGGAAAATTGTGGTTATATCCATGTATAAGGCAGAAAAGAAAAAGAAAAAAAAAGGCTTGGTACGTACAATTACTCTTTTTATTATTATGACTTGTGCTGCCACTTTTGTTCGTATTTGCGTCTTGGGGTGCTACCTGAGCCAGTGTAGCTGATTTGTCTCCTGTCGGGACAGTCTCGGTCTGCGACATTTGAGGTTTTCTTGTATATATGTTATGATACTGAGTGCGTCAAGGTGAAGGAGAAGAAGAAACAGGGGATTTTCTTTTCTTTTGAAAACAAGAGTGTGAATTGAAAAAGCAAAAGAAGAAAGGGAAGGAAAAGCACGCGTGTGTATATGTGTCGTATGTGGTGTGTGTGCTGTATATTAGAAGAGAGAGGAGAGAGAGAGAGAAAGAGGAAAGCTCTATTACTCGAAAAAAAAGAGAGGGAAAGCCTGGCTTCTAATTCAGCTCGTGTATGGTGGGACCTGAACCTGAACCTTTTCTTTTTTTTTAATTTCTTGCTTTAACTTGTGATGATATAGCTCGTGCATCCACAAAGCCCAGGAATATCTTGAGAGCTGCTAGTAGTGATCGAATCGTACATTTGCTCTTTGCTCAGTAATTGTTTCATTCTGTCTCATTTATGCGCATGTCTCCGAGATGCTGGAAGATGAGGGCAAAAGAACTTCTGCTTAATCAATGTATGAGACTTTTCTAGTGTTTTATAATAAGCGCGCGTTCTTGTGCGATAACAAGCGGCAAAGAAAATACAAGGCTTCAACTATATGCTAAGATGTGAAAGCGATAACAGAGCATGCTTTCCGCTTGTTAAGATAGGAAAGGAGAGGGGAGAGATGCAACAAGAAGGGGTTGTTGTTGTTGTTGATGATGATATATTGAAAAGAGTGTTATATTAGTAGAAGATTATTACTTATTACTTTCACTTGCAAACGACTTGCTGCTGTGATTGTCGGCCATGTAGTACATGAAGCTTCCAAACTTGCGTGTATAGCATTGATCGCAATCCTCGAGAATAGACCGCGGCAACTAACCGATTTACTCCAAGCCAAAACTCCTCAGGCTCAGGAGTCTATGCCTGAAAGTGATGATATATGCACTAAGCGAGATAGTTTATTCAGCCATGCCGCTGTGTTAGTGAATAGAACGTTGATTAGATGACTACTAGATGCTTTAGTTCATGCTTGAAAAAGGTTGTTATAAAAGATAAAGTGCTTTGCTCTCGTTCTTATAAAATACATACTCTCTCTTATCTTTTACTATTCCCACATTTATTTTATATGCGCACAAACATCTTGCACATGGTCCTTCTTGCCTCATCGGCGTCACTTTCGCAGATGGGTTTATTACATATTAAAGCAAAGCAAAGAGTTCTCCCGGTTCTTTTTTAAATATATCAGCACTATATGTGCTGTGTGGTGTCCAGTCCTACGTGATGAAAAGCAGAAAGAGAGCTATATGTTGTATTCAAAAAAGCATGGTGTGGAAACAAAAGGAAGATATATATAATATATGTGAGAACGGAAGAGACGGTTATTGTGGAATGTTGCTACTACGAGGATATGCTGTGAGAGTATGTGTTTGTGGGTGGGTGTTTGTAAGGTAAAGATACTAATAATAATAAAGTGGTGTGATGGTAACTAATGGTTGATTGTGGTAAGGCTGTTTTTGGTGGAGGAATGATGATGTCTTGTTTTTTTATAAGAATATTAGCTATTTAGTTTTTAATAGTTAACGAGCATCATGGCTTGTTGTTATAAGGTTATACAGCTGAATAAGGATCCGGTCAAGGTCCGTCGTGGCAAACTCGAATTTCGTTAAGAAAACAAACCACCCCTGGTAAGATTTTTTTTTTGTGCAAAGTGTGTTTTTTGTAAGAAAATAAGGTCAACTTCTCTCGCTAAGCGTAGGAGAGACAGTTTCTTTTTCAAATAGAATTTTCAAAGTACTTACTTTTGTCGGGTGACGAACGTCTTGTTTAACAAGTTCAGTATTTTGGATACGTTCAAGCGTACATATTCAAGGTCTAGGAGCTCCACGTTATCTTGTTGCTAGATAGAAAGAACAAAAAATACATTTCAGTTTTGCTGTCGTTGATAGGTGCTTATCGTTGCTGCTGAAAGAGAAAGATACCTTTTCCAAAAGATCGTCCAGCTTGAGATCCATTTCCAAAATGGCCTTTTCTCGACCTAATTGATTGAGATAGTTAAACATGGATACACGTGACCGCGTTAAATGTTAAAGACGCTTGGGTCATATGAAAGAAAGTAGTTTGTTACCTTTAAAATGCATGGCGATAATGAAAGTGCCCGGTAAGGGCGCTGTGATTGAAAAGAAGATATTCGCCCGCCTACTTTCAGGCACAGTACTTTCGGAAATGACACCATCCTTCTCCAACTGGCTGTGGGAGAACTTGACGGGCCCCTGAGTAGGCGCCTTGCGAGTTTTCTTGGGCGCACCATCCACCTCAACACCAATACCGACCGAGTTCTTTGTTGCCTTTTCACCGCCGCTCTGGATGCGCACGTTTTGTAGGTATGCCTTGTAGCTTTCTAATTGGCCACGCAGGTACGTGTTGTGGTCTATGATGGTCTTGTATACGCTTTCCAACGACTCCAGTTCCTGAACAACCTTCTCCTTGAGATTGCCAAGATGGGTCAGCTCCTGAGTGATCTCCTCAACAAGCAACTTGTAGCGGTCGCGGTGGTCAATGATGCCAGCATCTTCCAGCTCACGAAGCATGTCTTTGACTTTGATGCCCTTGCGCACTAGCTGTGGATCCTTTGTTGTTGCTGCTGTTTCGGCGATATAGTCGAGATCGAGCGTGAGGCTCGCTGCTAGGTGCGGTAAAGATCGGATCAGCTGTACATAGATGGCTTTCGTCTCCATGTACAGGATGTCGTTTTGTGTGATATTGTTTTCCGACATTAATGCTGTCGTTAGATCTATTATGCAAAAATACGTGTTATTTTCATGGTTTGCTATTTTGCCTCGCATATCTTTCTCCCCTATGTTTTCCCAGTCCGTTCTGTATATATCCAAGTGCTTTCTGTAAATCCATTCTTTCTTTCTCACCCATCGAACCACTTCTTCCCATATCTCCTCCTCCTCCTCCTCCTCCTCCTCCTCCACCCCCTCTCCTCCTCTGTTTTCTTTCTCTTTACCTTGGATAGGAACCTCCCAGCGACTGAACAACGGGAGTTCAATCGTCTTGTTCTCCTTACGCGAAACCTGACTCACGGTAGGTCCGATTTCGTTCACCAAAACACGGATGTGGTCCTTTTCCTTGGGTGCCAACGTATCGAGATGCTGCAAAACAAGTGACTGAGTGCTGTAGATTTCGTTCAGCGTAATGTTGAGCACAATATCTTTTTTCGAAAGGGCCATGTATTGGTCCATCTCTAACGATTCATAAAAATCGCTGACTTCGCAAAGTTCGTTTAGAAATTTGTTGATCCGCTGCTTGTTGCTTTCGACAAACGGGTTTGTTGGCAACATGTAGCTTTCTTTTGCATAGGACGGCCGGTTGGCAAGATTTTGTAGCATTTTTGCAATCTAACAGTCGAGTTACTCTTTGGCTTTAGTTCCTCCCTTCTATACATTCCTTTTTCCGTTCCTCCTTGTTCTTCATTTCTATTTCCCCCCTCACTCCCTGTTCCTTTTTGCATGTGTGTGTCTCTCTCTCTCTTGTCAACAAATCAAGATAAGAAACGCGTCAAGTTGCATCAATTACCAAGGTCAATGTACGTCGAGGATGTTTGTTGGGTACGTTATCCATCAGCATATACGCGCGCGGTGTGACAATAGCCGGATTGATGAACCGTAAAAAAAAGAAACCGCCAATCATGGAGCATACTGAGAATTCTGAGGCGTTGGGGCTTTTTCGTTTAGTCAAAGATCGAATCTGTTTGCAAATCCAGCGGATACCGTATGGTACAGCGTCAGTGGAAGCAATGATTGTTGTCAAGAAGCTCTCAGCAATCTCCATCAGCATTTTAAGTCGTGGCTGAATGATCGCCTGAACGTTCGGATTGGCGGCGGCGATCTCTGGTGTGACACTGCGGGGCATGTCCGGTGGTAAATGACCGCTGTCGTGCTCGACCTGGGCCACCATTTGTTCATATACCTAGTCATACATAAACCATCGTAGTAGTGGTGTGTTAAGTATTGACATGCTCTCTGAACTTTCCGACTGTTGATCCCCACCCAATTTCCGAGTGCTCAATGTGTGTTTCTGGAATATTACCTTGAGAGGATTAATTTCAAGGTTCAGATCCTTGTGTTCCACAAGACTGTTGATCTTTTCGGACAAGACGTTTTTCAGGTACGCTTGACCTGGGCCACGACGCGTGTAGGTGGTCATCATTCGGGACACAGGTGTGTTTGCTCGAAGTAAAGAACCAAACTCGGTTGATGTTTCGAATTGTGCTGCCAGAACGTTCTGATCATCCAATATCGAGTTAGTAACAAGTTTGAAAAGAGATAGCGAGCTTGTTACTTTTAACATTGCTTTACCTGGAACATGGTCAGCAATAAATGTTCTTCACGACTTTCGTATTGATTACCGTAGAGCGTGAACATGACGGTTTGCAGCAATGAGTCGATCTCGGCCAAGCTGACCAACCGGCACAATGTCGCAATATGCCGAGGTTCGCTTTGTAGGATGAAAAATAAGTTGCCAATCAGTTGGATTTTACGATCGTCTGGATAGGAATCGCTATCCCCTTCTCCATGCTCCTCAAAATGAGCAACCATTTCATTTTGCTGATAATGCGTTGATAGAAAAAAAAAGGTTTGAGTATATATGCATAGTTGTGGATATTTACAATGAAAAGATGGTTTATATTAGATGCATATTAAAATAAATTTCTTCACAGAGTCTCTGTTTTACCTCACTGAGAGCGATACGGTTTTGGATAAGTAATGCGATACGCGAATCCAGATAACGGACATCACGTTCTAATACAAAGTTCTTTTTTGACTGTGCCGAGATTTTACTTTTGAGATCCCGTAATCGCCGTTGAGCTGTATAGTAGTAGCATAGCACATGTTAGATAGTCGGGTTCAAGAGGAGAAAGATGAAATAATTATCGGTTGCTTGCCCTGAGCGAGTTCATCTTCGACTTCATTGTCTTGTTCAGCTGCCATGGAATAGAATGCCGAAACTGAATAACGTTTTGAAGTACGTCCACTTTTTCGACCGGAATGATGATTGTTGGCAGCTGCTGCTGCTACTGCTCGAGACACAATCTGGCTCGTGGTGGTGGTAGTGGTGGTGGTACTAGGACCTGCTGCAGCCGAACCAGCGGCGCCAAGGTACCCGTACGATTGAACCATGCCGCCCGCCATTCAGATTTCTGTTTGCTGTGTGCTGGTTTTGCTGGGGGAAAAAGGGAATATATGTTTTTTTGTTGTTGTTGTTGCTATTGTTGGTGGTGCTGTGGGGGGTGTGGTGGAGGGCGGAAAAAGCGAGGTAAGAGAAAAGGGAAACAAAAAGAAACTTTTTTTTTTTTTAAAAAAAAAGGGTAGCAAATATGGTTCTTTTTTTCGCGCGTGCTTCAATTAGGGACATTTGCTTGTGTTACCCCATTTTAACCGCATTTCTTCGCTTCTCCAGCATTGCATCTTAAATAGAACAAACTTTAAAAAGCCTTTCTCTCTATTGTGTACGTACATCTCCGCCCGGCCAAGAATGACAAAGATGCTCCCTGCAACGAGTGGATGTCTGCTACAGCACCAGCTAGCTAGCAGTTAGGCCACTTCTGCTGCGTCGCTGTGTTGCTGCTGTGAAACCTTGCTTAGGCCACCCCTCTCCCATCTGTAGAGATCGTTTCATCATCGGAGACATATCGCCACAAAGAGAGAATGCAAAAGCAAGCACGCAGATTACATCTTTGTTGTGCCTTTCCCGGATTCTTCTTTATTTATAGATGCAGCATGGCAGGTAAGTTATGTCGGACAAGAAAAGATAACGCTGTCTCGCAACACTCAAGGCCCGCAATAAAGCATGCCACATGTGCAGATGCCAAAAAGTAGATCTCGAGTGTCCTTCGATATGCATGTTGGTAAATGGATGAAGCTTTGTTTGGGTAAAAAAGAAAAGGTCTTTTTATTCCTTCTGGGAAAATGTGTGTGTATAAATATTCAAATGAAGTGAGTGAGTGAGTGAGTGAGTATGCAAGATGACATATTACAATCTATTTCCAAACATTGCCTGTCAACAGAGCATCACGTTCCTCGTCATCGTTGTCATCGTCGTCGCTGTCGTTGCTGTCGTTGCTGTTGTTGTTGTTGTGATCACTGAAAATGGTGTGTATGTTGGGCCTTGCATGATGCTCATCATCGGTTGGCCAGAAAGACCTGCTGTTGTTGCTATTGGTATAGTAATGCTGTTGCTGTGAAGTTGATGGAGATGATCCAGGATATAGGTTCGAAGAAGGAGAAGAGAATGATGGATGAGGATGTGGGGAAGGGGATGGCTGTGGGAGGGTTTGCATTGATGGTGATAATAATTGTGATGATGATGATGATGACAATGAAGGGGATGCTGCTGCTGCTGTTGCTGCTGTTTGCGCGGTGGAGGCAACGGCACCCGTTGGTGTCGCTGTGGATGAGGAAGGAGATGAAGGCTCTACTGATGGTTGTGGGGTTGAGCGAGATTGACGGATAGGTGGAGGAGATCGATCGTAAGATGGATGATGACGTTGCTGCTGGTGTGATGGTGTTGGTGAAGGTCTTCTCTGCTGTTGGTATTGCTGTTGCTGTGGCAACCGCCGTACCGACAAGGATGGTGATGATGGTGTTGCTGCTGCTGCTGCTGCTGCAGGCGGCTGATCATTGTCATTGTCACCACTGTCATCTTCGTTCATGTCATTGACAACCACATAATTGCCCTTTCCTTGTTCAACAATGACGTCGATGCATCCTTCACGCGGCGCAGGTACATAGGATGTCCGCAGCTTGCTTTTCCTTTTCTGCTTCTTCTGCTGCTGGTGTTGTGGTTGATATGGCTTCAGCTTGGGTGACAGTGATGGTGGATGATGGTCCTCGTTCCGAAACGTGCTTCCATACCCTCTGGACCGTGTGCTACCTGTGGGACTCGCCATCCGCACTTGTCGCCACAACGGTGCTCGGAAATCGATCACTGGATAATTGTAGTCGCCAAACATCATCGATCGACTTTGCTCATACAGAGCCTCCACCTCGTCCCAAGGGTTGGGATCTTCAAACTCGAGCGGGTCGCTGTCATCCACCGTTTCACCATTCATGCCACGGCCTGTATTTAGATACCGTGACACGGGTGCAGGCTCGAGCCAGTGCTTCTTCGCCGTGCTCGAAGAGTAGCGCAAGCCTGCCATGATACGGGATGTCCGGCTACTGCCGATATGGGGAACACCTTCGGAGGGTTCGAATGAGCGGTAGTTGAACTGTGAACCACGCAAGGTATCGAGCGTGTCCATGTAGACGTCTTTCAGTCCCAACGAATCGCGGATGGCGTGCATGATCGGCATACGAGCGGAGTGTACATTGTGATCGTAATAATCCTCGTATGAAAACGAGAACCTAGAGTTTGCATCGGTTAGCGCAGCTCGTATCGTGCGTAAATATTTAATATAAACAAGCTCAATACTAACGAATGGGCAATAGCCGCGGGTATCATTTCCAAGCAAATCAGGAAATCTTGAATAGCTACTGAGATATGCTCTTCCCCCTCTATTGTTTATTATTGTTTTTTTGTGGGTAAGTAAATATAATGAAATAGTGGAACCTGCTCTCTCTCTTACTCTCTCTCTCTCTCTCTCTCATAAGGTTTTCCTTCCAATCTATTCGATCCCGACCCCATCCGTTCTTTACCTCCTACTGGTATGGCACCAGCTGACACAAGCAATGCGATAATGACACTTTGCCAAAATGAAAAGAAAATAATTGCCTTGACACACAGAAATTTCGGTAACGGTCTATGTTTCGTTCCGCGGATGTGTGGGTTTGCAGGGCCATCGGGACAAGCAGTAGCCATGAGTAAGTTTGGGTAAAATCACAACAGCACCATCTGACTTTTTCCATATTTATATACACTGTCATCTCGACCCCGCGCCATGCAGCTGTAGCAGCAAGAAACTCACCTGAACCCGGTCAAATCTTTCTTAGTGGCGTAAAAGAACACCATCAAACACCATAGCGTCAAAGAGACACTCAGATTGTAAAAGAATGTCAAGTAAACGTAGGAACTGGACCAGCTAATCTCGCCTTCTTGATAATTGCCAGTGACTTTGAGAACCATGGTCAAAATAGCCAGCACGGGCTTGACATAGACAAACTGGAGGATGCCTCGCTTGACGAACAAAAAGGTGTATGGATCGCCTACGTAGATTTCACGAGACCACAACGTGCCAGGGAAAAAGTTGTCCGAGGGTGGTCTCGAGTGGAGCATGATGATCAATGCACGCTCGCCGCCAAGTTTGTTGAGAAGCAGGTTGAAGAAGGCATAGATCACAAAGGCTTCGTAAATGTCTCTGACTGTATCCACAAAAAAGGCAGCGTTGAGAGATATCAAGGATATGTACGTGCTGATTCCGTATATCGGTACCCTAGAGACATAATGTCAAAATTACTTGGTTACTCAAACGAATTAGCCAAGAAAGCTTGGCCCACACAATCCCCTTCTCTTTCTCTCCGCGCACTTTCCACCACTACCACACCTTCCCATTCATGTGTAAAGAGAGAGAAAGAAAGCGAGATTGGTTGTGTTTCTCTTACATCCACAGAATCCGAATGACTTGTCGTTGTTGATTCTACAATAATTAGCGAATTCAATGTCAATATTATGCATGGTCCTCGTAGTTATATTATCGTGTAATTAACGCATTCTAGTACGTTTGTGTGTGAACGTGTAGCGCGCATCACATACCGGCTTTCGGTAATTCTTCCAATGAAGCCAAACTGAGAAAGATGAAATGCAACATGCAACGACCGTAAAAAGTAATGCGAGATGCACAGCAAATGGACTGAACACGGCTCCGGCACCACCACTACCACTACCAACACCTTCGTTATAGCCGCTTTCGTCTTGACTTGCCGGAGCAAAAAGCATCCGCAGCGACATTTTAGTAGTTTTAAGATGTATTTAAAGATGTAATTGTGATGCCCAAGAAGAAGAAAAAGAAAGAAATAAAAAGAAAAAAGAAACCCTACAACATAACCTATTTTTGGTCCCGCACCTTTGCAACAAAAATCTTGCTTGAAAGTACGGTGTGTGGAACATTCAACAGTGACGGTCCTTATTAATCAAATTCATTCAAACAACTTGCATTATTGTTATGTGTTAACCTCTTCAGGAATTTTTGAAAAACCTTTGTCAGATCCGGACATAAGTCAACATGGACTACTAATACTACTAGTCAACAGCATGCATCCGTCAACACTGAGACCAGAAGAGTTACCGCAAATACCCGCCAGGTAATCTTTAATTAAACATCGCAATTCCGCTATGTATCGTTTTCATGGTTCTACTCCCAGAGTAAGGTGAGTAGAGCTTCTACATTATTCTATTACTCACCTACTGCAGCAATGTGTATACTTGTCAAAAATAACCGCACCAGTTAATCTCTCTACGTCATTATAAGACTATGCATAGCAAGGCCGTCCCCTTCTGTTCCCCTCCTCTCCATCACGTTCGAATTGCGTTTGTACATAAGCCTAAAGTACAGTAACAATATAAGTTTAGCTTACAGGAGCTGCTACATCTTTATTCCTACTAATAAATACAAAGTTTGTGCTCTGTCACCAACAAAGGAGCAGCAGTGGCACTGGCGGCGGCGCAGCAGATATCTTCATCAACACTGATGTATAGTACATAAACACACGCAAATATTACGAAACACTCATCAGTGTTATTTGATATATTATATCACATTTACCGATCTTTATTTGTTTATAGAGACAATGCTGCACATCGCTGAATAATCATCATCAGTTTCAAAGCATGTAAATAAAAGTAAAAGAAACAATGGTAAAATCAAGTAGTTCGTTTTACACTAGAATGAAATACTGCGCGAAACCTTTTAAAGCGTTTAATTCCTTCCACCCCTTTCTTCTATTCTAACATCTTATATAGAGAGTAGTAAGTAGAAAATCTAACGTATCTTTAAGTATTTTAAGATTTTATGGACGTGACAGCAACTGCAATATAAGTAACGTGGGCGATAAGTGATATCTACTACGGGGTTAACTTTCCATGTATTTACACGTCAAACAAAAGAAGCACCGTCGTTATTCAGTATAAACAATGATAGCTTGATAGAATCTAAAGCAGCAGAATGACTCGAAACACATCACGCACAGACCACTATGTAGATTGAAGAAGTAATTTTTTTGACGATCTCTTGCCATTCTACACAAGTAACATCACCATAGTGTCGAAGAAATAGCTTTCAAACGAGATAAACATTGTAAATCTATGAATATGCTTTTATAAAAAATGATTTCACACATACTGACAAGTTATTTTCTTGTCCTGTTATTTCATTGCAATAATGCTATCATAACAGCCATTTCTCTTTCTCCATCACATGTCGTTTTTGATGATAACGTCAAATGATATGATGATAAAAATTGATAGTGGCTGAGGATAGCATGTCGCAAAAATACGCGGTTTTTCTGTGCTTCCTCTGAGATTAAATCTTTCTGATTAATGCGTTTGAGTTTTCCTCAGTGTAACTGCATGTAAGAAACCTTTTAAGAAAAGCTGCTTTTGCATATAAACTACATAGTAAGTGAGTGTCCCACTAGCTTTTAGTTATTACAGTACTGTCAATGCTGTATGCCTTCATCTCGGATACTTCTGTTAAACAACGAAAAGCAACTATGTAGTGTATAAGCCGTCAAACACATTTTCGGTTGAACAGCTTTAACCAGATAAGTTTTGGAATATCACTTAATAATGATGATAGATACACCGATGACAACACTGTATGTACACAGCACTGGCTCGAGTATTTGATAAATGGATTTATGCTGCTTTTTCGAACAATCCTATCATATGTTAACTCCTGGAACTTGTGGGACTCAGCTCGTACTTACAATATTTCCACTCATGTATGACGCGCCTTACTTTTCAACTTGGCGTGACACGATTTCCCATTTGGCCGATCGGGGGGATTTCAATTTGGCGTCGCATGAATTCTGATTTGGTGTATCATGTTTGGGGTGATATCATTTATTTTGCTACACAAGTTTGAACAACATATGAAATAGTTACAAAATATTTTACGAGAATAATATATAGGCATTACAACATAGATTTCTCCAAAACACATCGCCAAAAAAAACTTTTCGCTTGCTGGATCCATCCATGGCAGTTGCTTGGTGTAATCAAGTGGGCTGAACTGAAGATATACGTGAGGCCAAAGAGTCGTCTTTAGTTAAGAGTGAACGTTTGACACCTGCCTTCAGTTTCGACTAAAACTTTTCAATGGGGTTAAGAAATGTAGTATATGGCGGCAGGCGTAATATCATATATTGAATCCACGGGCTTAAACTGCTTCTTTTACGTTCTTTGCGTGGTAGATACCTGCGTTGTCCATTATCAACTACGTCTTTCAAGATATATTGTTTTTTTTTCTAAAATGTCCATTACAGTTTCTAGAAATTGTGCAAAATGATCGGCTCGTGTACCAATCCTCGCCACCACGCCCCTTTCTTTTCACCATCTTACAACTTCTGCTTTTTCGTTCAAACTACAGCTTGCGGCTTTCGCATAGAAAGAATCCCGATTCCTTCAGCGGCAATATATAGCTCCCGCTATCGAAATATGATGTCCCGGTTGTTTCGAACTGCTAGTTTTGCTGGCTCGCCACTTCTGGATTGTCCAAAAGTACGTTGAATGTGCAGGTTGAATCTGGGCTCGTCAATAGAGATGAAACCTGCTATATCAATGTCTGGATTGTTGATGATATCCAGTACCCAGTCCAAATACGCTTCTTGATACTTTCAGGTGATACACGTGCTTTGTGAACCTTCTCATCGTAAGACCACACTTTTGCACTATGTGTTTATGTAAGCCACTTTGTGCGATTGCCAAACCAAACTTGCCCTAAAGTAATCCTTACGCTTCCTTGACTGTCTTAGTTGGATCATCATCGTAGAGTTTCTGTAAAGTATGCCCAGCTGTTACTGTTGCGGGTTCTTTTGTTCGATTTCTTCATTTGCCTCGGTAATTACGGCTCTTCGTTTTTGAAACTATTTCGATGATTCTGAGCATTACGGACAGACATAATAAGTTTACGAGCAGCTGCAGCTGCGCTGAAGGTCACATTTTGAATCATGTCTATGAATTGAACAATCTGCATATTGTCGTATTTTCTGTATGGTCTTGTTGAATAATAGCAGGTTAGAGACTCTAAACAACATGAATAGAGAAGAGACACGATAATATGCGTAGCTGATGCTATTACATCTGGGATTCACAACTTGCTTTGGCGGATACTTTCTGGGTGTTCCTCTCGGCCTTATCTCCGTCAAATTGTGTTTATTACTGTATCGGTCAGCTACGGCTTTTACCATACTTTGATAGATTCTTCCTAGGTACCTCATGCTGTATTATAATTTCCAAAGTGATTTGAGAATTGCGCAGGGCAATAAATTGTACAGATGCTTATCGTGTAACTTTCCAGATAAATTGGCTGTTCTCGCCATTGAAACCAATGAACGAATCGTTTTTTTTTTTTGCCCATATCCAGATCAGTATTTGCAATGCGGTACACTATGGATCACAAGCATCAATTTGCTCTTGGACAAATTCTTCGCCTTCATTATTTATTTTAACCATTGCCAAACGGCAACGCTGTACCATACCGGACTCCTTCCATAAGACTGTTTATCCGTCTGAACGTAATAATGGTGTATAAGCTTGGAGCATGATTGGAAAGAATACCAAAAAAGGGCGAAAGAGAAGAAGCTGACTACTGCTTTGTTACTTCTCTCGGTTTTTAATGTCGCTAACAGTAGCCAAGAATTTGGCTAGCAAACACTTTTACTGATTGCAGCCATAATCATCCCCAGACAAAAACACACATAATTTTCAAATGTGCCAAAACTATATACATCAAATGCCATATTGGAATTTATAATTTTGCCATAGTAAGTATAATTCACTCGACTCCAAATTGCTAATTTTCACCACGCCCCAAGTTAAATACCCCCCCTCCCGATCGATCAAATGATATATCGTGTCACGTCAAGTTGAAAAGTAAGGGCACCGTACACAAGTGGAAGTCCTGTAATTAGTGCGTATAATAAGTGGGTTTTTAATGTATGTTGGATGTAACCTTTTGTCTACACGGTAGCGAAATCAGTCCAAACTCAAAAGAACTAAAGCGTGGCTGAGGTGTTGTAGCTCAAATGTCAGAACAGCTTGCGATTTACCTTTCGCTTCTTGTACAGTTTATGTTTGTGTTATACAGCAAACATCGTAGAATACTACACATATTGTCGATTCACTTTATTAACTGTGCACTAACTGGAGATGCTTCATTTTACGGGAAATGACATATTTCAAGCCCACCGTTGACTGCTTCTCTTGGGCGTAATCTCAATAACTTTTGACAAACTGTACATCCAACAGGAGTCGGAGAAAAAACATCACAGTTTTGACACACAAAGAGGGTTTGCATAATATGTTCTAGTGCATAATGCATTACACAAACGGGGCTTGGCACTAAATTAAAAATATTACGTGATGTTCGGTGCATTGCGCCAGTTGTAGATATGCAGGGAAGGGCTCTGTTTCTTTCTGGCTTTTACAATATCTTTTTCTGCAAACCAAGCATAAACCGACTTTACCAAAAGTGCAATCGTCACTTTCACAGAGAAGATGGGTTACCCAGGCCAGCCTTTAGTTTTGTGTGCAATCTAATAGCTATCATCAGAACTTTAAAATAGAAGCCCTCATACATACAGTTTTGCACAAAAAAAAAAGACCAGCCGTAACACATCGTACCGGCTGTTGTGTTGTAGGAATCTATACTAAGATCATGATAGTTTATCATATGCTGTAAAGATAATTTATTGTTGTTACTCTTACAGAAAAACTATAAATACCGCTGTTTTTACAAAGCAAAACTTATCATCATCCACTACATAAACCATCTTCTCCTAGTACCAAGTTCAAAAATCCATACAGTACATTATGAAGGTCTCTGCTGTCGTCCTTTTCGTTGTCGGTCTTGCCTTTGCTCAGAACGCTCAAGCCATCTGCAGCTGCCAACCCAAAAATTCTTGCTCCCTCGCTTGCCCTAAAGGATCATCCTGCGTCGATAAATCTGCCGTGTGCCGTAGCGCTGGATGTGAACCCGGCTGGGACTACATGTGCTGGAGCAACTAAGCACTGAACAAGAATTACTGCGAAAGTGGCTGCGATACTATATACTGGATGTCCATCACTCCACCTGCTGTGCAAGGACACACTCCCTTTACTTGTAAATTCTGATGGTCAATTCTCTCGTAGTCTAGAGATTCGTTCTGAATAAAAACCAATCTCAAACTATAAACTGCTGTATTCTCTTTACATACACCAATGGTTGCATACCTTGCTCACTTGAGTAACTTTAAATCTTTTGGATAATGCAGCGATATAATTGATAATCTTGCGAGATAGTATCAAATAGTTAGAGGGACCAATTCTTTATTAGATTTATAAACTTGATGCTTAATATTATAACAAAAGACCCACTATGGATTCAAGCCGCGCCTTTTCTTTTCTTGTTGTTTGAAATGGTACAAAGCCTCAATGTCGCAGGAATCGTCAACGCGTTCCGAGTGTTATGGAATCCGAGCCTAGCTGTTCCACATATTATCGTCAACGGTAATTTCCCAAACAAACTTCCTTTCCAACATTAAAGCGGTTTTATGCGTTATGCTCAATACTAGATTCTTTAAATGCAAGACGTTCGCAACATACATTATGAACAACTCAAGAATCAAGGCCGGATCCAGGCCATGGCGTTTGACAAGGATAATTGCTTAACGGCGCCTTATGTGCCTGAGATTTACCCACCGTTCAAGGTAGATCATTTTCGTAACAGAGTAGTCAGTACTTTTCTAACGCGCGCTTATGTACGTGTCATTTATCGAAAAAAAAGATAGCATGGACTGAGTGTAAAGAGACATTTGGGACAAATAATATCGCGATCGTTTCCAACTCTGCAGGCACCGACGACGACGTAAACTACACAGATAAGTTCTCATTATCCTTCTCTAGTGTAAAGAATAAGGGAAATCGACGCGATTCTTATTTTGCTTTTCATTATAACACAGGCCACGAAGTTAGAAGACTCTTTAGGTATAAAAGAAGAACTGGTGAACAGGGGAAAAAGAAGAGAACCTAATTCGTGGTGAAACTAATACTCGTCGCTTCTATGTATTTTACTAGGTGTTCCCGTATTGCGACATAGCGAAAAGAAACCTTTGGGTGGTGCAGCCTTGGCAAAGCATTTCAATCATATGCCACCGCACAACATTGCAGTGGTGGGTGATCGGATATTGACCGATATCATTTTCGGCAACCTGAATGGAAACTTGACAATTTGGACGAGCCAAATAGTAACAGAAAAAGGCGATAACAAAGCAGCGTTGATTGTAAGTTAATATTTCTTTTTTTTTATTCTATAAAAGATGAAGTAGTCTAAAGCTTTTAGTTGATCAAACCTTTATTATACAGTTTCGACGGATGGAACATAGATTAATCCGATTTCTGCAAAATATGAATGTAAAGCCACCAAGTCACCCTGCTCTTAAGGGATCCTCGACTGATTATTTTCGCTCTGGATAATAAAAGCTGCGTTCCGACTGTCATGTATGCTCTCGATCAAATATGTTGAAGTCATGGTGGCATAGGTGTTTATTATAAATTGGCGATATGACATGGAAAAACGTTATATTTACAAAATACTAGCGGTCCTTCCTCGCTTCGCTCCGTGTCATTCAACGGAAACGCATCGCAAGGGGGTTCCCCCTTGACCCCTAAGTGGGGGGCAAGCCCCCCAAACCCCCCTGTCGAGCGAAGTTGGATCAATGTTTTGGTATTAGATGCTTATTGTCTGTTTTCAAAATCAAAAGCAAGATCATTGTGCAGTGAGAAGTAGCCTATCATAGAAAGTCGTCAAAGTTGGATACTTAACTATCTCCAGTTTAGAATGCAATGCGAAAAAAAGTGTTGACAAAGATGATGTAGTGATATTGATAAAAAGAGAATAGGCGAGAAAAAAAGAGAATAAGCAATAAAAAAGAGAATAGGTGATAAAAAAGAGAATAGGTGATAATAAAGAGAATAGAAGATAAAGAGAATTAGAGAAGAACTTCATGGAAAACAACATTTCGGGTGTTTTGGCCTTGCTGACCCGCGAGACTTGAGTTCTCGGGATCTAACATGATTCTAATAGACGACGGGGTGCGGACGCGCGACATGGCTACATAGAGTAGACCATGCGTGAAAGGAGGCTCAGGTAAGTAGAGGCCAACAGTGTTAAAAGTTTGACCCTGTGCCTTATTGATGGTCATTGCAAATGCCAGGCGAACAGGGAATTGCGTGCGTTTAAATTGGATAGTGGAGCGTGTTTCCGATGGTGTGAGTGTTATGCGAGGGATCAAGACAATATTGCCAGCATGAGGTCCAGTGGCTATTTCAGCTTCAAGTACATATCGTTGGAAAGAGCGTACAATCAGCCTTGTCCCATTGCAGAGACCACTTTGGGTGTGCAAATTCCGCAAAAGCATGACTGGGCAACCGACTTTGAGTTTTAGCAAATGCGGTGGGAGGTCGGATGGATTTATTGCATTGAGAAGCTCTGGTGGGTATGTCATTTGATCTTCTGGATCATCCACTGTATCAGCGCTCTGGAATTCGTGTGCAGTGCCTGGGAAATGTTCGAGTATCAGTTCGTTGGGTGCTGTAACGTCGACATTCTTTGGAGTCAAGATAGAGCGACTGATGAGGTAATCACGATCCATATGTGGTGCGTTGAGGTTGCCGTAAATGGTTTCTATGAGCTCGTACATGTTGTAATATGGCATGAGCATTCGATCTGGAAGCCGGACTCTGTCATCAGTGGTTGGCACGAACAGCTCAGCACCATTACCAATGCGAAATCAAAATATTGCGCAAACTCGCGAAGCTCATTTGCATCATTGGTGTTGGCAGCTTGTTGGACGCGCAAGTTGGTTTCAGGTGGTGGATGGTGACGCTGGGCCAAATGGATGAGCGATTTAAGCACTGCTGTACGATCTGCGAGCGCGACGCATTTGGTATCACTGGAAGGACCTATTACCATGTACTTTACTGTGAGTACTACCGCTTAATAGTAAAAAACATGCAAAGTAGAAGAGAGGATACAATGTTGAGTACCTGGCAAAAGTCAACACCAAGGACCATAATTTTTCCACCAAATGGAACATCGGCAAGCGCGGGATCGTCATGTCTCATGAGATTTGGATACGCTTGTACGTATACGTTGATACTTGTATTGATACTTGTGTCCAGCGTGTTTAAAGCGATGACACTTCTCATATGATGAAGGACGTGAAGTGAGCTTCATCTCGTGTTAATGAAGGTTATCCCCTTGAGTCTTTCCTCGATGCGATACCCGTCTACTCACATAGTCATACATTCATGTAGAACAAATTTTCTGATCTGGAGGAGCCACACATTTCGGCGCGTCATAAACGTGAGAGAGCAATCTGATTGGATAGATTGAACTGGCTCAAATGCCGTGTTCATTACTACTATATAACCGTGCGGCCGGAGCAATCATGGGGCTCTTCTTCCTCTTCGTCAACTTTTCTAAACCAAAGCTATTCAATGTGAGTGTCATTGGAACGGATTAGAGGATCGAAGAGTGTATGCTTATGTTGGTGAGTGAGAAGAGCGTATGAAACCGGTTGTGAGTATCTCAAAATCCGTTTATCTCACTTTCTTTCTTTTTGACACAAACCTTCTTCTCGTCTTAACCTGGTCCATCTCTCCCTCACGTTGGCTCTCAAAGCGCAGATGCAAAAGAGTAAGTACAATATGGAAAGTGTGAAGTGTACTTTGAGGTTTTGCATGTGGATGTGATATACAAAAGAAGATATGAATTTCGACGTGTCTAAAGAAATGTGTGTACAGCATACAGTCGCTAATGTTATCCTCCTTTCTTCTCTGCTACTACTATAGGATTCTGACTTTTTGAAATGGTTGGTTCGGTTTGTTGTTTGCACCCCACCCTTAAACATAAGCAACAACTGTAAGTACGGTAGGGAATGAAATGTGAGGATGAGCTGGAGAGAAGTCGAGTGTCTGTTGGAGGTGCTGATGCCATGACGTGTCAGGAATAGTTGCATATTAAGAACAGCCTGCTCATGATCTTTCTTCTTTTCATTCTACTTCAGGTTTCGCTTTATGCTGGTTGGGTTAATTGTGTCCTGCGGACAAATAACAGATAGTAAGTATAAGCAAAAGGGGACTTGAACATTGGTATGATAGGTGAGTAGGATGGCATGGGTGTTGGGGATGACGCGTCCAAGGTGTGCAGTGTGTACAGCAGCGTTACGGGAAAGGGCTCCTGACCATGACGTATGCAATATGGCAGTCTCTCAAAAAAAAATTTCTTTCTCTCCTCCTCTTTCTTCTCTTATTCTTCAGAATTGGTCGTGCCCTTCTTGCTTTTCCTCTCTCTAACTCAGGGCTCTCTTCCTCCAACTCAAGGATGTCATGATAGTAAGTATAGCTGGAAAGGATTTTGTGCTTGTGTTTGTCTTTGCGTGTTTGAAGAACCAGGAAGATGTCTGCCGTGACATGTCAAAAAGTGTATGCAGCTGCTCATAGATGTTTTCTTTTTTCTAATAGAGGATGGCTCTGCGGTGATCTGTTTGGACTTGGATTGGCTTAGACCCCATCTCTCTCTGTCTATAACTTTGCTGTAAAACGACAAACAAATGTAAGTATAGGTGGATCCAGCTTGGGATGGAGGAGGATGGTAATGCCGTGTTAAAAAATAGAGATAGCACAGTGGGTGCAGCCCTCTAATAATCTTTTCTTTTTCCAGCTAGAAGAAGTGTTTCTGTCTTGGCTGTGATTATCTGCTCTGCTCTGGCCGTGTGCTCGGCTCTCCTGTGTCTCATCGTAGAAGTATGGGTAAGCATAGCACGATAGAATCTTGTATGTGTGTGGTTTAACAGTTTCCCATTAACTGTTCATCTCTTTTGTTTCTCGGAATGGCGATAGTGCACAGACACCTCCATGCTAGTCAAGATTGATGCTCCACTGTCATCCCGCTCCTAGAAGCCGACCTGTCAAGTAGTCCATCGGCAGTGGTCAAGATCTATCCATCCATCTGGATGGTCGCGTGTGCTTTTTGCTTTGACTTGGACCTGAGGAAGTCCTTAAAAGCCTCATATTCTTCTTTGTGTTCTTTGTATAATTTATCCCCCCCTCCCCTTCCCCTTGCTCTGACCCAGGAAGTCGTTAAAAGCGTCTATTGCGTTCTTTATATAGTTTATCCTTCTCCCCTCCCCTCCCCCTTTGCTTTTCTCTCGCAGTTCCTAGTAGCCTCTATCTCGACCCATCTTCGGATGTTGCATCGTTTCACGCGAACGGCTGTTTTTTTACTCAGGCAGCCTCCGGGCGTAAGTCCTGCTTCATCTACAATTTCCCCGCGCCCACGGGTAAAAAGTGCGGCCGAGGTCCCCCATGAATTTGGGGAATGCTTTGCGTAAGTATTTACTTTCTCTTTTTCTGTCTGTGAATTTACATGGATGAGAGTTTCCTTTTTTGGATTTTTCAGCTAACTTTTAAAGATTTTAATAATAAAGATAATAATATAGATGCAAGTGAAGAGTAAAAGGGACAGTAAACTTCAAAAATACATGAGGGCTAATAGAATCATTGTGCTTTCTGAGGAACTGGCTTGACAAGCAAGGTCATGTTGGGTGCTGGTCGAAGGGTGATCTGTTGCTTTTTCTTGATAACGAACCCAGGCTTTTCAAAAAACTGGAATTTCATCACCAAGACGGCTAGGATGATCTTGAGCTCAATAAGGGCAAATCTGTATCCGATGCATTGTCTTGCACCTGCTAAGAAAGGGTAATACTCATAGGGACCCACTTTGGATGCTTTCTGTTCATCCCATCGACTGGGTCTGAACGATTCTGCATCCTCGCCCCACAGTGCCTTGCTGTGATGATTTACGACAATGGGTAAAAACACACTAGTACCCTTTGGGATAAAATGGTTCTTCAAAACTGCATCTTTGGATGCGTATCGCGTCGTCAGGGGCACAACAGGAATCAAACGCGAGGTTTCACGGCATACATTGTTCAAGTGGTGTAAATTGTTGATGGTATCAAACGATGGGATATTGGCGCTGTCGAATCCGACTCTAAATGGGTCTTCGTGGAATACTGGATCGTCCATATTTATCTTTTCAAAAACGGGAGTCACTTCAGCTCGCAGTTCATCTTGGATATCTTGATGCTGTGCTAGTAGCCAAAGGCACCATGACAACGATACTGCTGTTGTTTCGTGACTAGATATATAAAGTAAATAATATATTAATGAACCTACCTTACCATCTGTATCATAGACAATCTTTCTATTCAAGCATGACTACAGTACATACCCAGCAGCCAAAAAGGTGAGACACTGATTCCGTAGTTCTTCAGCCGTGAAACCTTGACCCGACTCGTCCTCGTCCGCATTACGGATCATCAAAGTCAACAAATCATTGTAGGATGTCTTGGCATTGTTTGCCGACTCCACACGATCAATGCCACGTTGTACGACTATCTTGCTCTCTTCATCGAGCAATCGAAGTGCCTTGTCGACCTGTTGTTTTCGCTGGGTAGGGAGATGGCGCAGCATGGGGAAGAACTGAGCCAAGGCTTGCATCAAAGATACTTGGCTTGGATCAAAGATTGTCTGGTAAGCCCAGCTCAGCTTGTTGACTTTATCCGTACCGTCATACCGAACTGCATTAAACTCTTGTCCGAATCCGCCAAGTCCAATTTCGTCAAGTGTGACCAACGAGAGGCCATGTGAGACGACGATTTCAACGGCGTCGTCCAAATTTGTTTGCTTGGCTTTGATCTCATCCATCCATTTCTCGTAGAGTTGGACAGGAGGAACGAATAGGATGGGTGTCAGCTCTCGAATGGCTTGCAATGAGAATGCAGGATTGAGCATTTTGCGGTGTCGTCGATGCAGGTCGCCCTTAGTGTTTATAGTAACATTAGCGGATGGTATCATTTAGAGCTATTAATTAGACTTCGTGGCAGCGAATTACGTAAAGAGCAGATATAAGTCGCTATTATACTTTACCTCGGAAACCAGGAGGCCATGACCGAGAATACGGCCTAGGAACTCTGATCCTTCAGGCGTTTTTGTGAAATCATATACTTGAGTCATTAATATTTGTTTTAACATATCTGGGTCAGTGACCATGATACGTGGACGGTTCCATGGACCATGGTAGCAGACAATACCGCCATATTGCTCTGCCCATTTTTTGTGTGGTACACCGGCCTGTTTTGGAAAACATAGTTTAGTAAAGCAACCTTGTTCAGCGTCAGGCCCTTTCCCAATAAACTGGTCATTTTAATCCGGTTGTGATAAAGTTTACCTCTTCTCGAAAGATTTCTCGAATATTCCCCATCAGTGGAATCCAATCCACAGGAGGTCCAGGAATTTTGGAAAGAGGATGAAGATACAGGTAGTACACGATATATTTCGATACAGCATAACTGATAAAACCAGTGACTCCCGCGCCGATTAAGGCATTCTTGAGGGAAGTATTGATACCACCAAAAGGAAGCGTGACGCGATCGCCAAGGCGTGCTTCAGCCGTTTGAAAAAGCTGTTGAGCGTTTTCGAAAATTGGCAGCATGTAAAAAAATCACGGAAAGAAAAGGAAGAAGAATAAAAGATGCGAATTCTTTATTCGCTTTTTCATAAAACGGGCAACCATCGGATATAAATATACGCACTTCCCTTCCTATTATGGTAGGTTGACGAACACTTCCTCGCGCGCTGATTATGCAGCGCAGGTCCGAATGATTACTTCACACACTCAAAAAGAGGTTGTGAGTTAGGCACTGTACGCGGCCTTTTTCCATAAACAAAAGGACTGGCGTCACTCTGCCTTTTTCGGCACTTATCGTCAGAAGCTACAGCTTGAAAATTTCTGGTACATAGCATGACAAAAACGTCAAGTCCGTACACCTAATGACATGTTACACACGTGCATATCCAACGCCATTACCTATAGTATGTCAAACAAGTTACGTGGAGGGAACATAATCACACTATGATATAACAGGAAAAATGCAACTATATCTGAATGGACGACTGTGATAATACCCATCACCTTTTTTTTTACAGTATCGAGGATTGATCCGCTCGTGTGTAACCAGCGTTTTTGCATTCTTTCAATATAACTCCAATATGTTCTGCTGATCACAAAGGTCGCTGCTAATCTGCACAATAAAATTAAAAGCGTTTTCGGGGATCGCACGAATAATTGAAGAACGCGTAGAGCAGCAAAAACTCTCATTACATACACAGAGAGTCCGGTAGAGAGTAAGTATGTATGCAAGACGAGATAATATAAGCCGTTAGTCAATATTTGCAAGTCGGCACCTGTTTCGTTATGTGCGTTTTTTCCTTTACCTGAAAAGCCTATGCGTGCCACTTGTCCACAAAGCGAACGGCCCATGTATGTCAGATGGTTTACGCCCTTTATCTTTACTGCTAAGTCGCCTAATAACCGCTATGATAGCTACATTGTGTGAAACACCTGCGTGTCTCAAGGGTTAAATATTATCCCAATTCCGCTTTATTTTGGCAGTCATCATCTGTATATCGACTGTGCCTAATCGGCAGACATGCCTTAAAATTATAAATTCTCTATTACAGTGATACTACTAAAGAGAGAAGTGTTTGACTACTAAATACTTCTACAGAAATGCTGCGTTAAAATGGCTTTAAAGCGCAATATATACAAGAAGAACACAGTTCCGACGATTGTCACTAAGTCTCGACAATCTACAATCTATGCAACAACGATTACGTATACTGCAACTCACGTTTGTGGTCTGTCTTCGTGCACTACCAGTATCAACAATAGCTCGTTCGGCTGAACTGACCCTCTTCTGGTCCAAAGATTGTGGCAAGCAATGCAAAAGCCTGACATCCGACAATCTGGTGTTCGAGCTTTCGAATAAGATAAAGTATGAAAGCGACTCTGCAGATGACCCTTTCATGAACCGGACCATCAGGCTGAACCGGGACGGCGAATTGCTTAACCGAGCCAGCAAATTTAAATGGCTCAATTGCCTTCGAAGCTTAGTTGAACCCATTCTGTATTTGCTTGCATTCTCTCGAGACCTTCACCGCCTAGTCAAGTGGTATGAACTTGCACACCTCATATTCACTTAAGGATTGTCGTTGTGGGGCCAAGGAAGCTAAGAGAGCACACTTCTCTAGCTGCCCATTGCTACGTCCGATACTTTAAAAAGCACACGGACGCATTTGACCAAATACCAGAACTACCACCCAACAATCAGGCGGTCGAACGCATCATGAACCATCTCCCGTGCTTTGATACCGGCCTATCTTATGGCTAATGGCAAAGGGCCTGGCCAGCGCTAATCCGCGTCCTCAAGGTGATAGATCGCTTTGCGTGAAAGATATCCGAAAAGAATATGAACAAGATCTTCAAGAATCCAACAAGTCGGGTTTGCTTCAAGGTGCTCCGATCAAAGTATTATGCAAAGTGTCACTATATAATGACTCCCACAATCATCGACAACATCATCAGCAACAAAAGCAGTAATACTCTGGAGCCAATGGTCGGGATCCTATGTGTGTTTTCGAAACAACCATGCTCCATCCAAGGCCTTGAATATCAGGATGATCCTACTGTACAGCTGTTGTATTCCATTGTTCAAAATGCACTTTCAAATGAAATCCGAAAAGAACACAAAACTGTGGATGTACTTGTTAATGATTACCAGAAACGAAAGAGCAGTTCAAACACATCCACGATGCCTTGGAAAGTGCCGATGACCCTGTCTTCAAAATGGATCGAAGTTATTCTAGTGCTGGATATGAGTACAGTGATGCGTGCCTTCGAAAATATACACAAGATCCTATTAATTGTGTCGCTGCAATGTCTGAACCTGTATCATTGCCGGATGGTGTTGTGGGTCAAATCGGAAAATTGGTGTCTGTCCTCCCATCACTTCCATCACCGGAAACGATGACTGATATGAAGTTTGTCGTCAAATTTTCGAAGGAATGGCGAAAGCAACATCCCAAAACCCGTGGAAGGAATGCTATAAACAGGATATGGAAAAAGGGTTCTTCAAGACCTATCGTGATTCTGAAAGTCTGAAAAGCGCCTACTCCTCCTCCTTCATAAAATAACATGTCATCTTATCATTTATATGATTCTTTTCATCTCATATTCTATTAAAAGCTAAGCCAACAACTAACATCAACAACAAAAGTGAACTCATCTTAGATACAACTGTGCTGATCTGTCTCCATGACGGATTCATTTTACTTATTCCGTTTATTAGGGATACCATATTAGCATGGATCGTATTCAATTTCGCGAGACAGTTCAAAATCAACTTCCAACGCTGTACATGCTGCCAGCGGACTTTTTTCTGGACGCGTTCAAAAAAAAAAAATACGTTTGGATTGTCCTCCACCACACACCTTTTCTGCATACCATAATGAATTCAATAATTTCTCCAGCATCTACAACAACGCAAAAAAAGGAACTACCAACATGTACCTCATATAAAGAAGCATACAAGAAATTAGAGTGGCGACGGTACATAACAGCAGGGATCGCGTTAGGTGGGATTTCAGTGATTATAACCATCTGCTTCCAAGCACTAATAGGTAAGAAAAAAAAATACCCACCTTCAATCTTTGACAAGCGACATAATGCTCTTTACTGTGAAAACAACTAAAATGTGGTTTTATTTATTATCTTTTTGAAAAGCGTTTCCAACACGTTATTCATTATTCACGACAATCAGATACTCTTTAATACTGTTTCTCTGCACTGGTGCTACGTGCCTGTCCCGTTATTCCAAAACCACGCGTAAGTTTCCCTTTAGCGACCGATCGAGTTCTATGTTGAAGCAATCAGCTCATTTATTTCCTTTGCCCTAAAATTCAATATTAGTATGGAAGCCGATCTCACCAAGCGACGCTTCAGAAATCCTCAATCTTGCAACGTCGTCTGATAGCTTGTTTGCAATTATCGTTCAACTTATTTCCGGACTCGCTATCGTTCAATCGTATATTTGGATATTGTGTGGCGATACATATGATAGGAGCTTCCTTGTGCATCCTCACGGGTAAGCTTTTCTCACTATGAGCATGCCTCTTCTGCTGGGTTATATAAATTTGTTGTGTGTCCGTGTGTCTACGAGAAAGGGAGGGAAGCTCATACATATTTCGACTTTAACTTTTTTTATAGTGAACGGTATGGACTTCGACAACTCAACGAAGACAACTTGTTCGTTTCATTCTATGCAATTGTCCTTGGAATTGCCTACGCTGTTCTGTATATCAAAGAGCACAGATGGGTTATGCGCATTCCATCTTCTCGGGTAAGTAACTGATCGCATAGGAAAAAAGATGGGCTATAGAGGGTTAATTGACGCACATTGTATTATAGCAACCACCTGCCATGGCACTTAAGTTGAGTGCAGCCACAGCTGTTTATGATGGTACAAAATTAGCATTCGTTGTCTTTGGTGCAACCTATATCCTGTATATCTTCCTTGATGGCCTTGTTTATCGAACATCGGCTTACTTGACTAGCTTCTTGCCATGGTACAGCAGGTAAAATACCTTATATTTTCAAAGAAAGAAAAGAATACAGAGGTGATGTCAATGGCCTATAATCAAACATATATATGATTCTTTTAGAGTGCTTGAGGCACCAGTTATTCGGCTCAGCTGGTTTGATCTATACTTGTTTCTACGTATGATCCTGGGTGGTTGCGTTGCTACTATTTCTTGGATCATGGGCGATCGAGTTGTGGATGTTTATTTCGCAGTGGTACGTATTGTTTAAAGCAGTAATTATGAACATCCCATCATTTTCTTGAGACGAAAGGATGAAAGCTAACAGCTTTTTATTTGGCTTGTAGCAAGAGTTGATTTCCAAAGATTACAAAAATGCTCATGAATGTTTGGTTTCTGGCTTGCGGGACAGCAAGAACCCGTATGTTCAGGTAAGGAGAAATTGGATTGAGGGGACTAAAGAGAGAATAAGGCTCAAACTCTTCTTTGAAATTGAAATGCTTTTAGGCTACTGCATTTGCTGAGCTGGCCGAGATTGCAAGCAAACACCCTGCTGAACGCGCTGCACTCTTCAATGACATGGGAAGCAATGCTAACAGCACTGCATGGATTCAAATTTCTCGCGAGTGCATGAACGTGCTAGACACATTGGGCAAAGATATTGAACGCGAATACACGGGTGTAAAACCACGTGAGTATTAAGCTATAATCTGTCTCTAATGATGATAATAACTATCCAACTCACCCCACACTACCCTTGTATATTTTCTTTTCCAGCAGTTGCTCCAGCACCAGTACGTAAAGAAGAAGTTGCACCACCGAACCGTATCGAGTTGAAGGACATGAATGTATTCTCTAAGCCTAAAACGGATACAGTTGTTTTGGATGACCGTATAATCCGTCTATTTGCGTCAGCACCCACCCCCCCTCAAGTCATGGCTACCACTCCAGAAACAGATGCCCCTAAGCATCTCGTGATTAAAGCAATGGAGCGTGCAAAAACTCAAGTTAAGCAATGGAAGTTTGTGCAAGACTTGTCGGCTGTCACTGCTGAACGAAAAACCCGCCGAATCTTTAGCAACTATCCTGTCCTTGTATGGGCTATTCAATGTAAGTTTGTTAAGCGGGTTGAGGATAACAGCTGGTGGAGCTAACTCCATCGGGCGTTCCGCGGGGATAATAAATAATAATAACTGTATTGACAACATTTTTTTTAGCTCTTGGCAGTTTGACAGCAGCATCATACAACGAGGATCCTTATGGTTTGGTGCAGCGGGATATTGGTAAAGTGGTGGATACGCTGTTAGCAAGTGTCATGGATATCGAGCGTCTTGTGCGTTCTCCGCCCCCTTCATACACAAAGTTACCGCCTGGCTACACTGGAGATCGGGCTATGCTGATGGAGCCAGAATTTGTGTTGTTGGGTAAGTGCATGCTTCATTCTTTGGCTACTATGACGATTGAAAGTTATGTAGCGTCTCTAAGTAAGCGGTTATACTATAGGTTTACGAGAGGCCATCTACCAAATCGTCACATCGTTCCGAGAATACCTTGATGATATTTCGGTTTCAAAGAGATATGCCAAAAAATGGGAAAGCTTTGTAGAATTTAGAGAATAAAATACCGCCATCTATTTTAAAGGGGAATTTGCGTCTAATGATGTGTCTATGATCTATGTGATGCTCGCTATGACGTTGGCATTGCCGTATACTGCTTTCTCTTACCCATTTTAGAGTGAGATACACCCGAATTAACCGGAACACCCAAAAACCCGAACGTAGACACTCCGTTACAGAGAGTCAACGACGGCGGAGATCCCACAAACTTATTTAATTAAGTGCATGACAGAAGTCCCGGTCCAACAAATATAGATCTTTTCTTACTTTTTTTTTCCTTACGTTCAGCAACCATGAGTAAAAATATAACCAAGGAAGAATCAGAATCGTTGAAGCAAGGTATATAAGAGAAAGAACCGTGTATATTGGACAATTTGAACCGAGATTTGGAAAAGAGGTAGCCAAGTATATTGTGCAGCAACAAAAGCAATAACACGATTTTTTTTCCTTCTAGCGTTCTCACTATATGATCGCGACGGTGATGGTGCCATCACTGTGAAAGAGTTTGGCGACATTTTAAAGAGTCTCAACGTGAACGGCTCAGCTCAAGAGATTGATTCCATTGTCAAGTCGGTTGACAGCAATCAAGATGGTAGTATTGATTTCAACGAGTTTGTAATGGCCATGACACGTCATTTGCCTCCTCCATCAAAGAATAGCGACCAACACCCAAAAAGAGCACAGACGTACCCTCCAATCAACAAAAAACGACTAAGCGTACACGAAGACGACGAGCTCAAACAGTGTTTTCACGCATTTGATAAGAATGGCGACGGCTTTATCAGCCTCGACGAGTTGGAAGAGGTCATGTCCAAGTTAGGAGAACAGTTGAGCAAGCAAGAACTCAAGGATATGTTGGAAGACGCAGATACGAACCGTGATGGCTTGATTGATTATAAAGAGTTTAGAAAGCTGATGCCTAAAGGCTTATAGCTCTTTTTTACGGTACTTAATTTATACACTTTTTGTAAATCATATGCACGACAGTTACATACACTCCATATAAAAGACGCACAAACGCATGCACATAGACGTCAGTGATTTTTTTGGTGGCGCAAGGGTGCTTGCTGCAACATCAGATTGTCTGTGCGCATCCCAGATAAAAATTACACTCTTTCAAAAACCCAACGCATCCGCCCTCTCCAACTTGTAGTTTAGACATCGTGGCGAATAAAGTAGACGAGATGGAAGGTTTTTTTATGGGTTGGGGTATCTCAACAGATAAAAAGTATGTAATAGGACTGAATAAAAGTATAATAAAGAAGGAAGGGAAGAATGGTAAAGAAGGAGGCGTATATGAACATCTATGGTATAGTATATATGTATATCTGATGAAAAAAGAAAATTACAACGTCAATAACTTGAAAAGAAAAAGGTCGTTTCAGTGGTAAAAGAAGTAAAAAGATGTGGTATATGTATAAATGTGAATTAAGAGGGCTTAGGGATCAATTTCATGGCTCAGTTTTCGAATCATATCAGTATCGACTGATTTGATATCAAGGCATAGCCGGAAGAGCTCCGGTTCCGGGGTATAGGGATATCGTCGAGCCAAATTTTGGAATGTCAGCACGCGCTTAATAACAGTTGCCGTGATCCGGTGCTTGCGAAAGTTTACCAATGGCTGTTGCAATACAAATGAGTCGCAGGTGGCCTTTTTGCTCTTGACTGGTTCGGTATAAGGTGGCAGTTCGGAATTGAAGACGAGGTCTGAAAGATAGATGCCCAAGAATGGAATACAGCCTCCTGCTACACCTTGTTGCTCTGTATTGTTGTCTTGAAGCTGGTGATAATGATGTTGTTGTTGTTGCTCCACGAGTTGCTGGCCATTACCGTATTCTTCAGCTACCTTGGTCATACTGTCGCGAATGTTTTTCCAGTTCTTCATTGGCGATGTAAATGCAGAAAGCTGGTCTAAAAGACGCATATCGGCTACACCAACTTGAGCCCAAGTGGCATGCAGACGAGATACAGCAGGCGATTGAAGACCCAAGAGAATTTGTAGAAGCGTAGCAAAGTTGGCATACTTTTTACATTGCTACATAACACATGACCAAACAAGCTCTTAAGTTAGTATCTGTCCGTCTCGTATCACAAAAGAACTAGTGAGTGAAATTTGAAAGATTTACCTGAGCTAATCGAATGAACCTACGAATGACATCCACACGATGATGAAGTTGTTCCGTTGTAACAATTTCTGAAATAACCCATTGGCAAGCGGCATTGAATCGTTGGATCAGTCGTTGTACACCACCTGATCCGGCAACTCCGTCGCGCCAGCGGCAGTCCACCAATTCTTCCCATTCAACACCGAAAAGGACTTGTCGTTCAATCAGACAGAGTTGCTGCGCAAGTTTACTTGCAGGATACAAAAGAACAAAGCTCTTTTGACGTCCTACTACTGCTACAGGCGAAATCGGCTTGGGAAGGGGTAATACTGAGGATGTCGCTGCTACGGATTTGGTCGACGTTGGCGAGGATGTGTCACCATTGTCTTGCTGTTGCTGCTGTTGTTGTTGTTGTTGTCGTTGTTGCTCTTCCTCCTTGGCAATAAGTTCGCCAAGACGGTCAGGTTCCACAATTAAAGACATAGTTCGGATATGCTTCGGTACATTGGACAGTAATGACACGCCACGGTTTAAGCCTCCTTTCTTCATGGGTGCCACTCGATCGTTCTCGTCGCTCTCATCGTCACTGTCTTCTTCGCTGCTACTGCCTCCGTCATCGAGTTCTTGGATATGCACGGCTGCATCTGATTCGAAACCCAAAGACTGGGCGCCTACCAGATGGCTTAGATAGATCGGACCTCGAGCAGGTCGCTTGAAGAAACCTTCAGTGTGTTTTTCAATGGTGCTACTGCATCGACGTAGTTCGACTGTTGGGACATCTTCCTGGTCATCATCACGAAGCTCTGCAGCAATACGGCCAACCGTAGTGGTGGCGGTTGCTGATGGCAAACGACCTGTGCTGCTGGGAGTTGTTGGCGTAGACACTTCAACATTGCTGCTGCTGCTGTTCGAAGTGTGCGAAGTGGAGTCAAGCGCAGGTGCCGGAATGACTACAACTTCCGTCTTGCTACTACATTCTTGAGTCACAAAAGGTGGCTCGGCGGTCTTGGGATGATGACTCATACTGTTACTGAATGAGGCTTGCTTCTTCAAAATGTTGCGAGGCGAAAAGGCTGATTGCTCATTTTGTTGGGGCTTCTGCTGTTGCTGTTGCTGTTGCTGTTGCTTGAAAATCTTGGCCAACTTCTTGGAGAGACGGCGTTTGGCTCCTTCATCTTGTTTTGGAGAGGCTTCCAATGGAGGTGATGCCATGGTATCGTAAGGTAGCGCTTCAAAGCTTTCCTTGCCAGCAGACATCATCATTACGAGACGCTTGTTTGGCGTTCCTGACGACTGTTGGGGCTGTGCTTGATGCTGTTGCTGTTGGTTCAGCTTGGAGCTCAGTACTGCAGCTGCAGCAGAGGCTGCTTCGATATCTGTGGCTGGCGGCAATGGCGGCAATTCGGGTACAGTACTGCTGCTGTTTGCAAAATTGAGGCGAGGTGTGCTGACAACCGAAGATGAATTGCTGCTAGAGCCTGGTGAAGCTACTTCGCGCAAGTTCTTTTCGCTTCGTCTGCGCTCAATGCTTTTGCGCGAGAGCTTACGTGCCAGACCGTCCGCCGGCGGCAATGGTGGCGGTCCTTGCTGTTGCTGCTGTTGTTCCGGATCCTTGCTACTACTGTTGTAAGCAGGATCTTCTTCCGGAGATGCCTTGCACCATTTGCTGGATGGGATACGACGAATCCTGCGCTCGATATTTTCTGTCGTCATATCGTGAATGATAGTTGCTGGTATGTACTGCTTGCTCTTGGCTGCTGCATTATCTTGGTGATTGTTGTGTGATTTAAGAGCGGCGGCAGCTGTCATGGCAGCAATATATTCTGATGGCAAGTGGGGCCGCTTACTTGCTGCTTGTTGCTTCTTTTCCACGACAATTGAGCTCATCGGGCTGTTGAGCATGAAATCCGAAACAGAGGATAAGGCATCCTGCTGTTGGTGTTGTAAACTCGGTATGTCGCTTTCTGTTGTCATCATGCTGGTGAAAAAGTCGGCGCGTTGGCGCTCCTCTTCTTCTTCACGTCGTCGTCGCTCATACTGCAATTTGGCCATAGCTTGGTCTTCGCTGCTCCAATCGGCGTCATTGGCAAAGTGTGGTTCGATGTCTTCAGGTGCTGCTTCCGAGTTGCCCGGGCTCAATTCACTGTCCAGTGAACCATTGTCATCATACAATACACTGTTGCGTAAGCCATCAACCATAGGGAGTGATTGGGTAGCGCTGCTTTCGACCCATGTGGACTTGTCAAATTCGAGATCTGGTTTGCTGGATGCAGGGTGCTGCTGTTGCTGTGAGTCACTGTGACTATAGTGAGCCGTCTTCAGGCTGCGAACGACGCGCTTAAGGCCACGCACAATGCGTTGGTCTCGTGGTGATTGCTGAACCAAAGTGTTTTGCGGCAGCGAGTTGAGAAATGCCGTAAGAATGACCCGGAGTTCTCGGCATGGAATGAAGTCATGGACAAAGTAGTTTAGTAGCCAGTGGCGCATCACCACAAAAGTTCTAAAAAGTTTAAATGTCAGTATGTTTCGTTGATCCTATTTCAGGGTTTTGTTTTTCTCTAGCTTATTTGTGTCACTATACCTAATACGGACAACCCGACGATCATCCCGGTCATTTTCCAGCGCCCATCGAAAACGGAGGATGAGAAGCTTGCACAGCTGTGTGGGCGAGATGAATGCTCGATAGGTCAAGAAAAAGTCCGTCATTAAGGTGTAATCTATGATATTAACCGAGCATTAAAATGTGTTTGGCAATCACCCGCGTAATTCCTCAGTTTCCACTATTAGACATACCCAGACTGTTGGTCAATTTCTCAACCAATTTTTCAACTGACGCCGCCTCAATGACGCGTTGTGGTGCCACAGTCGAAGGTGCAGGAGGTAGCGACGACCGTAATTCCTCGTCGGAAACACGCTGTTTCATCGTAAAGCTAGCACGCTTCAACAAACGTGGGGTGTTTCGGGTACTGCCGCTAGCGTTGCTGCTACTACTGGATTCTTCATGCCGCACTCGAGGACGCATTTTGGTAGGTAAGCTCTTTTGACGGCTCAGTCGGCTGAATCCGTCAGTAAACAACGACTGTGCTGACATGCGTGCAGAGCTGACGAGATTGGAGCGTCGCTTGCTTGTACTGTTGTGGTGGTTGTTGTTGTTGCTGCTGCTGCTGCTGCTACCGCTGCTGGTGTTGATATTGGAGTTGCTGCTAGTATGCGCCGTAGCGTTAGTCGAGAAACCTTGAATGGATGGTGTCGATGGGTTGCTTTGTCTGCTGGAAGATACTGATTCTTCGCTGCTCATGGCCGTGGGCGAGGACACCATTGTTTCTTCATAAGCAGGATCTGGCCCCCATACTATAATACGTTCATCGTCGTCAGATTTTAACATGTCGAAAATTGCTGGTGGATATCCGATAAACAGTTTAGGTGGCTGAATGATGGGGTTAGCTCCGTTGGCCTTTTCTTCTTCGATCATATTAGATGTAAGAATGATTGATGAATGTATAGAAGATTCGGTCATTGTATGGTCTAATGGTGGCGAGAACGAGTGCAGCAGAACAGAAGACGGGCTTGCTGGAAACATGAGGTCCATACCATGCTCGTCTTCTATTAGGAAGTCATTAAACTTGCTGACGTTCGGAATATCAGGGAGCGGCTTGAACGAGTTAACTTTAAGTTGTGGTAATGGTGCTTGAGGTAATGGCTTTCGTGAAATAGTATGCTTTTTTGATGATGGCGATGACGATGGATTTGTTGCTGTTGTAGTTGTGATAGTGGTAGGTCTTTGTTGGTTTTTGGACGTAGCATCGGCCAGCGACGCATTCTTCTTGGCTTTTTTGTTTTCTTCCTCTTTAACTACTGGTGCCTCTTCTTGATGCTGTTGCACAAGTCGCTCCCAGAACGTGTTCGACTCTGTATACTCTTGTACGCCAAAGACGGTTGCTAGTGCCGCGCGTTCACGACCACCTTCAGTGCCAGTCAGGCCCGGTGGTACGACGGAACTGCAACGAGAATGATGGCCCTGACCTTCTGGCATAGCGATGGCTGTCTCTTGTGGAAGGATTACTTTGTCTCCGTTCGATTCAACCACAATCACCGTTTCTTCAGATTTACCTGCCACTGTGGTTGCCGAGTCGGTGCTGGCACAATTAATATAGCACGTTATTATTGTGAGCCTACATTGCTTTTTTGTGTAGTTGTGTTGAAACATGCGCGAGCTAAAAATGCGCAATGACTGTTCTTATATGGCTTACTGATGTGATGACTGTGATTGCTGGTTGGTAGTTGCCCAAGGAGGATGATGAATGATCAGAGGAACTGCTTGGGTAGTCATTATACTGGGGTGAGTAATAGATGGGTATAAAGAAGTATGTATGTATGTATTGTGTTGCAAATAAAAAGAGAATGTAAAAAGAAAGAGAATCGTTAAAATAAAAGAAAAGTTTTGTCGCGATATTTCTTTTGACTTTGCCGTCTGGACCGTCCCCCCTTTTTTTGCTCGCTGCCATCCCGAAGTAAGAAAAACATCTTTGGATCGGTCCATGTAGCACCATTAGCCTTGCTGTCAGACCCCCATAAATAGAAAGAACCCGAACGCGAGAGCATTAACTATCGATCAGAGGAGTATGAGTGACACAGCTCCGCTAAGTGGCAAGAGAGTTGCTCGGTAATACAAGGGCAGACGCATGTTGCATCGTGTGCTCACTGACTGGCGTTTCTCTTTTGCATGCTCTGCTTCTCCCATTGTTTCGTACACACAAGTAGACGCGTGTACCAACCAAGTAATATGCAAAATAGAGAAGATGTGTGTAGGATCAGCACCAGAATCTGTCACACGCATACTAATGAAACTGAGACAAATACGTAGGTCGGTGCAGTAAAACGAACATGTCGTTGACAGATATACAGACAATTGGCAAAGAGTGAGTGGGAGAGAGAGAGAAGAAAAAACCGCGTGGGCGCGGGCATAAGAAAATGCCATATGTAGCTATGCCTTTTGATGCAATTCGGCGAGAAAACCAACCGAGACGAATGAGAGAGTGAGGTCTACGAGAGGAAAAGAGAAGCACAGTACTAGTCTTTGCTACGTTACACTGGGAGTAGAAAGACCACGATATGTCTTTTTTGTACTCACATGCCTTGTGCAACGGCCAAGGTAAGGAAGATTTTCGTTGCCATTACAACACAAGTGCTCAGTCCATGCATCTCAATCTCTCTTTTTGTTCATCAGAAAAAGTACCCCGTTTTAATAACTGCGTTTGTCCCCGGTCTCTTTCGAGCCGATATCAATTTGTAGCCTCAACAAAAGAAAGCAAAGGGGAGAACATCACATCGGAAAACACTTTACCAGTTGTTTGCTAGGCGCTGTGCCGCTTCACTCATGGGCGTGCGTGGGTACGATGTAGCACAGAGCACGATCTTAACCCCCAAAACAAAGAACACGCCTGCCATAATGGAAGATGATCCCATTTCTTTCCCTCTCTCGCTCTTGTTAATTACCAACTGCCTTTTATTTAAAGTTTGTGTACTGCCATGTTGTTCTGTTGGCACGCCACAAAAAGGCTCTATTGTTCACATCTTCGTTCATGCCCCCTCAAATACTCCTCCACCCATGCATCGTTACGAATCAAAATGGTTATAGCCAAGGACTATTTTCTTAATCGTCTTCAATCGTAAAAAGAAAGGGAAAAAGGGGGAGTAGGAGTTTTACACAAAGATAAGCGCATTTTCCCCGAACACTATGTATCAAATCTGTCATTGTCTTTCTCGGGTTCCCAAAATAGATGAAAGCAACAGATGTCGAAGAAAATTATGACAAAAAGAAAACTTTCATCTGACACTGCTTAAAGATAATATTAGTCTTGTGATAATGGTGATCTTTTGACTGATGATGGATGGTACCATACAGCGATATCCGCTGATCACGACATAACGATGAATACGACCATTTCCGATAAGTATCAATATTAACTTGTTTCCGATTCTAAGCAATACCGAAAACAACTTGTAGACAAAAGAGTGCACTAAACTTTATTCTTATAAGACATACTCCGTTTGTTTGCATCCCCCTAACTCTTCTCTTTTTAGATATGCCAAGCTATGATACATCAGGGCCACATCAGTACCGTCATCACACATCTCTATCATTCGTTACGCTAATTAAGCACATAACGAACGGTGAATCATCATTCAGCCTGCTCTATTCCTGTGTTTCTTTACTAACCAAGTGTGCCTTCTAGCAAATTTGCATAGACGTATAGAAGCGTTTATTATAATTTTGCGCTCAATAATTTGATAATATATTGTTTACGGGGAGACAAATTCAGTAAAAGCAATAACAACAAAGAGTCCGCAGTGTATCACCCTTCCTTTTTCCCTTTGGCGAGGCACCTTGGCGAATTATCTTTTCCGTTTTAAAGCAAACACTAAACAGTATCTCCGGGCGGCGGGCGGGTAACCTGTCAATGTGTGCTAAACAACTTAATGTAACAATTCTGAGTTATCTATTAAGCATTCAAGTCACTTTAAAGAAAACATGCTGCATAAGTTGGTTTTTGTGTAGCCGGGGCCCAACACAAGCCGAGCACAGAATCTAGATAGCAAAGAGGCTGTATCTTGTATCATACACACACACACATACACACACATTGGACCACACATAGTAAGAAAAAGGTTGAGGACATCTTGTCGAGAAAAAATAGCATGTTTATCTAGAAAAAGATATGGAACGGGTAGGCGCCATTTTTGATACGGAACAAGTTCATCAATGCGCTAAATACAATCAAAATGCACATAGTCCAGATATATGCACTGATGCGCTGTGGTGTTTTATCCTTCATCTTCGGAACATAGACTGCCAAGGCAACTGTTGCCATAGCAAGAATGCCATCTATTTTGTGGATTATGTCGCTTAGTGACCATCCTCAAAAGCTTCAAACTATAACACCATCCAACCTTTAATGGTACTTACAAGTAGCGGCTACGACACGCGATTCCAAACCAAGTTGTTGCTGGAACCTAGATACAGTCATAGTCAGTACGTGAGCATATCATGCCGGTAAGCTTCTCGTCTCCATTGTTCCCTTCCATCCTTCGCTCACCACAGTTCATATCGTATACTTACCCTCCAGCAACAAAGTTCATCTTACCACCGGCGCCGGGCATCACATATGGAGGATTTCTGATCTGATTCCACATGTGGCCACTGGTCATAATGAGGATCGTTATAATTGATAGCGCTGCCCATGTATTGCGGTGATGAAGGATTGTGCCAAAGTATGGATACAAGAGTTTCAGGATAGCTGCTATACCTACGACACCGAACACTTTTACACCCAGAGCAAAGTAATCGAATGGACGTGTTACAGGTACCGGTGCACCGATCTCTCTCGACAAAAACGCGGCAAAGCTCTCGGCACCGAATCCGCTAATCCATTAGAAAATCCAATGTTAGGTATCCGCATTACCCCTTAGCTCGTCAAATAACTACAGCTCAAATATAATGCATACTTTTTGGAAAGATCATATTTTACTGGCTCAGCCTTACTGCCAGGTTTGGATGGAGGGAAGTAAAGAACATTTGGTGCAGTTTGAAGACCGAGCTACATTTGTTGACATGGCGCCTTTTTTTAGCATATATGCCTCTCTCTCATGTTCATTCGCCCTAACTCGGACACATTTGTTTACCTTTTGATAGACAGCTTGACCATCCTTAAAGTCCAAGTGACCAAAAAACACGCGTGTCGGGTCCTTTGACTTTTGGAAACTTGATGCTACCAGTTTGTATTCAGGGTCGAACTCTCTGTTAGTGTTAAACAAAAGGAACGCGTTTTGTATGAGCAAAGTGACCAAGAAATCCGATTTCCTTTTGTCATTGCTACTTGACATTCTCTCTTTTTGGATATTTTCCTGCAAGGCATGCATCGCATTTGTTCTTCCAAGGCGGTCAAGAGAACGACAAGACCATAGTTCCGTTTTCCTTCAGTATATTGATTATACGTGTTGGAATTGAGTTTGATGAGGCCATTGTTGCTCTTTGCTATGCCGGTCAGACGCTGTGTTTTAGCATCTTTTGGCTGTTGTGCAAAGGCAAGTGTAAACAGTGCAGCTATCAGAAACAGCACCGTGCTTTTCATGGTTGGTTGAATGGAGGTGTCGAGGGACTGACTGGGCTAGTGTATGTGGTAATATAAAAAAAAAGGTTTTGTCTGGCAATGCAGGCCCACTTGCTGAAATTGGCACATGGAGCTCCATGATTGGCCAATCTAGCAAAAAGCACATTTGATTCGAGCTCCATAACATACACTATTACCGCCTAACTGACCAAGCATTTTGCACAAAAACCCTGTTGGTGCGGTTATGATGATCATACTTCTTTTTTGTAAGAGTGTGCACAAGCAGATCAATATGCATCGACAACTGTTGTGGTACCATGAAACTTGGATAGGTACATCTTTATGTTCTTGAAAAAAAGAAAACGAAGATTCCAACATGGATGTATCTAAAAGCCGGCGATGGCCCATTGGCCGTCATGAAGCCAAGCGTGTGCGACCTTCGATAATTAGCAGTAATTACCTTGCTCTGTTGCTTATTAACTGGCACAACATAAAAAGTTTACAGTAAACCTGCACTACTCGATCTTTGTTTGACTGTTGCACTGAGCCACCCCTTCAAATTACGTGTATGATCAAAAGATAGCAATAGAGCTTGATCGCAACAACAGATTCTTATCGATGGTCATGTCGACCTTATTTTTCATACGGTCATTTACGGCGAAAAGGGGCTTCCCACTGTGAAAGCTTTTTACGCTAGTCAACTGCTTGTCCAGACCAGGCCAACCCAAAACCGACATCAGCAAATAAAGTACCTACTTGTTGGACTGACTAAGCTAATAGATGAATATACATCAGCGAGATAATGTCAATATTTCGACTACTTGCTCTCTATTGGAACTATGTACCCATTCATCATTACAGGAACAATGTATGTACGAATCAGGGGCCTCTCACTGTTTTCTAGATGTATATGATATACATACTATTTTCATGATTTACCGTATATACGCTCCGTGTTCCCATATGTCATACTATCATTTCTCAGTATCAATCGAGATCGACGTGAACTAAATCGTATGAGCGTGTTGTTTTTATTTAAAACAGTTCGTATTAAGTATTTTTTTGCAATGCGACGAAAGCACCAAGCGACTATGCTTATGGTTTGTATGTAGAGGGTTTTCTTGTCGATCGATGAAACACAATATCCAGCGGACTAGTGCTGGTATCCCGAGATGACAGGAGACTTTGGCTATTTATCTTAAGGCCCGACATGAAAACATAAGAATCTTGCATAAAGGACCTGCACTGTCAAATGAACAGATAGTTGCATCTGAATTGAAAAAATCATTGTAGTTCTTTGAAAAGAAATGTTTTCCACTGCATTCAGGACTTGATAGTAGCAATATTTGTATGGTGTTTTTTTATGATTTTCGTATTTTTGGTTCTTCATCTACAAAGACGTGTGTATCACCGAAGGCCCACTTTCATTGTAATCCACCTTGCTGACATAGTTCTTTGCATCAACAAAAACGAGCTACGAGTAGCATTATTAGTTTGATTGTATACAATAGTAGTAATTGTGATCTTTTATGAAAGAGAATCAGAACCGGTTATTTTACCTTTGCAACAATCTCACCGCCAAGCCATGTGCACAAGTTTCGATAGGTTCGATCTTTCAGCACCGTAAAGTAATCTGGTATCCGTAAGAATCCAACCTGTCTCGGCTGCGCATCGCCAATGTTTTCCGAACAAGGCAACACATTGACCACTTCTGCCCTTATCCGTGGCTGTAATCCGGTCATTAATGAGCCGCCTCCGCACAACGCCATACTTTCCCAAAGCTTGGGTCGGATTTCCGGTGGTTCACAATGTGATGCTGCAACACGCAGTGCTTCGATTAGGTTTGGTCCATTCTTGCTAACAACGCTCAGATCGAACAGTGGGTCGTATACTTGATGACGATACGATCCAACGTTAAACTAAACATAAGAGAATTGAGCAAATCTGGTATTCCATTTCCTCTTTTTGTTCTTTTTTTACCATTTACTATACCTTGTAGCCTTTATATTCTATTTCGATGCTTTCAGAAACATCCTTGACTGTGTCATCATCGTCCTTTTCTGTCGAGGGCACATCATCCTCAATTGCTTCTTCAGTGGCTGCTGCTGCTGCATTTTCAATGTCATTGGCTTCACTTGACTGCTCTGTGGATGTCACATCATGACCAACAAATACGTTGCAAACGCCTTTTTGTTCCTTGACAAATCGGGCAAATTCTTTATCAAGTGCGACACCTTCTTTACCCTCGAATTGCTGTACCAACGACGCGTCGTTTTTCATTAACCGTAACAAATGATCGCTAAAATCTTTGCCGCCCACTGGAACTGTGATTGTTGCTTGTGGTTGAACAAGACTGTCAATGACGACGTTGATCTCTAAAGGACATATTCGCGTTTGTGAATAGACATATCTTTCCATTTTAGCCCACAATCGCACACATGTATAAGGTAGCACAACTTTATGTTCCCTTTTGCTTGCGTCATTTACGTGTTGCTTCTTCGCCAATATCTACGACAACGCCAGATACCGACCCACAGCCGTACAAAGCCAATAGGGGTTGTGGTGCCAAGTATATACCAGGTACGTTAAACTTTTCAAAAAATATTTGTGTGATACGTTCGTGTTCGAATTTCGACCACTGTGTTGGTACGGAAAGCAGTACGGCGTGTTCGTTTCGCGATTTCTTGATGCCCAATTCCTTAAAGAGAATGTGATGCCTAGTTTTCAATGTCTTTTCGTTAATATTGATACCAGTTCGCGCGTGTTTGTGCTCAAAATTACTGATGTCATTTTTTCTCAATTACTTTACCAGCATGCTTCCAAATCTTCCCAAGAGACAATTGTATCGTTTTTGAGTGGATAGTTAAAGTCTGCCATGTTAACTGTCTATTGTTGAATTAGTGCATTTGATGCGCGTTTACCAGATAAATATAAAGGTATAGAAAATGAGTTTTAAGGCAAAAATAAACGTGTATAAGCTGTAGCAATCTTTAAAGATCAACATACGACGGTGGGTGTTTTGTTAGTGTCAAGGGTGCCCATGCCAGCGCGGGTCACTTGGGATCCCACATCGATGATCACAAAGTTTTCTTCTCGAAGAGCAAGTGCCATGGTGTACAAAGGAGAAAGGAAGAAAGATTGTACTTCTGCAGCGTTATTTGAAATCCTAAAATCGGGCGTGGTGACAGCCTGCCACAGAAGAATATCGATAAATTAACACTATTGGAGATACCACTATAACAATGGAGTGTCCTCTCTATGAATGACCAGAGTTGACAGAGCTTTTCCAAAAAATATAGCAGCGCCAAATTAAGCCTACTAGAGTAAACCAAGAAAGAAGATTAGTGAGTTAGTAAATCGGTTGGTTGGTGTTGAAGCTTACACTTTACTACGTATAACAGCACCATCCTCGAAAAAACACTCAATAAGCATACATATGATCTCTACTCCTTGCTCGCTGATAAGGAATTCAATTAAGAGCATTACTGTGAGTTTACTGTCTGGCTAAGTTAAATATCAAAGGCGCAAGGGTGATATTGTATACCCGGAAGGATTTCGAAGGTATCTCGTTCATGCAAAACATAACTATTGAGTATAGCACATACATTAGCACGAGACCTTAGAGAAACATTTTATATATGTTTGTCATATTAAAGACAATTAAATGACTATCTCTTATGCCATAATCGGCTCCAACCTCGTTTGCATCCATCCTCTCTAAGCTTAATCAATTATGCAACGACGGGTTTGATGCAAAGACACTATTTGGATATGTAACTTCTGTTACCTGTTTGTTTTTAAAAGATGTACAAGAAGAGCACACACTGTTTATAGTCAGGTGCAAATTACCAATCCACTTGCTCTGATCAGGGGGAAACGTTAGTATATTAGTTATACATGAAGAGGTCTTAAACTGGATTAACAGTGGTGGTTTCGCGTTATGTCGTTGTTATATAGTAGATCGCAGAATGCATAAACTTGACAGCCTTTGGTTATTTGCAAAAATTATGAGTTCAAGTCTTCGGTGTGGGCAATCAAAGCAACGTTATTTAATGTAAATACTGTATATAAACTTATCCTGGGAACGAAGATACAATATAAATTCGTCAACAATCCATAATCTCATCAAGGTGCACGCATGTGCGAAACCAGAAACCAGAGAATCAGTATGTAGTAGCTGAACCGGACGAGATCTCTATACGACCAGCAGCTTTGAATGACTTTAGATACTCGGGGAGAATTGCCTCTGTTGTGTAAATCGTGCTTTTTGCACGAATGGTGAGTCGTCAAATAACGTCTCTTTATCTCCCTGTATGGTATATATCCATCGAAACGAATTTTCATCGGCCTTAATATATTAGCGGGATGGATATTAGACCATGGTCTTATGCGCGGTGATCGCATTACAGCTCAATATGATAAACCGAAAGCGAGATCTGTCGACACCAACAAGGTGGAAAACAGATACCTGCTATCATATGCGCTTTCGTTTACAAGCAAGTAAAAGCAGAAACACGTGATGCAGACGAAGAACACAATGCCGTAGTTGCTGTTGTTGAGATTATAAGGATTGACATACACGACTACAACAAGAACGAGTGCCTTATCAACTTGCTCTCAGTGGCACCACAGTGTCAAACGCAAGGACCCAGTTCTGGCCGGCTGGGATTTGCTGCAAAGATGTATGCCAAAGCGTTGGAATACACTAAAGTAGCAATTGAGGTATCTTCTACCAACAAAAAACTTTGCTTGTCCGGTACCTGAAATGTGGGTTCTCGGATACAGGCACTGTGGAATAGCGTGCAATAGCAGAAAGGTTCTATCTGAAGGACTTGTTGCACGTCTCAAAGTGGAATTTTCAACAGGAATGGATCTGGAGGTTACTCTAGTATAATTAGTGAAAATGTCAACTATACTTTGTATTTGGACAATAACAATGCCTGTTATGACGTAATATTTTGTTTACGAAGAGTTCATCGATTGCTGATTTGTTATTTTGCAACAAACGCCACCATTATTTGAAGAGAAGCTATCCGTCTACTGGTTGGTCAATGAAACCTCAAGAGAAACTTGGTTTGGATACTATTGCAATGTGGTAGTATGCTTAAGCTACTACAACATATATGCTTATTTTTGGGAGTAAAACGGTGATGCAATTGCAGTTGAAGATGAATAGGACTATGTGAATGCAAAGTATTCATTGCGCATATCCGCAAAGTGGAGGTCATTTCAATTCCCGTTCCTGTAAAACGGCACTTACACTACTTGTATCTAATACACCTATCGTTATTATATAATACATATCATGTTTATCTATCCATACTTTTCTCACACATATATCCTTAAAGCAAAAAAAAAGCGAAGAGTAGGAACTTGTTCACTGATCCATAACAAAATGACAAACACGCTTACGACTCGTGTTAGAAATTCTTATAAATACGACGATCAAATGATTTTTTTTTCAGTAGAACGCAATTTTCTACTTGTTCCGCCTCACTTTGACCGTGCTAATTGTCCCTACAACCAAATATTATGGCACCTCTGCAGATCATCGGCGCTGGCTATGGTCGTACTGGAACTGATAGCTTGAGGGAAGCACTTGAAATTCTAGGGTAAATAAAGAAACTAGTTGACTCTACTACTTGTCGCAAATATGCTGTTACTGTGTGAAGCGTATGATAGTATGAAATATACTTACACCTAAGCAAAACGTACTCGTATTTTTATATATAGCTACCGCACTCACCATATGAGACGTATGCATGAAGATAAAGATACCGATCCCGACGGGTTCAGAAATGCTTATGAGAATCCAACACGTTCTGTCGATTGGGACAGATTGTATGGAAATTACGATGCTGCCGTTGATTGGTAAGTACACACAAATAAGAGAGCATCAATGACAGCACATGAACTAACTTTTTTATTGTTATTTATTATCGACATTGATATTTCCACGACGGTTTTCAAAGGCCAACGGTTACATTCGTTGACAGACTTATCAATCACTACCCGGATGCAAAAGTTATCCTGACTGAACGGGATCCAGATAGCTGGTATGCTTCACTCCGCGAGACGATTGCCAAAGTGTTGCCATGCGACCCAAACGATGCTCACATAGGACGCATACGAAGCATGGCGCGTGCAATTGTACTGGATGGTGTCTTTCAGGATCCTGCAAAATCTGATATGCTACTGGATGATCAAGAGGCCATCAAAGCAAAGTACAATGCTCATGTTGCGTGGGTCAAAGAGAACGTACCAGAGGAACGTCTTTTTATCATGAAGCTTGGCGAAGGATGGGATCGGCTGTGCGCATTTTTAGGGAAACCTGTGCCTAACTTGCCATATCCGCACTCGAATAAGCGAAAAGGGTTTCAAGATTGCTGGCGCAAGTTCGATGACGGAGGACATTCATACCCTGTTGAGCCACTGTCCGTAAAGATGAGCTGATATTACTATGTTTGTAGTATGGCTGTATTCACCATGCTTGTGGCTTTATAGGTGCGCAGTAGGATTAGCTCAGAATAAAAACATTTTTTGATACTCTGATGTGATCGTATGTATAAATCAATGATTTATCTGTGTGACTGGTGATGAGACTCGACATTATACTGCTGATAAACTCGCGCTCACTCAGCTGGGGTGATGCCCTTACTATCAATACATGATCAGGTACAAATACTCACATGATATAACCAGAGCGTTTCATTAGAGTGTGTTCGTGTGGATATATACCATTTTTAGACCGAATCGTTTTCGGTTGGAAAAAAAGGGCATCAAAGCGTGCGATATATGCTGTGGTAGTATCAATACTTTCACATGCAAATATGCAAGAGACAGCAGCAACAATGCATGAAACTGTCCTTGGGCGAGCTTCAATGCTAAAACAAAAATTGTTGGGCATGAACTTTGTTTAGGGCGACTTTAACCTAAAAAGGAAAAACAACGGTTGTGCCATACTCACACGTACAGTACCAAGAAGCAACTGGGAACCTAATTGTTATGTACTGATGTGTCGCAAAGGGTCCAGTACCGTTTTAATTGTTCCATTGTATACTTTTGTGATACGCGTACCATCGCGCATAGAGAAGACGGTGTATCGTGACTTAATTGTTTAGGACTAATCTTGCTGTGAATTATCCTTTTCAAAGATGGTCTAGTAATGACTTGCGCGCTCGGTTACAAAGCGCATGGTATTATTCCCATCGGATGGACTAGCAAGGATTACATAGTCGGATTCCGATTGATCAAGGAACCACGGAAAGTCTTAATCTTTGTGCAACATTACAAGTATCATTAGGAACTACCAAACTACGTAGTGATCCAATTAGTGCAGGTGAGGGGGGGGCTGCTTATTCTTCCCCGCCTTTTTTCAATAATCAATCTGGTAAAGATATTAAATAACACTATCTTGTTTTTGAGACCTTTAAATGAAAAAAAAACATCAACACAAAGTAAAATGTTGGTCATTTATGTCACTATTGCTATTTATGTTGTTCTCCCAACTGATCGCTAGGTGACACTATGATCCAATGTCGCATGTTGCTGTGGATCGCATATGGTATAGCGTAGCATTTCAGGCATGTGATCTCAAACTACATGATCCAGAACATACGCACATTATTTCATTGTTCAAAAAGTGAGGCAGAGTTGTTGCTCAATGGGCTTTCTTTTTTGTTGTCTCTCGTTTTTGCTCAAGCTTCTGTGTTATTGGACATGTTTCTGATTGATCCGAGGTATCCAGGCTGAGGGGCAAGGTGTGTGTGTTCCTGTTCCTGAAAATCTTAAAAACTAGTGGTGGGGAAAAATAAGCATATCTGAAACCATGACAAGAAATTGAACCTTTTGTTGCTACGAAGATCTTGTAATCATAGCAACCAAGACTCTGTTGTCATGGAAATCGAGCAGAGGTATAAAGAAAGCGACGTTGGACTACGAAAGAAGGAAATTTCTCAGAATTCGTCGCTTGACAAGACAGAAGGATCAAGGCACTATATTAGTACGTAGTAATGAAACACAGACATCACCCACATTGGAAAAAGAGATGCTGCAGCCATGTTTAAGCATTTCAGGTTGCTGGGATTGACTTGTTTAACAAAGCGGGATCTTAATATGCTGTTCTCTTTGGGTACTAACCTTAATAAATATATTAGAAGAAAGGAAAGCCAGTAGCAGGAAGGGAGAGGGGAAGAGGTTGGGGGGCGAAGACCTTGAACGCTATGGTCAATGTTTACCTGTGTAACCGGGTTCAATTAAGACGTAGTACAAATATATTGTCGGCTAATTTCATTTGCTGCTGTACGGGGCATGGCCATCGTTATTGTTGCAAAATAAACCCAAGGATCGACATACATAACAACGCATTTCCTACGTTAGTATATATACTCGCACACACACACACACACACACAGACGAAACGTAAGCCCGAAAAGACGACAAATGGGTAGCGGAGTGAAAGAGCGTACGGCCAAGGGTAAAGGAAAGGGGGGGGGGTGCGGATGCTCCGTTTCCTCTCGGCTTCTATTTCTTTTTCTACCCTTGCATAGCTTGATTCAGTGCATTTGTGAGTAGGTAATTGAATGGGTGAGTGACGGGGCGATTCAAAAAGAAAACATAAAGAGAGGGTGCACAGTGAGTCGAGAGAGACAATAAGGGAGAGACGCGTGTGTGTTTACACAGAAAAAAACAAAAGCACCAACGATCAATGCCCGCGTTTGGAAAGACATTTTGTTATATGATGATGGTGCAACAACGAAGGGAAAAAAAAATATGGACACGACTCCGATCAATGTGAACGACAGAACAGAATCGTTTTTTTCTTCTTCTCTCTCTCTCTCTCTCTCTCTCTCTCTCTCTCTTCTTTAACTCTCACTCTCCTTACTTCTTTTGTGTACAGCGTCTTTTTGGAAAAGGACACGGACAAGAACAAACACTTTTGCACCGAGTTCTTCCTCCTTCTTCCTCTTTTTTTTTTACCAACCCGCTTCTTCTTTTCTATCTACGCACACACACACACACACCCCTGAGCGTTCCTTTTCCACTTTTTTTTGCGCGCGCGCAACCTTCCCTAAACACTATCAACTCACTCTTTCCATTTTTGATATCTTCCTTGCCATATACATTGCCAATTAATCGTAATGCAAGACGAAATTGTGTACGCTATTCACGACTTTGTTGCCGAGAACGACGACGAGATTGCTTTTCATGCCGGGGATTCCATTGTAGTTCTCGAGAAAGATGAAAAGTACATGGACGGTTGGTGGCAGGTAAAAAAAAAAATAAGGTTTTCCAACATATTTCTACTCTGTTTAGATAGAAAAAGAAGATGAACCAAACGCATTATTGTTACTGTTATTATCAGGGACGCAATCCACAAGGACACGTCGGTCTGTTTCCTATGAACTATACAACACACGTTAAACCTACTCCAGCACCACCACCATCATCGAGCACACCAGCACTCAGTCCCGCTCACTCGTCGTCTGGCAGCAACACGCTCGAGGACGAGATCGACAATGCAATAACTCACGTTTCAACAAACCTTATTACTCCAAGCACGTCCACTTCTGCTTCTGCTGCATTCATGCATCAACCACAGCCACCACCTGCTGGATCCCCACCACCGCCCCCTTCTTCTTCGTCTTCGTCTTCTCATCCAGCATCCGTAGTAGCACCACCTCCTATCACCACGATCGACACAACAACAACTGCAGCAGCGGCTCCTTCTCCTTCTTCGAAAACAGAGGATTGGTCGATCGATCAGGTTGCAGAATGGCTACAGTGCGTTGGGTTGGAGAATGTATCAAGTAATTTTGTTGGTGAGTCATTCATTCTTTTGTCTTCTTCATCCACTCCCCTTATGACCTTTCGCTCTATATTCCTCTCGTCTCCTCTCGTCCTCTTGTTCATACAAAACGAATCGTTTGGGAATGTAGAACAAGAAATTACGGGTGACATCCTGCTGAGCTTGACCATTGATTCGCTCAAGGAGCTCGGAATCACTGCCTATGGCCGTCGGTACAAGGTCATGAATGCGATTGAAAAGTTAAAAAATGCCACTGGCCAGGTAAAAATATAGCCCAAAGATGAGGGAATCCATAAGGAGTGCCAAGATAAAGGCTAACAGCAAAACATAGGGTAATGACGAGCAGCAGCAGCAGCAGCAGCAACCCAAAGAACAGCCAGAGCAGCAACAAAAACACCAGTCTGAGGCCTCAACGCCATCTGTGCCTTGCTCTCCTATCGATTCTGACAGCATGTACCAGTTTCCTCGAAAAGCACCAATGCCGCCGCAGGGTGGAAGCACAAGCACGGAGCTCAATCACAATAGCAGCAGCACGACATCGAGCAACAACAGTAGCAGTCATCGACGACCTACAGATTCACTCTTGACCGCCGGACAGTTATCTCCTCGCAGCTATGCATCCTCGTCTGTGAGTCGATCCAATACATTCCAGACCATCTCCTCCTCAAAATCATCCACTTCTTCTTCGGGTCGCATGCCCTCCCAAAAGAGCAGAGACAGCATTGAGAAAGAGCGAGCTCCGTCCATGGAGAATCAGCAGCAGCAACAGCAACAGCAGCAGCAGCCAATGGCGAGCATTCACGAATTACCCTCCTCTCCTCCAATCCATCCCATGGACGGTGGACGCACATTGTCGATGGCTGCAGCCGATCCATTCGCCACACGTGACCGTAACATGTCTGTCGCCTCTGTCGACCCATTTGCATTGAACCGTGCGTCGACCCATGTATTCAAGGCCCCCGAGCATGAAGGATGGCTGCACAAGCAGGGCGACAAGTACAGGACATGGAACAAGCGATGGTTCGTGCTCAAGGGAAGCAATCTGTTCTACTTTAAGAGCCCTAAAGAAGTGCGGATGAAGGGCATCATTCATCTGCGCGGATACCGGATTGTTCCTGACGAATCGATCCATCCGGGCAAATACAGCTTCAAAGCACAGCATGAACGAGAACGGACATTCTACTTTTACACAGACAGCAAAGAGTCCTTACGGACATGGATCAAGGTCCTCATGAAGGCCACCATCACCCGCGACTTTGCTTCGCCTGTCATGTCATCCAATCATGTTGCGACTGTCCCACTGGAAGTGGCTCAGCGACTGCGACCACGACCGCCGTCCATGCTCATCCATCCACATAGCAGCAATAGTAAGGCTGCTGCTGCTGCCGGTGCTACTGCTGCTGGCCACAAGTCACCGCCGATCAGTCCAATCGAACGACAAGATGAATGGCAATCGCCACCACAGCTACAGCATCAGCTATCTGCCAGCACCAGCACCGACACCAAAAACAGCAGCAGCAGACTGTCTCCACAACATCCTCCTCTGTCATCTCAGCAAAGTCGCGAGTCGGGCATCACTGTCTATCCAACCACCCTCGAACCACAGCACCCTCACCATTACCTCACTGACTCGCTGGCCGATAATGTGGGTGATGAACCAGACGTGCCGGATAAGTACATGTACGATCATCTCAATGGCCCATCTCCCATCGCACCTGCGCCTACACTGTCGTCATCCATCCTTATGAGTGACGAAGACGAGGATCTCATTGATCCGCACCACAAGGCTATGGTGCATTCACCGCCGCTTCAATCACCGCCACTGCCGCCCGCAAATTTGCCACCACCACCACCCCCTCCGGCTCCTTCATCATCTTCTGGCCCAAGTGCGAGAGATCTGACCCGGGTCCAGTATGTCGACTGGATCAACAAGCACCTGCCACCGGGCAAGCGTGCGATTGATCTCGCGGGCGCATTCAGAAACGGCGACTCGTTGATCCTCCTTTTGGAGAGTCTGAGTGGCAAGACGGTGCGCCGACCACCGGCCCAGAAGGGTGGCTCGGTGAGCATGATGATGCTCGATAACATTGTGGCTGCGTTCAAGTTCATGGGCCGTGAGGGCGTTGTCGTCGACGGGCGATACACGATCAAGGACATTTTCGGCGGCGATGAAGAGAAAATCATGGATATGCTGGATGCCATCATGGACTGGCGTGAAAAGATGACCGACGATGCTGCATAATGGAAAATTTACACTACTTCTCCCGCAAACACTCAATCACCCACTCACCACTGCCACTTTACCTCTCTCTCACATTCATTTTTTGCTATTACATCCCATTTTCTTAAAGGAAAGAAAAAAATAACACCCTCCCTAATAACACACACACACGCACACACACACAAAGTAGAATATAGTCTATAAACTTGTCACCATAAATTATGTATTTATCTTTTTTTTATTTGTTCCCATAGCAATTATCTAGCACACTAGCACAAACAAAAAAATAAGCTGAAACGCCAAATTTTGCGACTACTGAGGGGAGCTGGTGTTGCGAAACGTCACCCTTCGCACAGTTTCACATTCCGCCCGCCTTGCATCTCTCCAGCGGGGTCGTCTGGGCCTATTCTTTTTCTCTTCTTCCACTCACCCCCTTTGACTTGGTTCTCTATATTCCCCGTCTTTACTTTTTAAAACCGTAATTGTCTTTTTTCCTTGCTCTTACAAAAACCGCTCTACGTGCTCTTGTTATTAAATACTTGTTTTATAATAGCTCTCCAAATACCATAAAGAAATATAACAATGGCTGATTACTGGTAAATTCTTTCATTCTCATCTGAACACTGTTACTCTTTCCAGATTGACACTCACACACACGCATGCAACTCAACTCACACACATTATACTAAACTTCGTACGAATACATGTACATATATATATATAGCCCTGTCTACGCCCCCTTCTTTGGCACCATGGGATGCACTGCCGCTATCGTCTTTAGCTGTAAGTTTTCCTTTTCTCTATTTCTTTTTGCTGAAATTACGCGTCGTCGCCGTTCTTCTTTTAACGGTTATGGGGCTTTTCCCCTGGAAGGTCTCGGAGCCGCGTACGGTACCGCCAAGTCTGGTGTCGGTCTTTCGGCCATGGGCGTCCTTCGCCCCGACTTGCTCATCAAGTGTATTATTCCCGTTGTCATGGCTGGTATCTTGGGTATCTATGGTGTCGTCGTCAGGTAAGAGAGAGAGAGAGAGAGAAAGAGAGTTGCTTTTAGTTGCTTAGTGTAAAGTAGTAGTAGTCGTCGTAGCTAGATACTCATAAAAAACAATCATCTTATCTGTAGTGTCTTGCTGTCCGGTGGTCGTAAGTATCTTCTACACACCTCTTTTGATCAAAAAGAGATAAAAAAAGGCTTAACATTTTTCTTTTTCAGTTGCACTGAAGCAAACGCTGTTTGCTGGTTTCATTCAGTTCGGCGCTGGTTTGAGCGTCGGTCTTTCCTGCTTGGCTGCAGGTATTGCTATTGGTATCACGGGTGACGCTGGTGTCCGTGCTACTGCTCAACAACCCAGAATGTTCGTCGGCATGGTAAGTCTTGTCGTCGTCGTCGTCTTGCATGCACATCTTTTTGTGTTGTACCAGAACGCCAAAAAAAAAGCTCACACTCCTTGTTATTTTTTTCCTAGATTTTGATTCTCATTTTCGCTGAAGTCTTGGGTCTGTACGGTCTTATTGTCGCACTGATCTTGAACACCAAGGCATCCGGTACCGAAAGCATCTGCGCTTAGAAAGGAAGAAGAAAAAGAATAACCGAGAGGGAGATGTAGCTTTTTTTTTCTTTTCTTTCGTTTTGTACGTGTAAAAAAAAAAGAACTTCATATTCCTTTATTAAAAGATAACAGCACAACACAATATCACATCACCAGCTTTCTCTATGTATCTTTTTCTACTTTCGAAACAACATCATCCGGTGTTGTGCCCTGAAGTCTTATTTCGCTCGTACTATCATGCTGCATAACGGCTATTATTGCTCGGGTTGTTTGAGGATTGTGCGTCTCTTCTAAAGGGTTCCTGGGGAGCTTGGCGTATGTAGAGTCCAACTCTTTTCATACACCAGTCGGCTGATATACAGTCTTTGACATGGTAGCTTGATGCTTTATCAGCGTATACATGTTCTATGCTGCTAATATGAGTATACAATGCTCTTTAAAACAATCATGAGATCTCTGGAGGGCAGGAACCAAAGATTGTGGATCCATAAGAAAACGCCCAATCGGCTCTCGGCATCATCGGTCATTACGCCACAACATTTTTATAGAACTTGAAACGTTCCTGGAGATTCTTCTACCAAAATAGAACGAGCACCGACTTCCTTCCTTACTCTGGGTGTTCCTTAATGTATAAGCTCTCTCATATAGTGCTACATAGCAACATCAAGCCCGCATTCATCTGCTTATCCTTCAGCAGGAAAGCGTGTAGCTCATATTACTTATTATACCACTTGCAGCAGTATCTAAGCCTAGTGTACGCCTAATTATTGAGCATCCAGTATACGTTTGGTCCTTTATCTGGTGGCGTTGTTGCCACTGGTCGCTAAAATGTATAGAACTACTACTGAAGTCATCGCCTGTGAAATCACTGAGAGCATATCAATAAGACACTCATTCGTCAATCGTCGCTACAATGATAACGGCAGCGATTTGCTACTTCTTCTCTTCGGTCGTCAAAGAGAGAGCGAGAGAAAGGTCGCACATGCTTCCGACCGTTCAACAACAAATGACAAAGCAAGTCATCTTATGCCTTCCTTTTTTCTTTGTTGAGTATTAGTGAAACCACAAAATAATAATGACAACTCACATGGCGCTATATAGCAAATAACGCGTTACTCGTTAAAGCTAAAGTCCATTCCATTCCATTTTAGATACCTCTTTAGTTTCTCCACCAAGTAGGCAGCGTTCAAAAAGTAAGCACTTGTGAATTTTCCCATACTTTAGGATCACAATGCAAGGCCAAACTATCCACGGTCCCTCTAGCGCCCTTTGGAAGAAAGCAAAATGATATTCGGTTACATAGTCTTTCAGTGCAATATATATGATATAATCACAGATCAAAATTTGATAAATGATATGCTATAGCCAATCTAAAACCGTCGCTTCAAATTAATCCGTAAATTAACGGGCGTCATGATGCCGACGCCAGAGATCACCACTTTATCCTTGTGGATAGAGTCTTCTGGTAAAGAAAGCTCGTATTTTCTCACTAGAAATTGTTAAAGTAGAGAAATCGAAAGGAGAAAGCAAGATGTGTGTTCAATGTCGAGTCAAGTTATATAAAAGCGAATTGCAATGGAAATCGTTCGCAACGTTGTTTAATAAACTTACATAGCATCGGGAGAAAAACTCGCTGTTCGGCCAAGCTAAAGTTCATACCGATACACTGACGTGCGCCATTACTAAACGGCAACCAGCTCATGCCCATTTTGGCTACTTTTTCAGCCTCTCCTCCAGGTGCAAATCGCTCGGGATCAAAGACTTTGGGGTCCTTCCACACCTTCACATTACGTTGGATCTCCATGATATCGACTGTCACGCGGGTACCCTTGGGGATGTAAACGCCACCTAAATCCGTATCTTCAGTTGCTTCACGAGCAACAACGCCGGTAGCTGTAACGTTTCGTCGCATCGTTTCTTTTTTTTTTATAAAAGTTTATATTACCATCATTATAGCATTTCGTTTTCGTTAGTATGTAGTTGTTTGTAAATAGTCCTATGTATTACACATTACCTTTGATTACTTGATTGATATAAGGCATCTGCTGTATTTGCTCTAATGTGGGAAGAACGTCTACGGACTTGTCACCAAGGACTAGGTTGGCCTCTTCGCGTGCCTTTTCTTGTACGTCCTGAAAATACGATTGAGATATACACCGTAAGAACTCCACTAGCTTACAGTCAAATATTATGAGCCGACATATCACATACCGGATGCGTAGCCAAGTTGTAGATGGCATACGACAAGGCGTTAGCAGTGGTATCATGGCCAGCTAAAAAATGATTAAAGTTCATGTAGTGGTGAGTACGCTATATAGTATGTAAAGATGTACTAGGTCCTTTTCTCTCTTTGTCTCTTCCATCGCTTAATATAGGCGATGCATACCTAAGAAGAAAGCGCACAAATTGCTCTATAAATTTAAACGGGTATATCATTAGCGATAAATAATCATCAGCAGGCAAGCAACATTATTGAAAATATGTTACCTGTAATTCTTCATCTGTTAATTTACCGTTACCCTCTTCGCTGGCTTCCAGCATGAGGGTAAGCAAGTCTTTTTCGCTGGTGCGCTTTTCGGCAATCGAGCTATCATTAACCAAAGTCTCGCGCTTCTTGGCGATGATTTCACGAATTTTACCGAGAAAAATATCGAGTTCCTTGTGTGCCTGTTTGCGTTTAGGAAACAGGAATAGCCAGCGAGTCTCAAGCGAGGGTAATAGCATGAACAATGGATCGGTATTGGCTTTCATAATGCTGTTGTATCGGGTGACCCATTCGTTGGTAGGATCCGCGACGGAGTTAAAATCGAAATCTACACACAATAATATTATGCATTCAGCAGGTACTTTTCTTTTTCCATCCCTATTGACACTTACCGAATCCTGCAATGCCAATGGCATCAAGCGTCCAACGCTCTAAAACTTCATGGATTTCGATCGGGCTTTCCAATTGCTTATCGAGCTCAACAAATAGTTTTCGTGTCAGATCACCGAATAAATGAACAGGCATGGACCTGTGGAAAGCTGGGTTCATAACCTAATTTTTGGCAATTTAAAAAATCAACGTGTTCAATAAACATAACTCCCTCTTTTTCCTTATGAGAGAAAGAGATGCTTACGCTTCGTTGCTCTTTCCAATGTTTTCCAATTAAAAAGATAATATTGGGACCCATCGCAAATCTGCCAAACAGCGTGTCACGGCGACCTAAATTCATGTTGATCTTTGGAAAGAGATCTATGTATTTTTATGAGTCCATTTTATGTCCATTTTTATCCATTCTTATTTGATCCCTTTACCTGCTTTGAGCAATAACTTTTTGGCTGATTCTGGACGTGTGACATGAACAGTCCAGCCATACACATCAAAAACCTAAACAGTACAGAACAATTTTTTAATGGGCAGCAAGGTCAGCATGAGTTATCCCCTCACAGAAAAGGTTACAGGTTGCCTTACAATATATGATCCATGCTCAGTCTTTGCACTTATTGGAACAGTGATGTTTTCGGCTGTCTCATCATAGGGTTGCTGTGTCAAAAAGCTGCTCACGTATTTGAAGAAGTTCGCTTGGGGAATGTGACGGAGGTGTTTTGGTGGTTTTGTGATCTTTTCAAAAGCAAGATAAAGCCCAAGCAACGCGACTGCGATTGCAACTGATCTTGTTCGATTTTGCGATAGTAGTGCGTTACTGCTAGCGCCATTAGCAGGAAACAGCGTAGACCATAGTTTATCTTTGATACGCACGATAACAGAAGAAGAGACAGAGGCCATTATGCTGTATGTAATCTCCTTGTTCGTCTGAATTGGAAGATAAACAACAACACAAGAAGAAGAGACAAAAAAAGAAGCCTAATTTAAATATGTATAATTGAATTACCCAGCTAGGGTTTGTCTGGTGTAATGTCAAGCAAGTGTGGAGCGGATGAGGCGCCGAATATTCCTCCGCTCACCACTCAATAAGCTGCTGTTAGGTAAGTGTGGGTTACGAGATTTTACTCAAAACGGTTTAGCTTGTTGTATACAAGCAATTTACAGGCAAGCAAAAGAAGAGGTACTTTGTTAAATTCTCACATGCGTCGTAAGTAACAATGAACAGTAAACATAAAAAAGAATGTACAAGAGAACCTACCGAAAAGACAGCCCCAACCCCTGGAAACGGTATGACCCATGGGAAATCGCTATGCAGGAGTGATATGTTCGGACGAGGTACAGGTGCAGCGCATTCATGTCATTTGTGGAAGCTTCTTGCAGGTTCTTTGAGAATTAAACAAGTAAGCTTGGTCATGGTTATTAAAAATGAATACAACCAGCCATAAATTTGCCTTTATAATAGCACATCACTAATGTGCTTCGAGAGCTCTTTTCATCCTTCTTATATACTACGGTAGCCGGGGATACCATTATCGATGATCATGTCGCATTCACCAGTGAATACTTTATAAAAGAGTCTGTTTAATGATGACAGCGAGTATACATTAATATTCTTCCTGCCCCTCAATATCTAATAGTTGTCCAAGCAAAAAAAAAAACCGAACAATCGGTGCAGCACTGCTGAAACAGGAAATAATTATAGTATTGAGATGCAAATTAGGCAAACTTGACTGCTAAACTGCCATAAAACCAAAGTCAATAATCAAGAATTCGGTAGCCTTACAATAAACATTCAAACAAACTAAAAGGTCCATACCGATGACAGACAAGTGTAACAAATAAAATAGAGCAGGGTGACGGGGCACAAATATCCAAAAGACAAAGAGTAATATCCAAGTAACTAAAATATCCAAACCAATGAGTTTTCCTAAATATCCAATCCAGTTTCCTTGAGGTCTTGATCCCGAATACATACAGTGAGTCCGGTCTTGCAAGCTTGTATTCAATGCCAAATCAAAAGCAAGTAACGGGGAAGAGAGCTGTTGTTTTATTTTGACCAGAATTGCAGTATTTATATCCTATCAATTACTCTTGTGCAGCTACAGTCACAATAGGGGTCGAGATACAACCTAAACAGAACAAATTGTAATCACAACAATAGTGTAACCTGCAATGCTTTCCTTTATTGGACAAAACACTTGAAGCATATATGGATTTAAATGGGTCTTTTCAGATAGCAACTATCTGGGTACACATATTGTACGCTTCCGCTCGCGCTATGCTAAACATTAAATTATGATAAACCACACAGGACCGAGAAAAAAGAAGCGAGCTTCTGTTGCTCTCTATTCAGGGTATAAGCTTGCGGAATTCTACTGCATACAGATATGCGATGTAAACGTGTGCTTTTAAGTGGATCATATGATCCAAGAAATTCAGGATTATAAGACAACCCATGAACATGAATTATAGCGCTCGGCAACTACAATCAAGAGATGCATACCTTATCTATAGGTAGTCTTGTCCTTAGAAGATCCAATACTTTGGTTTCATTGATGTCAAAGAAGAACCCCATGTCATCTATCACAACAACACATCTTCTTATGTCTAATTACCAGCCACACTGCTCTCGTACACTGGAAATGACGTGAGCGTAATCTATAACTGCTGCTGTTGGTAATCATTACGTAGCACTAGAGCAAAATATATATTCATGCAGCTTCTTACATCACAGTATTTCACATACCGCAGTCTAGTCTTAATATCATGGGGGAGGGGTTGGTTGCTAAAGGAGAAGATATGCATCATGGGTACTGGGTACATCCGATGTGAACTAGAATATACCACCACTCTGATGAAAAGTTGCAAAGAAGACAAACGACTCTTCAGTTTTGTTACCGGACTTGCTTTCTAAGCGAAATGGTGTATATACCCCCAAAAAGGGATGGCTAGAGCCCGATTAATAATCCAAACTTTGGGTGCTCCGCGTTTTAGGGACCCTTTCATCAAATCGCAAAATGCTGCAGCGATGTCCAGCGGGGATTATGCAATCGATCCTTTTTGGACACTTGTAGCTACTACTAACACACATGTACGAGAAAGATTTTTGTACGACGCTGCTTATGTGGATATGTGCTGCAAGTTTAATATGAAATATAGGAGATGCTCTAACTATTTTCAAATCACTTGATTTTACTTCCAAAACAGCTGTTCATGTCGCGACTCCAGTTCAACTGGTTTATCGTGAAGGCTAGCAATTAATTTTAGATGGGTTTCGGTGACGATCTACTTTGTCCTTGCGATCTCCGCCAGAAGCAAACACTTGGGTAACAGGTTCCTCTGTAGAAAAAGCCACGCCAAGGAATGTGCGTGTGTGATCTTATTGTGATGTATAGGGCCAAGAAGAACAAAGGGAACTAGACGTCGCGGAGGATCGGCTGAAGGGTCGCGTGTATGGCGTATGTGCATGGGGGAGATTCGGTGCTGTTTGATGTTTCACAGTTTTCAACAAAAAAAAAAAAAAAAAGAATTTTACCCGAATATCTCATTGGCTGGTCGGCGCCGATGTCAGATTTACTCCGTTGACCATTCTCCAGCACGCAAGATTGCGTGATGAGACGCCATATTTTGCGTGCTTGATGGAAATGATCTAACCGCCCACTTTTTTCGATATCAAGGAAACACACACACACTCCCCCTTTCTTTTATTTCCCATTACCCTCCCCTCCCCGCCCCCCCTCAGAGTCACCTTTTCAACAAACTCTCTGCATTTATTAACAGAAAAGGGAAAAATAGAAAGACAAGACGCCCTATGAAACACAGCAATGACAACAACAGACACATCCACCACCAGCAGTAGCAGCAACACGCCACTCATTCTCGACTATGAACCCATTTCCTACCCAAAGATCGCCGCGCGCTTTGCTCGAAAACTACCCCGTTATACCAAAGAATACCTCTGCAGCTTTTTCCCTATCGTCTATTGGATTCATCGATACAACCTGACGTGGCTCATTTCTGACGTGATTGCCGGTGTCACTGTGGGTATTGTTGTCGTCCCACAGGGCATGGGCTATGCAAAGATTGCAAACCTGCCACCTGTAAGTTATCATCAGAGGATACCAGGACAACAACAACCTCTTTTTAAACTTTTTTTTTAAATCTCCATTAGGAATACGGCCTTTATTCGTCATTTGTTGGCTTGGCTATATACTGCTTCTTCGGTACATCTAAAGATATCAGTATTGGCCCTACTGCTGTCATGTCACTACTCGTCGGTCAAACCGTTTCCAATGTCGCTACGGCGGAATCTGGCTATACTGGCCCGCAAATCGGTGTAGCCATGGCGTTGTTTGGTGGCATCATCTCTGTGGCACTAGGCATGCTTCGTCTCGGTATCCTCGTCGACTTTATTCCTGAGCCTGCCATTGCTGGTTTCATGACAGGTTCTGCCATCACAATTGCTATCGGCCAATATCCGAAACTGTAAGCAAGCTTTTTTTTTTCTGATATAAACGAGACTCATCAAATCTAATATAATCGCATCAAACAATGACAGCTTTGGTATGACTGGTGTCGACACGCACGACGCAACCTATCTCGTCTTTGGTAACTTTTTCAAACATCTGCCCGATACACATTTGGACGTCGCCTTTGGCCTTGTGGGTCTTTTTGTACTCTACGGCTTTCGCATGGGCACAACCTACCTTGGCAAAAAATATCCTCGTCACGAAAAACTATGGTTTTTCATCAACATTATGCGCAACGGCGTCGTCGTCATCTTTGGTACTCTGTTTGCTTGGGCTATCCAGCTTCACAAAGATGAAAGCCCAATCAGCATTCTTGAAGACGTGCCAGCTGGATTCACCGCCATGGGCGTTCCCACATTTGATACCAATCTCTTGTCTGAAATTGCCGGTACATTGCCCTCGGTTGTCATTATTCTGATTCTTGAACACGTAGCTATTGCAAAATCCTTTGGCCGCCGTAACAATTACAAGATCAATGCCGATCAAGAAATCATTGCCCTTGGTGTGGCCAATATTATCGGCTGCTTTTTCGGTACGCAAAAAATTGAAGACACTAGAAAAGAGAAATAGGCTGACCCCATCTCATAACTACTCTATAGGCGCATATCCCAATACTGGCTCCTTCTCTCGTACTGCCATCAAAGCTCGCAGTGGTGTCCGCACGCCTCTTGCAGGCGTTTTCTCTGCCCTTGTGGTGCTTTTATGCTTGTATGCATTGACACCTGCATTCTACTATATCCCTGACGCAATCCTCGCAGCCGTCATTATCCATGCAGTGTCCGATCTCGTCTCTGGTCCCAAATTCGTGCAGCACCTGTGGCACATCAACCCACTCGAGCTGTTTACGTTCGTTGCCGCAGTAATCATTACTTTCTTCACGAGTGTCGAATACGGTATCTATGTATCCGTTGCTCTAGCCGTGTTCTTCATGCTGATCCGCATTGCTCGCCCACGCTATGCCGTCCTTGGCCGCGTTCCTGTTCGACCGATTCGCCCAGACATCCAGGACGAGAAAAAGTCAGACGCAAAACCCAATGATAGCGACGTCGAATACGTCTACGTCAAAGAAAGCCACCCAACCTTGCATGACATTGTCGAACCCCCACCACCCGGCGTTCTGATTTTCCGTCTCGACGAATCTTTGACATACCCAAACGCCGGTTTCATCTCTGACAAGATCATGCACTATGTACAGGACAACTTTACATCGGGTCTTGCTCCACCAACCACGCGTGGTGAGCGAGCATGGAACGACCGTCGACCGCTTGTGAAAAAAGAAGATTTGGAAGCTGTCATGGCTGCACGAGAAGCATCGGGACGAAAGCTCAGAGCGATCGTCCTGGACTTTTCAGCTGTCAACCATCTCGATTCAACTGGCGTACAAGCTCTTTTAGATCTCAGACTTGCTATCAACCGCTATGTCGGCCGTGAGGTGGAATGGCATTTTGCTAGCTTGGCTACGCCGTTCATCCGTAACGCACTCATGATTGCTGGTTTTGGCAGTCAGAACGGCCGCGATTCGCATCCACTCGAATTGGTGCCTATTGTTCCTCCTCAACTTCAACAACAGCAGCAGCAGCAACAACAAGAAGGAGCAGCAGCAGCAGCAAATGATAACGTCAAGAGTGGAAGCGACTCGGCAGCAACAGCCACAGCTTCAAGTACATCGGACCACTGTGCAATTGATACAGAAGTCATTGACATGGACACGATCGATATATCTGAAAAACGATCGGTCTATTACTCGATTCATCAACTACCATCATCATCATCATCTAGCTCTTCTATTCACTCAACCGCTACTGCGCATAGCAGCAGTAACAAGGTTGCTGGCGATGATGATCGAGCATCAGCACGTAGTGTTCGAACTACCCGAACATCATCACCTTCGGTTATCAACATTGATCGTCACGGCAATCTATCCTACTATCCACTATTGGAACGAGGCCTACCCATTGATCGAGCACCGTTTTTCCATTGGGATCTGGAAGATGCAGTACGAGCAGCCACTTTTGCTGCTTCTAGAGATTAAGTACTTTTAAACATTTCATCCTCCATCGTTTTCATTGTTGTAATCATTTTAACTACACACACCCTAATGTATTATATGTAATTCTCACCGCCCTTGCTATTACCTGTTCACCCAACCACATTTTCGACTCTCTTTCTCTTTCACCGCATGATTTATACCATTGTTCTTTTTCCTTCACCTTTCCTTGATTGTACATATATAAAAGTTGTTTTTTATGCTCACCAAAACCTATGGCGACGTTTTAACGGCATGTTGTGTTAGTTGATCACTACACACCGTAGTAAGCATGATAAATCAAAGGGATATATTCGTTACACAAGCAGCGATCCATGTCATGCATATTATTATGCGCATTGGTTCGTTTGCACGATATTTTTATGGATGGTATTTGATGACGCTGGCCTCTACTTCTTATAATGAGAAGACATCGTCACAAGCAGCGATGGATGTCATGCATATTATGCGCATGGTTCGTTAGCACACTATTTTTACTGGTGGTTATTTGACGATGCTGGGCCTCTACATACTTCTTGTAATGAGAAGCCATCGTCATACCATGTGGTATTATCCACCGCACTTTCTATTCTCTATCTTTCATGCTCATGCTCATGCTCATGCTTGATGTTTCATTATTCAGAGCTTGTAATCGAGACGGTTATGATAGCAATGCAATCGGCACAGGTAAGTGAGTGAAGCAACAAATATGGAGACAGCGGCTATATACATTACAGAATCAAGCATTCATGCCGGATACTCAGCTCGAGAAAGAACAGAAGGAAAAGAGCGCGTCGTCATCTCTGCGGGTGATGCCGATCTGTTTCTATGTATATGATAATGCAAGGTTCAAATGCTGCTGCTGCTGCTGCTATAATAGTGCTCCCTGTTTATCCCCTTTCTCCCTTCCCGATCTCTCTAATATCTCACCCTTTGGCAAAACGACGCCCCTGGTTTCCTACAGCGATGATCACTGTCCCCCAAAGTAAACACCAAGCAAATATGAGTTTGGTGGGTGAATTCTGTCAATATTCGCACTCCCCCCCATGGGCTACTACTAAGCTGGCTATCCCGACCGGTTTTTTCTGTATTTGCTTCTATTATCAGAATATGAACGGACTACTTTAACACACTTTTGCTAAGTCCTGCTTGCTTTCTGCTCGGTCGGTTATAGCCCTCCCCCACCGACCTCCCCAACCCCCAAATTGTACTGGCCCTGACTGACATACATCCAATCCCCCCCCCTTTCGTTCGACATCATCACCATCAGGACCGCACCTAAAATAAATACAAAGCTCTTCTACTTTTCTCTTTTTCGGTTTGTTCCTACCTTCTTTTTTCCTCCATTCCTTCCATTGCACACTACAGCGTTACCAACAGCAGCGACAACAACAACAAACAGCCTTTTCGTCGGTTGATAACTTGCTTTCTCCTTCAATCACTCTTTTCGCTTTTCTCCTGTCATTATCCTTTCTTACACAAAACGGGCCTATAAAGACATCGTTCTCTCTCTTCTTCTTTTTTTATCAAGACGAACGCACCCGTGCCACCCACTTTTATTCTTTCACACAACTCCACTATACCACAAAGCAAAAGTATCTTTTACAGAGTTACCTTGTCAGATCACTTCCTATCCTCGCATGCACGTTTCCGATAACAATAATGTCCTACAGCGTCACATCCACAATTGCAGCACCCTTATCACCCACCTCAACCACCCAGAAATGCGACACCGTACCGTCCTCGCTCAAAAGTAAATCAACGGTGATAGACCTAGAAAAAAATGATACAATGAACCGTGAAGAGATCGTCGTCGACGCGCATTATCCCGATCATTATGAAGAAACGATCGCCGCCGATCCATCAATACATAAAGGACGATTTCAAGACCTCATTGCGCTAGGCCGACAATTCAGACGCAATGTAAAGATCACATCCTATCCTCCTACTATTGCTATCACTCGTGCTTTTTTTACTATCTCAAGTTTCAACATGCTAATCTATCACCACCACCATCAACAACAATAACAGCATAGAGAGTTCTTGGCAGAATTCATTGGAACACTGATTCTGGTCCTCTTGGTCAACGGTGTCACTGCTGAACAAACGCTGGGAGTATCCGCAAACTCTTGGTTGACTGTCGCGTACGGAAATGGTAATCATTGGGGTTATTCCTTCTTGCTTTATTACATTTTAATGCAGCAGCTTGAACAAGACTGATTGACAACAACCCTTCTTTTCTAAATTTTAGGTATGGCTGTATTGTCTGCTATTAGTGTCTGTGGTCATATTTCGGTGAGTAGCAATAATTAGTTTATCTTCAAGTAACATGCGAGTGAGCAGCAGTAGAGGTGGTTGCAGAAGAAAAGAAAAATCGAGTCCCCACCGAGAATCCCCTTTTTTCATGGCCAGCAGTGTATTGCTCCAATCTCCCTGATTTCCTTGCTTATATCTAAATCTACTGCTGCTGTTGCTGCTGCTACCACTATACTCGTTGCTGACTAAATTGATATTATTTTTTAAAAAAACGCATGAATAGTTTCTAACTAAAAGGAAATTTCATTACTACACTTTCAAAAAACCATTAGGGTGCACATATGAATCCCGCCATCACCATTGCCTTGTGGCTATTTAGCAACTTCCCCGGCCGCCGTGTACCCACCTACTGTATAGCACAGCTGCTAGGTGCATTTTGCGGATCCGCACTGCTCTATACGATTATCACACCCGCCATCCATCAATTTGACGGTGGAACACGATCTATCCTTGGCGAACATGGAACCGCGACCATATTTGCAACCTATCCACCGCTCTACGTAGGCATTGGAACCGCGATCGCATCCGAGGTTGTCGGAACGGCCTTGCTAGTATTGTTGGTGATGACCACGGGTCACCCGAGCAATCGCCCATTTTCCTCGATGCAAGGCGTCATTATAGCGACCGGGCTCTCGTCCATCTTGTTGTCGATCGGATACACATCTGGATTTTCGTTAAACCCAGCGCGTGATATCGGTCCTCGATTGTTTACAGCATTGGCTGGTTGGGGACTTGAAGTGTTTACGGTCGGTAATTATTATGCGTTTGTGCCCATGTTTGCACCACTTCTCGGTTCTTTCGTAGGCGGAATCGCTTATATGATCTTCATCGATCATGGTGTGGAATAGAATGAGAAATTCGCCCAGACCACCTTCTTTACCTCATCCCTCATCATTATCATCATTCTTTTGAGAGCAAAAAATTATCAAACTTCTTCTCTTTCATCATGTATATACACAAAAAAAACAACAACTCCCCTCCCCTCATTCATTCACATCATCATACACGACGCGCAACGACTAAAGCGTGATTGGCCATCCATTATCCCACACCCATTCATCATCCATATTAAAAAAAACAAAAAGACCCATTTATATCCATCTACTGACACTTAATATTCAACAAAAAAGAAATTTGATAACACTATATACATACTACATATTGAACGTTTACAGAAGGAAGAAACAGTTGATGGCTGAGGATGGCAAATAATAATAGGAGACACGTCGGGGTCGGGGGCTAGGGTTTATTATGGATGATGTAGAATCATTGTTTGACCTCCATACTATCAAGAATAATGACAAAATTTACATGCGTTGAAGCGAAAAGTAAAAGCACGTTGTGGATTTTTGTTGGGTGGCTACTAGATCCCTCTCCGATAGCATATTGCTCCCCTTCTTCTCCTATGCACAGGTTATCGTGCTGCCGCAGTTCTAGACCTGTTTTACCTACTCACGTACTTTATGTGGCCACAACGATAATGGGCCACGTACCAAAAATATCATCTTATTGGAAGATACGAAGATGATGAGTGCATTTACGGAATCTAAATTTATCCAAGAAAAAGGATGCTTTGATTACAGAGGGGCGACAATGAGTAGATCTCCTATCATATTGCATCTGCAATTTTTTTTCGTACCGAACATCTGCTACTAACACTACCCACTTTTTTTGCTGTACCAACTTTATTATATTCCAAGAATAGTAGCATTTTTTTACAATGGGAAATTTATTCCTGCATGTATACGAACAGACCGGACGAGGGATGACAATGATAAGCACTACACCTTCTTTACGAAGATGACACTTACTAAGGTCTTTCTTTTTTTTGTGTATTTTAGCTGTAATGTCGTATCAAGCTTAAAATATGCATGTAGATGAAGCAACTATGTACCACTAATAACAGTAGCAAATTCTGCATTTTAGCAGAAATGCTAGCATATTACATTATGCTATAGTATAAAAACGAGGACAGAAAAGTTACAGCAAGGATTCTCTATACTCGGAAAATGTGCACAGAAGAAGAGTATAACAGCGGATTTTCTTCCAACTCTTCAATACTCCTCCCCCCAAAACCAAAAGTGCCCCTAGATTGCTTCCTGGTGCTTTTTTTTCAAACTTTAAAAAAGTGCAGAAACAGGATCGCTGCAGTAGCTGGCTACTGCTTATCAAAATCGTAATGTACCAGTTATAAAATCGTTGTTGTGTACGTAGGAACAAAAAAGCTGTTAACCGGCGATGCACGACAATGAAGCCGATAATATAAGTTCCAGCTTAGGAGCATCCCTATGTAAAAATAACAATATAGCGTCATACATCAGCAAACCGAAGCTCGCAAGCGAGAAAAAGTGGTCGAGGATACCAAAACATGGTCTCTTCTACACACCGCAAACGCACTACTGCACGTGTATATGCACCGCCTCATATTACTCAGAACTTGCTCTTAGCAGGTATTATCATTCACTTTTGCAAATCATATCGAACTAAATTGAAAACTACCAATTATGATAGATAATACAAAGTCATGCAGAACGGAAGTACAAGAAATGCAAGTAGGCAAAAAGACACGTAATGTCTCATCTTGTATATGCACTCACACAGAAGAGAAATAGTTAGTGCAATAGTTTTGTAGTACCGAGGCATCCGTGTGGCATGACATTTTCTAAGCGCTAGCCTAGTGCTTAAATGTTTGTTGCTGCAGAATCAACAGATTCTCATGGCATATCTGTTTTTCCGGACGTGTCCTAGAAACTTGTAAACAATCATGTAGCTATAAATAATTCTACGCCTCCATTGTCATAATAATAAGGCATTATTAATGTGTTGATATAAATAGAAACATACAGGTGTCGATGTGTGAGACTTCGTTTATCCCATGTTTCACTTTGATGTGCTACATATGTACACTTTGTGTATTGCATGGCCTGACAGTTAATATGAGCCACCGAACCTTATAATCTTCCACTTGAAAATAGGCCCCCTTGCTACGGTCATAATTGAAGGGAGAGTTTCTTATAAACTTGGTTTCTTTTATGTAATAGCAATACTGTAATAATGAGGTAGGTTGATATTGACTGGATATCAAAATCGTACTGATGACAATGAAATCGGATTTTGCAAAAAATATGTGGATATTTCGTAGGAAACGTCTTACAGGAATTCCAGTGGCATAATACATTCATCGTTATTTCGCATACAAGCATGATAGATATAAGGATGGTATGTATCATCATCAGATTGATCAGTAATAACATTTTTTTTTGGTGGAGAGATAGGTAAAGAGACGTAATGTTTGTAAAACTAAATCAGCAAAGTACTTTCTTTAGCCGAAGTATATACCAATTTCAGGAATACTGCTGATGGCCAGGATGTTCATAGTGTTGGAAAAGAACAACCAGCAAGTCCACATTCGCATAATCATTTCTGGAAAAGGAAATGAAAAGGGACAGAAGGAGATGGAAAATGTTATGCGCTTTTATGATTGAACAAGTAGAGAGCTCGCGTGAGTTTGGATATTTTTGGGAGAGGGAAGGAAGAAAAACAAGAAAACAATTATCAACAAGCTAAAAGAGAAACAGTATAGATAATATGGGAGAGTGAGGGGTGCTATAGGAGGAGAAACGGGATAAACTGATAAGCGAAGGAAGAAACTAAATCTATTATGTGCGCTAAATGTGTAAACTAAATATTATTATCCTTTGTCTTTGTTCATTTCACTTGGCAGATTTGTGCTTCGTCAATCATTGCGATGGAAGCGCCCAAGCACCAACCCGTCTCTGCGCCACGAATCTTCTTTGCCGTGCGGACAAGGCGTTCAGGAGGCACATCATAACCGATCCGCAACAAACCGTGAATATACGTCAAATCCAAGCAATAGTCTGGCTTGCTCATCAAGGCCTCAATCGCGTTAGGAACGTGCTTGAACGACTGAGTCTCGCCAGCACAAACACTTTCGGTCAACTCGCCCAACTCTTGGACAGAAAATTCGGATGGCATTCCCAAAGGTTGTGTCAAGTCGTAAAAGAACGAAAAGACGTAGAGGTCGCGAGCAGTGAACGTCTCTGTGATCGGAGGTTGATACATGCCATCGAATGCACAGGGAGCAAGGGCACAAATCTTGTCTTTGTTGAAAACGCGCTCGACAACACCGCGGCATTGAGCATGACCAGCGCCTGTGCCAACCAAAGTCACTTCTTTGCCAGTTCCAGCTTCACTTTCTTCCCATGTGAACGTCTCGGTATGATTTGCAGGCAGGCATGGGTGGTACACGTGACCCGATCGCGTCGCTTCTTCTTTCCATGTCTCGGCCATTTCCGCCTTGATGCGCTTGCGTGCCTCGTTCAAGCCATAGCCAAGGTACGAATGTTGGTACAGTGTATACTGCGCATCTCCGTAATCCAACAAATACTTGTGCTCGCCTTCGGCCATTGAATTATCGGTATCAAAGGTGGGTTCAAACACGATCTGGGTCGATGCACCGCCCAGATCAAATACGGCAGCGGACCGGCCCTTTTTTAACGAGCCCAACAAGTAGTTGACAGTGATCCATGCGTACACGCCTACATGTATCCGCAACGATTATCGGTATGCAAGTGATATCCGTCAGAACCGATTCAACATTCCATCACCATTGCTGCGGACCCATATCCGTCCCCTCCCACTTGTGCAGGCTGCAGCTTTATAGCAAAACACAATGAATATATCACACTTTACCTTCATCTTTGCCGTCCATGATCTCAATCCCATGTTCGCCACCGGCAATCGGGAAAGGATATTTTGTTTCCAAGCGCGTGCGCACAGCATCCAGAATCTTCTTGCTTTGGCTTTCACCTAACATACGTAAACCGGCTGTTGCCTTCAATTCGATCGGAGTGCAATGATGTAGCTCAGCAGGTACATTGTCAAGCGCAACCTGCATCAGTTCATCCAGGGACTTTGCCGCGGCTTCTGCATCATCCTTGTAGGAAGAAAGTCCTGGTTCGATGGGATAAAATACTTCATCTTCTAATTCGGGCTGTTCTCTACAGTAGTTGAATCGATACACATGCATTCTTGACCCAGATGAACCAGCATCAATCATGAGTGCATATTGAATAAGTGGTCGGCCGGGATGAGGTGTGCTGCAATGTTCTGACGGTGATGGTGATGACGTTTCCGACGTGATCTCTTTGCTGTTGTTGCTGTTGTCCTCGATTGTAGGGTCTGCTGACAATGCCGGATCCGGATCCGTTGAAATCACTAAAATTAGCATTTTGTATAATTATGCATTAGTGTATATATAGACGTTTTGTCATTTTCCTTTTTTATTGAGCAATTACCGACAGGAACAGAAACACCAACAAATATCTCTCAATCGCGCCAACAATGAAGATTTACTAAATTATTACCTGGTTCCTGCTGCTGCTGTTGCTCACCAACAATGCTAGTGTTAGGTTTTTGCGAACCCGACAAATGCTGGTACCGTTCACTTGGAAACAATAACCATAGCAATAATAATATAGCTGATGCACCCACGGCACACTTGATCAGCAACGTTTTGCGTGATTTTGCAGTATTCATCATCCTCTGGAGCCAACTCCGTTGCCGTTCTTGTTTGATGGTGATGGAGTTTTGGCGTTGATGAAATGAGGACGTGGTCGGTAACGGTAGATTGGCAGCCACACTGAATAAAATTAAGGGATATGCAAGAGAGAGAAATGAGAGTACTTTTGCGAGAGAGAGAGAGAGAGCGTTGGTTATCAGAAGAATGAAGGGGCGAAGGAGGGGTGTGGCTCTCCAAAAGGAAACTCGAAGCTATAAAAAGAAGAGGGAAAGAGCGAAAGCCAAGCCCAGATTTCTCTCACAGAAAATACATTTGACAATCCGGTGAAACTAGTTCGTCTACAAGTGGAGGTCCAGCCCTTTAAATCTTGGTTCATAATCGCTCTTTTTATAATAATATCTTAACAAGATGCGATCATACACTTGAGAATAGTCGATTTTCTGCTTGTTTCTTCGGAAAACAAGAAAGGCAACATGCCGTTTTAAAAATCTGTGCTACGTGTGGTGGCTGCTCGAACGTTACCCATTTTCAGAGTTAGGGTTCGGACCAACTCGAATGTATGAGACATTCTTGTTCACGCTGGAAGTGTGCATTTTTGATATTCGCACACTACACGCTCCATTCAGGCTGACAGAATGTTAACGACAACGCTATGATGGCGGATACGATTGTATTTAGCAAGTAGGGCCATTTTGACATTAATATAATGTAACTCTTGTAAATAAAAGCTTTTTTAATCCAATTGTAGACGATCGGATTCTCTAGGACAATAGACCTAAACGAAAAATTGATGTTGGGTAAGTGGGACAATATCTTTCTTTTAACGCTATGGATTAGGCTTTTCGTGAAAATATACCGTCTCTCCAAATAAATTATGTAAACGATCGGGCAACTGGCTCTGCTTCATAAAAAGCAAATTCCAAAGGGCCTAGCAAGTAAAAGTGCTAAGTGTATTAGTATCAATAATGTTATAGATAACGAACAACTTTCAGACGAAAGTATACTATATCAATACCGTTGCTATCCACTGATGTCCTGCAACACTTGGATGAAGACAATCAAAATTACTGAGTCTTTGTAGCGGCCACTCAGCGGGATCAAATCGTACAGGCGTATATTTGACCCCAAAGGATTCGTTTGTCAAGCTGCTGTACTTCTGATAGATCGATTGAATTTGGTCATCGTATACTAAACTCTTTATTAATACAAGAGAGCGCGAGAAATTTCGCATCATCATATGCGTCCGGTTTCCTTTTTTGCACAAGGCTTCAATTACAATAGAAACTTACGCGCTGCTAATTGGCCAAATCGTGGCCAATTTTTCTTATCAAACCCACACATGCACAGAACACGGTCCAGGATAAGGTTGTTCAGAGGAAAAGCGTCAATTTGTTTACAATAGTCCTGACCGTCCATTCTCTTGAAGATAGATGTCAAATTTAATGATCCAACTGTTTGCTTATGTTAGTAAAATTTTGCTATTACAGAAGGGGTTACAGTGGACCATTGCTGTGAAATAAAAGCAACTTTGATCCGTGTTTAACTTTTCTTATACAACAGGATTACGTACCTATGTTAACGATTACTTTTGGAATTTCGCGGTAAATCCGATCGATAGCCTGATCTAGATAGCGGTGGTAATTCTCCGGAGTAAGGTATTTCTCATATAATGCGTCAATGCATGAGAAACACATATCATTACCTAGCGTGTTTATGACATATATGAATTACTGTAGCAGGCGGTTCATGGATATTGTTTGTAATATTTAACTCTTTGTTTTTTATGACTTCATATAGTATAATTCCATTAATGACAAAGCACATGGAACTTACTCCCCATTTGGATGACGATCAGTTTCCAATCTTGTTCAAATCCTTCTCCAGTGTTTTTTTTTCATTTCTGGTATGAGATAATCAAGTTCTTGATCTAAATTTCTTGTCCAAGCAAAGTTTAACGCGGCATTGAGCTGGTCTATTGGTGGATCATCTATGACATATAATATAAATTATTAATTCTTTCTCTAGCTTAGTGGCACTCAACATGTATGTATCAGCAATCACATACGTAAATAGCCGGGACAGTGGCCAACTAAAAACATATATTTATAGGTGCTTTTAAAGTCAGTTACTTCATGTGTATGTACATGCACGAATTAACTGTGTTGACCGAAGAAGGAATGAAAATATCTATAAAACATTTCACCTGTACAGAATGAGGGTGACCTTTGTCCACTAGGAGGGTCCATTATATCTGATCCAGCATAATACTTGAAGGCATTTGATAATGTCATCGAACCATTGCGTCTACCGGTCGTAAAGGCAACATCCCGTGATTCATGAATAGTTGTTTTGCTGAAGAGACTACCTTGAACACCTTCGGCAACAATTCCTGTCATTAAACTATGTGTTTTCTTTATTTAATGATGCCTTCCATTACATTATGAAGCCCTGTATATGATGCATATACACAGTATCTTAAGGATTGACACAAAGTAGAATTACCTATCACCCAACGATGCAACTGCTTTGATATCGTCAGGACGAAGATCGTGCGCGTCCTTTGGAGGTTGTGCTCGACTTTCCAATTTAGGACATGTATATATGGAAATGTGATGATAAGACTGCCCTTGAGCGCAGAGCTGCTGTTGGAAAGTTTGTAAAACAAGCGTCATGTATATCACTAAAAGAAGATTAATCATTTTTCTATGTTCGTTGAAATGTTACTGGAAATGTCTGCACATCTGACCATTTTTATGTATGTACAAGAAAAGCCGATTTTAATCCAGACCATTGGATACCCCTAATAATAGGAACTCATGCCGAGAATAATTGAGGTTTTTCCTGATTTTATTGCAAAAAGTGTAAGTTTGCAAGTTACGGGTAAACATTGCTGCTTAAGCACTGAATAAGTCAATTAACAAACACCACGTCGTTGTTCATCCAAGGGAGACGATGTACGATGCGTTCCGTGGAAACAATCTTATAAGTCTTGGTATGCCGGTAATCTACCGGCCATTCAACTACCCGTTAGTGATATCACGATCTGATAAAACTTATTTGCCTATATTTATTGTTGCCATTTTATTCGTCGATAAGACTTAAAGCATGCTTCTGTCAACCGATGTTGCACAAATTGAAGCTGTTTCTACCTCGATATGTGCAAAAGACACAAAAGTTTATGCAAGTTGCAGATTGTGCCAAACTACTTATTTATATTTTTGCATTTTGCAGAAAACGTTGTTGATAATATATGAGAAATTGCAAAACCTGCAGAAGTAGCAAAATCCGGGTACAGTACTAGCAGTTTAGTTATGGACATAAATAGGATGGATTGATAATGGTTTTGACCAACAACCTAAGTGAGTTTGTAGTGAAGGAATATTTAGATAGGTTGATAGTCAGATATTCTGTCCGCTTCTACGGTATTTACTACTCGGATGTTCATATAATGTATGTTATTACGATGTCATTTCAGTAAAGAATTTGGTAGCAAATTAAAACAGAATAAAAACATAGTGATACAAACATGAAGCATATCACTTCTTAGTGGTTGTTTGGGCTCTCCTTAGAAGCCCTATGGAATCATTGGATATGAAGGTGAATATTTGAAGCAGCCTTGTGTTGATAATGAAACGCAAATGCTTCAAACCACGCCGGTAACCTGATCTTTCCATACTCGATGAGCCTACGGTGTTGGTAGCTCTCTTTGTAGCTTCATCGCTGTTGGTCTTCTCGCTACTGTTCACGTTATGCGTCCTCACGGGGAGCCGGTTGCCAGATTCGAACCGGAATTGAATTTAGAAACGAGTTTTTTAAGTCGCAAAATTTAAAGGAACGGGATTACTCATGGTTGTAGTAGTAACTGCATAAAATCGAAGGGAAGACGTAAATATTGTAGTGTATATATTTAGCAAAGAATGTGAATTAAAGACGTTATCTGTTTCATTGTCGATAGCAGCTCAGTATGACCGTGCGTAGTTGATTGCTATGTATTAATCGTGTTCTAACTGTTGGTCTAGTAAGGGGAATTAAGACCTTGCCGCATAAAAGATTGCTGGATCATTTACATGATGTCGTGTGCATAAATCGGCGTGCCCATAATTCTCAGCACTAAACGTTGCATGCTTAGCAAGAATTGTCCCTTTTCTCTTGCCTTTCCCTCTTTCCACTCATCTTCTTTTTTTTTGTTTTCTCCTCCTGTCTTCCCACCCTCTTCGTTTAACTCGTTTCCCCATTCGCAAATATTCTTTCACAAGTTAATGTTCTCGCTTTCAGTGATCTTGTAATTTTGTACTCGGTTCTCAATTCCAAGCAAAGAGAACCAACTCGTCAAGAATCGAGCCGACCCAACTTCTGTCTCGGTTCCTCGGTCCTCATGAGAATCGTTAATCCACGTGCAAGTATTGAAGTTGCCCACGGCCGTCACTAAAACTTTGAAACCGAGCCGCCTAGTTGTGATAAATGGGTGAATGCTGCTGACCGGGGCTACCGGTATTAGCAAAAGACATAATTTTTTCATCTCGGCTGCTGTGCGGCCTAGGTATACCATATCCTCAAAACTTCACAGCAAGATATCAACGTGTTGGCGCATACTTTTTTTGTGTAGAAGATGATTTATTGAAATACCGTTTTTGTCGGTATTTATGATATCAGAAAAGAGAGTTGACAAGCGCACTATGAATTAGTACAGTTTTCTATATGTATCCTACGTAGCGCTAATGCGTCTGGATATCATTGCCACTACCATCCTCCATATATGGAACTCCCACTGACATCAAGTGTTTCAAGGATCAACCTTCTGGCCCGATGGTGTGGCAGCCCGCATTACATACGAATCTCCGGACCGAGCATTACATAGAACGAGTGTTGGTTTCAAAGACCAAAATTGATGCAAAATGTGGACAATAATGATTGCACAGGTTTACTTTAAGAGCTGAAAACGATACATATCACTGTGATTGAGATGTGTAACATTTTACAGCGGATGTACGAAAATTGCGATCTACAAGTATTCCATTCGCAAACCTGCCTCTTCTTCTAAGGGTAGAAAAACTTGGCCAAGGCAGGGGTTCTACTGGAGATGTTTATGAAGGTGCTGACCGGATCACGGACGAAGCAATGCAAAAATACCATGTGTATAGAGCAAGCTATCAACTGCCCGGAAATACCTTGACAGACACCAACGACCCACAACACAGTATCGCCAGTACAACGCCGGTGCTAATGGTGCACAAAGTAGTTTTATCGCTGCACTGGACGCATTTTTTTTTGCATGGATCACTACTCGATGGCGACAAGTAGCTCAAACTTGCGAGACCATACGCCAGCATCACCATCACTGTCTTTGTATCATGTTGATCAGAAAACACGATTATACCGCCTTTAATACAGCCCACCACATCAACAAGTTTTGTACAACTTATGCGCGAATAATATGCCTGAATCACATAGAAGGTTTCTTAAAAGCCTTGAACACGCAACCAACTTGTCCTCTTCTGATCGAACAGAAAAAGCACTTTCAACACAAGCAATACTAGTATTAGTACAAGTAGTAGTAGTAATTATAGCGACCTCTCTATAAAAGTATGCCTCATCAATGCCCTCCTCCGATCGTGGTTGGATTGGCTTCTTATAGCCAGCTACCTGCTAGTTTATTGCAAAACACGTATCTGATCATGAATTTTTGAGCAATAACAACGATGCTGCTTTAGTTAGCATCACTGGCCATTCCAGGAAAACAGTTTACATTATGCGGGTACACGGCGGCTCTCCCAACCAGAGCAGGACAAACAACTCCGCTATTGGAATAAACTTGTCTCCACGTTTTTTCGTTCCTGATCTGCTACTTTGCTCTTCGTTCGACCATGAGATGGAGCTCGCTGTGCATAACGCTTAGCATTTTGCTAGCTTTGTTGACCATCTCTGCTCCATCAGCACGAGCATGGCAACAATGTAAGTTGTTGACTTTATATTTTTGGGAAGGATGACAACAATGCTTGCTCCGCGATCTTGACAGATAGTTTATTCTTAGCTGATTTTGAGATTTTCGACTTGGTGGATGAGTTGGAGCAATCTGAAGGCAAAGACGTTAATTTCTACAGCTGGCTTAACGTGCAGGTATGTGGCTCTTTCTTTTTAAATAATATATTGTTGACTGGTAAAACTCATTTCTGTAAACAATAGCCCTCTGCTTCCTCAACGGATATCAACCGAGCCTACCGAAAACTTTCACTGAAGCTCCAGTGAGTATTTCCTCTCACCCTTGTTGTAGCCACATGTAAAGCAATATAACCAAGGGCAGTAGCTAAACTAACTATAATTAGCCCTGACAAGAACAAAAAGGATGCCCAAGCAAAAGAAAGATTTGCACGACTAGGCAAGATCGTAGGTATCCTTCGCGACGGAGCTAAACGTGAACGCTACGACCATTTCTACAAGAACGGTGTGCCACGCTGGCGCGGTACAGGCTACTATTACTCGCGTTTCCGCCCTGGCTTGGGATTTGTGGTTGTGTTTTTGATTGGCTTGTCGGGAGCGATGCAATATATTGTTGGCTGGGTCAATTACTATCTTGAAAAGAAGCGGATCGTAGGCTTCGTCCAGGACGCGCGTGCAGCATTAACGCAGAATGTTCCCAAATCGCAAGGAGCACCCACCATGGGCCGCAGCTATGTCGAGGTCGGTGGCCGTGTATTGCGATGCGAAGTCAAATCGGACGAATATATCATCATTTATCCGACCAAAGATGAGGAGCCTGTCCATTTGAACACTGAGTGGATCACAAAGCCAACGGTGACCAACAATGTGTACTTTATCCGGTGGATTGCTGGTGTGTTCTACAAGGTGACTGGCAAACCCATGCCCACCGCCAAAGAAATGGACGAAAGCCCAGAAACCAGTGACCAGGAACAAGAACAGCAGCAAGATGGCACAACAAAATCGAAAAAGAAAGCGAAAAAAGGAAAGCCCGTAGCAGTGACAGGATCCAAAGTGGGTGGTCGTCGTAGAGCAGTGAAGCCTCAGAATTAGAAAGAGCTTTCAAGCGTGTCTTTTTTTTTCTAGATTACAAAAGTAAAAGTATGTGTATAAAAAAAACCAAATGAAACTTGGATCAAGGAAAAATATAAGAGGAGGGACTGGGGCAGCGGCTGACAGGAGGGAATGGGAAGAAGAAGAAAAGAGATATCATGAATATGTGACATGCTAGATTATGGAAAATATGAGTGTGTGTGTGTGTGTGTGTGTGTGTGCAAAAGTATATATAAACGTGAAGAAGATAGGTATAGTGGTCCTGGTGTATTATATGTGCAATAGTTTCCCGCTCTCGCCTCTTGGTTTTACCATCCATTTTCTTCGTTCTTGGTCTTGATGTACTCGAGAACCTTGTTCGTTGTCTTTTCATCCTTAAACTGAACCATGTACACCATGCTACTTCGAGACTGTTCGTTGGTGAGGAGAAAAGATACACGTTTCGGGTTGACTTGCTTGACGTTGCTGCTCATCACCGTGGCACTAACAAGTCTATGTTTGCCGTTCTCGATACACACGTGCATCTTCTTGCTGGGCATTTGCTGAGCCAGTCGTAGCGTCACGCTGCCCATGCTGTTCCAAATCGTCGGGTCCACTTGTGAATACAGCTTGCCTCGACACTGCAACAATGCCGATAGTGTTTGCGGCATTTCCTCGAGATAAGATCGAGCGTCTGTTGGCATGGGTGTGTCGAATAAGGAAACAGAATGTAACATTGACGGTGAGGAATGCAACGAGGGCGTGGTCTTTAATGTAGCGACAGATCGTTCCGAATTGGCTCGAATCATACTGCCGTTTCCATTTTCTGCTGCTGCTGCTGCAGGCCCTCCAAGAAGCTGTGTAGCTTCAAAGTGGACACGTTGAAGGACGCTCGTAAGTTCTACAGCGTCTGCTCGTCGATCAAAATGGATCAAATAGTTTTCTTTTTTATCGCCCATGGATAAAGATACGCTCACGTCCGATTCGCCTTGCTGCTCTACCACTGTGGTAGGCACGATCCATGCGTTTAGGTAGAGCTGTCGACTCTGGAGTAGCTGAATCGATAGTGCTGAGCGGTTGGCGTTCGTGGTGCGGACGTGAATAGAACATGATTCTTGTGCCGAGTACCAGCGCTGGTCTTTCCAGTGGAACACTTCGCATCGGCCGTGACTGTACAGAATTTGTCGCGTAGCACTCGCAAATGCCCCTGGCTGTAGTAATCTCTCCAAGGTTAGTTTTACAAACAGTGAGACATCAGAAATAGTATCAAACATTTTGTTACTTACACTAGGCGGTGGAGATGCAAGATCTTCAAGACTTGTTGATGGTGCCTTGTGTGAATCAAGTCGGGCGGGTGGTAGCTGAGGAGGTTTCTGCCGTTGTCTTGGTGTTGGCATGCTAGCCGACTGAGCAAGGTTAGGTTCACCTCTGTTGAGTGGATGTTGTGAAGTAGTGGTCGAGTTTGATGCTAATGGCTGCGCATACTGCTGTTGGCGAATAGACGTTGTTCGTATGGGTGGTGGGACGTGTCTTGCAGATGATGTTCGTGGAAGAAGTACTGGTGTGCTACGTTGAGATTGCTGCTGTGGCTGTGTTACGGAAATATTGGATGAAATAGAGGTGTTTGCTTCATTTCTAACTACACTCTCTGGCATGCTTCCTTTACGTGGGGGTGGAGATATGACTGGTTTTGCTTGCTCAATAGAGGAGGGTGACCCTCGCTCTGTTGCTGCGGTAGACGAAGACCCTCGTGCTAATGAGTACTCAGAAGGAGATGATTTGGTCGACTCGGCAAAAGAATCGACAGATGCTGCTAGCGCTGACCTGACCGATTGAAGGCCATTGTTGGATGCATTTACTCCTCCATGCTGACACTGTTGTTGTTGAGGATGCTGTAGAATATTGTCTGAAGGAGGATTTGGCGACGGAGTTCTGGATAAGACTGTACTCTGTGATGATGAACGTGGAGCAATAGGCACGCTAGGTTGTTTTACTGTGGATGAAGAGGACGATGAAGACGATGGTTTTGTTTGCGCGAGAGGCCTGTTGTCTTCGTCGTCATCGTCATCATCTCCTTGTGTGATCGTCATAGAGGAGGATAGTGACATTTTGTGCATTTCTGGCTTGATATATGTCATTTGTACAGGAGCCGATCCCATGTCAGTGTCTTTAACAATATTGCTGTTATTATTGCTGCTGTTGCTCTTCTTTTGCTTTGAATCGCTAGCGTTGCTCGGGATAGGCGGTACCGGAGGTACAGAGGGTACCTCGACAGCAGGCCACTTTTCATTTTCGGAAGGATCCGGTATTTTTGAAAGAATCTTGACTGAACGTGGTTGTATGTTTGCCAAATCCTGACCATCAGAATCCATGGTGGGCTCGTCAGGATACGACTTTTCAGCGGATAATGGTGGCTCTTTGTGATCATCGTCATCGCTGTCATCAAAAAACCGACCATCGTAAAAGTCCATAATCGTATCTCGGAATGCATCGCGTCGTGCACGTGGCAATTCGTCTAGTTCTTTGTCGTCGTTGACGTTGGCACGCTTATCGTCAGAACCGTTAGAGTACAGCGCATAGACATCCGCGCTGTTTTTGTTGCTCGCTTGTTCACTGTCCAAGTCGTCTTTGACCAGCGCTGATGATGCCATCGAGTATCCTCGATCGTTCGCTTGTGACATCTCTTGTTGGAGCTGCAATACTCGCTGTTTGACCGTTGTTACCAGCGGAATTGGCTTCAATGTCGATGCACTCGGTGCTGTTGAGCTGGCACCAACCCACGCGTTGCGTACTTCTCGTGAATCGGCACGCATGATGATATGGTGTGTTCCATTTATCGTAAACTGCAAAAGATATTCGCCCACGAGTTCGCGGTCCAAAGACACGGCTCTAACTGACAATTGACGAACAGTAAATGGCGGGAACATCAAACAGTAATTCTGTCGCCCAAAGTCTAGTTCTCGACAGATAGCCAATTCTGCTGTTGTCAATGCGGCCCGAATTCGTGTTGAAGTGTCGTTCTTGTGTTGGGGTACCATGACAAAACTATCCTGCATGATCAATTGAACGTCCGGTGCTTTCCATTGAAGTTTGAAACGCTGCGCAGAAGGAAACACAAATATTTGTTAATCAACGTTTAGACATTGGGTTGCCTCCCCGCCCGCCCCTGAGCGATCACGTATACCACGTACTATCGAGGTACGGCTGAAAAAATCCCGCACTTGGCTGCAATCAACTTGGTCGATAAAAGACGCCAGAATATTTGGGTCGAGTTTTATAGAAGGCAACGGCTCGTGGATCTGTTCTTCCATGCGTTTCAGTTCTTCTCTTTGTTGCTGCTTTAGTCTTACTTGCTGTCGATGCGAATCATGGAGTGATGTAATTGAAGGTGATTTGCTTATTGCAATATTGTTTTGAGACATATTAATTAATGTGTCGATCCTTTCGTTGGCACGTAGCAATAAATTGTGATCAGCTCGTCCTGGCTTGGTGCACTGCAAAAGTTTCTGCAGGAAATTTGATCGCCATTGCTCATATTATTAGCATTTTCTGAAGCTCTGGCCACCCCCAAAGTGAATTAAAACAAAGACCCACATGGTACAACGCTTTGTAATAATGCAATCGCTTCAATGGTGCCTCGAATAACGTTTCGAGCGTGATTTTACATTTGAAATTGGCAGATAGATTCTACAGCGTCGGTGTTAATATTGTCAGGAGACATTTGTACTGGCAAGATATATCAACTTACTTCTAGTAAGTGGCTAATGGAAAGGTTATTGATGAGTTCGGACCGTTGATCCAGGTTTGGAATTGAAGTCCTTACGAAATTAGCATACGGGGCTTCCATATCTTCAATCTAGAAAAAAAAAAGAAACCAGAAAAAATCGAGTTGATATCTTGCTCTCGTACTCGTTTGAGGCCCCCTTCCTCCACTATTGTTGTTATTATTAGGATTTACCCCTCCCCCCAAAGACTTCTAATAATAGCCCCCCATTTTCCGTACGTACCCATTGCATCAAAACATCGCCAAGTTCTTTCATCGCTTTCGGATCGCTCGCGACCTTGGCTAGTTTCTATTCATGAGATGATGAAGACACGTGTCTGTTCAGCAATCCACCCAGAGATATTCACGCGTGATATGATGGTATGTGTCGAAAGTTGCAGCTTGTATTACCGTGCAAAACCGTTTGTTGACCTTTAGAATGTCGTGAACGTTTTTCAGCAGTTCGGAAAAGTCAGGTGCAGCAGAAACTGTTTGTTTCATCCATATCGGTGCGATTTGCTGATACAGTTAAATTAAATTCAAAAGTAAAAAAAGCTTAGTTGTTTGTTGTTATTATTGTTACGTGTTTTAATAGAAAAGTGGGGAAAAAATAGCAACAATTTACAGAGTCGATCATTCTCAGGGTCTCGAGGTATGATTTCTCCGTATGAATAAGGTCGGACAGTGGATTCGTCTGTGTCGTGGTTTGCCGTGGACGCGATGGTTGAGAAACAGGAATGGAGTGCGATGAGGACGTGGACAACATGACGGATAAGGGTAATAGAAAAAAGACAAGAAGGAAGAAAAAGAGAAAGAGGAGTTAGAGAAAGTGAGGAAGAGACACACTGGCAACGAGAAGCAGGTAATTAAAGGTGTTGGAGAGGGTCTATCTTTCTGTTATTAGGAGTGTATTAGTTAGTGTGTGTGGGGGCGGGAGGAGAGGGGGGGAAGCGATTGAAGGGTGCGATCTTGAAATCTTTTGGCAACAATGTCGAAATAAAAAAAAAAACGTATAAAAGAAGAGGAAAAGAGCTGGGTTATGCTGCCATTATTGCTCTATTCTTTTCGTTTTCCAAGAGTAAAGTAAGTTTCAAGAAAGAAAGTGGGGACACTTTGCTTCACTGTGGCGGGCACCAAGCTGGGTTGGATAGCACACACACACAAACACACATTGCATGTGGTACGAATCGGTGTTTTTGTTGAACCTCAAGGACGATCCCTCACAAGGAAAAGTGCACCGTGTTCATCCCCAATTCGGGGAGGGGGTTGCAATCCATATCACTTGAACATTCAGCTTTTTGTGCTCGACTAATATATGAACATGACACTAACCAAGCACAAACACCACTTGACTGCGCATGGCTGCTGCTGCTGCTGCCAAAGCTAAAGCTAAAGAAGGACACCTTCAAAGAGGGTGGGGGGGGGGAGCGGAAATAGAGTACGAGAGATTTCATTTCCCGTAGTACCACAGTTAAGAAAAATGCCCAGATATGGTAAAATTTACAGTTTATATACTACACATATGTCGTAAGTCATCAAGTGCTGCACCGCCCCAATCCCGTTAGCCTGCTTCCTCACTAGCCTGCTGTTCAGCCATCGCTGCTGTGGCTTCATCTATCTCGTCTTGCATGATCTTTTTACGTGCCAGCGCTACCTTGGCCAAGTCCAGCCGGTGATGCTTCTTGAATACCAGTGCAAGCTGTCGATCTCGCTCCATTCGCTTACGTACATTCGACAGGTACATGCCCATATCCAACACGCCCGTCTGTACCTGGATCACCAGCATATTCATCTTGATTTCCAGGGCCTGCTTCCTATCCATCAGTTCCTCCTTGGTAGCTGCGTCTACCTGTTTGCCCGACGACAAGGCGTTGTTCGCAATGTTGATCTCATAATCCAGCACCATGTTGGATATGATACTGTCCGAGCTATTACATATCCCCAATATCGTATTTTGGTTTTTGTGAGTAAAGTACAAGCGGAATTTTTTTTTTTTGTGCCTATTTAGCGTTTCACTCACCTGTTCAATTCTTCTTCGGCTTCCTCTAATTCTTTATTCTCCTTGGATTCAGCTGCAGGTGGTGACACAGGGTTAGATGGCGAGGGATTCTTGCCAATGGACGATAGAGGGCTGCTAGTACCAGCGTTGGTGGTGGTTGTAGGGGTACTTGGGGTGGCGGTGCCAGAAGCAGCACCAGAAGCAGTGCTAGGTGCTGATTCGGGGTTCGTTTTGCTTGGCGATGATATCGTCATATGGGTTCCTGAGCCCAACCCAGCAGCTGCTAAAATTTCACCAGTGTTCTTGCCAAACTCGTCAATGACCAGCCATCGTTCCGAGCGTCTGACAATATCCTCGCCGGTGAGAGGTTCTCGCAAATTGACTTGTACTTCCAATTTCCCGCCTGTTTTCCGCCGGCTTCCATCGATCAGCTATTTTAGAGAGAAAAGGAGACGATGGTGAATTCGTTTTTTTTTTGTTTTTACCATGTTTAGCTAGTAGCTCTGTCTTTTATATTACATTACTTACGTCAAAGATACCCGAGATGGATGCCTTATTCAAAAGTTGATCCATTGGAATCAATATTTTACCCAAAGAAAGAGGTCGTCGGAACAATCCATACGAGTATCGGTTATGAAACACTTCAAGTGTTAGTCGTCTTCTCTGGACATAGCGGAAAAAGGCACGGTTTCGTACGATAGGGATTTGTACAGTAACGTCAAACTCTAATATTACACTCAACATTAGCAAAAAACCACAGATCGTTTTGTTGTTGTCAATGTTCAAGTGACCTGGACTGCTGCTTTTTTTCACAGTAGTTTCGCCTTTATTTAGCGCAGCCTGAGCGGCATTCTCTGGTGGCCAGCCGCCAAGATCCCAAGTAACATAGGGTTCCACTTCAGCCGCGATATCCAACGACTGCAGCCCGATGCCACGTACTATCCGCAGCTCCATCTGATTCGAAGGTATATGATCCAATATATTCTTGTACGAATATTCGACCTGTTCATAGTGCAGATGCGGAGTTGTCTTTTGATTCTGATCGCGTCGTGAGCGCAACGAAACCAGATCGGCAGTAAATGCCTGCTCGAGTTGTTGGAAATGCGCTTGATTGCTTCCTGATAAGGTCTTACGAGCCTGGCGTTTGGCAGTATTGGCATTCGACGATGCTGACGCTGATGTTTGAACAGCAAGGTTGTGACACACGTCGATTTGGTATGTTAATTGCGATTCCAAGTGCTCCACTGTTGCTGCTGGCCCCGCTGTTTCGACTTGTTGGATTTGTCGGATCTTTCCGTCACCCAACGTCATGTTCGGCTTGGATGGTAGTTTACGTCGAATGTTATCCATGTCGGTCGCTTCTCCGTTCTTAACCTGAATTCCCACACGTAGTAGTTCCTTGGATACTTTAACCATTTCTTTAGCAGCTGCCAGATTACCCAAATCCTTGTAATGGTGTGCAGCTTCCTTGTGCTCCTTTTGTAGCTGTACGATTTCTTGTAGCAGCTGTCGTGCATCGACCGCTGACTTGATCTGTACTGCTGCTGCTGGTTGTTGTGATGAAGGGGAAGGTGACGGGGATGACGATGGCGAAGAGAAGGGCGACGTTGAAGAAATGGCTTTGGTATCTGTGGCGACCGGTTGGCTTGTTGTAAGTTCATCATCATTTATTTTAATGTCGTCTTGTTTGGTACCTTCTTCTGAGGCTAGTGGCGGTGTGCGTTGTACGTCTTCCATCGGATCTTCAGCTTTGTGTGGCTCCATTGCTTGTTGAATCTCTGATAATTCGCTATATTTCTGTGCCAGTGCTTTGGACTTCCGTAAGAGTTCGACAGCTTTCTTTTTGTCACCTTGACGTTTAGCAGCCAATGCTTGTTGCTGATATTGCTTTGATTGTCTTTGTAGCTCCTCAATATCCGGCTCCTGTTCTTCTACAGGTTGCGGCTGCAAATCCATGTCATCATCTTCATCCTGTACGGTTTCAAGCGTCGTCGCAGTATTGCTGCTAGATTTCACTTTTGCTGATTCCATGGCTTGCATTGGTTCCATATCTCGCACAGGTGCCGCTTTCTTGACAGGCTCTGCATCCTGCGCTGGTTCTGGTGCTGGCGCGTCCAATAGATGATTTGTAGCGCGTTCAATATTCCCGTCGTACTTGTCAAGCGCTTCCTCTGCTTGCTGCTGTGAAAATCCCATACTCATTAGCTGCGATGCCGATTCGCTGGGAGCTTGTTTTTGCTGCTCCATAACATGGTCGTCATCCACAGACGGCCCTTGCCCGCCACTGTCTTTACTTAATACCGATAGCTCTTTCTAACGACAAGTAAACTTAAAAAAGAGTGCAACAGAGAGGGACCCACATGCGTACTGATCAAGATAAACTAAAACCACTCACAAGTAACGTTGGATCATTAAGGTCATCCTCGTTCAACTCGACATCCGGGTCATCGTCGTTGCCCTGAGCAAGCGCTGCATAGCTATCGAGGTCCAAATTTTCTATATCGCCACTTTGCTTTTTCTGCTCCTCGATTTGACGCCGACGTTGTTTTTGCTCGGCAACGACCTTAGCTTTCTGCGCAGCTGCTTTTGCTTTTTGAGCACTGTTACTTCCGCTCGGCGACGACGACGTCAACTCTTGCAGTTGTCGCTAATGTACGTAAAGTTAGATTTCACTCAACAAGATACTTGTTCTTATAGTATGATGCCATTTACAACTATTATTTTTTTTTCTTACCAAAAGTTCAGGGTCATTTAAATCCGTGTCGTCCCCGTCGTCATGGCTTTGTTCTGGCAATGGCCCGTTGAGTAAATCGTCCAAATCAGCAAAGTCGAACTGTTGCTTTTGTTGACCACTGGTTCGTTTTCCTCCTCCAAACATTGATTAGGATTGTGTAGGTAAAATGTGTCTCTCGCCTAGTTATTAGGAGCTTTGGGTATCAAAACGAAGAAGAGCGTTAAAATAAAAATGGAGCGAGGTAAACTCGGTATATGAAATTGCTGGCGTATTTGGCAGCTGACGTGAAACTCTGATACGCATATCGCTCTTCCCGAATTATGCCGCCAAGCAACTTGCTATGCAGATTTACCGTACACGGTAATGCTTAGCTCCTTGGCAGCAGATAGCATTCCTTAGTAGCGAACGCATATTGCAAAATACTACATAGTCTAGTAGTGTGTACATCTTTAGTCGATTCAGTCTACCTACCAAATGCTCAATCACAGTTGCACAATACATTAATATAGCCCACTGTAACAGATGCCTTGTTGATCATTTTGGCAACTTACATATACAGCTGTTTGCTCTTGGAAACAAAGACACAGACTGTATGGCAGCTTGGGAAAAACGTAACTCGAAAGTGTGGCTCTGCGGCTCTCTGAACGAACAATAGATCATCTGTTTTCTATGCAGCAGTAAACATGTGAAGCAGCTCTCTTTCAACTCGTTCCACAAAGGGCACCTTGCTTATGCAATACGTAAATACGTGACAGCAATACAGTAGCATGCTGGTGCGTGTTGACGCTGTGCACCAAGATTACGAGCCGCATTGGTGATAATATTATTTTTATAGTCGAGCGATGCGATGGTGTTGCTTGTAAGAGCAATGTCACAGCGAGTACCAACTAGAGTTTAAATCGTCTGTTGCAAATGCCTTATACCATGATTCTAATTAAACATCGAGTAAGCATGTGGACGTGGTAGCATACCGCTATTGATTATCTAAGTTGATGTAACACGCTTTGTGCACCTGAAGCATATATTGAAGGAATTCTTAATGATGCCGATATCGAACGCATGCGTCCATTTGTTGAGAACAGTATTGCACTTAGATCACGGCCCATGAATGACGCATGCACAGAAATAAAAGCTACTCAAAAAGAGCATGGCGTGCTACTATAGCATATATATTCAGGTGGCGTGCTATACACCCCATGCAAGCACACTCATAGCAGCCCAGCAAATCAATAATCAATTTTGCCTGAATTAAGATGTATTGCATCAGTATGAAAGAGAAAGGAGAGCTCGTCTGTTTCCATATGTCTCTCCTTGCATATATACTCGTAAATGCATCAGAGGCTCTAGTCATCCACACTTCAAGGCTCTAGTCATCCACACTTCAAGGCTATCTAGAGCATTGAAATCCGCATGTGTAACCCGTAGCGACATACTGGGAGAAGTGAGCCAAGGATCCAAACGCGGTGTTTTAATAATTAAGGCATGAATTGACCAGAAGGGTGTAGAACCGCATGGAAAGGGTCTCGCATATATAACACCCGTTGCATAATCCCCCTGCTAAACTCTCTTTTTCCTTTTTCCTTTTTTTTTTATCCTCGCACTACCTTGATATCCCCCCCCCTCCCCAAATAAGCAACACTATCAGCAAAACATTAAAACGAACATAGCACATATACAACAATGGGCAAAGACTACTATGCAATACTCGGCGTGTCCAAAGACGCTGAAGAGGACGCTATCAAGAAAGCATATCGCAAACAAGGTAACAACATTATACATTGCTCTTTTTCCCTCTTTCCTCTGTTGCAATTGCTGAAACAACAAAAGCTTAACTAACCACTCTCTTTTGTTTCCAGCATTAAAGTGGCATCCGGATCGGAACAAAGACAAGCCTGAAGAAGCCAAGAAGAAGTTTCAGGAAGTGGGAGAAGCGTTTGAAGTCTTGAGCGATAAGAACAAGCGAACAATATACGATCAGTATGGCGAAGAAGGTCTCAAAGGCGGCGGACCACCACCACCAGGCGCCGGCGGTGCTGGTGGATTTCCTGGCGGTTTTGGTGGAGGTTTCCCAGGTGGCGGTGGAGGCGGCGGCGGTGGACGCACCTACACTTTCAACATGGGTGGAGGTGGTCCGGGTGGAGGATTCAAACCATTCCATCCTTCCGATGCAGATGACATTTTCAAACATTTCTTTGCGTCCATGGGCGGTGGCGGCATGCCTGGCATGGGCGGTATGGGAGGAATGGGCGGTCGCGGTGGTGGAATGTATGGCGACGGTGACGACGATATGATGGGTGGTGGTGGTATGCCTGGCGGATTTTCATTTGGTGGCGGAATGCCTCGAGGACGACGCACACAGCAGCAACAGCAGCAGCAGCAGCAACAACGACAACAACCACCAGCCATCAAACGACCACTGCCGATATCCTTGGAAGATCTGTACAAGGGCACGACCAAGCGACTCAAAGTGACGCGCAAGATCCGCGATGGAGCCACAGGACGGTCAGTCAGCACGGACAAGATCTTGACGATCAACGTGAAGCCCGGATGGAAGGCCGGTACGAAGATTCGTTTCCCCGGTGAAGGAGACGAGTTGGACAATGGCATGACACAAGATATCGAGTTTGTCGTCGAAGAAAAGCCGCATCCGACATTCAAGCGTGAGGGTGATAATCTGCGAGTAACAGTCCAGCTCTCGCTTGCCGAGGCGTTGACGGGCTTTTCAAAGACAATCACCACGCTGGACGGACGTAGGTTGGGTGTGAATAACTCGAGTGCGGTGGTGCAGCCGGGCCAAGAATCAAGAGTGTCCAACGAAGGCATGCCGAACTCAAAGACGGGACGGAAAGGTGATTTAATTATCAAGTACGATGTAAAGTTCCCTACAAGCCTGAGCAGTGCACAGAAGGATGCCATCAAAAGTGCGTTCCAGTAATCTCCAATTCCGTGTATCACCTGTTTTCTTTCTCTTTCTTTCTCCACAATTGTATATTTTGCCCTTTCCCTTTTACATTGCATCATCACCCTTCCCTCCACGCAATACTGCCACAACGTACATAGAAACACAAAGCCAAATATGTTCAAAGCTGCCGCATGCTATAGTAAACTTCTACACCTATTACAAGACCATACTTGCTATCAAGGTTCATTGTCTTTAATCGTGTTTTTTGTTTTGCTCTTTGATCACTGTTATGCTTATAATATGAATATTTACAGATTGGACACCATCGGTCGTGTCACTGTTTATAAAGATCCTTTCAGATCTACCCAACAATGTCTTTACTCGACACAATTTCAAAGCTAGCCAACAACGATCCAAAGCACTCGTTGATCTCGCACAAGAATCTATTCTACTTTACCCGTATAAGAGTGTGCCGGCTCAGTGGCGCCAGTTACTTATGGATGCTAGTATCTTACAAGCTATCACTATGCTTGGCCTGTTTCAGCACAGCAGCACATTATTGGAACTACAGCTAAGAGACGGCGATCAGGACATTAAACAGCGGATAGCACGCGAAACGATCAATGTGCTCGATACGGCCATGATTATCAGCGGTGCACCAGGACCACAACGACGCGAAACTGTTCTTGCTAGCATTGACACACTGCAAGCATATCTGTCGTCGTTACCTTCATCATCATCATCATCACACAGACTAAGAGATGGCTTTATCCACCTGCCAGCACCACACACGGTTCACACGACGCATCCCGTCAATCGACTTGACAAAGTGCCCAGTTTTTTGGCGTTTGTTCAACTCTTACAAAACGGCCAACCATTCATTATCCCGCAAGGCGCGATCGAACATTGGCCTGCACGAGATAAATGGCCATCATTGTCTTATTTTGTGTCTGTCGCAGGCGACCGTGTTGTACCTGTTGAACTAGGTAGCAAATACACGGACAGTGCATGGCAACAAAAAATGATGCGGGTTGAGGATTTTCTTCGCGAGCATGTTGTTTTGCAAGAAGAAGGCGGCGACGACGGCAGCGGTCAAACGGCATATCTTGCACAGCATGATTTGTTTTACCAGATACCAAAACTGGCAGACGACATCAGCGTGCCGGACTACTGCTATTGTGAGCCAGAACTCAATGAAAACTACAAAGAGGCGCCGGTGGATGTGATCCAAAATGCTTGGTTTGGACCACAAGGTACAGTCTCACCGCTGCATCATGATCCGTACCACAATGTGCTGGCACAGGTTGTTGGATCCAAATATATCCGGCTGTATGCACCATCGGAAACACATTGCTTATATCCATATGAGGGTATCATGTCGAACACAAGCCAGGTAATGATGTGAGAAAGGCCCTTACACGCTGTGGTATAGAGATTAATGAAACATCATCATCTTCAGGTCGATGTGGAACATCCCGATTTCGATTCTTTTCCACTTTTGAAAGAAGCACAGTTTGTTGACTGCACTTTGCAAGCTGGTGAACTGTTATACATGCCTGTAAGTTTCCTTAGAAAACAGTGCTACGAGAAAGAAGGTCGTTTATTAAATACAAAAAAATGTGCATAGCCAAAATGGTGGCACTACGTCCGATCCCTTGAAACAAGCTTCAGTGTTAGCTTTTGGTTTTGAAACTAACGGGAAGAAGAAGGATCTTCTGGCCTACAGCTGAAATCGAGCCACCACAAGCTACCATCGCGTCCACCGTAAATGATACCCATGCTGCCCATGGCTAGTCGGCCTCTTATAAAATCATAACCGTCCGAAAGGTCGTCCTCGTCTCGGAACTGGGCTGCGTCCTCTTCGATCCATTGTCGTTTCCCGTTTTTGAACGTCACATGAGCCGCTGTTGTGCCGTTCAATGCAAATAAAGCAATATCTCCATGCCGATTGGCGATAGCAACGCGGTCGTTATGCACAGCTATGTTGACGACTTGCCGAGTTGTCCAGCCCAGAGGAGATGTCCTGATGGAGCTGATCAGTCGTAGCCTGCTACGGAAATTGGGCTCGCCCAGTGTGTTGTTGGTATCATTATCCCCATTGTTGCTGTTGTTGTGTCTTTCCTTTTCTTGGACTTGTTTAATGTAATGGGCCGTTCGGGCTTGGCATGCGTATCCATATTCGTTGTAAGAAGAGTATCGCCGTAATGACCGTGCTGCTTTGCGTCCAGCTGTATCGATATATGTGCGCTGGCGTTTTGGTCGGCTAAGTAGGGAGGAAATGGAACTGGTCAATGTTTTTGGTGGCTGTGGCGGTAACTGCTGATGTGGATGCTGCTCGTTGGTGGGAGAGCTTGAAGGTGAATCGCCGCTGTCGCTGCTACCATTACTGTTGGGATCCACAGCCGTGGACGATGGCACGGGATCCCATTTGAAATGATGGATTCGTCGAGCAGCGAACGGAGCTAGTACAATGCTTAACGAGCCATCGTATTCCAGACATGGCATGTTGCATGCGGGTAAGGTGAACGTGGCTGTCTGTTTGGATGGATCGAATATATCAAACACGTGCACAAGTCCATCCACGCTGATCATCATAATGTTGTCCTTAACAATATAGACGCTGTGTGGCTGGTTGTCAAAAGCCTATCATTAACATTCATTTTGCTTGTAATCAATAAGCAGAAAATGTATATTCCTTATCTTGCTGTATTAAACTTAGAAAAGGAGAACCTTCTTTTCTTCCATTACCCTGTTAGATAAGCGAACCCCTTTCCGCCAATTCCAGATAAACACGGCAGATGGCTTTCTCCCAGAAACAGCAAAGTAGTCTTGCGACAAGGCTATTGAATCGGGCACAAACCATGGATGATTTCCTCCCTTGAGTACCTGAATGGGATCGTTGCTTTGTTCGTTGATATCATAAAACACACATTTTCTGAAAGGAAAGAAAGTTCGTTTAAAAATTAGCGACATGCACGTCGTACAGAAAAAAAATCTGCCTGTCTGTGTACGTGTGATCGACAACAACAGTAGCCAGAAAAACTTACGATCCACGCATAGCAACAGCAAGAATGTTGATTTCTGGAAGGATATCAACACATTCGACCGCATTATGGACTGGATCACCAAAGTTCCAAGTGGACACCAATCGAAACCCGAGGGCGACAGTGTACTGGTACAGACTAACGGTGTTATTCTACTTTTTATAGTTTAGCACTTATCTTCATCGTCATGGATTGCATAAGCCCGGGAAAAAAGAAGATAGGGATTTCATTAAAAGGTGAGATTTACCTCCGCCAGCGTTATCAGCAAGTGTTTCTTGAGCTTGACAGACAAAACCCGACTCTTTTTATGGTCACTAATAAGCTGTTTTCGTTGCACGCTCCCCATGCGCCAATTGGCATATGTTTGTGCTCGACAATACTTGGTATGCCACGGCAAGTCCTTGTCGCCGCTGTCTTTTTTGCTGCTGCTGCTGCTGCTGCCGCTGCTATTATCCCTGTGCTCATGATGTTGTTGTTGTGAATGCTTATGGAAGTATAGGTCTGGATAGCGTTTGTACAGATTGAAGTAACGGGACCTCCAAATCGACGTATCCAAAGCAATTCGCCGCCAGACTCGACAGGTCTAAATATGATTTATTCATGCTATTTTCTCCCCTTCTTTTCTCTTCCTAGTCATATTTGCCGAAATAAAGAACCTACCACTTGCACTCGCACTAAATCAGAAAAAGAGAGCATGCCGAAAATATACAGCGCGATTTCCCTGGGTAAACAAGTGATAATGTCGTTTTGGTCATGATCTTTTCCAGTCTGCTGTTGTGATTCTTCCGGTGTAGGAGGCGTGCTGCTATCTGTTGGACTTTATATACATATAGGAAGCAGCATGTCTTAGACTTTCGTTTCTCTCCCCCCCCCCTTGAGTATAGTATTATAAAATACCTTTTGTCTGATGCACCTCCTAGCAGCGAAAGTTTGCGTAGTGGCTTCACGAGCTCTTGCACTGACTTGCGTCGAGTCATGTTTTATTGTTGTAGGTTTTGTAGCGTGTGAAATAGGGTAAAAAGCGGAAAAGGAGAAAAAGAGAAAAGAGAAAAGAAGAAACGGATTTGTGTGCTTTAAATATGCCTAGCATATAATTCATTAGCGTGAGTGTGAGTGAATATGGGCTTTTTCCTCGGAATAGAGAATATATACGGGCAGGGAGATAATAGAGATAGAGATAGATAGAGAGAGAGAGAGAGAGAGAGGGAGAGAATGAGAGAAAGAGGGAAAGGACGAAAATAGCAGCACTGTTATTTTGTATAGGAAGCAGAACATGTGATGTTCATTACGGTTATCAACCCGTTGATGCTCTTATTGAATTTAGATCACGAAAGCTTCATTTCATCCTTCCTTCGAGTAGACGTAGATGTTTTCCGGCTCGTCGCCCTGGACCAGCTTGAGCTCGGGTATTTCATTCAGGTTGAATACCAGGGCAACAATTCTTGCCCCGCGTCGATAGTGATGCAACAAAAGATCGGCGAATTTCTCTGTATGGTCTGGCAACAGGAAGACCACAATCACACTCCACGCTACATCACGCACCAATTCGACCTGGGACAAGAAGTCGCCCTGCACAAACTCGATCCTGTCCATCATCCTCTCTTTTCCTGCCAGCACCTTTTGGGCCAACGAGCGGGATAATTCAACCAGTCCTGCGTCGACTTCGATCCCCAGCCCGCGTTTTGCTCCAAATGCTGCTACCGCTGCTGTCACGAGCCGACCGTCCCCTGATCCAATGTCCAAGACGCCATCGTCAGGAGTAACATTGGCCATGGTCAGTGCTTTAATCACACGTCGTGCAGACGTGGGACAAAACGGACCCAAAAGACCTTTCTGCGTGTCGTCGTCTGTGTATGCTGGAAAGGGATCGGCTTCGGAAGCATCTTGTGCGGCATCGTCAACATCCTTGAATACCTTGAGGAACGCGTCTCTTCCTTGTTCGCTGCCAGGAAATGTCATTGCGGGGGTAATGGTGATTACTGTATTTTCCCAAATTCGGGGAATCCTTATGGCAACAAAGTCGTCTCCTTATATGTCCACCCGTTGCTTGGGATTGGGAGAGAGGCAGAGAGACAGAAAAAAAAATGGAGGTCGAGAAAAATAAAACGAGTGGCTGGGCTCTATACTATGCAATGCATATCTCATAAAACGTTGTTGCATTACTATCCAAACGCCAGATACTCACTTTATCTTTTGGATTTGCATGTTGAAACGTTGCTGAAGCCAATGTGCACGGCCTTATTGCTGGTCCATTTTCAGTGCCCTGCTGCATACAAGGTTGATTCGCATAGACGTCCATTTCTTCTCGTATATTTATCTGCTGGTCTTGATACATCCTGTTACTTCCGCTATTCTTGCTGCTCCGATAACCCTTCCTAAGAAGGTTCATTGCGAGTTCGTTTAGTTTGCAACTTTTTGCTCAATGCTTCTCCGGACACTGTTGATTGTTCGCTGCTTTATTTGCATCGATCCAATGTGTTTGTTGCGTGTATGCTTGCAAAGGCGCTCGCGGCCGTCATTTTGTGTTATCCTGCTGCAGCAGCATACACCGTCTTCTTCTTTGACCTTTCCTTTCGACCAACCATTCGCCGTCGTATGTTGTGAATAGAGCAGTATTGCGCGCTATGTCGCCGCCCGTCGTTGCTGTCTTTAAGGGTGGCCAAGCAGTATGCGTGGTTTCCTTTTCAGCACCAAGTCTCCATTCTAATGCTTTCAATAACAATCGCCTACATTTCGTTTGGTCAATTTTATAAGCGACGGAATTCGTAACGCTGTAAAGTTCAGATCACGGAGCCTTCGATTGGGCAATAGTTTGGGAGATGATAAAAGAAGAAAGAAAGGGCGTGTGAAAATAAGTTAAAAAAAATGACGGGTATATACATTCTCTTCTTTGCTTGGTTACACCTGTTATGAAAATAGACATTTAACTTTGAACAACTTTCTCCCGGATTCTTCCCTCTGCCTCGTCCCTGTTGTGTTTCATCGTAGAGGCATTTGTGGCATCTGATGACGGTTATTATTATACGCTACTCACAAGGTCGATGCTAAGTACTTACAACGAAAGAATAAAACTCATCGATTATGCTGGGTCCTTCCCTTTCCCTTTAAGCGATAGGTCCTCTGCTATCGTTTCATCCAGTATTTTACTACCACTGGAACGTTTCGATAATGTTTCTGTCGCCATCGATTTTGATGTGGTGGCTCCTCCTCCCCTTCCTCTTCCTCTTGATCGGCCTTCTTGTCATTTATCGCCTTGTAATTGTGGGCAGCAGCATCCTTCTTTTCTGCTTTTCTTCTCTCAATAGCATTTCTAGAAAAGTGTATACTTTTGGCTTGCCGTTTTCTCCCACTCGTCTTCCTTGCCAATGATGATCCGATAGTTGGCTTTATCTAGTGGAGCACATAGGCAGACGTATGAAATCCTTGGTACGGTATCTTTCAGGAAAATCGCCATATTTGAGCGTCTCGCGAGACACTTTTCAAACACGCCACATGACCATGTAGCATTGGTAAAAGAAGCTCACTACCCGTCTAGCCTTGTCAACACGGCTTGCTTTTAACAGTTTCTTGTCCACAATTTCGTCCTTTTCGTCCTTGACATTTCTTGCTTCTTTCAAAAGCCTTGCCCACTTGTCTGCCCTCTTGCTGGTATGCAGCAACATCATCCCGATCGAGCCCCTAAAAACCATCCATAAACTGCGAGGAGATGATCCATCATCGCAGGCTCGGAGAAATCGTTTACCATCTGTATGACCATCTTGGTGATAAATGCATAGGCCGTGATTTGACTGTTTTGTTGCTGTGCCTTGAGCATTCGTTCGATATAGACAAGATCAACTGGTTCTGGAGTGCCAAAAAGCAGTGCATAAGAATCAATGAGTTGGCTCCAGTTGGCGACAACGAGTTGGCCCATATGCTTCTTCCAAAGCAGGTACGGTTCTTCGCACATGTCATTTATAAAGTCGTCTACCCTTGGTAAGCAGCTCTCTCGGCCGTCTTTTGACACAGGATAAGGTCATTGAGCAGGCAGCAAATAGCCGTCGATTCATTCTTGAATATGGCACGATATTCGGCGGCAACAACTGTTCTTTTGGAAAAACCGACGAAGACTGTAGTACCATTTCTTTCTCTGATTGTTCTCGGTAATGAACTCCTCGATGCCTTTTCTGGCTGTTGTGATATGTTGCATGCTTTCCCTGATAATGGCGTGTACTCCGCAACCGTCCTCCGGTCGTTGTCTCTTCATTCTTTTGCTGGGTTCCGCAATGTGCTTTTGCGTGGTGGATCACTTTTGCTCTGCCTCTCGTCTAAATTCTAGGCGGTAGTCGTGCTTTTGATTCCCTGCCGTTGTTTGGCATTGCTATTGCCATGGTGCTCGTCGTCTGGCACTATTTCGCGTTTTTCGCTGTCGCTGCTCCTTGCCTTGATGCTATCATTGATAATACCACCATAATCTCCTACTGACTTTTTGCTTTGTGCCGCCGCGAAAACTTTATACGCACTGTGTTCACTGCTTGTTTTAGGCCGTTGCTTGGTCTGAGCATCCAGTGCTTAAGCTACCCTTGGGGCAGGCTTCAGCGCATAAATGATGTTAAGAAAGTGTTCGCATTTAACGCTGAAAATCGTGGGCTTCAGGAGCAACTTGTCCCCAGTCTTCGGCCGTTTTCTGTAGCAACGAGATAGCAGCGGATGCAATAATTCCTGCGTTGTCGATAAGTAAATTTGTCATCCTTTTTCCTTTTATATGAATTGTAACAAGTAATCACTAAAGAAACGTTTGATAAAGATAATATTGTTGATAATGAAAATAAAACTCAAAGACTGAAGAATAAAGAAAGGGGAGGACTGGATCTAGAGAAGTTTACTACCAATACTGCATGTCGACGTTTTTGACATGCATGCAGATGTGGGCTCGGCTTGGCTCAGCTACTACATTATACATGCTAATGACAAACCGTAGCGACGACACTTACCATTATCCTTCTCCTTATTGATCGAGCCTAGTAAAAGCTTAAAATGATGCTATTTTATTCTGCACACCACGCAAATGCAGCTGCTAATCACAATATTAGTACCTAATCTCGAGAACGTGTGTACGATACCAGAATCGGTATCATACAAGACATATCAGTATACTGTAACAGTAGCAGTACTTTCATGAATAGAATCACAAGTTTTAGTGTTTGTTGTATGTACTTACATACTCTGCCGTGCTGTGGGAGATATTCCTATCCATTCTATGTAGACATAAGGATGCGTAGGAAGAAAAGAGGTCGTTGTGCTAACAGCTATAGTACTGTATCATATATGCAACCGCGTATACCTTCTTCTCGCTTCTATATCAAACTCATGCATAGTCTCCAAGGAATAAATTACTGAAAGTTACTGTAAATCGAATCTAAGGATCACTATAGCAAGCTACCCGCTATAATGCTAGTCTTGCTGTAATAATGGTATACATCAGGACGCTTCAAATAACATGTTTATACGAGCAGAATTGTGACACTAAGAAGAAAATTTTATATTAAATTATCAAGAAGATGGGTATATAGCTTACAGCTAGGGAATTGCAACAGAATTTTTTTCCCTTGAACAAATAGGTATTAATTGTTTTGGCCTCTACTGATGTCCAATGCGCAGACTGCAACATCTTGAACTCTTTGTCGACTACTGCTACTACCACCAGCAGCAGCAGCACCGTTCGAATATTGCTCCCTTTTTGCGTTCTCGTTCTTTTTTAGTAGCATTTCCAGAAAAGTGTACACTTTAGGCTTGCCGTTTTTCTCCCAGTCACCCGTCTTTCCAATGACAATATGATAATTTGATCTGTCAAGTGGTCCACAATAGCAGAGAAAGTCCCTGATCCGAGATCTCCCTGGGAAATCGACATCTTTGATCGTTTCACGCGAGACTTGTCCGACACGCCACATGACCATGTATCGTTGATAAAAGAAGCTCACCGCGCGTCTGGCCTTGTCGACATTAACTGCCTTCTTTTGCTGCTCGTCGGTAATTTCTCCTTCGACGTCTCTCGATGCTTTAATAAGCACTGCCCATTCGTCTGCCCGTTTCTTGATCTCGGCGGTGTTATTATGCTTGAGTCCCTTGAACCATCCATAAAGAGCAAGAAGATGCTCTTGCATAGCGGGCTCGGAAAAATCAGTCACCATATTCATAATCATTTTGGTGATTTCCATGCGGGCCTCTTCCGACATGGTCGTTTCGGCATCCGCTGTTGTTGTGGCGATACTTTTCTTGAACGGGAACCCATGCTTGCGCGTAAAGCTTATAAAGCCATAAACCGTGATTTGATTGCTGCCACCCTGGGACTTGAGCATGCGCTCAGCATACGCCAGATCTTTCGGATCGAACGATCCATACAAGAGGGTATACGAATCAATGAATTGCTGCCAGTTGGCTACGACAAGTTGGCCCATGTGCTTCTTCCAAAACAGATACGGCTCTTCGGACATATCCTTTTGAAAATCGTCTACCTTGGGAATAGCTGCGCTCTCTGCTATTTTTTGGCACAAAACGAGGTCGTTGAGGAGGTCACGAACTATATCCGGGCCGAGGTTTCCATGCTGTCTTAGTTACCTGTGTGACAGAGCGACCAAGTTGAAATAAAAGAGACAAACCTGCTGTGGATTCGTCCCGGAAAAAGTCGCGATATTCCCGAGCGACTATAGCTCGCCTAAAGAACCATCGAACACTGTGGTGCCACGTCTTTTTGCGTTCGTGTTCCTTGATAAACTTTTCGAGGCGTTTGTTGGCACCCTCGATGTGTTTTGTGATTTCATTAACAATTGCACGGGCACCTTGCTCCCTGATCGTCTTTGGCTTTGACCTGATTGAGCGCTTTACAGCTTCCTGTGTTGTTGTTGCAGTGGTGTCATGCTGTGTAGTTGAGACGGAGCCGTAATCAGATCGGGTATCGCTGGCCGCGTTCGTGAATGGCTGAGACTCTTCGTTCGCGCCATTCTGCCTGCCAGTGCGCTGTCGGAACGTTTTGGCTATCCGGTACACACGGATAACGTTGACAAACGTGATATTATTTGTCCTCGAAGGCCCATGATGGTGGCTACTGCTAAGAGCTTCGGGCGTCAATGCGTGCACGATGTTGCGAAAATGCTCACATTCACGCTGAAAATCATGCGCTTCAGGTACAACTTGTTTCCAATCATCAGCTTTTTGTTCGAGAAACTCAATAGCTGTTGTCGCAATGTTGCCTGCGTTTTCCAAAATAAAGCTTGCCATGTTGGTCTATGCTTAGTAGATAGCAGAGTACAGCGAACAGAAAGACGACAGCTGGGTATGTTATTTTGTTTTGAAATACGATCGAAAGAAAGAAAGGAAACACATTCATTCGCGTTTTCTCGCCATCTTTTAAGGTATAAAGTCGAGTTTGGGAAAGTTGAGTCCAAACTTTAAATAAGAGGGTATCATACAGTGGTACAGATGTGTTACTGGTTGTGCTACAGACTACTAAAATGCTCAGTAAATTGCACAATTGGTAGAATCAGAGCAGTATTTAAAGAGCATCTGCAACAGGTAGCTTATATACCGGTCTCATTATCACAAACGTTTATAGTGCAAGTTGCAGTTGGTAATGGGAATAGATTAAGTGGTCGCCTTTGATATCGATTGCTGGATAATCCTGCACAAAGTCCTCGACTGTGTGTAACTCTGTATTATGCAACAATCCGTACAGCCGTTTAGCTTCTGCTCAATACATTTGATGCGGCGAGTGCGCCACTTGTGATTATGCGGTAATAATTATTTTACAAGGTTCTTGGACGATGCATTTAACTTCGAATCTTAAGAAAAAGACATGTATTCTAATGAATGCTTGAGGGTCAATATGCATTTCCCGATATAAACATGATACGTTATATACTGGCAAGAGACATCAGACATCGCAGTCGTCGATTAGCCATATTAGACCTACTACGTGTTAATAAATATAAGCTATACTAGAAAGAGAGTGCAGAGATGATAAGTAATTATCTGATGCTAATGAGAACCAAGAGTATTTATATGTAAGTTTATTTTCTCTTTATGTGTTTTGTACAATTATGAAATCTGCTTTCCAGCGTCTTCTTTGAGCGTCACAGTTCGGTTGACGACAATCTTGCCCAAAGCTTCCTTGCCCTGTTTGGTAACATCCAACTCGGTATCGTAATCCAGACAGAAGTAGCCCGTTCGCACAAACTGCCATCGCATACTTTCCTTGTTCTTTCCTCCCGTCTTTTTGACCCAGTCAGATACCTGGTCATAAATACCAACAGTTGCCAATGCGCCGTTAACGATCTTGAGCGAGTCCTTGTTAAGATCGTTCAAGAAACCGCCCGGTGCATCATCGGGATTGGCGTGATGGAAGAGTGGTTCGTACAGACGCACTTGGTCGAGCTGGACGGGCGAGCCAAGTTGGGGTGCTTCAGCGACCCAGTGGATATATGTCTTTGGCTTTTTGAACTCGCCTTCGTTTTCGTATCGACATACCAGCTCAGAAATCTTGCCGTTGCTGTCCTTCTTAACCTCAACGCAGTGGATGGGCCGGGGTACCTGCAGCAAACCAACCGACTTGCCGGGTGCCAAGCGGTAGTAATCCTTGGAATCAACTTCACGGAAGTCGGAAGAATCAATGTAGAGCACCTTTGTGAAAGGAATCTTGTATTCGCCCATTTCGGGTTTACGTGGCACGTTGGGAACAGTGACCCATTCAACAAAGTCGTCTGCAACGTTCTCTAAGGTGATCTTGATAGGGTCCATGACAACCATGGTGCGTGGCACGGTCTTGTCGAGATAGTCGCGTACCTTGGAGTCAAATCGCATTACGTCAATCGTGCTCTTGGATGTAGTGATACCCAATTCCAGCACAAAGTTGTTGATAGCTTCTGGAGGCACACCGCGACGTCGAATACCGACCAAGGTATACATGCGGGGATCGTCCCAGCCATTGACATGCTTTTCGTTGACGAGTTTCAGAATCTTACGCTTGGACATGATGGTTCCAGTGACATTCAGACGACCATACTCCCACTGGACAGGCTTGTACACTTCGACAGCGTCCACGAGCCAATAATAGCTTTCACGCGACTGTCTGAATTCGGTAGTGCAGAGCGAATGGGTAATGTTTTCGAAAGAATCGACCAAACAGTGAGTGAAGTCGTAGGTAGGATAGATGCACCAGTCAGAGCCAGTACGGTGATGTGGAGTGAATAGCACACGGTAAGCGATCAAGTCCCAGAACTGCGGGTTGCCGTTTTCCAAATCCATCTTCATACGCAACGTCGTCTCGCCTTCCTTGTATCGACCCTCCTTCATTTTTTCAAACTGCTCAAGCGTTTCCTTGATGGGTCGGTCGCGATGGACACATGCTGTACGTGCGCCACCATCGTCGCCACCACGGTGTGCGTGAATTTCCTCGCCCGTGCACTGACACGTGTATGCCAATCCCTTTTCAATCAACTTGACAGCCAACTCATACAGCTGCTGGAAGTAATCACTCGAGTAGGTGATCTTGAACGGTTCGAAACCAAGCCATTCGACTGTTTCCAAGATTGACAAGAAATACTTTTCCTCCTCGGCCTCAGGGTTGGTGTCGTCGTAGCGCAGATAAGTGATACCATTGTGTGCCTTGGCATAACCAAAGTTGACATTGATGGCCTTGGCGTGCCCAATGTGCAAGTAGCCGTTGGGTTCGGGTGGGAATCGAGTGACAACCTTACTGCCCGTTGCCTTCAAATGCTCCTCCATCAATTCAGGCTTGATCTGCTTGTTGCCTCCCGGTTTATGCAGCTTGGAAATTTCGCCCTCAAAGAACATGTTGGACAAGTTGACAGGCTTGTCCTCTTGGACCTTTTTCTTCTGAGCTGCAGCAGCAGGTGCTTCCTTCTTTTCCTTTTTCTTCTTCTTCTGGGGCGCGTCGCGTTCGTCTTTGGGACCCAACAGGGCAAGGAATTGGGCCTCAAGTTCATTCTTGACAGCAACACCGTCAGCCCAACGTAAGGCTGGCTGTTTGCGAGAATTGGCGAGGGATGGGCCCAGTACACGGTATCGGTTCTCAACAATGTTTTCCTTGTTGCTGGCAATGTATTCGGCGACGGCTGATTTGATCTGTTCGGGCGTAACAACGATACCTACACCAGTGGCTTCGTTGAACGCTTCGGTTGCAATTGGTTCAGTGCAGTCTTCGACGTATTTGATAGCAGCTGATAGATATATAAAAAGTGCAGAGGATGAGCTTTTTCTCGCCCAGACGTTGAAAGAGGTTTATATACAGAACTCTTTATTCTCTCTCAAGCGCATATTCGTCTTACCTGACACTTGATCAGCCGTCTTGAGATCGCCTGCCATAATTTTGCTGACAATGTATGCACGGTGCTTCAAAGCATCCTTGCTAATCGTCGATGCGATTTGGTATAAGAGATTGCCAGTGTCCTTGTCACAGCCAGCGTCGCGAACCTTGGCTTCGTCAATGACAGCCTCAAGACTAGGTGCGAGCTTTTTGTTCTTGGCGGTGTCCTTGGCCTTCTGCTCGGAAAGACCGATTTTAACAAAGATGGGAACAAGTTCCTCCATTATATAGTATAAAGTTTGGTAAAAGAAAAAAGAAAGGTGGGGTGGGGTGGGGGATATGTGGTTGATTCCAACTTATGTCGACAGCCCAAAGCAAAAATGTGACTCACTTGCGAGGACGGGCTTTTTTCCTTTTCCAGAGCGTTGATAGGCAATCCAATCCGCTTTGACAACATTTTCGTTATCATTCAGTGACAGGTTCGCTACCCCTTTATTTTAATCTTTTTTAATGACAAATAGCTAATAATAGCTATCGAACGAATTACTACCGTACATTTGATAAAAGTTATAGCCGCGATAAATATATTTCGTACGTATGTAGTGCCTATAAAGTAACAGCTTCGTTTGTTTTTATGCATCTCCTGCTGCGCCAGCTTGCTGTGCCACCCAAATTACATTTTGCCAATCACAATATGTGTATCGTTTTCTTCTTAGTCTACTGATAACAAAAGTAGACTCAAATGTAACAGTAGCTTCGTTATAAAGTAGGCGTGACTGGAATTTAGCGCAGGAAAGGGACATTTTTATATCCTTGGGCACATATTTTGCTTGGTTTGCATAATCACAGTGATGGGGTCTACTGCCACAAAAACGGCTTGGCGGTGCGTGTATAACGACAACCGACCCATGTGGTTAAACCAAAAGCTCAAGTCAATGAAATTGAGTTTCTGTACGAGCTTCCCATCAGTGATGTTAATATCGCAGAAGAAGAAGATTAGGATTGACAGCCTTGAAAAAAGCGGAGGCTCACTGTGGGCGAATAAATTACGTAAGACCTTTGATACAAAGGAGGTGATAAATTCCATCTATTTGTTTTACATATAAACGTGTGTTCGACCTTCAATTCGCATAAATATATCTCGCAACTGGATATATTATATATAGGAGATTTGCTACTGGGCACACTTTTTTTCGCACACGCTTATTCTTGTTATAGGTATTTCATTGCAGCGTATAACTGTCATTTTAAGGGAGTTCGGCTCATAAAACTTGCCCAAATTTCAAGGCTCTAAACAGTACAGAGCGAGCTGTTTCGTCGACATTAATCATTGTCAAATGTTTGACATAAATGTTACCTAAAATTATCGTAATGTTGTCTGGAAGCAAAGTGTTTACCACACCTTCACAGACGATGGTTTCTTGTCAGACCCTCTAGTATGATACAGTGTAATCCGCTTTGCGATAAAAACAAAAAACTAAAGAAATATCCCTTGGCGAAATGTGAAATGAAAAGTCATACTTGCCAGTGACTCTGGGTGTTTACCACGTCAATTGTGTATCGGAAGCGCAAAAAGGTGAATGTTGATGTAGAGGAGAAACAGGCTGGTCCTAAATCGTCGTAGTGCAGCCACTTCCTATATGAGAACGCTTGACAGCTTGAAGCATCATCTACATTTATATATTATATAGTACTGTATGTAGCTCTGTATGAATTTAATATTCTTGCCATAATTTTCTGTATAATTATAAGCAAAGCTTTCTCTCCTCTGCAAGAGATTTTGAATGAGTTCAAGTTGGTCCGTTACATGATCTTCTCTCTTGCATCGCAAAGCAGCCATCTACCCCAGAGAACTAAGAATGTAACGGAGACGAAACTATTTCTATCGCTATGTATGATGTACATAATACTCGTATTGTCAAAAAACGATCAAGGTGTAAATTGCAGGTCGTAATCATCACTATTTAATGACGGTGTTCTTTTTGATGATAAATGAGGGTAAAATAAAAAGGCATGCGTAATTGTGAATTTTAGGCTTAATATGACCCTTTACTAAACTTTCCAATGTAAGACTGGCATATATCTTGCTGGTGTAGAACAAAAGGCTCTGTCAGCAAGAGGATCGTAGTAGTAGAAGCTTCAAGAAATTTTTGACAGCTCTTAAACACGCTAATGCATTTGGTGTCACACTAACTGATTGCCAGCCACGAACCTCACTGATTTTAAATTCCGTCTTTTTTTTTTTTTGCTAAAGCTGAACTTTTTTTTAGTCTTTGTGCGTTTGCAGGATCTGGATCATTTTGCGGTTTTTTTTAAGTCAAGAGAACCAATGGATCTTTTCAAATTACTTGGAGGAGGTGCTCAGTTTGACAAGAAGCGATTCAGTCACGACGTTCAACTATTTGAGGTAAATTGTCTATATTTCATGGTTTCTCGAGGTTATTTTAATTTGTTGAAATCGTACTTTCCTTTCCAGGGTCCAGCAAAGAATGGGTCGACAAAAAATTCTGCTGCAACAGACGCTGACAAACGATCGCAACTGTTAAGCGAAATTGACATTTTGAATGATTCTCCACAAAAGAAGCAGCAACCAAAACAACAAACCTCGAACAATAAAGTACAGAATGACCAAGACGAAAGTGGCACGATCGCTCAAGGTAGAAAGAAACACACCAACCACCAAGCTTCTTGTGTGTGTACTAATTGGTTGAGCTGTATTCCCTTTATTTTTTTTTGTTTAGGAGAGTCTGTTACCATTGAAACGCCCGAACAGGCCAACGTCTTTCGTAAATCAAAACGTATTCGAGTGTATGGCACGGATATCCCTAATCCATTCAGCACCTTTGAGGATTTGACGACGTATCACGACCTAAAGCCGTTGCTGTACAAAAACATCAAGCAAAGCAAATATACATCTCCAACGCCTATCCAGATGCAATCGATACCCATTATTCTTCATGGCCGCGACTTGATGGCTTGTGCACCTACCGGTTCCGGTAAAACGCTCGCGTACTTGTTGCCCATTTTACAGGACTTGGATAAGCCATCCAAAGTCGGTTATCGAGCATTGATTATTGCACCTACCCGAGAATTGGCACAGCAGGTACTTATAGTATATCAGGCTTCATTTTATAAGTTTGCCGTACATATAATATCGTTGAATAACTAACGAAAAGGACTCGATATATAGATTGATCGTGAACTCTCGATAATTGGAGCTAGCACAAACTTAAAAGTCAATGTACTTACCAAAGCAACAGCAGCTCACAAGGCACAGAATCCTCAACAACGACAAAAGTTTGGTGAGTCAATTTTCGTTTATCGTGTTATGAATATACCTTGCACGAAATTTATTGACTGACAACGATCTTATATAACCATAGATGTCTTGATCAGCACACCATTGAGATTAGTTCACGCAGTACGAGAAAAGGAAATTGATTTGAGAAAGTGAGTAGTTAATTTCTGATCAGTAGAGAATAAACTCGGGACGACACGTTGCTAATAGGAATGGTGTTATTACTACGGCGTGTAGTGTTCGTCATCTCGTGTTGGATGAAGCTGATAAGTTGCTAGAGCTTGGATTTTTGGAACAAACCGACGAGATTTTTGCTGCTTGCTCGAGCACTACCATCCGCAAGTCCTTGTTCAGTGCGACATTTTCATCTACTGTTGAAGAACTCGCTCAGTCGGTGATGAAGAACCCTATCCGAGTTGTTGTTGGTGCACGGTAAGATTTCATTTAGACTACAAATGGTCTTACGTGTAAAAAATATAGCTGATTCTTTTCTGTATCTTTTAAGAAACGCCGCTACGGATACGATTAAGCAGGAACTGATCTTCACTGGCAACGAAGCAGGAAAAATGGTGGCCTTGCGACAATATATCCAAAAGGGTATTCGTCCTCCTGTGCTTATCTTTGTCCAATCCATTGATCGTGCAAAAGAATTGTTCCGCGAGTTGGTATTTGATGGTATCAATGTTGAAGTGATTCATTCTGATAGGACAAAGGCACAGGTAAAAAAATTAATTGATCATAGGGATGCGACAGTGTTTGTTAAACTAATAATCATGTTTTCTTATATGTGTAGCGTGACAGCATTATCAATCAATTCCGCCTTGGCAGAATCTGGGTGTTGATCGCCACTGAATTGATGGCTCGTGGTTTAGATTTCAAGGGCGTCAATTTGGTTATCAACTACGATTTCCCTCAAAGCGTCGCAAGTTATATTCACAGAATTGGTCGTACCGGTCGTGCGGGTCGTGCTGGTGAGGCCGTCACTTATTACACAAAAGACGATTTACAGTATCTCAAGAGTGTTGTGAACGTTATGCGGGAATCGGGCTGTGATGTGCCTGAATGGATGCTCAACCTTAAAAAGCCAAAGTAAGTTCCCTTTAAAATTTCTGTCCTAACCCGCGTCTGTGAGAGAGAGAAAGAAGATGGGTTATTCAAATCATTGTTATTTTTTTTTGATAGTCATAATCAAAGAAAAGACATCCGAAAAGGTATTGAACGTGAAACGATCGACAGTACACCCAAGCGTGATAGGAATGCAGCAGCAAAGAAAAAGTAAGTTTTTCTAGGTTGATGTCCCCGGGGTGGGGGCTGCATTGACAAGGAGAAACTGATCGATGATTCCATCTCGTTAGGGAAATGATTGAAGCATCGAAAAAGAGAAAGAAGCAGCAGAAGCAGCAGGAGAAGAACAAGAAGAACAAGACCAAGCAGTCATCATCATCGGAAACAACCCCATCATCACCAGCATCCTAATTATAAAATCATTATAACAGTAATAGATAAAAAAAGGCATCTTGTATACTACTACTACTACCACTACTACTAATACTTTAAAAAAAACCAAAACAAATTAACGGGCAATGTGCTCGCGTGTGTATAATGTGTGTAGTGTCTATAAATGTTGTATTCTTACTTTTTTTGCTTTATACTGTCTATTTCTTTTCATCAGCAGCAAACATGGTATCAAAGACAGATTTGACTTGCTTGTACACTTCTTCTACTGGCTGATCACAGTGAACCTAATAGCCCGAATCATGGGAAGCCAGGTTAAAACTTAAAAATCGGGCAGTTGCAATTCACAATAAGCGCTACTTTACCTTTTTAACCTTATCTTGCTTTTCAAAGGCTTCAATGACAGGGAAGCTGGTATCCTTGAAGACATTGAATCGTTTCTTGATGGATTCAATGTTATCATCAATACGACCCGAGCTCTCACCACGCTTCAACAAGCGTTTCAACATGACCTCCTCGGGGCATTCAAAGTAGAGAACGACCTTGGATGGGACAACCTAAATAGCATAATAGGGTTAAAAGTGAGATATAAGTTATCCCGTAACGAATCGTTCCATCTCCCTTTTGAACTCCTTTTTCTCCTCCACCTCTAATCTCTAATGGGGGGGGGGGAGTATATGTAACCAGTAGACATTACCACTTCTTCGAATTTGACTGCTTGATCCATCTTGCGAGGGAAACCATCAATAAGGAATCGAGTCGATTTGGAAGTTTCCATGGCCTCCTTCATTGCGTTTTCCAACAAAGCAATGGTAACTTCCATGGGGACGATTAAGCCCTCACGAATATAATGGTTGATTAATTCACCATACTTTGATCCGGGTCGCTTTTGTTCAGCACGCAGCAAGTCACCAGCTGCAAAGAAAAAAATAGCCACTTTTGTCAATAGCCCTAGTTTTTATGCACACGCGTGGAGAGGTGGTAGTAGTAGTAGTAGTAGGTACTTGCCTGACAAATGAACGAATCCAAAGTCTCTCTTTAGGTTGTCACACTGGGTACCCTTACCGGCACCAGGACCACCTTGTGGGAGGATGGGGAAACAAATTGTGTTAGTTTTTTAAAAAAAAGAAAATCTTATTCGCTTGCGCCTCCCAATCAACCAACCAACACGTACCGAGAACAAATACGACCGTGACCTCATCAGAAGAAAAGGCTGGGATCGGTTGTTGTTGTTGTTCGAGTTGTTGCTGAGCCTCGGCCTTGACCTCATTTTCCTTTTTGACAGGTCCCTCTTGTCGTCTAGGCATGGCTAAAAAAAGATCACGCGTCTTTTTTTTTAGTTTCCAAGGGCATTCAGGTAAGTTGTCATTGACAACAATTTCTACCTTGACCCTCTCGCGATTTCACCAACATGCTGTACGCGGCAAAGCCCATGGATGCCACAGCAAGCATGGCGGCAAAGCTGGGAGTACCAGAGTTCACTTTGTGTGACGATGTGCTGTAGGGAGCTGCCTTTGTTGCTGAGCACCCTAATGACGATGGACGCTTGCATCGTGCAGTAGTGCTAGTAGTGGCACGGGCAAGAAGAGGCTGGCGCAAAAGGGCTGTGCTTCGCAACATCTTTAAAGAGAGAGAGAGAGAGAGAGAGAGAGAGAGAGAGGAGGTGAGAACCCTCTTCTTCCAAAATTGAGTTTGAACTAGGATTGGGGATGAACTGAGTTTTTCCTTGAGGCCGGAGCCAACATGTTGGATCTGCGGTATTTAGTAAATGAACAAAGACGGAAAAAGATATTTTTATTATTATTTGTTACTATATATTCTACAAGTGTGAGCCCGATGAAAAGAAGTCTTTTTTAGGGGGGTTGGGGGTGGTGGTGAGATGACTGATTGTATATATGAGAATGCGTGCATGTAAGTTAATGTGGTTTGTGTGTGTGTGTGTGTGTGGATGGATGGATGGATGGATGAACGAGTGAGGAAAGAAGGAAGGAAGGAGGAAGGAGTGTGTGTGTGTGTGTGCAAAAAGAGGGAGGGGGAGGACAAGATGCTGTTGACGGTTCTTGTATATATTTCAAATGCATGGCGCATGCTGGCCTAAAACAAAATGGGTACGGGTTGGACGGAGCAAGCATGGAGGAGTCTGAGATTTGCAACGTTTGTTCGGCTGCTGTTGTTGTTGTTGTTGTTGTTGTTGTTGTTGATGATGATGATGATAGTGGTGGTATTGTTGATGTTGATGCTGTGTATTAAAATCGGGCGTATTATCTGCTGCTCGTGGGCGTTTTACACCTGAACGTGCATAGGTCATCTGAGGAAATTGGTGCTGTTGATTAGGATGATGAAGAAGAGGATGATCATGTTGAGGAGGATGAGGAGCAGGAGCAGCAGCAGCAATGGCAGAAGTAGGAGTAGCAGTAGTAGTAGTAGTAGTAGTAGTAGCAGCAGTAGCAGCAGCAGTAGCAGCACCAGCACCAGCACCAACAGGGTACGGCACCATCATCATCATCATCATCATCTGTTGCTGTTGTTGTTGTTGTTGCTGCTGTGGCGACACGACCGTAGTAGCCGAAGCACAACGACAGACAGCAAGATCGGGCGTCCATGCAAAAGAAATGTGATGCAACGAGGCTACAGGAGGTTCGGCCACGGCATCGGCAACATAGTCACGTAATAAACGATGCAGATCATCAAACACGTTCTGCTTCATATAGAGTTGATAGTCGCACATTTCAAGAAAGACCCGTTCGGCGAGGTTGACCTGCTGGACATGCATGCGCGCGATGGAAGCCCACGCCGAGTTCCGATACGTCTTGTCCTGGACGTATTTGGATGCGACAATGAGACTGGCCAGAAACATGCGTCGGCCGCAGCTGATGTAGTCCCGTTTGATACTCTGGCGCGGCTCGCTGAGCATGTATCGGCGGATCGCTTGCTGTGTCTGAAACAGATAGCAGATGGCAATTTGCGCGGTTGTGTATGTTGTATGCGACCGTTTCAGCACCTGTCGGATGAAGGATCGCATCGATGCTGTTGCCGGTGGTAAGACCTGCTCACCCACGTCTTGGTATATCCCGCGCCACATGATTTCGACCATGTTTGTCATGATATCTAGTAGAGAATATGGTATAATTGGAATCAGCCCTGCCGTTTTGTTTTCCCGCCTTGGGATTGTAGCGTGTTACACCATGGTGTGATGTGAATAAATTTATACCTAAAAGCGCCTCGACGTATGCCAAGCGCCGGTCCACATTGATAAGAACCGGCAGTTGCTGTTGCCGTTGGTGCTGCTGTGGTTGCAATTGAGGAAACGCGTGCTGCCATCGTATGTCTCGTGGTTGATGTAGTTTGCGTTGAAGACCATCGGTTGTTGGATGTTGTCGGCACGAATTCATCATGGCTCCGAGGTTCTAACGATGATGTGGGGAGTAGCAGAGAGGATGGGAGAGGGGAAGAAGAGGAAGAAGAAGAAGAAGAAGAATAGCAAGGGAAAATATCGGATTGACAATCAAGTTTAAAGAGGAAAAAAAAAAGTAAGGGCAGGGGACAGATAAAGGGGGTTTAGCACACAGTTTTTTTTATATATCTTGGTCTCTCCCGGACAAAGAAGTGCAAGGAGAATTACAGCTTGCGGTAAGACTGTACGGTTGGAGCAAGAGAGAGAGAAAGAGTCAAAAAGAGAGAGAGAGGGGTCCTCTTCTGCTCTTGCGGATAACGAATTGGGCTAAAAAAAAAATGAGGCGGAAGAAGAAGAAGAAGAGGTACAACAACAAAAGGACAAGAGAACAATAATAAGAGGGCAGTGACGCCGCACATGGCAATGTTGATTGTTGATTGTTGATGCTGATGATGCTGATCGGGGCGGAATACCCAAACAATTATCGTCGTCGTATCACAAGCCCAATCATCATCATCATCACACGCAGTGCAGCATGCAAATAACCAATAATAATAATAACGCTAATGCTGGATGATTTGTATTTATACTTATGCGTCGCTCTGTCTAATACACTCCTTCCGAACAGGAATGTCTTTTTGCCCTTTTGTCACAATGTGTCTATCTATGACTACCAGTACGACGACGACGACGACGACGACGACGACGGGCACAGCTGAATGAGAGAGGGGTTCTTCTTGTGCTCGTTCACCCAGGACCTCACACCCTTGGGAAGGAGTTTGAGTCTTTTTGCTTCTGTGGCAAGAAAGTCGCAAGAAATGTCCCAAAACAAGGTCAAACAATGCACCCTGGCCCTCGAACAATTCTAACTCCCATAAATCATAAAGAAATCATCACAACCCCCTTCTCTATTCACCCTCCTCCTCCCCCCCCCAACTAACATCCCCCCCAAGAATATACATCTTCCCCTCCCCCCCGTTACCAACGTAACCCCCCTCCCCCCAAAAAAGAATACAAGCCCTAAAAATGGATAGCTGTTATGTAATCTGCAGCCCAGCTGCTATCATATGTAATGCAAGCAGACACATCTGTAATGTAGTCGTAATTACCATTGTGAGATACATTATTACACTTTTTTTTGAAAGAAGAAGAAAAGGAGAACTCTTTGTCATGGTGGTTTGAAACATCCATCTTTGCCGATCGGATCTTTATGTGTCCTTCCTCCAGAGCGACATATTTAAATCAGTTTAAGGCAGGGAGAGAGAGTGTGTGTGTGTGTGTGTGTCATGATGATGCACTGTTCTCTCACCTTGTTTCTCAAAATACAAAGTCCAAGGCCAAAAGTCATGAAAAAGACCTAGTATGTACCTCAGCCAAGTGATAGGCAAGCCACGTTCTGCTGCTAACTAGACCCCCTTCCCCCATCCCCCAACCTCATTTCACAGCCATAATTCACAGCCCTTTTGCAATACACTTGGCTGCGTTATCCTACACGACCTTACGAGCATCATTCAAGAGCACACAAAAAACGCAGGAAAAAAGACTACGCAAGAGGAATAGTACCTTGCTTAATTTTCCAATCTTGCTTTAAATTGGATCAAGAGCTGGATTTGGGCTGATCATGTATGTGTAAGTGTGTGTGTGTGTGGGAGAGAGAGAGAAGAGTAAGGTAAAGTAGATGAGAGGGGAATTTTCTTTTTTTTTTTTTAATCGTACCGACTTCGTCTCGGTGAGCGTGATCGGGACCGACGAGGCGCAGGATACTCTTCTTCATAGTGGCGAGACCGTCTGCTGTAACGCTCGACTTCGCGATCCCAATCGTCATCAACCGCATTGTTGTTGTTGTTGTTGTTGTTACCACCGCCACCAGTTGCATTACCATTGTTGTTGTTGTTGCTGTGACCAACACTCGTACTGCGACGGTCACGACTGCGGCGACGGTAACCGTCATCACCGCCACGCTCCCGGTATCCACGCTCGCGATCAGAATATCGACGGTGATCTCTATCCCTACCTACGTCCCGACGATCACGGTAGTCGTAGCGTGCACGTGTGTAATCCCTGTCGCGTCCATAGGACTTGGACTGTTGCTGCTTTCACCACCATACAAAGAGGATCATTTAATACACTCGAATCATAAAAAAAGAAAAGGAAAAAGAAGACCACATTACCTTCATCTGTTCAAGTGTGTCACGGATCTTGAGGTAACCTTGGTGTTGCTTACCCTGGTAATGTGCCTCCAAGCGATCCGAGGAATCGTTAGTAACAAGGAATGCGCCACAGACTTGGCAAACCTGAACACGACAAGCATACAGAAAGAAAGATAAGTTTTCTGATCCTTTATGCTGTTTTAACTATGAATTTTACCTCCATCCGCTTTTCAGACTTGTTTCCGTCCGCATTCTAGAGTAATGGAAAACGCGGGCTCATGCGTGAGAATACAATCCAGTGTTGAGGGAGTGGGAGTGGGAGTGGGGGGGGACAGTAACACATTACTTACCTCTTTCAGCTGACTCAATTCAGCCTGGAGTTTCTCGACTTCGGTGGTCAGATCACTTGCTTCTTGTACGCGTCCTTCTTCACCTGCTTCCTCGATCTTTTGTTTTTTTTTTTCATTTTTGTTTTGGCAATCAGAGGGAATGATATTTTGGTGGGAGGGGGGACAATTTTAGGTTTTTGTGTGATTTTTGCATAAACGCGTCAATAAAAGCTTTTCTTTCTCTCTTTCTCTCTTTTTGTATTTACCCCAACCCTTCCATTGGAACCCCATCTCTTCACCAAGGATTACTCCCAATTGAAACATCTCTCCACCGCGGAATGGCAGGGTTTGGGTTGAAAAAGGGGGGAGGCGAGCAAGAAGAGTGGAGGTGGTAAGGGAAGGGGAGGAATCGAAAGCCACACCAAAAAGATAATCACTTACCTTTTGCAACATTTCTTTGATTTTGACGTCTATCAAAACAATCTTTTCCGTTCGTTCTTCTTTACGCAATTCGGCCAACTGTCATTTCTTATTGTTAAAACAAACACTGTCAATTGTTGCCCCCCCCCCAACCTAGAAAGAGAAAAAGTTACCTTGTCATCACCTTGGACGTTCAATCGTCCTTTTCCATTCCGAATACGACGGCCCAAATCGTTGACCAACTTGTTTAGGTAATCTTGAAATTCTTCCTTGTAATGGTATTTTTCTTTATCAGGCGCATTTTGGTAACGTTCCTTCAGTCGATCGTTGTGGATCTTGTCGCATGGACCTATAATATACATCCATCAACCCCCGCGGTTCATAAAATTGGACTTTCCTTTATTAATCTAATCGGAATGAAAACAGCTAAACTTACCCAAATCTGACTTTGTGTTTGTAAACAATTGTGAAGGACAGTACGCTACAAGATAATGTTTGCAAACCTACAGTTGAACAACCCCAATGTTATAATGCGTTAACGGTCACATGGATGATACTATTGAACGCAAAAGAAAAGGCATTACTACCACCGAGTACCTACACTATCATCCCAAAAGTCCTTGTTGTCGACATCGACATACTGACTCATGAGGTTTTCTAGCATCGCCTTTTGGTACTCTAGAGTTTTTGAAAAGACCAAAAAATTACAATACAGTGAGTCTTTTTTTTTCAAGTTACAAACGTTCAAAATGCACTAGAGTATACACGTGCATTTTTGTGCTTCTTCAAAAAAAAAGATAATTTACCCATGGTTGTTTAATGTGTCTTTTTGAGAAAAAAGAAAGAAAGCCGTAATCGCCTTGCTGCGTTACAAAAATAAAAAATCAGACCTTCAAACAAAATCCGAAAGGGACTTTCTCTCGACCAATCATACTAAGCCATTTTTGCGTTGTGCGCTTCCCCATTACTCGATGGAAATCACTGGGAAACAAAATTTACACAGAGACATTGACATCCCCACTGCTTGACTGCTTTAACATGACTAAATACCCTTAAGCTGACGCGTTAGTGAAGCAATGAACAAAAAGAGAGTGTATTTACATGTTGCGGCAAGAAAAAAAATATATACAAAAAAAAAAAGAAACAGAACGTTGAAGTCTCATTCATGAGTGAATGGTTGACGAAAGGTGATGAGGGTGGTGATAGTGCTGGCGAAGCTTGGCCAAATGCGTATGCTCAATGTGATACTTTAATCCGTTGAGATTTTTGTATCGTTTGTTGCAGATACCAATAGAGCAACGGTATGGCTTTTTGGCAATGAGTTCGGATTCGTCTTGCTGCTTTTCATGACAGTGGCCATGCGCCTTGTGATACTTTAAGCCATTGGCATTTTTGTACGCCTTGTCACAGCCATCTACTTGACATTTGTAGGGCCGTTCATTGTCGTCTACAAATGCATGTTACAATCAGCAAACAACAAAGTTGTTGTTTGTTATTAGGCCATGCCCGAACATTTTACCTTTGTAACTATAGAGATCAGCGGAGCGGGCCTGTTGCTGCAAAAAAAGGTCAATGGTGCCGGGATACCATTCCATAGGCACTTTTCGTTTCTTTAGCGGTGGCGATGGCGGTGGTGTATATAGATCTTCGCTGCTACTGCAGCTACTTTTGCTAGTGACACTGATCGTCGTGTCGACAGGACTTGCGGCTCGACTGTCAAAACATGGCGGTGATGGTGGTATCATCGTCATCATTAGCTGACGGTCATCATGGAACGTTGCGTTGCTTGGATCCATCGTCGTCATGAAGGGCTGTTGTTGTTCTTGCTGCTGACTATGTTGATGGTAATATTCAGCTGCTGCTGCTGCTGCTGCTGCTGTTGCTGCTGTTGCCATAGAAACCATGGGTGGTGCTTCCGTCCAATCAATCACTGGCATATCATTTTCGTCAAGGTTGTCGACTTGTTCATCCGAGAGCACATGGTGTTCTTCGAAATGATGTAATAGAGCATGAAGATCAACCAAGTTTTGTCCACAGCATTGAAAATCACGACAAAACGCGGACTCCAGCTCGCGTGGTCGAGCCTTGGGGTCTTCTGCTGTAAAAGAAGAGAAAGGACAAGCGGACGAGGATGGCGCTGTCGACACAGGTGAACTAAGAAGACACACAAAAGCAATGACATAATGGCGATTAATATTACTTCACTCCATTGTAATATTAAGTCATTATGATTGGAACCCATGATTTGGTATAAACATACAACAGCCACGCAGTTTCAATAGGCATGAACAAGAACAACAAAAGGGTAACACTTCTTCCAGGTATGTGATGAAATATGTACAGGATGGAAAAGGACACTCCGTTTACGCTAGGTAAAGCTTGTGACAGAAGCCTACTGATGATGAAGGGAAAGAGAAAAAAGGCAAGAAACGAGTGAGCGCGTCAGGTGTGAGATGTCTTAAAAAATGCCGACTCTCATTCATCCTAAACAGTAAAACACCCTTCAACTTGTTGGTTATTGTTGTGTGTGTGTGTGTGTGTGTGTGTGTGTGTGTGGCGGCGGTAACAAACTCTTGTGTGAACCGGCAAACACTCTCACTTCAAACCCTCCCCTCCACATTCCCTTTACCATTTCTCCGATCAGCGTTTTGATAGCCAAGCCCAACCCGTAGTCATTGACTACTACCTCTACCCTTGTGCTGATCTTTCTTGACAGCGGCAGTTTCCTTTTGTCTCTTATAGTTGCCCCTCCCCTCCCCAAATTGTTTCAGCATGGGGGCTGATCTGATCCCAAAAATATGCGTTTGTTTGTATAAAAATTAAAATTTGAAACTTTGACAATGAATTGGATACTAGATATCATGGGTGTTTGCGATGATGATAATGATAATGATGATGGGTTAGTGTGAAAAGAAAGCCCTTCTGGGGACAAGAGCGAGGAATGTGTGTGTCTGTGTGTCTATGTGTGTGTGGGAAGGGCAGTCTTTTTCTTTTTCCTTCCACTTTTTGTCACCTTTGAGCTGATTCCCACCATCAAACCCACATTACCAAACGCCGCTTGGAAAATTCAACAACAGACACAAACTCTCTGGCAAATTCCAGAAGCTGCCATCTTTCAAGAAGTTCCGTGTTCCCCTTCTCCAACGACAGCTGCTGGAGCAGCACTGTTCAATTCCCTTGCTTGCATATGTAAAAAAGTCCATTACAGCTTGAGAGGGAAAGATAGAGAGAGAGAGAGAGAGAGAGCTGTGATCTCTGGAGCAAACATACAAAGAAAACACTACTTTTCTTCGTCTATCGCACCAGCAGAACGAAAGAAATGACAAGGCGGATATAAGTTTGTGTGGGGAAATGGACTACATTTTTCCAGAGCGAAACGAAAGATTGGCCCAAGCCACTCTTCACTCCGCTCCAGTATATTTTGGAAATCCTCCTCTCGCCCCTTTTGCCCCCCGGCCTCTTCTTTTTTTTTCCACGCGTTTCTTTTAAACAAACCCGCTACAACAACAATGAACCGTCTAGTCTCCAAAGCCTTCCAAGGTGTCGCTACCCGCCAACAACGCTCAACCACCGGCGTCCTGAACCGTTTGTACTCCACCCACAAGGAGATCAAGTTTGGCGTTGACGGCCGTGCTTCGCTCTTGAAGGGCGTTGACATTCTCGCCAAGTCCGTTGCTGTCACTTTGGGTCCCAAGGGTCGCAATGTCCTCATTGAGCAGCCCTATGGCTCTCCCAAGATCACCAAGGACGGTGTTACTGTTGCCAAGTCTATCTCCTTGGAAGACAAGTTTGAGAACTTGGGTGCTAGGTACTTTTTTGTTTTTGGGATTACGGTTGGGTTTAAGAGTGGTGTTTGTTGTGACAAAGAAAGAGAGAGAGTGCAATGAGTTGTATCTCGTTACCCAGCTGTTCTAACCAAGACAATAACAAACACCTCCCTATTAGACTCGTTCAAGAAGTTGCTAGCAAGACCAACGAAGTTGCTGGTGATGGTACCACCACTGCCACTGTGTTGGCCCGTGCCATCTTCACTGAAGGTGTCAAGAACGTTGCTGCTGGCTGCAACCCCATGGACTTGCGCCGTGGTGCCCAGGCCGCTGTCGATGCTGTTGTCGATTTCTTGAAGGCCAACAGCCGCGTCATCACCACCTCGGAAGAAGTTGCTCAGGTAATGAACGCAATCCGTGGGAAAAGCGGTGGACAAGGAGTTTATATTTTGGGTTGGGGTTAGGGTTGGACAGGTTAAAAATAATAATGACAAAACTGCCACAGGTTGCCACGATCTCCGCCAACGGTGACAAGCACGTCGGTGGCATGATTGCCCAGGCCATGGAGCGTGTTGGCAAGGAGGGTGTGATCACTGTCAAGGCTGGCAAGACCATTGATGATGAATTGGAAGTCACCGAGGGTATGCGTTTCGACCGTGGCTTCATCTCGCCCTACTTTATCACCGACACCAAGACCCAGAAGGTCGAGTTCGAGAAGCCCTTAATCTTGTTGTCCGAAAAGAAGATCTCGCTCTTGCAGGACATTTTGCCCGCTCTTGAGGCCTCTGCCACCCAGCGCCGTCCTCTCTTGATCGTTGCTGAGGATCTTGATGGCGAGGCTTTGGCCGCCTGTATCCTCAACAAGCTCCGTGGTCAGATCCAGGTTGCTGCTGTCAAGGCCCCTGGCTTTGGTGACAACCGCAAGTCCATCTTGGGCGATATCGGTATCTTGACCCAGTCGACCGTCTTCTCTGACGAGCTCGACATCAAGCTTGAGCGCGCCACTCCTGAGTTGTACGGTACCACTGGCTCTGTTACCATCACCAAGGAAGATACCATCATCTTGAACGGTGCTGGTTCCAAGGACATGATCAACCAGCGCTGCGAGCAGATCCGTGGTGCCATGAACGATGTCGGCACCTCCGACTACGAGAAGGAAAAGTTGCAGGAACGTTTGGCCAAGTTGTCCGGTGGTGTTGCCGTCATCAAGGTCGGTGGCACTTCCGAAGTTGAGGTCGGTGAGAAGAAGGATCGTTTCGATGATGCCTTGTGCGCTACCCGTGCTGCCGTTGAGGAAGGTATTGTTCCCGGTGGTGGTGTCGCTCTCTTGAAGGCCGTCAAGGCTTTGGAGAACGTCAAGGTCGCCAACTTTGACCAGCAGCTCGGTGTCAACATTGTCCGCCAGGCTATCCAGCGCCCCTGCCGAACGATCGTCGACAACGCCGGTGGTGAAGGTTCCGTTGTTGCTGGCAAGCTCCTTGAGGAGAAGACTGATAACATCAACTGGGGTTACGATGCCTCGTCCAACGAATACGTCGACATGATCGAACGTGGTATTGTTGATCCCACCAAGGTCGTCCGCACTGCTCTTGTCGATGCCAGCGGTGTCTCGTCGCTCTTGACCACTACCGAATGCATCATCACCGATGCTCCTGAGCCCAAGGGTGCTGCTGCTCCTGCCATGCCTGGTGGCATGGGTGGTATGGGCGGTATGGGTGGCATGATGTAAACTGTCCTTCCACATCTCCGTCACTCACTTAACACACATGCACACACATACACACACACAACACTTTCTATCTATCTTTTCTCTCCATAATTTCACAGCATAAAACAAGTTTTTAGTATATAAATCAATTATCACAAAATTTCGCACACGCTCACACATGTACATCCCCTCTCCATTTTGTAAAGAATTAAAAAAGAAAAAAGTTTGCTGTTTATTTTCCATATAAAAAAATATAGTTTTTTGATTTCACTCGAGTCAAGATCACCAACAACGATTGACACTATTACTGCTGCAAACAAGACTAGTATTCACCATCGATCCACTTTTTGCAACACCGGAGAGCTCAACAACACTTGGAAGCGCTGTCAGATCTCGCAAGGAATCAAGTTTTTGCTAGTTTGCCTCTTTTAAGCTTATAGGATTTATTTTCTAGAATCAGAGGGCGCATTCAACGGACTAGCTGCGTCGCCAAGTTCACCGTAAAGTTGTGCGATTGAATGAGCCTGAGCAGATTCGCTGTATACCAACAAATCCCAAAAAGAAAAAAGCATGCACGTCGGATACAATTATAAGGTATGATTACCAATTGATAATGTTGCGATATAAACGTTGCATAAACTTGACTAAGCGAATGGATGGGGCTTAATACTGTATATACTCTATATTGATGGCTCGGCGCGAATTGAGTGTGGCCTTGAGAACAAGTGGATATGGCCCAAGTATGATTGAGGAATATGGAATGTACAGTAACCGAACTTAAAGATGTAATGAAAAAGACTGGAATACTAAGATTCAGTCATAAATCCGTAATTGTAATCAAACATAGGATCTACCATGATCAAAAACTGGTTGGCGCGGTTATAGATATAGCTTCGTTGATAATCCACATACACCTTTGTACAAACGTGAATCTTCGGCACATACGCCCAGAAGGCATATTTTCGCTCACAGCTGTGTATTTAACTCTACTGCCTTTCACGAAAGGTGATAGATTCAGATAATACTATACGATCAAGTACAATGCTCTATATAGCCACCACCGACTTTTTGCTAAGTAGTACCGATGGTGAGCAATAGGATCGAAACAACGACAGGTCAAAAAGCAAAGCTCATCGATTTATCCATATCGTTTGAATATGGAGCGTTATCCTGCAAAGTTCGCTCCTCGACCGTCAAAGTAAAGCCCACCACATTGCCTAAAGCATGATAAGCGACCAGTTTTTGTCAAAAATTGGCAAACGAAATAAAGGACTTAACTGGTAATACAGTATGTACGCGACAAAATCGACGACGATTTTGCTGATTTAAGAAGGGATATCTACAATAAGACCATTCCAAACATTTTGCTACGTTCAAAAACTCACAACATATAATCGTCTTTTTCCTCTTTGCGAAGGATATTTTATCATTGGAGTTTCGGAAATGTAGATTATGTCACGCTTCTCGGCAGCATATCTTTATTTAAATCTCCAAATATTGTCGTTCTGCGGGTGGATCAGTGGGTATTTAAATCGCAAAAGCACAACAGTCCATGGGGGAAGCTCGAGTACGCTAAAAAGCGCTGCTTCTTGTATTGTGCTGATACTCCAACCGAGTACTAGACGTCGAGTTCAACAGGAACGCCACAATTAAAGATCAGCGTGACCAAATTTGAACAATAGCGAACGATGGCGCACAACCACCGGGCTTGTTTCGCACGATCTTGTACACAATGCATTTACGGCATAAACTACTATTGTATCGGAGATTGTCGTTGGGCGCAGGCAGTCAGGATCCGACGAGAGCAACGCACATATATTTGTGCAAGGGATCAGTCAGTGCAGGTATATCTATTTATGCGACAGAAAGTAATAAGCGACATAGGTGAGGCAATCCACCAAAAAGTAAGGGCGCAGAAGTTGATGACCGTGCAGTACACACGTGCTCCAAAGCAAAGTGTACGCCAAGGACAAAGTGGTGACTACGGTAGAAGAAGGACGACATTTGAGTGTTTTTGAAACAAAAAAGGATGCGGTTCACCGCCCCTTCTATTTGATAATAGCATTTTACAGACAAAACCTGGATTTAGTGTGTTGGCTGATTCGTTCTGAATGTCGACTCCATTGTTCGCGATTCTCAGCACTGTTCAAGACAAAATCGATATCACTTTGCTGACGATCACAATGGCAACTATATTGCTCGTTGCAAAGTCTCCACTGTGCAATCAGGAGCGAGAATGACGAGTCTCGCTCGCACATATATGAAGAAGCCTTACAGCAATATAAAACACACACAAATAAGTTCAACGAACGGGAAGAGAGAAAAAACATTCTTTATTTGAAACATGATACTACTAATCAATAATAGGGTGTCGATGTCTTAGCTTCTCTGCTCTTTTGCAGATACTGACGGGGGCAACCACGAGAAGGTGCATCGACATCTGCTCCCATAACCCTCTACCACAAAGCTAGGGTCTTGTCTTGGTCGCTTTGTGGATCATGGAAGGTCGATTGGTATTGAGATGCCCAGTCCGGTCTCACCAATCGCGACGTGCCTACAAAACAAGCACCACCACTCACCCACCCACCCACTTACCTTCAACCACCTACCTTGCACCTTCGTCGCCTGTGCCTACAAAACAAGCACCACCACCCACCCATACACTCACTCACTTACCTTCAACCACTTACCTTACGCCTTCGTCGCCCGTGCCTACAAAACAAGCACCACCACCCACCCACACACTCACTCACTGTTTTGTCGAGGATCGGAAATGGGACGAGATAATTCGTGAGACTCTTAACGGTCAAGTTTTTATTACGAGAGAAAGAGAGAGTTCCAAAAATTCTTCTTACTAGTTATTCATATAACGAAATTGTCTTTGTGGAACTTATTTGATGTCCCGATCCTCTGGATACAACATCACCCCCCGCCAGGCTGTATGCCGTTGGTAAAGGATTCAGAGGATTTTGAGGGCATGATGTTATAACCGGACCGATCATCTACGTTGTTTCTTGTTCTGTGATGCTACCCGCTGACTGTTTCTTGTCCGTTTCTGTTTATGGACAGAGGGCGGTGCTTGGCCTAAGCGATTCCAATAATCACTGATGGTTTGAGGGTCATCGAAATTTTGTGATGGTTCCCAAGAATCATGATCTCTGGTAAAGCCTTTCCAGCGTACTTTGTATTCGTACTGGCCTTTGTTCTTCCTGTGTTGGAGAATCGAATAGATGTGATAGCGGCGTTCTTTTTTCGATGCCTTTTGATCGCTATTAAGAATGGCTGCTTTTAATTGAGATGGTGCATAATTCTTTTCTTCAAGATCTCCATCAAGTGCTCGTACCACATATGAGCCTCCGCGTGTTTGTCGCACGACTTCATATGGTCCCACATAATCGGGGTCGAGTTTGTTTTTCTTTTCCTTGTTGATTGCCATCACATAACTTTTTGGTGGGAAATCAACCAAGCGGTGTTTAGCATCGAATTTTTCTTTGCGCTTAGCGTTTGTTTTGATTGTGCGTTCTGCAATCGCTGGATATACTATATCGTTGATCTTTTTGAAGTGTTCCTCAATTTCTTTTGGAGTGAGGCGCTGCTTTGGCTTATCTTTTGTATAATCTTTGAAATCATTCAGTTGGCGTCCGAACATCAATGCAAATGGTCGGGATTCATGTCTCTCCAGAACTTTGTTGTTCAAGGACAGTTGTACCCCTGGTACTGCACGATCCCAGTCTTTTGTCGCACCTTTAATAGACTTCTTTATGCCTATGATGGACTTCTTGACCCATGCTTCAGCAGTTCCATTGCCTCTAGGGTGGTATTGTGTGCTGAATTGATGATTAAAGTGGGCGCTCAATGCCAGTTCTTGCATAGGCAGATTGATGTTCTCCGTACCATTGTCGGATTGGAGTTTACGAGGTATTCCAAACGTACTAAATACATCAATCAAGACCTTTGTTATTGTCTCTCCTTTCTTGTCTGGAATAGGACGGAGTAAACAAAAACGTGTGCAGATGTCAACAAGAACCAGGAGGTACCGATTGTTTTGCAGAGAGGTGGTAAATTCACCAGCTAAGTCTAATGCCCAATGATCTCCAGGAATTTCTGCCGTGATAGATCGTAATGGATGGTAACCTTTGATGGCTATGTTAAACTTTTGACATTCTGAGCATGATTTGACAAGTGCTACAGCCTCTTCTTTCATGGCAGACCAGCGTAGTCCTTGTGAATGAAGATCTTTGATAATGGCGGTGGCACCAAAATGTCCCAGGAGGTGGGAAGATTCTAGCAATTGTTTCCTTTCCTCTTCTGGTGGTGTAACCATCTCATCATCGGGTGTTCTGGCAAAGCGGCTAATGTGCGACTTGGGAGTCAGCAAAGCCTGTCCATCACCCCTCGCCAGCGTTTGTTCCGTTGGAGGAAATAAGCGTGAAAGACGATCAGGGAGGACATTATGTATACCAGGAAGATATATTACTTCAAAGCTGTAAGATAAGATGCGATCAAGCCATTTGGTGAGCATAGGATTGAGCTCCTTTTGCGAATGCAGATACACCAAAGCTTTGTGGTCAGTATAAAGCTTGAAATGGTTGCCCCATAAATAAGTATGGAATTTGTTTAAGGCAAATATAATTCCAACCAATTCACGTTTGGTGATATGATAGTTATATTCGGCTTTTGTTAAAGAACGAGCCATAAAGGAAATATACTTCTTCTTGCCATCTTGTTCCTGCCATAAAACAGCGCCGAGGCCTTGATTGGAGGCGTCTGTAGCCACAAAGAAGGGTTTATGGAAATCGGGCTGATGCAGGACGGGAGATTTCCGTAAGATGGTTTTTAATATTTCGAAGAGTTCCTGATGGTGTTTTGACCATACTGGGGTTAAGTCATCATATTTCCGTAAGGCGTTTAATGGAGCCATCAATCGGGATAGATTGGGAATATATGTGCGGAAGAAATTTAGGATACCAGCAAATCTTTCAATATCCTTGCCAGTGCGTAATTGGGGCCATTGCTCTATGTTGGCAAGTTTACGGTCATCAGGTGTAATACAACCTTCAGCTACTCGATGGCCTAGCAAATATACAGATTTCATGCCAAAGGCGCATTTGCGGCTGTTGAGCTCGAGATTAGCCTGAGTAAGCCGGTGGATGACTTCTTGCACATGCTGGACATGCTCGGCAAGATTATTTGAGTAAATAATGACATCATCAATGAAAAAAGTGGTAAAATTGCCTTCAATCTGATCCATCAATTTTGCCATGACTCTAGAATATTTCTGGCTGAGC